CAGGCTGTCATGTTATCAAATCTTTAGCGCTAGTGTCTTAGCAGTGGGGCCCGAGAGAAGAAAACCTGACTTGTCCTGACTCTCGAATCCGTATACCCAAGCAGATATCCGCCGCGCATATATCGCTATACTCTTACGACTTATTCTCTAGGCCTATCTTCCGCCGGTCTCTTTTCTGTCGAATTGACTTCTTCTCCGTACTAGAAGTCTTCGATCGCTCGCGAGGGTTCTTAGCTATAATGATTGTAAGATAAAGGGTTCGAATAAGTTAAAAGAGAGAGCAATAAGTTATAATATCTCTTTTCATTATAGGTAGAACTACCTAGTATACTTAACTATCCGAATTAACCTTCTACTACTTAATTCTTCTATCTAATTAGCTAGTTAATCTTGCTCTATCCTGATTAGTCACTCTTCTATAATTGTAGTACTAAGTAAAATTACCAGATTTAAACCCCATTGAGAATCTCTAGACCTTATTAAAGGATAAAATCTATAAGATTTATCTAGAGCTTAAAACTATACGAAATAACGATAGTAGGTATACGATTCTTATTAAGAAGGCTCAGGAAGCATAGAATCTACTAGATTTAGATATTCTAGTATACCTATCTGCTACTATACTAAATAGAGGATAGGCGATTATCGATTTAGAGGGGTAGTATACTTAATATTAATAAATTTAGTTGATTTTTGTAAATAGTTACGAGGTTTCTTAGTGCTAGTAGAAAATTCTTAGCGCGGTAGAAAAAAGGGGTAGACGAAGACTTATAGATCACTACTGTACGTATTTAGGATATAATTACGCGAAGGAAGTAGGTAGGGCTACGCTAGTCCAATATAGCTAGTTATTGTGTAACTGTGAGTTAGTGTTATGCGAATATCGAAATCCTCGTTCTCTCTATCTGGGCGAAACAGGTTCTCAAGAGTCTGGGCCATCGGCCTTAGATTAACGATGGCCACACGACCTCCATCGGCTAATTGATATCATTGAACAACGAGAATCACATAGTGAGATCTCCGTGGCAAGAAGATGAAGTAGCTGTGTAAAGAGGACTGTAACAAGGAGAAAACTTGGTGAGTTTCTTTACGAGGATGGGATGGCGACGGAGTGCCGTGAAGTTCAACCATAATAGCCATTGTTCGACGTGTTTCATGTCTTTGCAGATAAATTGTCCGATGATTTTATCTTCTACCACCATTATTCGAGATTGATACGAGTACACAAGCTCGTGAACCCAATCTACTGGAATGCGACCGCTTACATGGGGGCTGGGACGAGTGATATCATCGGGCCAGGGCAGCCACCGACGAGGCGGCTGGATTAGATCGTCATAGTTGCCTCTTGGATTTGGCTGTGATATCAAGGTCAGCGATGAAATCATTCGACATGTCTATCGCAGTGCAATTGAAACTTCTGATCACATACTGTGGATTGATCTGGGCTGAGGATTACCATGAGGGGGGTTGGATGGATGTATGCACAGGCGTGACGGAATATGAACATTTGACTGAGATTTTGATCTAAGTTCTCGTTCTGATAATGGACATGCGCTCACATTTTCCACGAGCGACGGTCGGGGAAAGATTCTCTGTATTCATGGATGACGCAGGTCATCGATATATACATGGAAGGATCAGTAAAGCAGATTGAGTGCCTGGTTTGGATTGACAGGCAATTTCCTTGTCACTCGGTACTGAACAATGTCCTTTTCTACAGTATGATTACCCCGCTGGGATATTTCCGGGTCTGGTACCGAGCGAGGACCCATAGAAGACATCATGTACAGGAGAACCGGGGGCTATGCTCCACAAGTTTCTTTTGACTTATGACATCGCACAGCGCACTTGCCGACGGCACGGATATCATATAAGCATCATCTAGGGTTGGCTTGTCTGAAACGGTCCTGCCGGGATATTTGATACTACGAAAGCGATTATTGTTCGGTTTCTTCTTTAGGAAACTCATTATGTACGCCCGTCAACGATTGATCCATAAGACTAGTAATATCGAGTTCATTGTTTGTTCCTTGGATGAGCTCACTGGGCTAGCAATTGGGCTCCCGTGAGAGATTGTCTGCATTTATCTGCCTAATGAAATCTACATCTGACATCGTATCAGCGTCTGCATTAGGGGAAGAGGTACACAGCAAATATTGTTGCAACTCAGTATCGTCATTCCACGCTTCCCACGGTAGAATATGAGGAATCGCAGGAGAAGAATTCCGAGAAACTGTCGAATTAGAAGCCTGACCCCATTCTGGAAGTGGGGGGCTGGAGGCGAAGATCCTCGGAAGATGGTACTCCCCGTGTACGCGACAAGATAACTTTCGAGGTCTATCCACTTCTTTGCCTCCCCCGCTGCAGTAGGTTCGATGACTTGTCGATCACTCGGAACCTACAGTAGTTCACTGCTATACGTAGTTCTTCGCAAGTTGTGGCTTTTATATGGCTACAATGACATTGTTTTACTTTGCTTCTGGATCCACCTGCGTAGCACCAACTGAGTGCCTCAGCGCACTACCGGTCTCCGTAGTTCATGAGTAAGCTTGGGTGGGGCTAGGTATCATTATTCTATGAGACTCTTTGAATCTTCGCCTTTTCAGGAATATGGAATGTACAGTTTGAAGGTCGATTAACACGTTTCCCACATGTCACTACCTATACACCTCAGCATTGGGCGCTTGTATATTCTTGGATCCTGTCAATGCTACTACTGGATGATGCGCCATTACTGGGACTTGAAAATCCCTATCTCGATTAAAAAATAGTCAGTAATTCAATACTATGATACTAAACGTTCAAGTGACTCTCAATTCATGTGGCTGGGGGTTTCAACATGTTGCCAGAAAGTCATCATTCAGTATCAACGTCCTCCCGTTCAGGGCTTCTGACGTCAGGTGCCTTTTCTGCCTCAGGTGTCTATGAGCTGACCAATATCATGAGAAGAAACGAGAGGGGAAGGCAGCGTCCAATAGGAATAGATATGACAAGGTTCCTTATCCACTGTGGCCATTTTGCTAACTTACTTTCGGGGGATCGGTCTCGACGATCGGTGGTGCATCGTCAGGAGCAGCAGGAGCTGTTGGGATTGTATGGACGCCATTTTCGACACGGTAGTTCCTCGTTCATAGTTCAAGCCTATCAAGCCACTAAACACTATAGGACAATCCTGAGACAAGTATCACATGTTTTGCTGAGAGGTTCTATATGGCTAAAAAAGTAACCAATGTAATCATCGCGCCTGAAGGGAAAATACCAAATCGAAGCTCGGATCGCCACGACTCTCAGGGACATGACGTGATGGCGTTCTGCCCGACTCCACTCCCGCGAGCCTCAGCATAGGGACCTTTGCCGCAATACTGAACATCAGTGCCGCCCGCGATCCTGTCCAGGGGACAGGGCTGTGCTTCCAATTATTATGATGATTGATCTGTGAGTATGAGAATCATCAACGAGAAAGGAAATCAATAGAATCTCCAGGGGCATGCCGTGGGACGTCAGAAAGCTGATCGGCCCCATTTGCAAGCCATCATTTGGATCCAAACCCTCCAATTAACCCTCGCTGGATTTCATTTCCAGTCGTCCCGCCCCGTCTCATCATATTATCATTCTGAAACCGTCCACCACTCAGTCTTCCAGTGGAACTAACGTGGCTGCAGCTCTTTACCGGGGATGTCCCCCTCGCATTTCCGCTGCCATCAGCATGGCCTGTTTCGTTGTCGTAGCTTAGCTGAACATAAAGACCGGAGGCCACAATGTTCTGATAATTGCCAGGCCAACGCCATTATGATTCGTTCTCGAGACGTCAAAGGGAGATCTGCAGGGGATGGTGGGCTTGCGTCTGCCGATCTCAGGACGCCATTCGCCCTGACCTCGTTCAACGGGTTCCAACTGGTCCATCTGGCCCATTCGTGCATTCCCAAGTGACCTCATCGGGAGGAGATGAGGGTCCATTCGCGAGTGCATCAAACTGATGATGCTGCTCCCCCACGTACAGTACACCAGTCCTCGAGCGAGATGTGGAGGTAGGTTATTTCATGATGATACACCCCCTTAAGCAAAAGCGACAGCGGCAACGGAACGTCTATCGCGAGCCGGTGGGGATGGTATAACGTGAAGGAGGGTAGGGAGCGGTTTCTTATGATGTCGCCCGGCCTTAGCCTCATGCGAAACGAAGCCATACATCCACTCCATCCACTTTGAGTGACTTTGCTATGTATACCCCCCTTCCTCAGCCAATGATGTCACTGCACCTGGGTCCGGCGATGGATTCTGTACAGCTTCGAACCTCGTCCATGGGCCCTCTTAGGAGATGAGGGAAACTACAACCTATACCTCTGGACCTATCAGCGTCGGCCAGGCTGACGCAGTTCTTTTGCCATCCTCGATCACCCGCAGTGATCTCATTCGTCTCCTCGAGCCACAGCTGTGTTATATATATGCCTCAGATTGGGACTGACTTCTTAATGATACATTTGTTTCCCTCACGTACATGCACTAACCCTGTGATTGCCGCCCCATAGCCCTATTGACTCCTTCAACGCTGTGCCCTATCGAACCCGCTGCACAATATACTTTCTCACGCCAGAATTCAAAAATAACTTACACTATTTTCCAACCCTGGTGTTGTTTCTTCCTCGGCTACCTGAACCTGGTTGAAGCAGGATTTCTCCAAGGTAAGATATCCTTGAGACTTTGCCCTGCTAAAGCTGCCTTGCCCTTTAGCACTTAGGGTTTCCTTCCGTATCCTACCTACCACTGCCTGTCCCCAAAGCCCACCCTGCCTGCCAACGTTGTGCCTTCCCTATACAACTACATTTTCCAGCAGACAAGATAGATGTCATCCTCGCGTCCTACTGACACCCTGACTACTCACCTCCTTTCCTGAATATGTACCATCTGATCGACACCACTTCGTCCAACTGGTACTATCTAATCTTCGGTCCACTAACATCGTCACGCATTAGACATTTTCCACCATAACTGCAGACCACACAATGCAGCAGCCTTCGGATAACATTCCAATCATGTTCACTCATGAATCAAGAGGGACCGGTCCCGCTCACGGGAACCACGTTGAGACCCATAGGTCCACGGATCCTCGAATCTCCCTTGATGACTACAACCGTATCATGCTGGAGTATACTCAGCGTCAGATGTCGTCCTTTGTCGACCTTGACGACAGCAACAGCTCTAGTGGTGCTAGCAGCCGCAGCAGCCGCAGCAGCCAGAGCAGCGGCAGCAGTGGTCGCAGTGGCGCCTCGAGCAATGGTGTGCTTGCCCGCCAGGCCAATGGACCTCCACCTACTTTGGTTGGTGCTGCCGCCGCCACGACTTGCCATGGAGCTCAGCAGTATCCTGGTCAGAAGCCCATGCGAAGTCCTAATGAGGCCAAGCCATCTAGATATTAGGATCGCTAGCATTTCTTGGGGTACTTCACCACTGGCTTTCATGATCTCCATCTACTATGGGCGTCTTGCTAACACTCGAAACTAGCGGTCTTTCCTTGTGATACGACCTTAATGAAGCCTTGCCGATACTCATTCGGAGTTCGATGGCGCAGCATGACGGGAATTCATCAGCAACAAGTACCCTCCCGCTCATGTTGCGCCCGGAGGCGGAGTTCTTTTTCCCTTTCACCATGGAGTTTGATGGGCCGCGCGAGAATGCGCATTTCCTGCTTTCCTAGCGATATAGCGTTTTCCAAGCCTTGCATTTCTCTGTGCTCCCGACAAGAGTCGAGTCACTGTGAGATGGTCATTCCTTTTTCACACACCTTCTCCCCCAGCATCTATTATCTACCTTTTACCACCTTGGACATCTTACTTTACACAGCCTTTTCACTCAAGGATCATCAATCAAGTCGTTCGTGTGACCAATGTCACCCGCGAACTGATCTTTGCCTTGCCCGTGCCCTCTCTCTCCCTCACGACCTTATCAGAAAACCTTTACAAAATCAGGTAAGACCCGGCCGCAATGGATCTTAGCACTGCCGTCAACTCCTCCTCAATCCTGTGACTATCTCGGCGCTCATTCCTGGACTTGGTACAAATGATGTTCCATTCGCACCATCCGTCTCCGTCCTTCTGCCCACTTCTCCGGCCCCAGCGGCCAGTGTATCTTTGTTGCTTTATTGTTAACCCTGCCATATCCTCTGCGAGGGATGCGCAGGCTGTACAATATCTGCGGTTGTTTCGAGCGAGCGAGCGTTGATGTCTTCCCCATCCATTCGGTGTGTGAATTTGTGGCTTTATTTGCGTCCTTTGTATTTGTTTTGCCATGGATGCACCCATGTGATGATCATTGACATCTCGAGCCTGCACTGGAAGTCGTCCCTCGAGGAAAAGTCTGTTGTTCACGACTATGACCACCTTGTATACTTCCCCCTCCTATTACCCTCTTACCTTGCCCGTTGGCATCACGACTTGCACAACAACATTCATGACCATCATTGCCTGGTGCACCTGAGCTTTTAGTTGTATCTGGAGAGTCCAATATGTATCCTGCGCCTTTATAACATTTTAAGAGATCGCTTCTTCATGTCTCAAATGTAGCAGATTTCCCCGACAAAGAAAAAGAATTTCTCATATTGTAGTGAACGGAATCGGTCTCCTACCGATGGTGGAATTGTGGGGAGCCAGCAAATGCACTAGCCCTAATACTCCGAATCACCCGCGGACCCGATCGATCACGAATGGCTATCTTGCCGGTGACAATTGAGTGGACGATATACATCAATTGGCGTGAGAGGAGCTCGTTCCTGCAGAGGACAACAAGGCATGAGTACCCCTAGTTGGCAGGGAGACTATGGACGGATTGGTGTCGCATTCTTTAGTCGATCTTTTTTGCGGTGCCCCTTGCATCCTCTATATTGTGAGCTGAATTGGGTTGTGTGCTCACCAAATTATTCTGCGAGACTCCTCGTGCACGACACGACTGATAAAAAAATATAGTCTAACGATAACAATCAATTAGAAGCGCCTGGATAATACGTTAGTCGCTGGGTGGCCATGAGATTGGGTCGCGATATATAGTATCCAGGATCAGCTCAAGTTGATAACAACCGACACACGAGCATACCGCGCGAGAATCAACCCTGCAGAACCAAGAGTAACTTGAACATATTGTCGTTTCACATTCCAAATGATTCAAAAGACCCAAATGGCCGAAAACCAAGCCAATCTCTGACTACTCAAGCAGGTTGAAGCCCCTCACCCTGGAATCTCGGACCAGGTAGCAAGGGCTTATTTGCGACTCAAGGGAGCAAAACAGGACACCACACTGCGTGGGCGCCGGTAATTTCGGCAAAAACACTCCGTCAGGACTGTATGCACCGAGCGCTGCGAGGGTTGAAACGCCCAAGCACGCAAGCCAACCTAGGGCCCTTGTTGTCCTTCGTTCGTGGCTATTCGACTTCCTGCAACTATCGTCGACAACCAACAAATCGCCAATCGTCGCCCTGATTCTCGCCCAGCCCTCGTCGTTCCTTTTGCAAACCTTGATATACAACTCACGCTATTACACACACTCTTTTGGACCGGACCACTCCAAACGAGACAATCCTTTTAAACAAGAAGACTGCTTAACCAGCGATATCGCGTGAGGTTCTACCGCACACCACCCATTATCCATAAGGGCTGTTTATGCCTCGTCTCAAACACACAAGGCCAATATATCACGAATCAGAAACCCCAAGATAGCAAAAATGCACCTCCCAACGCTCTTCTACACCCTTGCAACTCTCGCCATCACTGCTGCCGTCCCCGTCACAGCAGAAAACTCTACGGCCACTCCCACCGCTACACAGGCCATCGATGCTCCATCGCAGGCCAACCCCGTGGCAACGCCTTCAATGACACCCGTTGGAGCCTACCGGTGCCCGCCGAAGCAGTTCAAGCGATGCTGCTTGACTCTGCAACAGACCTCCCGCGAGCTCATCGATGGCCTCGGAGAGCTTGTTCCTGTTCTGGGGGGTCTTTCTGTCAGCTCGCTGATTTCATTTGACTGTATGTCTGCATCCGGTGGTTTTTCCGCACATATAATCTCTTCTTTGTGGTATTACTGGGAATACGACTTACTAACTGCTAATGTTATGCTTCTAGGCAAGGCCATGGCCGATGATATTTCCCCGAATGATTGTGACGTGGGGGGTATGCCCCGATGTGCTGCAACTCCGCGGATGCGGTATGTTCTATCCCGTTATCTGCGTCCATGATATCGAAATTCTAACATCTCTTAATTTACAGGAGGGATTTGGAATCGATGCCTGCAAGCCGTTCGAGCAGGTCAAGGAGAAGTACTACAGGTCTTTCGGATTCAACAAGGGTGATGAGACCCAGGCAGACACTATCGAGGATGCTGTCTCCTAAATGAGAAAATAGGAACTCAGCACTGGATGCTGTGGTCGTATTCTCCTTCGGTCAGCTCTCTAAATCTCCGTGTGGGAGAGACGTCTCGATTCGGGGGAAAGTACAAGAACCCATTGACGGTCTATCTACTTTCACTTGTCCTTTTATTAGATATCACTTTGGCATATCGTTTCCTTTGTCTGTGTTTGTTTATCATTTGTGTAAAATTATTTCGCATTTTTAATTTTGTTAATCAAATTAAACCATGTTTCTTTATCTGAGAGTGACACACTAGACTTGATGATATACCTATTCTGCGGAAAGACCAAAGTCGAGGAGGCTAACCAGTGACGACTGTACGTTCTTCCAGATTGAAATGGCCTGAAAGCCACTCAAATTTAGCCTCAAGACAAGCGAGCTGGTTTAGCAGTTGCCTAGCTAGTGGCAGGGCTGGTGGTTGATCAGAAATAATCGTCCTGTTTAGGGCATTGTGGCTATCATGAGGTTCTATATGTCCCTTTTAAATTGCCTAATTATGAATACACTGTGTTAGAGTGCTCAATATACACCCTGCTATAGCGCTAGGCAGGTGTTCAAGTCGTCAACGCTCATCAAGTAGCTTGGGGTATTCCACTGGCAAGGATACGCATCCGAACGACCCATCTATTTTTGCCAGGGACGGAAATCCCTGTCACTGTGGTCTGTTCATCAACATGATAGCACAGACAGATGAATCCTGATGCCATAAAACACAAATCAGCTGCGTAGCCTCCGAATTTGAAACCGATACCACTTACCAATCCTCTAAATCTTTAGTTTGTAAAATCATATTGGCCGAGTCAATGGCATGCGGAAAACCATACTGCCTCCCAATAAACCCTAATATATTGAGAGCAAACTCGGCAGCGTCGGGTAATGCAAATTCAAATACCGCAATCCCAGATAAAGGGTAAATAAGCGACCTGGCCGAGACTATCGGGTTGATCGAGAGCTCAAGTGCGAATGGAACGCTGTGTAGAATGTCGGATATCAACTCGGTGCCAGTTACTGAGACAAGCTCTTGAACTCGAGTCCGCACAACCTTTGAGAATTCAAGTGTACGAGGAGAGGCTAGAGCATAGCTTAACATCTGGATGATGAATAGTCTTGTTATCCGGACCATGTTCCACGCCCGTGCCAGTTTTTGAGACGGGTATCGATACACTTTATTCTTGTAGGTGTATACGGATCCTTGGATAGCGGTGGCATCGACGATTTCGTAAGGAACATCTATCCACAGATCGTCCAATATGGTTGCAAGCTCGGCGTCCAGCTCAAAAAGCTTGAACAAGTGTTCAATTGCGGAGAGATGCTTCACGTTGGCCCGCAAATTTGCAATGGCATCGACCACTTGTCCGAACTGGCGAGTCCGCCCAGTAGGGTATATCTGTTCGAGATGGGCCGATTCCAGTGTGCTCAAGAGAGAAGGTGTTGTTACGCCAAGTTGAGCGCAATGGGTCCTAATGTTCAAAGAGGCATGTCGAAACAAATGGCGGCCGAGGGAATTGTCGAACTGTCGATCGCCTCGAAGTCGTAATAATCCGGAGGCCCCGCGAGTATGAGCATTCCAATTCACTGGGATTGCTCGCCCTTGGAAGTCTAAAGCCTCGAATAAACTCAGGAGCAAGACTGCCAAAAGAGTACTATCACTTGTTGCTAGATCTGGAGATGAAAGGGCAGAATTTGTCGACCTCAATGCCCTAGCATAATGCGATTGCGCAAGAGACTGGACCGATGGTAAACGAAGATTTTGTGCAAATAGAAGAAGTGATGGGGCTAGAAGGGCATCCCCTAGAGACCCCGTAGTCAGATATGTAGCGGACACGTCGACCAAGTACTCGAATGCACCAGTCGGTGCATAAATATGCATGAAATAGCTTAGAGCTAGTGTCTCCGGGGTATCTGGTAATTCCCGGGTAATAAGAGCGTTCATGCTAATTTTCTTATCAGATTCAATTTTGGGCGCTGGGCTCCGACTCCTGGTGATTCGTTCATGGGTCTTGCGAGCGGCAAGGGACGTCTGATCGCGGAGCCGTAACGAGAAGGCATCCCGATACCCCCCGCACTCAATGTTCGCTCTTCGACACTGTGAGCATCCTGGGCGTAGCATGTCACACTGGATGAAAGTATAAGACCGATGAATCACTCCTTTGGGGCTGTCACAACGGGTCTGATCTTTCTAATCTTACCTTTCGTCTCTTGATGCGGCATGGCTGGCAGGCCTTGGACGGCGTAGCGGGGTTCCCTCTCATGACAATACAGACAATCGAAGATCAGCATTGAGGTCTCGCATGGAATACGAGATATTTTTCACAAAGCAAGATGGGTAAAAAGCTCGATATGAAGATCTGAACGAGTGAGCAGGCAACAATCTTCAGGTTAGAACACCGCCACAACCACAAGGAGAGGCCGGAAGGCTTAGCTTACTGCCAAGCCTCGAAGTTATTACTCCTTTGGGTTTAGCTCGATCCACAGATCCGCAAAGCTTGGACCAGAGCCGCAGGAGTTTACACTTTCCAGTTGTATTGCGATACTTGTGATATGAAAGTGTTTTATGTAGGCTGGGATTCTACGTGAGAGCTTGAAATACTCATTTCATGATCATTCCATCGAAATACTCCCTAACAAACATGACAGATCTCCATCCCCCATCCATAGATTGACTTCCATCTCCAGCAAACAATCACAGCCTCAACATCATCCTAGATCACAGGATATCCGAACTCGTGGTGATACGGTTGAAGTTGTCCAATCACCATCTTCTTGGCTTAAGACCCAGCATTTTCCGCCACTTCACCTCCGCACGTGCGAGATTCTCCATCAAGTCCTGATATTCTGTCCGCTCATCTGGCTCAGGTACGTCCTCTCTCAGAGCCGGGTCGATCTGCTCCCAGATAAGGTGAAGCGCCTCCAAATCACCATCACAAATTGGTCTGGCGTTAGTGAACATCGATTCCACCCATTCCTCAAGGTCGCAGTCGTGTCGCAGGGCCTCCAAGCCCAAAGCTTGTTCTCCGAGTCGCCTGACATATTCTTCATAATCGAGACAGAACCTCTCAATGAGAGCATCAAGCCAGTACTCAACGTCCCCATCACGTAAATCTTCGCGCTCCTTGTCAGTCAGTTCCTCCAGGTACCAGGTGAGAGCTGAGCCTCGCAGGCAATCTTGAAGGTTCTCTACGAGGGTGCTTTCACTGCGATGCTCATAGTGTAATACCAGCAAGACGGCTTCTTTGAATGCATATGGCTCGGTGAAGATGTCGCCATCGAAGCTGCCGAACTCGAAACATTCGTCATCGGGGTCAAAGACGGGATAGTGACCGGGGGACCAGGGTGAGCATGGCCTTCTGAGCCATGGAACTGGACCTTCATCACTTGCGGAGACGGCGTTCGGAACGGATGTGGTTGTCTCGCCGGCGATGGCTGCGGTCTCATCAGGAATATCACCAGGGACGTCCTTGAAAGTTCCAGGAGGTGGGCTGGTAGCAGGTGGAGTCGCAACAAGACACTCAGCGTTGGTGTCAAAGGTGCCGTTCTCGGTGCGAGAGGCATTCATAGGAGCATCGTCCTCAACAGTAATACCATCTGCAGTCGGAGCAGGAATGACATCCTTCTCTGCATCTCCTGCAGGAAGAGGTTTGATCAACTTGATCTTCTTCGGGGGACCCTGCACCATCTCATCATCCGAGGACACGGTGAGATCGATGTACTCCACATCTTCCATGGTCTCGATCGACTCGACAGGAGTGCTCAGAGTAGGCTCAACAGAGCCGCGAAGCGGTGGAGTAGATGGTGGATTGGGGAACGCAGACATCGCGAAGGTTGGTTGAAAGTGTCGGGTGGAGAGGAGGGGGTGGAGGGTGGAAGGAGGAAAGGGAGGTGGGGTGAGAGATAATTTTTTGTTTCTGCCGTGGTGAGAAGAATTGGACGCGTCGTGAGGCGTCGCGGTGTCGATTGTTTGTATGTATAGCTGCATTGGAGTCATGGTTTCCTAATCGGGAAATTTAGATTTCAACATCTCTCTGGCAATATAGTTGAGTAGACCATAGGCGTGGAAAAAGCTTCGAGTATAGAAACAGAACTTTTGTTAATTCTTTAAGACTTATTCTTAATGACTTTTGGCGTAAGCATCTCGTGAAGTTGCGATAGGAGCTCAAATGGTGCAGTCCCAATGCAGACCATGGCATCATCACAAGATATACTATGTCGACGAAATATGAGAGAACGGTTCAATATATTGAGGATGGTATCTTATCTGGAAAGTAAAAATACATTGCATGTGATTGCCGTGTTTATCGCCAACCACGCCCGCCCTGCTGCCCCCAGCCATCACCGTGTTGACCACCAGGATGGGGAGGAGGAAAATGATACTGCCCCGGAGGAAGCTGTTGACCAGGAGGCATGGGCATGGGAGGAGGGTGCCCTGCAAATGGCGGAGGAAAGGCAGGGTTCATCCCCTGGCCAAGTGGGGGGAAGGGCATACCCGGCATAGGTGGGGGTGGGCCAGGCGGCCAGGCGCCGGGATATGGGGGCGGAGGTGGGGGTGCAAAGTTGGCGCCTCCAGGAGCGACAGGGTATCGTGGATTATATTGATGACTCTGTTGATAGGGTCCCGGAGGTGGTGGCGGCGGAGGCGGAGCATGTGAGGGTTGATGAGGAGGGGGAAGCGGGGTGGAGATGGTTCTCGTGGCGCATAGGAGCTTTCGCTCGTGTGAGATCGAGATCTGCGACGGGAGCGGCTCCGCGAGCGCGAGTCGTACCGTCGAGCTTCCCGTTTATCAGTACGAGGCCGACTGCGCGACCGAGAGTCGGAGCGTTGGCTGTCCTGGCTCAACGAACTGCCGCTGTACCTTCGTTTAAGGGCGCCGCGGGATCTGCTGTGACTTCGACTACGACTGCGAGAGTCCTCGGGTCGCTTCTTCATTTGCTGGCAGAATGCCCGAGACCAGCCATAGTATGTCTCGCCATCCAATATGTCCCCTGTGATCTCATCACGAGTGATCTGCTGGCCAAGCTCATCGATATCCATGTTTTCATCATCGTTGATGAGCTCTTCGGTACCGTAGATCTGATCCACTTCCTGCAGAAAGCCTTTCAAAGCCTGGACTAGTGACTGATCGGCGGGACCAGCAAGGAATTGTAGTGGTTTGATGCTGTCAGGGCGAAGAGGAATGGCCGAGTTGGGAATGATATGAGGGATCCAATTGCCGGCTGGCAGGTCGTAGTATGGCATAGAAGCGTCGCCGTGAGTGGATGGCATGACAAATGGCACCTTTTTCCCGGCTTGCCTTTTGGTAGCGTCAGTTTCATCGATCAGAACATCTGTTGACGAGGGTGGGGCAGCCCCCGTAGTTCCAATGGAAGCCGAGTTCGTCGCCGTTTCCCGCAATTTCTGGATCAGTTCGGGACCGAAATATCCATGCTCGGACCAAATTTCAAGTAGTTCATCTAGGCGATGATGGTGCCGGGGATGTTTTTGCCGATCATAGGCTGCGGCATGTCCAAGCAGCTCGACTATGTATGGCTGCAGAGATCCGCTGACAGTGGAAAAGGTGGCCGTCGTATCGAGATGGTACTTGCTATGATGGAATAGATCGTTGAGGAGATAGAGGATGTGGAGTCGCCGACGCTTCACTGAAGTTTTAGACCGAGTGCCAGTACCGACACGAGTACCAGGGCCTGCACCTGCGGTGGCCGGTTCATCAGAGGAGCTAGCTAGGGCCACGAGGTATTTGGCCAGCCCTCCCACCCGATTAGCGGAGGAGGCGACATATTGGAGTAGCCATGCTTTGCAGGTCTATGTGGGTCGACGGGCAGTTTAGTATGACTGAGGCGTGATAGGAGGAGAGAGCTTGTCACGAATCAGACCTGGATGTTTGCTGGGGAGCAATGGTTGAGGGCGCGCTCGAGGGCCGTGTGGAAGGCAGCAATGTCATCCCGCGGAACAGATGAGGGATCGGGACGCAAGAGACCGGCCGAAAAGGAGGCCTTGGCAATGGCGATCTGGTGGGAGGCCATTGAGGGTTCGGCGCATTGAATCGGAGGATCGTGAGATGCGTGGAAGCTCCAAAGCGCAGAATCTCGGCTGGCGATTAGAAGGGTTATCACACGTGACTTGACGAGGCGGAGCTCCGCTGGAGGTGCAGGCCCACTCGTCCACAATCGGAGCTAGGAAAGTTACCAAAACATAGTACTTTGATCCACATCCAAGAGATTCTTCGACAATGGCCTCAGCAAATCGCCCAGAAATCTTTCTGCTTTCCCTCTCATACCTTGATTTTCTCGATGAGACCTACTCCTCGTTAATCGACAAATTGGCCAACTCGGCCAACCTGAAGCGTGCCAAAAAGGCCGATGGCGTACCTGGGAGAGAACAACCCACGAGCTATCCTCATTACAGATGAAGGCTTGACTGATCGGAAGAATGCAGAAGTTCTCCAAAAAGTGATCTCGTACGTCCAGAATGGTGGGATCCCTATCATCGGCCTCCACTTCCCCAATTTCGTGACAATGGGTGCCCTGAACGATTTGTTCGCTTCTTTTGGGCTGCCTTGGGAGCGCGGCGATTACCATCGCACCGACTTTGAGTTCAATCCCTCGTCCGTTCTCCCTCGTGGCGTTAAGCATCTTCGTTCCCTGGTCCATTCAGCATGAAGACTCTTCATATCAAGAACGCCCGCCCTCTTGAAAAAATCTTCATCCCCATCGGCGGCGGTGCCCAGACCCAGTCGCATGTCTTCGCCCCGGAGTATGTGGACCGCACACAGGCTGCAGTTACTGGAGCCAAAATCGGAAACGGATATCTTGTCTACTGTGGCGATGTCAATGGGGAGGTTGGTTCGAATCAGATTATCTCGGTCTTGTGTGGCCTTTAGGGGTGATCGTGATGGTTCACACATCTGGAGATTTTGATCCCTCGTGCGGTGGGCATCTACTGGATCTCATTCCTCTCGCCCTCTCCATATTACCGAGCAAGATATGGCAATACAGCATGTTTTGCCCAAAAGCATGCTATGACCACAAGCATGTTATTACCAAAAGGCACGTTATGACCCAACACATGTTATAGCCCGAGGCAATGTTATGACCCGAAGCATATTATGACCCAAAAGCATGTCCCAGCCAATCTTTGAGAAGAATTCCAGTCTATGATGATTATTAGGCTGCTGAGTTCCAATATTGTTTACTTAGTTAGGAGACTAGCGTTGTGGAGAGAGCTCCAGTGTAATTGATTATTTGCCAAATTCGTATTTCGGTAGTAGCCGTGCGAGCGGATAAGAGCTTGTCCCGTCCACTACTTCTCGCTAGAAACTCTTCCACAGTTAGACTGATGGTCTATCCCTCTCCACGTTGAGTCTCGGATGCATCTGGCCGAGCTACCAAAGAATAGAATGATGTGACTAGGCAGGTTGCCCGGCTGGCACTCATCAGTCTCTACAACAGATCGACTTGATTCATCGTTCGGCAGTTCCGATCGGATGCTTTTCCTCCCGCATCATCCCATGATCTGTAGATGTTTGAAAGCTTTTTTCCGAGTGTGATCATTCGAAGGCAGTGACGCTCACGTTTGTCAGCAGAGAAACCCCGCTTGGCGTGTTTTGATTTGGTCTCTCTTGGGTGTTTGGGCTCGTGGATGGAGGGGCCAAGGCCGCCCCACTACTCCTTCGGCGCGCTGAGCCCTGCCACGGGCCCCGCGATGGCGTGAGAGGAGGAGCCCATTCAACGCGTGAACGAATGACGCGATTTCTGGTCTATATCCTTCCTTACTACTTCTGGCAGGCTTGGTCATCGTTGGGCAGTAAACTAAGTTAGTTAGGGGATCCTATTACCATAAGCTATAGCACCTATTTGCAGCTCCCTGACGGATTCTAGTCCCTTCTACTAATCTCCCAGGTAGATTATCTGTGTAAGCATTTTATCATTTCCAGTCAGAGGCATCCTAAAACGGCATCATCGATAACCCTTTCCGGTCTCTCGCTCTTCGTGCCGACAGGCCGATCCGTGATGATGTACATGAGTACTAACCAGCCAACCAGTCAGCCCTGGCCTCTGAGGACCGGAGTATTGTTGATCTCCCTGCGATGAACATCAGGTCATTCAGTCCTTTGCTCTCCTCGTCCTAGCGGGCCCCGCAGCCATGACTCTTCCCAGTGGATCAACGTTGCCGAGTTCCTCATCTGTACTCTGGAGGGCCTCCCCCACACGGGTCACTTGCGCCTTTGCATGGCCTGACTTGCTCATCGTCCCACGTTCTATAAAGGGCCTTGGCCCCCCCCCCCCCTCCTCCTCCTCGTGATTCAACTGTCTTTTTCAGAGCAAAAGGTGCTTCTTACTCAACCGTACACCATTCATCCTAAACAACTATCCAACCGCCACCACCAACAACAACACTACTTACCTCTCAACACAACCCCAGCTCTCTCTACGATTCGCGATATACCTCGAGTAGTCATCTCCTACTCTGGTACAACCCACAACCCACAACCCACAACTCACTTTTACTTCAAACGCTCAATCACTCCAACTTTCCAATCATCACCATGGCCACCATCGTCGCCGCACAGCTCGCCCGTCCTTCGATCCGGCACTTCTCAGCCCACCGGCCACGCCCCGATAGTCGCGCGACTCGCGCCGTGGCCATGTCCTGCATTGTCTCGGGCGTGGTTCTCCCCTTTGTACCACCCGCCCTCGAGAGCTCGCGACAAAGAAACTCGAACTCCCCCGACAGCAACAAGTGAGTCTATGCAATCAATCCCACATCTGCAACGCCGATTATCAATATCATTACTCGCTTTCAATCTGCAATGCGGGCATGGCACGGCACTCATACATCTGTACCTTCGACGCTAACCAACACATAGGCCCCACCCCCCACTCTGCTTCCATGCCCGCTAGCCAACTGGTCCGTCACGTTGTAACTTGACATGGAACGATTTTCTTTTTTTTTACAGTTGCATGCCTCTAATTCTGGTGATGGGTTCTGGCTCTCGGTGCCGGCATCAGTGCGGGGCCCTCTTGACTCTATGCATATTTTCCAGGGGCGTTTGGGAATCGGGCGTTGTGTTTGACTCTTTCCTTGATAATGAAATTCATCTTTTTCGAATCATTTGTCCTGCGTGAGATTGATTGCGCGATGAGGAGAAACAACAGTATCATACAGCACCGAGAAGAGGTAGAGATGTTTTGATCGCGGAGATTTCGAGGCGATGAAGCAGGTATAGATGGATGATCATGGAAAATACCAATATATTCATCATCGCAGTGTGCATTATATAGCAATATTGAGGGCCAGTTTTATATACGAATGTCATTCTTCCCGCAAGATATACTCTTGGTTGTCAAGGAAACTGTCGTAGAATCACGCAGACTCGCCCTATAAAGCCCGTATGCCAACCCTGCTGCTCATCGCACAGGACATCCTTTTCTCTCCTTTAGTGTACACGTTAGAAATATACAAATGAGGATTCATCATCATCCCTCAACTGAAACGGTTCCCCCGCGGTGGCCGGAACGGCTCTGCCGCCTCGTATTTCCCCTTCTCCAATACCCGATCACGTTCGGTCATCGGCTCGTGTCGCGTTGGCGCCGGGTCATGCGAAGCTTCGGCACTGGGCGAGGCAACGTCGTCGGCCGCATTCTGGAACCGGGTCATGTTCGCGCGCTTCAGACTCGGGTCGTCGGTAGGCTTCGCGGGACTCGGGGCTGCGGCCATGGTGGCTTGTCGTTTGTGCTCGGCTTCCGTGGCTTTTAGCTGGGCCTTGCGTGCGACTTCTGCTTCGAAGCGGGCTTGTCGGTCGGCATTGATGGATTGTTTGGCAAAGTAGTAGGCGCCACCGCCGGCTGGAGGGGGGATATGTTAGCTTAGGACTCGGGGTTGGTCTCCGACCGGGTCTATATAATGGGAATGCGGATTGTATGGGGCTAAAAATACGTACCGACGCAGAGGGCACCCCAGCCGATCCTGTCAAATGGGTGAAAAGCTTTTCTTCAGCTTCCATTGTCCCGGACTTGCGATGGGCCCATGTCAATGCGGCGATTGGGGAATGTTCTGCTTACCAGGTTGATCTAATCTGATAGTAGACACAGGGATTAGCTATTTAATTGAAGCGCCCGAATTGGAATAGACGACTCACTGTGTTCATGGCTGCGTAGTGTGACGGAAATTAAGTGAAGAGAGAAATATGGCATGATCCTCTACGTCAGTAGAGGCAGCTCCGATGTGGAGCCCTGCTGCCTCAGGCTTTCGATGGCTGCCTGAGAACCATGAACTCAAAGAACCGTCACGTTTGCCTTGGTCTTTCTCTCCTCATCACCCTCGCTCTCTCCGGTATCCTTTTTCTCGTCTGCAGAACTGCTGCTACCTGCGTCCTTTCTGCATCCCACCGGCAAGCTTGCGTCCCCTCCACTGCACCTCCCAGTCGAATCCGTTCAGTACGCCGCCTCTTTCCTGCGGCACCATTGTCCGTGGCATGCAGGTCTGAATCATCATACCTGAGGCGGTCTTCGCCTCAACTACCCCTCTATCGAGTTTCTTTTCCCTACACCCATCTCGCCCGCACCTAATCCCACAGAATCGGGCAAGATGCCGCCCAAGCGGAAGGCCGCTGACGGTAGGTTGCCTCGCCCGATCTGCTGCCCGCAGCCCAGATACCTGACATTTATATCTAGTCGGCCGATCTAGCAGCGACTCAAAGCGAGGAACTCCAGCTCCTGACGTGACGGAAATATCCAGCAGCGACGAGTACTCGGATCCAGATGATGGGCCGGTGGACAACAACTTGAAAGGTAGAGTTGAGCAATCTGCGCACATTTCGTGACTCAGATGCTAAATGTGGCGGTTGAAGATGTCGTCAACAAGTTCTCGCTGGAGTCGTTCAGCAAGCGCGTGCAGTCCCAGAAGACCGATCCCAGATTCGGCTACAAGGACCTCTCACATCTCCCCCTCAAGCGCGACCACTACAACCGACCGCTGTGGATCGAGCCGGTAAAAGGCACGATCACCCTCGAGAGTTTCTCGCCGCTGGCGCCCCAGGCGCAGGACTTCCTCACCACCATCGCCGAGCCGCTCTCACGTCCTACCCACCTTCACGAGTACCGCCTGACGGGACACAGTCTGTATGCAGCTGTGTCGGTTGGTTTGAAACCACAGGATATCGTCGAATTCTTGGACCGTCTTTCGAAGACCCCGTTGCCCGAGAGTATCTCCCAGTTCATCATCGAGTTCACCAAATCCTACGGCAAAATCAAGATGGTTTTGTACCACAATCGATACTACGTGGAGACCGTTGAACCGGAAATGCTGCAGATGCTCTTGAAGGATGAAGTGATCGGCCCGCAGAGAATCTCCAACGAAGAGGGAATTATTCAACGAGCAGCACCGAAAATGGGAGCACTCGTAATTCCCGGAACGAAGGATGCTGCTGGTGTACGAGAGACCGGTGGTCAAACTAAGGCGTCGGGTGCTTCTCGAACCGAAACACAGGGAGAGCGACAGGACTATGGCATCAACGACGTCGGCGATGAAGCCTCCGAGGCCCTCACGTACAGCTTCGAAATCCCGCCCACGGGCGTTGAAATCGTGAAAGCCCGCTGTCAAGCTATTGGCTGCCCGGCTTTGGAGGAGTACGATTTCCAGGGCGACACAGTCAATCCTAACCTTGACATGGATTTGAAACCCACGGCTCGAATTCGTCCGTATCAGGAGATGAGTCTGAGCAAGATGTTCGGTAACGGACGTGCGAAGAGCGGTATCATCGTTCTTCCTTGCGGTGCCGGTAAAACCTTGGTGGGAATTACCGCGGCGGCTACCATTAAGAAGGGTACGATCGTCCTCTGCACCAGTTCCATGTCCGTTGTTCAGTGGCGAAATGAGTTCTTGCGCTGGACCACTATTGACCCCGGCGATATCGCCATCTTCACATCCGACCACAAAGAGAAATTCAAGCGGTCGACGGGTATCATTGTGTCCACCTATTCCATGGTGTCACAGACTCGAGCACGGTCTTATGACGCCGAGAAGATGATGAACTGGCTTCAGGGCCGAGAATGGGGTATGATGATCCTTGATGAGGTGCACGTCGTGCCGGCCTCGATGTTCCGAAAGGTCACATCGGCCATCGCTGCGCAGACTAAGCTCGGTCTCACGGCCACTTTGCTGCGTGAAGACGACAAGATCAAGGATCTGAACTTCCTGATCGGACCGAAATTGTACGAAGCGAACTGGATGGAGCTTGCCGCACAGGGTCACATCGCCAAGGTCCAGTGCGCCGAGGTTTGGTGCCCTATGACTACCGAGTTCTACTCGGAGTATCTGCGAGCAAGCTCGCGAAAGCAGGCTTTGCTCTACATCATGAACCCACGCAAGTTCCAGGCTTGCCAATACCTCATTGACTTCCACGAGAAGCGCGGTGACAAGATTATTGTGTTCTCCGACAATGTCTACGCCCTGGAGAAATACGCACGCAAGCTGAACAAGGCCTTCATCTACGGTGGCACCGGCCAGAACGAGCGCCTGCGTATTCTGGAGAACTTCCAACACAATGAACAAGTGAACACCATCTTCCTGTCCAAGATCGGTGACACCTCGCTTGATCTGCCCGAGGCTACGTGCCTTATCCAGATCTCCTCTCACTACGGCTCCCGTCGTCAGGAGGCACAGCGTCTGGGCCGAATTCTTCGTGCCAAGCGTCGTAACGACGAGGGTTTCAATGCCTTCTTTTACTCGCTTGTCTCCAAGGATACTAGCGAGATGACGTACTCGTCAAAGCGTCAAGCCTTCCTTGTCGACCAAGGCTATGCATTCAAGGTGATCACCCACCTGCAAGGCATCGACGAGTACGAAGGGCTTCATTATTCCACGCCATCGGAACGCCGCGAGCTGCTCACGGAAGTCATGCTACAGAACGAGTCCTCCGCGGACGTTGAGCAAGTCACCGACGACCTGTTCTCGATGCGCAGTGGCGGTCGCAACGCTGCTGCGAAGAGGGCGAAGGCGAAGCGCAGTGCTGCTACGCTCAGCGGCCTCGCTGGCGGAGATGACATGGCGTACATCGAATACAACAAGAGCCGGAACAAGCAGCTCAAGGACAAAGGAGCGCAGCACCCGCTATTCAAAAAGTTGGAGCGGGACCGTCTGCGTCGGAAGAAGGAGCGCGAGGTGGCGGCCAAAAATCAGTAGATTTAAGGAGAGTTATGTCTGCTTGGAGCTTCTGCTCAGCGGGATACTATCGCCAACTGACATGGTGGGAGACAGAGACGCCCACAGTTACCTGAAAAAGGACAGAGATATCTTCAGAGGCACAAGTGATGATTCAGATCCAGATTGCAGGGCATGGTACATTAGTTCTCGTTCTTGTCCATAACTCCTTCAGGCGCGCGATACCATCGCAATGATATTATTGCCTGCATGTGCTCATGTAACACTGGCCCAAGAATGACAATCCATGATCCCCTACGATTAAAATGCCAACTATACCATACCACATAGTCCCAATCACAATCAGTACCTCTTGTAGCTTCGCATTCGTATTTGCAATCAAGCTCATCTCGCCTGGTCCAGACTGAAGTAAACCCCTCCCCCCCTCATATTATTATTAACATTTTCACCCAAAATACGAGGACCCTATTAAAGCTCAGTCAGCAAGCCGGGCCCAGTCCTCTCCGTAGGACTGAGTTCCTTAGCTCATGGGTCCCGTCAAAATAAACTTGGTGCAGTCATGGTCAGGACAAAATGACGTCTTCTCGTCGCAACGGAGTCCCGAACGCCCGATACCTCCGCGTTTCGGGAATATCGTGCCCCTGATAGGCGTGTTTTGCAGAACTTCTGCACGAGGTGCTGGTTGCACACGAGCTGCTGCATGACTCCTGACTGATCTGTCCTGTCCCGTTCTGATGTTCGACCAAGCGCTGGATTAACTTAGTTACTTAATCTATCAATAGGTAATATCGTCCGGTCTAGGCGCTAGCAGTTCGGAAATGTGTCCTGCGACGATCATGCTATAAAAGGATCATCTTTCCCCGGACAAGACTCCCCCGCAATATCAGCTCTGAAACCGAAACCGAAACCGCCACTGTGAATAAGCTTGTTTCTCCAAGTTGGATCTGGCTCAGGGGTCCTTTACCCAGTGTGTTTTCTTTTCCACCGAGACTTTCGCCACTCGTGTCTGCAACGCCTCTGCCGTGGAGGTTACACGCCTTTTCCAAGAGCCGTTCTGTGTATAGCACTTCCAGATCTTTGTCCACCATGGCGACTGCGCTGAAGATTCAGCTTTCGCCGAAGACGGACTCGGGGATCTTTAACTCTGGGGTGAGGGAGGATACGGCGCGGGCGGCGAGTGAGGCGTTGCAGATGGATATAGAGAGACATCATGTTTTCTTCAACGACGAGGGATTCCATAGTAGGATTTTCCCAGAACAGCTCTCTGGATGACATGAGTTGCTAACCTTCATGCCAGATCATATCCCGCATCACCTTTTGAGCATCTATGCTCTCGGGGGATCGCCCGAGGATATCCGCACCGCCTACGAGAGAAATAATTCCTATCAGCGCCCGGTTGTCCCTGGCGTTGTGGAGGTTATTGAGAACTTGAACGAGACTGCCGATTTCAAGGAGTGCCTTGGGAAAGAGAAGCATTATCCCAATTTCTTGTCGTTCTTCCAACGTCAGATTGATGAGAAGGGCGTTGGTGCTGTACTCAATGAGTACATCTTTGCTGCGAATGAGCAGGCGGAGAATATGCTGTGCCGACTGTTTGGAGGTGCGTTGTCTCATCATGATTGATTCCTTTCAGATGCGATGATGGTTCTAACAATCATCGATGTAGGTCTGCTGCACCCGCTCATTCATCTCGGCTTTGGGATTGAATTCAATCAACCTGTCATCGTGGCCGAAGCCCTTGCACAGGCCGCAGTCCATGATGACCGTCTGGGTCGCGATTTCTTCCTCCCTGCCGAGAAGACCGCAAGCGGAATTGGAAATCCTGGGAGCAAGTCCCTTGGACAGCTCTTGGAAGAAGTTTGCAAGGACGAGACCTTGTCTCGCTCTGCCAAGACCACTGACGTGAACAAGATTCGAGACGGGGTGTTGCATCGTGCTCCACAGGAAATGATCAAGTATGCTGCTCAGTACACCGTATCTGAAGACCAATTGGAGGAGAGACTGGCAGAGATGATAAATAACGTCGGTGAGTCTTGTGTTCCTTTAGTATCTGCGTTCGTTGCCCTTTGCTAAGCCGGCTTTCATTTAGTCTACTACACCAGTGCCGCCCAGCGACCAAGCAAAAAAGTCAAAATGGATTTTTTCTTCATCCACTGCGTCAATTCGTCCATCTTCTTCTCGAAGCTCGCGCATCTCCCCGCTCTTGATCAGCGAACTCGACTGCGTCTTCTGGAGTGGAAGGGCCGCATGGACCTGTTAATGTACGTGTCGCGCGGTTGCCCCGAGCTTCTGCGAGAAGAGATCACCAACTACCCCGTGAAATACGACTGGCCAGCCCTGTTTGCCCATGCCATATCGCACCCCCAGGACGATGGGCACTTGGCCAAGTTTGTGCGCGCAGTTGCACACGGGGAGAAGGTGTGTAAATCATTTGAGAGCCAGGGACCACAGGCTATGCCCGTATCTGGCAAGATGTGGCTCCAAATTGGTAACATGGGTAAGTTATACCGTGTCGTTCCTCTGCAAGACTGGCATGATTTTTTTTCGTCATCGCTGACTGCTCAACAGCTATCGACTCCACTGTTGGGACTGAAGAAGGCGCGATGTGGATCCGCTCCACTGGTTTCGATGAGGCATGGGAGCACGTCTCCGAACGTGCCCGGCTCTGATGATGATGCTGTATACCAGGCTGTGGTAGGATGTAACTGGTAGTTGATATTATTGGGTTGTACTCAGCTCCACGCAAGTAATTTTGATGACTGTAATGAGCTCTAAATTGACGATTCTTTGACGATTCTTTGACGATTCTTTGACAAATGTTTTCAGTTTTGCGATCTAAGCAGTGGGGCTCGGCCCAGACTTGGCGTGATCCTTTGTGGATGGGCGCGTAGAGGGGGAGCAGGTAAGAAAAGTTAGAAATCATGACTCCGTAGACGCGGTATATCAACAAGTAGACTTCAATTGAAAGAGAGAAAGAGAAGCCTCAAGACGCAATGATTGCAAAGGAAAGAAGTCACATGTCTGGAGCAGAGGAAATCATAAATGGGTGGAGCTCACGTGGCAAAGTTTAATGTGGGGCGAGATTCCCAACAGCTTCACCTTTTGACTTCTTCAAGGCTCGACTTCCCATCCTCTCACAGCAATAACTCATAGCTCATTACCACAATGCCCACCGATCGAGACCCCGAAGACCAAGATCGCAATAAGAAGCCTTCCAATACACCCCAGGATCGCGACACGGAGAGCGAGAGTAACCCGTTCGTCGCCTTCCGCCGGTTTGCGGATGAGCAAGTCTCCTCCGTCTTGCAGTCCATCACTGGCCTCCCTTCTGCCGTGTCGCCTCCCCAGCCGGATCACTGGGCAATCTTTACGGACGATAAAGACTACAACAGCATGAAATACCGCCACCGAGACGACGCCAGCGCAAACAATGCGGGGGATCAGAACTATACGTCAGGTGGAGGCGCCGAAAGCAGCTCGTCCGGAAATCGGGACGACAATGGCAAGCCTTCAGACAATAATGGTGGCACACCTATCTCGAACTCGTCACAATCTCGACCGCCCGCAGAATCAGACCTAAAGACCTCGCAGTCACGTCAGCGCTTGTCCAACGAGCCGTCTGATCCGCTCAGCCTCGACGCGCTCTCCTTCCCCCTCTTCTCACAGCCCTTTCGTACAAACTTCACCTTCTCCATGCCATCATTATTCCAGCACTTCGACGACCAATGGCCCTTGAACTACATCACATTCAGCCCCTACTCTCCCCTGCACTTAGAGCGCCAAGCGCGCGACCGCCCACGCCAGGAAAAGGGAGTGTTCACCTCCCTTGTGTCCTCATTTCGGGAAGAGTCGGATCGCGATCCTAATGAGCCGCAGTGGCGCGAGGCTTTTGAAGATCTCCTCCGAGTAGAGAATGGGATGTCGCTATTGGATAGCGACAGGTTGATTGCTGGCAGGACCGAGAGCGAGTGGGACTGGCTGAAAGGGTTGGTCAAGCGTGGAAGCATGGGCAGCGGGTTCCAATTTGTGACGGGCTTGGATCGAGATGGAGTTTTTGGCATTCGAGATACTGAAACCTATCGAGACAAATTTTCGGAAGCTGCCGAAGCCGAAGCGGACGACGAGCTGGCCTTGTACGAGCGCTTTATGCAGGATGTGGAGGCCTGGGAGCGAGATTTTTCTCAGGCATTTAACAGAAGCCCCATTCTCTGCTCCCTCGTCGAGAATCGCCAGAACCGAGATCAGCTAGAGGATCTAGGCCAGTCCGACTTCCGTCGTGGCTTCCCACCCCTCGAGGACAAACAAGGCGACGACGATAACGAGAGCTGGCTCGATCTTGTCTCGGGTGGAAACCGCAAGTCCGTCCCCGAGACACCGGTTGAGTCTGTCCCCTCCGATGAATCCTTATCGTCCCACATCATTTCTACCATGTCTCGGACAGAACGAACACGTCTTGCCGATGGCTCAGTCCAAACGAAGAAAGTTGTGACCAAACGCTATGCCGATGGCCGCGAGGAGACAGACTCATCGGTTGAGACGACTCATCCTCGTTCTGGAAATGCGGATTCTTCATCGAGCTCAGGAGATGGCGAATCCAAGCGAAAACATGGTTGGTTCTGGAAGGAGTGATCTTTGGACCCATGAGATGCCTATAATATATGCCAATATGGCAGTGACACGACCTATGAATATTTATTTTGCACACATTCCTTGCTAGCGTTTTCTTTCTTCTCAGTCAATTTCAATTTTCATATTCTTGGCTCTCCCCAGGCGACCTAGGCAGTCTTATCTCTTCCCTGTCAAATACTTCATGTCAGTCGTTATACTCGATATTACATATTGACAATTGCTTTATCCCGAAACTATCAACGTCTGCGCCCACAAACCCACCTTATTCTTCAAGGGCTAGGAGTGAAATACTGGTCATAATAAACCTGTAGACTGCATGAGGAAACATGAAGCGACGACTTCTATTCATTACTGATCGAGATTGCTGGAAGCTCTTGCGCGAAAGCGATTCTAAATCTCGAAGTAGATCTAAATCTCACAAACAACCAATAAAAATGTCAAACAGGAGATCGCAGGTCAAGCCTGTCGAGCCCCTCGGTTTAGCCTCTAATCGGCCTTGACACTCTTCTTCTGTCCTTTGCCCGTTGTCCAGCCCTTGGATTCCCAGAATTCAACGTTCGCCAGCATCTTCTTGTACGCCCATGTGAATGGTGGGTCTAAATCAATCAGTATCAGACATTCAAGACCGGGGTAAGAAAGGGATGGCATACATAGGAATTGTCTGAGATCATGCCTGTTGTCCTCGGGAGAATAGTCGAGTGCGTGACTAAAAGAGTGTAAGTAAGTAGTGCCAAAATAACTAAAACAGGATTGCAGGGTTAACTGACTATGCTGGTGTAATGGTTGTCATCTTGTGACGATTAATGGCTAGAGCGTTGTCAGTCCGTTTCTCCCGATTATCTGTACCGAATGGAAGCTTGACTAACCGTAGTAGAACGAAAAGTGGCGAACCTTCTCGTAAATTTCACGCGGGCTAAGCTCGTTACCCCAGACATGGAGCAACTTCTCGTACATAGACCAAGGGCCGAGCTTCGCAACCTTCCGGAGATATCTGTATCACTTTTAGCTTGGTAGGCCGTGAACTGGGTGAGAGGCTTTGCGCACCCGAATGTACCCAACTCGGAATATTTGACTCCCATGTCAACTTCGTCGGACTGTGCGGCTGCCAAAGGTTCTAGCTCGGCAGTTGGAGTGGCCTCCAAGAATTCGGTCAGAATGGGCATGTCGAATTCGCGAACGCCCCAAGCAATGAAACGCTTTAGATCGACCTTGTTGAGACTGCCGATCGGGTTGAGCTATATCACAGTAAGTATAAGATCTATCAATGGCATCGGAATCGGTGGTTACATCGGCAGATGAGGCGTCATATTTCGTAAGGTAGCCTCGCAAACTAAATTTGATTAGCTGGATTGACTTGAAAACGAGGAACTTAGAGCTCGAACCATTCTAAGACATTAGTTAGTATAAGTCATTAACAAAGTCGTGGACATGACATACCATCAACATTCGACGATGCAAGAACCAGTAGACCACCTCCACCAGGACGCTGGCGGACAGTCGGTAGCAATGACGCAAAGAGATAAGAGAAGACCATCCTCATACGAGCCTGCACATTCTGCAAAGCCAGATTCTCGGCAGGCGCACCGCCGTGGAATTTGAAGCGTGGTTGAAAGCTTGTTACGGCAGTGAAAACGTTCATGATGGCTGTGACAACCGTGTCAAAGTTGAAATCGATGTGATAGCAGCCGATATCTTGAGCAAGTCTCTTGGCCCGGTCTCTAGTCTCATGGCTGGAGTTTTGGGTGCCCATGTACGCGGTGTGGAAGATACACATGCAAATTTCCTGGCTTGATGAGGGGAGCCAATCTGAATCTGCGGGTTTAGCACAAAGGCGACGAACATCCCTGATCACCTGCTCGTTACCCTCGTTGACAGCCTTCAAGACTTGTCGACACATCGAGTGCACGATCAGCGCAGAGGAACAGCTGTCGATACCACCACTCAGGGCAAGGAAGAACCCAGCAACACCGCATCGACGGAGGTAGTCCCACAGCCAGCAAGCTGGTCCGAGTGCAATCTCTTCTTCTGGTGCATGAATGCGAGCTTTGCGAGGCTCAGATACTGTAAGGCTGGGATCGGCATCTTCGGGGCGGCGAGAGAGTCTCACGTCGAGATCGATGCGCTGGTAGGGTGACTGCTTGCTTGCCTGCATACCACGGCTGACACTAGCTCGGTAAGTTCGAACCTAATTCGAGTTAGTTAGATGACTCAGATGATAAAGAGCCGAGCGTACTTCTTCAATGTCCACAGTAGCAGTGACGACTTCTACATCGCGCATAGAAAATTGGGAGCCCTGAGCAACAATTTCACCGTTGATGACGATCATGGCGCAGCCGTCGTAATACAATCTGTCGCCATCACAACCTTGCTGGTTGGCATAAAGGTAGATACCTCCGCTCTGGAGATAATGAGTATATATTTTGGAGATATTTGGAGAGCACAATTACCAATCTGGTGGCCTGAGTGATGAGGTTCAGGCGCGTGTCAAGCTTTCGAAGCTCATGATGGCTGCCGGAAGAGTTGGAAATGATCTCAACACCTTGGTGGGAGGAAGGTCAGATAAAGTCTGTTAGAGTCGATGCGAAGATACATACCTGCTAATCCGTAGGGAATGTGAGGTCTTTGGAAATTGTTAGCGTACGGCACGGGTGACGACTATCCGTTATGTTGCGGACTGCATCAGCCAGTGAGGGGTAGTAATCTACTTACCCATTTGGCGTAAATAGCTCCTCGCAGGTCTCCAAGCCCAAACAGGTGTCTCTCGTACTGATAACCGCATCGCCGAATGGCACTTTATACTGTCCGGTAATTTTGCCGGCAATCTGCTCGAGATAGTAGTCTTCCGTCTCCTGGGGGCGCTGCCAGGGTGTAAAGTGGCGGTATTCGCGGTAATTTCCATCTGATGTACAAAATAATCAATTAGTAAATTGTCATGCGATGATTTTGCATTCGGAGAACGGACCGTTAGCCAACCACATCTTGGGGCGGATCAAGACAATTCTGCGATTGTAGAAAATGATGCTAGAAGCCCGTTAATAGGCATATTTTAGACAGCGAATCCTAGACATACCGGCAGTTGTATCGAACATTTCTGTGTCGGACTGGCATACCAATATCTACCACGATATCTTGACAATCCGGGTGATCGATGATCTGGGCAAGCATTTCCCATGAGTGAAGGAAGGTATCGCCTTCAAGGAAGGCATCAAGACAGCCGTATCCTACCAGATGTGATCAGTACATTTGCGCCAAGCTTCATATTCGGACAAATTACCGGTAATCTCAAGCTCTGGACCAACTCGCAGAGTAGCGCCAGCGGCCTTTGCCTGCCGGATACTTTCAATGATCCTGTCCCGATTACCCTCCCAATCGAGAGCCCATTGGTTCAGGTTGCTGTTTAGTCACGTTAGCGTCATATGGTAAGGCAAAGGTGGAGGTGCATTGAAGCTCCAAAAAGGGAGTGGAAGCTACAGGAGCAGAATAGGAGCTCGTACCATGTCGCCAAAGTTACCAGGTGCCCCATGATGAAGTCCTTGGATCTGGAAAGGGTGGGATAAGGCGTGAAAGATGAGCTCCCTCCTCCTCTGATGGAAATGATTCAATCAGGTCACGTGTGTGGGGAGGCCGCAGTGTGAAATTGAAGATTCCCCCTCTTTGTCTCGTATTACCATCGTTACCGTCATGTTGGGCCGATAACGGGGATATCGGCCCAAGTCCGATGTAAGAATGGAAATGACGATACCAATCGTGGTCCTGGTCGATCGATCTCCCCGGCTGATTAATTGGCCTGCTGATGGGCATTCCTCTCGTTCCTGGTCGGCTATTGCGTCTTTTCCATATATCGGATACCCCCTACAGTTATTTCTAGCGGCACTGTGCGAGCGCATCTACACTCTTTATCAGTATGATCGCAGCCTCTCAAATCCCTAACCCGGCCCATACGCTCGCGGAATCCATGTTGTCACGGCGTTTCGGCAAAGAGACGGTGAACTATTTCTCCAGTACGTCGGGCATGAATGTGCATGAATGTTGCATGAGGAGCTCTAAGGAAAACTCAAAATTGACTGTGAACAGGCTCTCCAATCAACCGGTTGTCGTTCCTGCGAAATGACCATCCATTCCTTTCTTCGGCTCTGACGCATCCCTCTACCCAATTCCTTCTTCTCAATAGTCTTGCCCCGCTCACCCGCTCGCCGGCCGAGGTATACTATGCCAAATATGACGAAGTGCGAAACCTCATTCCGCAGGATGTCTTTGATCAGTCCGAGGAGGAGATGATTAAGGGGTTCGATTCGCGCAAGACACATGCGAACCTGATCTTCCTCGGACTGGACGAAAGCCGTCAGGAGGGCAGCATGACGCATAAGACTTACTCAGGAATCCCGTTCTTCGCTGTAGATGTCACACCAAAGGGATCTGTGGCCCAGCAGACAGCTTGCAAGGATATTATTAGTGCTATGGAAGAGAAGGGCTTGTCCTTCTTCAAGACGAGAGTCATTAGCACATTTACTCCTGATGAAGGTTAGTTCCAGGAACTGGATAATGATAAGCTCAAACGCTGATGCTCCTCTCTTAATAGCCGCTATCTATGCTCAGGCGCGCGCTCTAATGGATTGGAACACTCGGAATACCTTCTGTGGCACCTGCGGCCATCGCACGCTGTCCGTCAATGCTGGCACGAAGCGCGCCTGTCCCCCCACGGATGCTGCGCGGACCGCCGAAGGCCTGCCACAAGATCGCCCTGAATGTAACACGCGCACCACCCTTTCCAACCTGTCCTTCCCCCGTACCGATCCCACCATCATTGTGGCAGTTGTATCTGCCGATGGGAAGCGCATCTTGCTCGGCCGTAGCAAGCGCTTCCCGCCGAAGTGGTACTCAACTTTGGCTGGTTTCATTGAACCCGCCGAGTCTATCGAGGATGCGGTTCGCCGAGAGGTATGGGAAGAGGCTGGTGTGACGCTCTCGCGAGTTGTTATCCACTCCTCGCAGCCCTGGCCGTACCCGGCGAATTTGATGATCGGCGCCATCGCACAGTGTAGTGACGCAGCGCATGAGACGATCAACCTCGAGCATGACCCCGAGCTGGAAGATGCCCGATGGTTTGAAGTTGAGGAGGTTGAGGAGGCGCTACGCATTGGTACTAGCGACTTGAGCTCCGGCGCTGGCCCCGACTATAAGGGTGGCTTGCGACTGCCTCCCGAGACGGCCATTGCGCACCAACTGATTCGCGCGGCTGTTAACGCGGATTATTTCCAAGTGGAGAGATCTAAGATGTGATAGAGCGTAGCGCACCGTGTATTTACAAGCGAGTAGTGTATAGACCAGAGGCGGATACGTTGTTTGTCCGAGTGGAAGTGAAATGAGAAAAGATCGAGAAAATTAATAGATATAATATGTTTCTTGTAGATTGAGAGATTTAATGAGATGTTCACTGTAGCAGCTCATTCATTCGCATACACCGTGCCATCACGCAGTTCATGGATACCATGCTGGCCGCTGGGTGATCCGACCTCGGTATAGCGAGTACCGTCTCGCAGCTCATGGATAGTGACCCGTCGGTGACTTCGCCGAGAGCGGCGCGAACCTCGAGCAGATGGCGAACCTCGAGTTGACGATGCCCCGTCCAGGCTCCCAGCATCACTTGCTGCCACACTACCTGGCGTCATCGACCGGCTGTCTCTCTTGATGGATGCTTGGAGCTGACTGTCGGCTACCATGCCCGCACCGGCCTCCGAATACCATCGCCTCAAGCCAGATGCAAAGGCCCGCTCCTCAGATCCATATTCAACGGGTGGACCAGTCATCTTTGCGTCTGGCCCGGAGCCATCGAACACAGCCCATGAACTTGAATCGACGCTCACAAGGATCATGGAGTGATTGTGGGTTTGGACTTTGAAATCTCGCAGTAGGATGGCTTGACCTTCTACGACCGATGGCATTGCAGACTTATAACGCCGGAAAATCTGAGCTTCAAGGGTTGCGCCAGCCATCGATGGATCCGTAAGAAAGATCGTTATAAAGTAGTCTCTAGAACCAGACGTCCCCTTGGCGACAGGGGAGAACTCGTAAACAATAGAGATCGTATCCACAAGCGCATTGTAGTGATCGGCAAGCGTAGCAAGAGGGGCGAAGTAAGACAGTTTGCTGCGTAGCCCATGGGCATCGCGGTCCGGCACGGGTGGCTTGCTAATGACGACCATCGGGGTTTGGGGGCCCTTGCCTGTCAACTCGGGCGCGGCAATTCCTCGTTCATGATCCTGTTGATGGTCTTCGACAAGCTCAGTTGTGGGCAATACAACACCCACCCCGTCGACATCTTGTTGCTGTTCCAGAGGAACGGATTCTTCTGAAACTGAAATATTGAGACCCACTGGCGGGGTCTGCTCGTCAGTCACCACCAACTCTCTTGATTGCTCATTTTCAGGTCCTGATTTATAACCTGACAATGCCTCCTGGGTGGGATCAGGAGTTGGTAGTTGTTGATCAGATGGGTCGAACGCTGAACCTTCAAATGAAACGTCCTTGTTGTGCCGTGCATAGGTTTCATCGGACTGAAGGACCTCTTCCACCTCTTCCTGTGGTTCGGGACTATGCGTCTCTTCCACAATACCGTGTGTGTCTTCTTCAAGTGGAACTTCTTTTTCAAATGGGGTTTCTTCTGCGATCGGAGATTGGTAATCTTCAACTTGTTTTGAAAAGCTGGGCCTATCATGAGCCCCGTCCAGGGTTATTAAAGCACCGAGCTTCCTACTCGACGTGCGTTCTTCATCATCGAGAGTTGGCTGCCCCTGCTCCTCAACCAAATCATGAGGCGATGTTTCTTCCGTCAGGAGGGGCGCCTCATTGGCTTGATCGGGCTGGTCCTCATAGACTGCCACATTGCTGAAAGAATCCAGATTCCCCTCAAGTTCAACCGCCTCGTTATCTTCTGCCATCTGTTGAGAGTGCTCTTCGCCATCCGGTTCTTCCTCAACAGGCTCATGCCGCACATAGCGCTCGTGGCTGTAATCACTCTGCGCCGAAATATCCTCAGATGACGCTTCATCATCCTCCATATCACTGTCATGCAGCCGATCGTCTTGATCAGGGTGCCTATGTTCATAATGATCCTCAACTTCAGACTCATAATCATCTGACCCCTGGTCTTCCAACATATGATGGTCTGAATGGCCTTCAATAGACCAATCCTCTCGATCGTCCCCAACGGATGACTGCGAGTCTTCAGAAGATACAGACCGTTGACGAGCAAGGTGCGGTGATGGCGCTGTTTGTTGCTCTGAGGCAAGCTCATCTTCACTGTCACTATCTAGCACGATGACTTCGGGTTGCGCTGGCGGCCTTCCAGGTGCCTCGTAATCCTCCTCGTCTTCGCTCTGATCTGTATCCATCTCGTCCTCGTACCCGGGTTCCATGTCTTGGTTTTCCTGGTAAAATTCATCCTCAGAATAGTACTCTGCCTCTCCATCTTCGTCATAAAGAGCTTCGTTCTCGACATCGCTTTGGCTCCGACTATCACGGCCGCTTTGCGTGCCCGCGTATTCATCGGCGATCTCAGATAGGGCTTGATCTTGATCTATCTCCTCGAGCACATTTTCGTCTGATTCGGCTTCCTCGGATTGTGTATCCAGGAGCACCGAAATCCCTTCGGATCCTTCAACCCCTTGATCCCTCTCAATGGTAGAGGTCACATGAGCATCGTAGTCATCTTCTGCCTCTTTCAAGGGCTGATCATCGGCCTGTTCAGTCGAGACCACCATCTGCAGTTCCTCAACGATCCCCAATCCAGGTTCTGTTTCGATGAAATGGGACCCGTTCGCAGCAGTGTGCGAGTGGAATTGATCCAGATTGACAGTCGGCATTTGACCATCCTGACTCACAATAACAGAATCTGCTAGCATCGAATCTGAAACTTGGAGGTTGTCCAGTGGTGGAGGCGGATGAGACAAAGCTGCCCCGTCCAGTATAGCCTCCGGGTGCTCCAGAGCCTGCGGCATTCCATGTAGTGCTGGCTCTGGCGCACCCTGGACCAAGGAATCTAAATCTTGGACAGTAATGTTGGAAGGCGACGTCAAAGCATGGTGAATATCGTTTACGGGTGGGACGGTATGGAATGGTGCAAAGTATTCTAGGTGGTTGGTCTGATCTGAAACAATCGGCGATGGGATTGGAAGACCGGGAGAAGGTATTGGTCGGAGTTGAGGCGTATCTGTGGGCCTATTAAACAGATTGCCGAAGAGACTTGGGGAAGCAGAGGTGTTTGGTCCAGCGTCCAAGCTGTGCGGCGCACGTCTCCCAAAGAGACCTCCAGCAAGATCCAGGGAAGGTTTGACAAAAACAGACGATTCGTCTTTGAACGGGTCTTCAATATTAGCCTGATCGATCGTATCGAGGCCGTCTCGGGCGGTGTCTGGAACGGAAACGTCGTTGGCGGGCGCAATATCCGTTGGCTCTTCTGTGTCAGATTCAACATCTATCTCGTTCTCCAAAGCTTTATCCCAGTCCATCGGCTCTTCGCGCTCTTGGGGACTCTCTGGTTCGTCCACAACGCGCCATTCGCTTCGTTGGAGGCTGTACCTCGGTCGTTTCCTTCCCTTCCCAGGAACAAATCCATCCTCTTCGCTAAACGGATCGAAAGCGAAATCACCTGCGCTTCCAGAAGACTTCCGTGAGGACTTGTGGAAAGCTGGCGACCCCCAAGACCCTCGAGTAGATGCTAGTGGTTCATTGAGATCGGTCGAGATCAAGCGGGGAGTGGAGGGTGGCTCGGGCTCATGCTGCGCAGGAAGCTCTATTGCAATTTTGAATGAGGGTAGGTTCTGGGAAGACCGGTCGACCTATAAAGTTGCTGTTAGCACCTTGCGAATATTAAAATTTGCGAAGCTGGCATACCTCAAGCGTCAAGCCGCGATCGAAATGAAGATCCCAGGCGATACTTCTTCCTGGCGTCTGTGACGCGGCATCGTTGGGAACAAAGCTCGAATCTTTCAATGAAAGGCAAACAGTGTCCCCGATTCCAACATGTTGTTCTGCGACGCTTGCTGCGACGCGCCCATGAAAGACCGCCTTAACCTGACCATTTGGCCGACGAAGGCGAAAATCGGGCTCGGAGAGGAGCAGGCTCAGTGATTTTGTTGACGAGGAGTATGGCCAGACAAGGCTAACAGTCGCATAGATGCACTTGTTTTCGGGCTGGTCAAGGGCAGGAGATAGCTGAGCGATCGGGGTCTTGATCGGCCGCGTCGGCGGCGCAGACGGCGCGGACTGGTTGATGACATCCATGATCATTGCACCTGCTTTTCCACAATCAACACCAACATGTCGCGAACATATGTAGAGCTTCAACCATCTGTACAAGAGCGGAGGGGGGAGGGGGGAAAGTGGTAACTTGTTGATCGAGGTGAAAGAAAGAGCTGGGGAACAAAGAGCTGGGGCAACACGCGAGCTCGGTGCGACTGCGGAATCGAAGATCAGAGGCGTTTGCTTCGGTGTGGTAACGATGTCGTATTGATACAGTGCGCACGTAGCGACTTAGTGTACGGTATTACCAAAATTACACGGGCATCTGCCTCAGCCATGGACCCTGGAAATTCTACAAAACTATGACTACTACAAGAATATTTGAGATATACATAACTGTCAAGGTGAATTGAACCTCCAAGATGTGATAACTTGACAAAGCATTTCTATCGGCCAATTAGGAGATGAATATCAACATTCCCCTGGGCAGTACGCAGCCCCCGATAAGCTTGAGGTTCATCCCCACTATGGCGACAGCGGCCGTGGCCCCTCCTCTTTCCTTCAACATCCCCTCGATCGATGAAACTCGCAAATGAAACTCGCAAATCCAGTTCGCCAAGTTGCAGTTATTGGGGCAGGGCCATCAGGTCTGGCTGCTTTGAAGTATGTAGATTCTGAGATACTCTCTTTTGTGACCCATGCTCGACCCTGATCTTCTAACCATCGTGAGTAGGTTCCTACTGGCAGAGAAACACTTTGATCGCATTGATGTGTTCGAACAAAGAAGCTCCGTGGGAGGTGTCTGGAATTATACTCCCAGCTCCGCCAAAGTTGGAGTGGCCTCGACTATCCCTCATCTTGATCCACATGAACCTGCGGAGAAGCCGACCTGGATCAAAGAAGGAGATGGCTCGTCCCAAGCCGTCTTCGTGTCCCCTCTATATGACAGACTCGAGACCAATATTCCAAAGGAGTTGATGTGTTACTCTGATCAACCTTTTCCGCGGGATGCTCAGCTGTTTCCCAAGCACCGCACTGTGAAACAGTACTTGGAAGAATATGCCGAGGCTATAAAGAGCCACATCCACTTTGAAACACAAGTAGTGGATGTCAAGTTGAAGGACCCCAAGTTGAGCATTTGGGATGTTACGACGCTTGATCTCCATAAATGTCTTAATACCACTCAGACCTATGATGCAGTGGTTGTGGCAAGTGGCCATTTCACTGTTCCTTTTCTTCCTGACATTCCTGGGATCAAAGATTGGGATCAGTCATACCCTGAGACCATCTCGCACTCCAAATACTACGACTCCCTAGAGTCCTTTGCAGACAAGAAAGTTGTTATAGTAGGGAATTCTGCTTCGGGACTTGATATTGGCGCCCAGATAAACCAGGTGAGTGCTGGACCGGTCATTATGTCCCAGCGCTCGGAGTCATACCTCGCAGCATCTGCACCATCGGATAAGATCATCTGCCCAGAAATCATTGAGTTTCTCTCACCAACCAAATATAAACGAGGCCTGCGATTTGCGAATGGTCGTATTGAAGAAGATGTTGACGCAGTTATTTTCTGCACGGGCTATTTCTACTCGTACCCTTTTCTTGCATCCCTGAATCCAGCAGTTGTCACTCATGGGTGGCGAACCATACACGTTTACCAGCAACTCTTCTATTCCGAGCATCCCACGCTCGTATTTCCAGTTCTTGCACAGCGTGTTATTCCATTCCCAATGGCGGAGAACCAAGCAGCTGTCTTCTCCCGTGTTTGGTCCCAACGACTTGAGCTCCCTTCAAAGGCAGAGATGCAGGCATGGGAAGATTCACAAGTGGCAAACAAGGGAGATGGGAAAATCTTTCACCTACTCCCATTCCCGATGGATGCTGATTATTTGAACTTCATGTATACCTGGGCTGCATCCGCCAAGTCACGCCAGGGGCTTTCAAATGATGGGCACGGCAAGCGGGGAACCTTTTGGGGAGAGCGGGAACGGTGGATGCGTGCACTATTCCCAGAGATCAGAAGAGCCTTTGTACAGAGAGGAGAAGAGAGGGGGACTATCAAGACCTTAGAGGAGCTCGGTTTCATTTTTGATGAACACAAGTTCAAGAGCAGTATATAGTACAGTACATATGCCATAGAATTAGATCACATGACCTCAATCATGTCCAGATAAAGTTCCGTTGACCCGATAAGGATGCCGATATCGATAACGATAAGAAAGTACTTATCACGTGAAGAGCGTGGAGCTCCGCCCGAGTTGCTGGCACGCATCCACTCCCATCCTCCTCCATTAACAGCGACAACGAGTAGAATCCCGAGTTGCACATCGTTCAGACCACTTGTATTTCCATGGTTGCATATACCATTGGTTTTATCATCAAACCCCCATCCATCAGCTTTCAAGATGGACGACAAACCAACTCCGTCTTCCCTTGGTGATATCGACGCTACAGTGCCTACATCTATTCCAGAAACCATAGCACCTCTGAGTGTACGCTCCGACACAGATTCTGTCACGCATTCTCATACTGCTATTCATCATGTCCATTCTGGAGCACTTCTTCAACCTCATCTAATATCGGATGCTTCGGCATTCATGCAAACCATTCAACCCAGCGCCTTAACAGTCGAAAGCGCTGCCGAGGAAGCTCCTCCGGGATCAGTCCACCTTGGACCTTCCGAATTCGCTGTAACGCTCCCCATGGACTCGCGAGTTAAAGATGATTATGACCGCGTCTTGACCGACTCAGCTGCAATCACAAGGGAGTTCCTCGCAAGTCTTACTCCTGCTGGTCAGGTCTCCGATTCTCAGGTAATTCCGCCCGTCCAGGTCACGCGGGACATAAGCTGATACGACCATTTTAGCGAGAGTATCTTTTATCAAAAGTACATGAAGTCATTGCGAAACTGAACAATGTATCTACACATCCAGATTTGAACATTGCTCATCATGTATCATATGAGGACTCGAAGCTCGCTCGGGAAGCCGAATGGGCCGAGTACTCGAGTGCCAAATTCCGGTTCCTAGGATGGTTAATACGAGTTGGCAGTGAGCGTGATCTTCATATCATCCTGGCCGTACAGGGCGAGGGTAAACGTCAGATCATTGAACGTTACTTGCTTGGAAAGGGGTTCGCCCATACCAAGCCACGAGAACAGCTTGGGGGTAGCTTGGAAGTCTCACTGCAAAAGGACTCCCTGAGCTTTGCTATCCATTCTGATGATGGGGTACGAGAGATGTTCAAACCGCCATCTGCCATTTTTGTTTTTGACACGGCATACAAACTTGACAGCCCTGCCGTGCAACATCTCCGAACAACTTACACCAGAAATGGTAGTCTTCTGCCCGCGATCTGGTTCCTTGTTTCCAACACATGTGAACATATTGAGCGCTGTCTTCCTCAGTTACCTGAGCCTGAGCGACTGCGACTTCTCATGCAGTACACTGATTATTTCCACGATGAAGTCGGCGATCTTCAGGATGATGCCCTCAATGTGTGTGAGGATGCCGAGGAGATACTCAGTTATCTTTCGGATGGCTTTACCAGCTGGCCGCTGCCAGTAGTGGAGCCTTTGCACTTTGTTTCCGTTGACGAATTAGAGTCAGCGACTCCGTCCTCTGATGAGCTAGTACCAGGCACTCAGAAACGTTCACTGGTTAGTCTACTTCCTTTCACAACCATTCTCTCTCTCTCTCTCTCTCTCTCTCTCTCTCTCTCTAACAAACTCCCAATAGGATGAAGAACATGAAGCCGAGGACTACACATCAAAACGCGCGAGGGTTGATACTCAGGACACCAGCCAAATGACTGAATCAACCAAGCCACCCAGCCAGACTTTGGATCATGATCTACAATCTTTGGAGAGAAGTCTTATCCAGATGAAGACCGCCCACAACATAGAAAAGGAACAACTCCAGAAAGAACTGTCGCAGATGCGAGCTCGTTTGCGGGAATTTGAGACCGGTTTGGGCCTCTTGCAACATCGCTACGAAGGTCGAACCAAGGAATTACACATGACTCGCCAAGATCGCGATCGCCTTACCGAAGGCAAGGTGTCCATGGAGCAACGGGTCGAGAAACAGAGAGAGGACATCTCCAAACTGAAGGAGGAGCGCTCGCGGCTAAAGGCCGAGCTTGAGGGAGCACGACAGGAACTCAAGAACGGCGGTGGCTCTCTAGCGGATTTAGAGACGGCCCGTGAAGAGATTCGCCGTCTAACCAGCGAGAAAGCAAGTCTCGAGCGCAAAGCAGAGTACGAGAAGAATCAAGCGGAGTACACTCGCGAGCAATATCAAACCGCTTCCACGGTTGCAGCGCAAGCTGGAAATGAACTTCGCCAAGTTCGCGACGAAAATGAGGCCCTGACTCGCAAGATCCAGGGCAACGCTGTTCAACTGCGTGAGATGAACATTAAGAACGATGCGGCACGTCATCTTGCTCGAATCACCGAGCTAGAGTTGATTCTAGCCTCTCGGGATGATCTGCTTCGAAAGAAAGAAGACGAACTGCGGGAAATCCGTAAGAACCGCCCGTCCACTCGTTCTACAAGCACACAGCCCCGGAGTCCTAAGTGGGCCGCCAGCAGCCGTCCAACAAGCCCTGGCCTCGGCCATAACGGCAATGGCAATGGCCTTGCTGGTCGGGCAAGCGCACTGCGGTTCAGTTCCGAGATGCCCTTCTAATGATATCCATGCTCTCTCGGCCGTACTGTTTAACCTTCTGCATTTTAGATAGGAGTTTCAAGATGGCGTCAACCTGTAGCCAGCAATCCAGATGGTGCGATTTTGTATTTGTCAATGTAACTACATATTTCTTCCTTGCTCTCAATGTCATGCATGGAGAATCTTTGTAAATCATCCTGGCCGAAGCGGTGCAACAGTGGAGGGCAGCACAATAACCCCGCCCGAAGCTCCGGAACACCTGCCACTTGATCAGACGATGTGTCAGTGTAGGGAGTCATGTGTAAGCTAGAAGATCCTGTAAAGCTCGGTCTACCATGGAGCTGGGTGTAAAAGAAGGATGCATCTCATGTCTGGTGCTACCTCACGGTTCTCAAGCATTACGTATTCGATCGAATATTCACTAGGACTTACCGACTATGACGTCTATACTCCCAGCTTGGGACCCAGGTAAATCCTCTATTTGTTATTCGCTTTGCTAAGAAAAATCTAAATTCTTCGAACAGTCTGTCTTATTATGAAATTAAATTACATCCCCTGGACAAATGGTCCACAGGACTATGTGTGTTAGAATAAAGCAAACAAGAAGTGAGGATTAAGAACATTATCAACCAGTATAGTAAAAGAAACCAAGGCAACCGTATACCGTTCTTCAACATTAAGAGCATCAAGTGCAGAAAAGACAAATAAGCATGATTATTGATGGGGTTTGTTCAAGAAGAGTTCATGGCTCCTGCCATGAATGCCGCCAGTTCCTTGGCCTTTTCCCCTTGAGTCATGGTGAAGTGGTTAGCCCCTTCCATAACCGTAATGCCTCCGACGTTCTTCTGGCCCACAAGTGTATCCCACCCATTGGGTCCAAGGTTAGTCCGGTTGTTCAGGAGCCATTGCATTTCTCGTGGGTCGGGGCTGCCATCCTCAGCGGGTTCAGGGCGTGGGTCATTCGGCTTGTTGCAGACTCCATCCTTGGCCCAAACCAAGAAGGTCTTGGGGATCTGTTCGGCATGCTTAATGTCATCGAAGGGGAAAGGAGCCGCCTTATATGCATCCAAAGAGTCGATGAAGGCTAGGAAGTGAGGAAGAAGCCACTTAGGAGGAGGAGCCTTGCCCTCGCCGAAGAGACCAATGGAGTCGAAGAATCTGTACAGGCGGCGAGGAAGCTTCTCCAGACCAATTGGGAAAGGAGAGTCGAGAAGGAGCAGGCGCTCAACTCGTTCGCCTTCCTCGAAGATAAGATGACGGGCAGCATCATAGGCACAGATACCACCGGCAGACCAGCCACCAAAGTTGTATGGTCCTGTAGGCTGCCGGCGCCTGATCTCAGCCACATATGGATATGTGAGCTCATCGAGACTGAAATTCAGCTTTTCGGGCGTGCGCATGTACGGGCAGTTCAACCCGTACACACAAACGTCCGGGGAGATGCCAGGGATCGTGGCATAAGATGTGGCCGATCCTGATCCATCGGGGAATAGGAACAACTTTTGAGTCGCGGTCTTCGGGTTTCCTTGCAGGAGGATCGAGGTTGCAGGCGGGTGTTGAATCGTGCTGCGAGCAGCCTTCGGAGCCTCCACCTGAATTTCTTCGGGCAGTCTGATGGGCTCAGAAGCAACAGCCTTGGGCTTCAGGTCGAGGGCGACCTCCACATCGCCAATTGTCTGATTCTCAATGAAGAATTCTCCAGAGAGCTCAAGGTCCAAGGTCTCACGTATCTTGCCCAGAACAGTAAGTGACATCAAAGAGTCCAGGCCCATCTCGCCAAGATTAGCATCACCCCGAAGTTCTTCTGGTTCAACCCCAATCTCCTCAGCTAGAATAGTGCAGATTTGCTTCATCCTGTCATTCTGATCAAGCGTCATGGATTTCTCATTGGCGGGAGTAGGCAGACCGCTCGAGTTGGGGGTCGAGAAATCCGTCGACGAAGCTGCAGATGACAAATCCGGCTCGCTGCTTGAGCCATCATTGCTGCTATCTTGGGGACTCATCTGCACCAGCAACTGCTTGAAGTCCTTGATTGTGGGTTGGTCCACAAAAACGTTCGAGTCTAGATCAAGTCCAATCTCTTCGCGGTAGCGACCAGTGACTGTAAGAGAAAGCAGAGAGTCCACACCATAATCTGCAAAGTTCAGGTCATCAGTCATATCAGACGCCGAGAGTCCTACCTCCTCAGCTAGGATACTCAGGGCCTTCGTGATGATACTGGGTCCTGCAGACTTGGGTGAAGGCACTGAAGACTTCCTGACCGGAGGAGCCCGCGATTTGTGAACGTCAATGGGGGCGGGTTTAGGTTTAGCAGTAGCGGCAGGCTTGGCCGCAGGACCACCGGCAGGTGGTAGAGCCGTGTCGAGAATTTTTCTAGACAAGGCTTGGAACTATTTCGTGGATTATTAGTATTTGCATGGGATAATGTTAAAGACGCATTACATACCTGTACACCCCCATAAACGGCAACGATGTCATCTCCGTCAAAGAGGTATACATCACCAGCGTAGATGGAGTTTTGCCAAGGCTGCATACGCACGTAAGTGCGGTAGGTGACGCTAGGATCAAACTTCTTCAAGCAGCGCATAGAGTCCCATCCGTGGTTGACGTAGACTAGATTCTTCGAATCGGTTGCATCGCTTGCGTTCATGATGAAACCAGACAGGTGGCCGATGCTGTCGATCCAGAAGGGGTTACGATGGAAGTTACCAGGTGGTGCCTGGAACTTGACCAACGCAGTAGCCTCGTGCTGATCGCTATCGAGAATAACTTCCTGAATAGACTTGTAGTTCTCGTCATACTCCACCAGAGCACTAAACAGCTTATAGACCATGCCGCGCTTCATCCGGTGAGCCTGGCCAGTATCCGTACTCTCCTTCAGGTGCTCAATGCTTCTCTTGATGAGGTAGGCGCTGCGCTGCCATTCGAGTTCAGCGGCACTTGTATCAAAGAATTTGATCGTGCAGCTTGCGTGGTCGATCATCTTCTTGCCCTCGAGAGTAACGGACCACACCTGCATTTTGGCACTCTCATCGGCCCAGTTGGCAGTGGCAGAGACACGGAACAGCTGCTTGCCACCCTTTGCAATGAGAGGCTTGGGAACTACCACGTCGCAGATGTTGAAGCCACGGTCCTTCCATTCGGGCTTGTACTTCTCGACCAGGAACTCTCCCAGAGTCTGAGCAATATCTGCATAGAGAGACTGTTTCATTATTAGTTAGTGCTTATCTGAACTGCATTCGAAATAGATGACTTACCGATGGGCAGAGCGCGGCCCCGTTAACCTTGTGGCCTTGGATGACACGGTTCAACTCTGGATCCGCAATGTCGTTCTCAATCACAACAGTTGCTGATGTCTGGTCACCGCTGGTCTCCAAGACTTTCTGGGCAGAGCTAGTCAAGAAAGTCGTGACTGCTGCTGTCTCAGTGGAGGCTGTAGCTGGGGCACCCTTCGTAAGGCAGAAGTTATTGGTGTAGGGAATCCAATAATTCTTGAGGTCCCACTTGTAGGCGGGCAGAGCAAGGACTTCGTGCATGGAGCTAAAGTCCTGGTGATACTCCTTCCAGTGGAGATCAATGCCGGCCAGGTAAAGGGCTGAAAGACTGTTTGAAAGCACCTTCCAGGTATCTTCCTGGCGACGAAGGGATGTGACAGTCGTCGCCTGGGGGCCGAATGTCGACTTAACCATTCCAGAGCAGACCGGGTGTGATCCAATCTCTACCCATAATGTCTTGTCATTCATTAGTTTAGCATGACGGGTCGCTTCCAGTGCAGCAAGGAAGTTGACAGCCTCCCGGCAGTGACGAGTCAAGTAGTTGGGGCCAATGACTTCAGGGTTTGCTCCGTCAAGAACATCACCCAGAAGGGAGGAGACGAAGGGAATGGTGGGCTCATGGAAGGTGACACCCCTGGCAATTGCTGCAAGACTTTCGAGAATGGGTTTCACTTGTGCGGAGTGGAAAGCGAAAGGAACCTTCAGCTTAGTAGCCTTGAAGCCCTCATTAGAAAGCTTCTCTGCAAGCTGGTCGATCTTTGCAACCGCCCCGCTGATGACAGTCTCGCTGGGTGCATTAATGCAAGCAACCTCTGCGGTATCGTCATCGAGGAACTGTTTGACCTGTGCGACCGATGACTTCACTGCCAGCATAGCGTGGGTTCCCACCTTGCATTTCTCAGTCAGCAGCTGGGCGCGACGACCAGCAAGGTAGATCGTATCGCTGGTCGTAAGGATACCGGAGGCATTCAGTGCGGCATATTCACCCAGACTGTGGCCTAGAACAAATGTAGGAGTCACACCCAGAGAGACCCAGAACTTGGTCAATGCCATCTGCAGGCAGGTTGTTCCCAATTGGGTAACGACAGGACTCAGTTCTTCGATAGGCACACTTCCATCAATCAATGGCATAATGGACGGGAAGCCCTGACTCTGCCCAATACGGTCCAAGTGCTCAATGTTGGCACGGAACTGAGAGTTGTTCTCAAACAGCTCCTTGCCCATTCCAGTGTACTGAGCGCCTTGTCCGGTGAAAACAAAACCAATTCCAGGCTCAACTGCAGACACGGGAGAGAAACTCTCACGGTTTGCGGTCGAGTTCAATGAAGTGCGAATTTCTTCCGGGGTAGAACCAATGGCAGTGACCCGGAAGGGATGGTGGATACGTCTCGCCGTGGTCGTGTAGGACAGATCCCCAAGAAGGTTAGACTCGTTGACGGTGAACAAGTTTTTGTTCTTGTCAATGTATTGAACCAGACCAGCGATGTTGTTCTTCAGAGCGGATTGGGAACGCGCAGAAACAGCCACCGGGTATACAGTTCGGGGGTCCTTCCCAGTGCGCTCGTATAGGGGTCCATCTTCCATCAATAGCGCCGTGTTTCCGCCGGCAGCCGAGAAATTATTGATGAAGGTCTTCCGTTTACTACCATCAGGGCGATTCCAAGGAGTTGGCTTGAGAGCAATGTGGACGTTCCGCTGCGCAAGGTCGGTGGGGAAGTTGTGATTGATCTTGGATTTGATGCCACAGTGGGGAGGAATCATATTCTTCTGCATCATCATTAACACCTTCACCAAGGCTGACACACCCGAAGCGGATTCTCCGTGGCCAATGTTCGACTTGGCTGAACCGAGATGAAGCGACTGGTTTGGCCCACGGCGATAATCTGGGGCGAATATATCAAGAACAGACTTCATTTCCACGGCATCACCAGCCTGAGTTCCAGTGCCGTGCATCTCGATGTAGCTGACTTCCTTCGGATCGTAATTGTTTTCATTGAGAAGCTTGTCGAAGATAAATGCCTGAGCACCAGCATGAGGCCGGGTAATAGAAACAGCCTCAGCAGAGTGATTGGTATAAGCCCCAGAAATGACGCCGTAAATAGGGTCATTGTCTGCCTGGGCGTCCTCCAGTCGCTTCAAAATGATAGACCCAATGCCATCCGCTCGGCAATATCCATCAGCACTATCATCAAACGTGTTGCAGTTTCCAGTGCGCGAAAGGAAGTGGCCGCGGTCGAGCCCAGCGTGATTGTCCGGGTTGGTCAGAATATTGACACCACCGGCGACAGCAGAGTCACACTCATTCCTCCATAGCGAGTTGCAAGCCACATGAATGGCGGCCAGACTCGAGGAACATGCCGTGTCAACACTCACACTAGGTCCACTAAACTTGAAATAATAATTTATGCGACCAGGCGTGAAAGCACGATTACCGCCAGGAATGAAGTAGGTGTCGACGTCCTGTCCACTGTTGATTTCACGGTAGTCATCACTGGTCATTCCGTAGAAGACACCAACTCTGTTCTTCTGTGTAGACGGGGTGCTGTCGGGGATGAAACCGGCCATTTCGAATGCCTCATAAGCAGTGAGCAGCGCAAGGCGCTGGGCAGGGTCGGCTTGAAGTGCCTCACGCGGGGACATGTTGAAGAAGCGAGGGTCAAAGAGGCCTGGTTCATTGATCCAGCATCCGTATGGAACCTTGCTCGTATTCCTCGTATTCCCTTCCAAATCGACATGAGCCTTGACATCCCAACGCTCAGGAGGTACTTCACGATGCACATCAAGTCCTTTATACAAAAGATCCCAGAACGCCTCGGTATCTTGAGCTTCGGGGAATCTTCCAGACAGACCGATAATCGCAATTTTAGACTGCTCGGCACGGCCAGTGCTGTTTGCACCTTCGGGATCCTTTTTCACATCGCCAATGGTTCCGTCGACCTCCAGCTTTGACACTCCAATCTTCTTCAGAGAACCGTACAGACTTTGAGTTGCGGTGCTAGAGATAGGATACAGTGTGCATGTCGAGGTGGGCGACTTCAAAGCAGATGCACACGAGTCGATAACCTTGTCCCAGCAAAGTTGACGGCGCAAGATTTCCTCCAGCGACAGTCTCAGAAGATCCTCCAGGCTCTCGGTGTCAAACGGCTTGCCAGTCTCAGTCGATAGAACAGGAATCTGAGGGACATAGTTCGCAAACTTCTCCTTTGGCCAAGACTTCAGGATGCGGTTGATGTCTCTGTCATCATAGAGGTGCATTGCGTGGTAGGGGCCGTGGATTGGAACTCTCACGGGCTTTGACTCTTTTGATAGTGAAGTCTCAATGAATTTCCCCAGAACGTTAGGTGCTCCACTGATAGTCAGGCCGTTGGGGCTCACAGCACTGATATACGGCCGTGAAACGCAAGGCAAAGCCTGGAGGACAGCGTCAGAATTGGGCTTTATTTCTTCGGAACTTTAGAGTTGATTTGAGTATTTACTCACATTTGATCGACCAAAGCCTTCGATAAGCTTTTGAGCCTCTTCTTGGCGAATTCCAAAAACAAGTACAGACCAACTCTGGGAAGGTCCGTTTTCCTCTACAAGCTCACGGACTTTGACAACGCAGGTTCCCAGTCTGAGGGCTAGGACAACAGTCTCAACGCCTACTGGGATGAGCTCTCCAACAGTTTTGGAAGAGCTGACGGCAGCAGATGCCAGTTGACCGGTGCAGAGGCCAACTATGAGAGTCTCAGACTTGGATGGGTACTGGTGCCCCAGATCTCCGTAATGGCTATTCATACCTTGATTAGTATTTCACAATCAGCTGTTCAATTTCACAGTTTATCTTACTGAATGAAGCATCCCAGCTGATAGATTGTCGTCAATGCGCTCTCCAGAGCTGGATTGGGCCCAAATTCTCTGTATCTGGCCAAGAGATCCACGATACTCGTGAAACGTGGGAACAGCTGTCGCTGAGATGGCGACAGCTGGCTGATTTCCTTTCGCAAGGCATGATAACACTTCTGAAAGAAGGCTATCAGCAGCGAGTCATTCTTGGCTTGCAGCAGGCGGCGAAGACCCGAGTCGAAATCCGCAGTCTGGTCTCCGAAGAGATACACGCGACTGGGGTTCTCCATCTTCAAACCCGATGTTAGCCAGGGGGTGCGAAACTTTACGGAGGAAAAAAGGAAAAGTCAGCCCCTGCACAGATTATTGGGGGGTCATAATTTATACATGCAATCCGGCTATAGTCTTCCTTGTGGGGCGATCCCATGTCTCAGGACATCATCGAGATATGGAAGCTCTTGGCACTGATGAGAAAATCTTGAGATCACTCCATATATTCCCTGTTTTTCCTTGGAAAACCAGAGTGACGGCACGGGAAGTCCGAGTTAACAGACCATTATTCCACGGTTTCGCATCCAGTACTTTTGCCTTGGTAGCACTACGGTCGAGCGAAAAAACAAGCCCATCTGAGTCTGGCCAATGGAACGGTTACGGCAGTCAGCGCTGAAGCTTAGACCTGCGATGTTTTTTTTCCAGACTGTGGGGTCAAACGCATCAAGAGATGGGCTGATAGCCGCGCATTCCGTGGAATCGAGCCTAGACCCTGATTGCCCTCACGGGATGTCAAAGGTACTGGGAAACCGAGCATAGCTCCCTGCTGCTTGGATGCTGTTTGCGGATACAAGTTCCATTTCACAGAGTATATGTCTATGACATACGACATAATCGAGATGACACATTCCGGATGAGGAGCTGGGTAGATGGAAAATGGTGGAGATCGTTGCACTGACAGGAGGTGAACGCCGCTTTCAGAAGGTTGCAGCCGCAATCATCCATCCATCACGTGATCGTCTTGCCCTAGAAACCCCTGCTTCTCCTGTGCGTTTTTGTATATTCAAGGGGAAAGAAACTTGAACTGAGGCAGGAGCTTTGAGGCTAATTATTGTCTACTATACATAGGCATGTTCAGATGTTCACTGGCTCCTGACTTCTTGACAAATACGTTATTCTTCCGCATGTTCAAAAGTGTCATAGACTTCATTAACTAATCGCTAACCAGTGAGTCAGTCCTTTCTCGGGATGCAACAATGCCAAATGGAGCAGCCAAGGCGAAGATCCTAGTCAAATAAAATATCTATTTGTAGATCCTCTCGATGTATCAAACTAGTCTGCACTACGTCATGACTCCATCGCGTGTTCAGATCCTGCGTGGACATGCGAGATCTTTCTGCAGATCCCCTCCCGAGAGAAGCGCGTGTTCAGCGTCGATCGTTTTCTAGAAGCATTGGAATCTAGACCTTTAGTATAGCTTCCTAGATTGATAAATTCTCTGAGCATATAAAACTTGCAATTAATAGGCAGGGATCAGCCGATTCTTCGGCTGTGCGTTTCTGTCAAGCAAGCAGCAGGACCCTTACCCTTGCTCGAGATAATCTGAGCTTCTCGAGGTTTCAAAAAGGAGAGGTCGCCATGGAGTCTAGGCCTTGCAAATATCAAATCATTCATATACCATAATTACTTAAGAAAGATCGACTTCGATCGTGGTGGGTCAGCGGCTAACGGATCGGAGTCCACAGAGCCACGGTATCTAGAATAGACCACCGGAAATGGAAATAGGGAAAAAACGACAGAATGTAAAGAAAGAATTTTCTCCGTCTGATGACACTGGCATGGTATCACTATTAATAGACTGTCTTCAGTCTACTGTATGCGCAGTCTAATACACAACCCCTGAAAATTAGATTAAGTTAGAAGCCAGAGCCCTATTTACAAATTCAAATCCGGAAGTTGACCTCATATACTTCACCAACTCGTCTTAATGCTTTCGCTTGTCCCAACTGGTCTCGGACTCAATATAAGGAGGATTCTGAGAAGGCTGTGATGACGCCTGTGAGCTAGGAGACACAACAGGCGTAGAGACAGCTGGGGTAAGCATTGCGCTTGGAGTGTAAGGCACAGAAGCAACAGGTGCGGACGAATAATTGAAATCGGTTTGTCCACCTTGGTTCGCATCTTTTTCTTGACCAATCACTGCCGTCGCGCCTGGGCGCCTGGGCTCTGGTCCTCTCCTGAGGGGACCTGGGGCCACACATCAATACCATCCAGTAAGGCAACCGCCATGCCGTTGGACAGATGGGTTTCAATGTGACAGTGGAACAGGAATGGGCCTGGGTTGACCACTTGGTACCGCAACATCATCCATGTCGGACCCGCGGGGCCATTTGTGACAAAGGTGTCTCGCCTCTGAGGGTTATCCAGGTGGAACAGATCAGGACGCTCGTTATAAGCCTCTTCAGTGCTGGACCAATTGAAAAAGCCAGGACCAACACCCAGAATAAAAGCCTTGTTGGAGTGCTTGTGCATAACGTGGGGAGCTTGAATGGCTGAAGTGCCGGGCATCTCGCCCAACTGGAGAAGCAGGTCGACCCACGTCCCATTCTTGGTCTGGATGGTAACCTGCTCAGCTAGATTGTTCTTGGCGTCGAGGTCGTAGAGAATTGGGTTGTCCCAATTTGCCATAACGTCATAGAGTGCATTGCCAGCAGCGGTCCAGGTGTATGCGGAACCCCAGCGGCCAAGGGTGAGATTGACCAGCTGATCGGCATACTGGGGAATAAAACCTGGCGGGTAAGGCTTTATGGCTCTCACGTCCAGTGGAACAACCGAATCAGAAGTACTCTGTCCGCCGTAGTTAACGGAAGGCTTAGACGGCTCAGAGTTTGATGAGCCCTTGTATCGCATCGTGGCAAAGCCTGAAATGACTTGATCACCCTGCGTGTCGGGAACTCGAATGGTGTAGTCCTTCCAAGGCTTGTCAAGCTTGACCATAGCCGAATAGCGTTCACCATTGTAAATGGTAACGCTATCAGCAGGCAATGGCTCCATGTAGCTTCCGTCGACTTCATAGATGTACATTTGGTGTTCATCGATAGAAAACATCAAGGCCTTCATGGAGGCAGCGCTGATGAATTTGAGAGCAACCCATTGATTGTTAGGATCCACCTCGATGATCTCGTGAAGACCTGTTGTAGGAACACAGCCCGAGTTGAGACCTTCGGGAATACGCTCCGGGTTCGTGGGTGGGAAGTTTCCTTGGGTTCCGTAAACATTTGGCAGGCAGCTGAAGATAATTCACAAACGTTAGTTAATGCGCAGATAGAGGGTCGTGGTTAAGATTATTGTCACTCACCCTTTATCGGTAAGTGGTTGGTTGTCAATCGCAGTCTTGAGATAGGAAAGCTCGACCGCAGATATATTCACAGTCCCAGGGCAATACACAGCACCACGTCCATTGACAAGCACGCTGTCCATGCAGCTATATCTATATCAGCAGCTATTGGGGACAAAGCTCACTTTGATGTGTACTCACACGATGTCGACACGGGTATCTTGTTGCACCTGCTGGTATTCAGCAGCTGTTAGGTGGTCCCAGTCCGACAACATGACCAGTTGAGGATTTTTTTCCGCCTTCCGCATAGCCTCAATGTCATCACTCTTGTTGGAAATGAAATTGAATGGATCGAGAACATCAGAAGCCGGGCTGCATGGATTAGCATAGGAACATATGGACGGGTTCCAAAGACCTTACTTGATCCAGATTGGTCCATAAAGACCATCCATCATTTCGGATCGGGCATGAGCATGGTACCAGTAGGTTCCATATTGAGTAGCTTTCCAGCGGTATGTCCAGCTGTGCCCCGGCTGAATAGGCTTTTGGGTCAAACCAGGGACGCCATCCGCCCAGGGGGTGCCATGTTGTTCGATGCCGTGGAAATGAATTGACGTATTGAAGGGCATATTATTGTTCACAAGAACCTAGACACAATTAATGTTGTTGATCTCCATGTCGCCTTTCAGTCTCAAAAATACCTCGACATCATCACCTTGGTCAAACCGCAACTCAGGTCCAGGAAATTGATCATTCATAAAGATCATATCACGGACATTGCCATCGGGTGCACCTTTCTGCCAACTCAGGTTCAACTCAAATTGAACCTGCTTAGCCCAGGCCAGTGGCAGGAGACCCGAAGCGGTTAAAGCCAGCAGTGTCCTTATAGGTGCCATGTTTTGATCGCCTCTTGCGTAAATCGAGGTTAAATGTATATGTATAGCAGATATGGGACCAATGAGATCCTACTTCAATCTTGAGAGCAATTGATCACACTCTCTACTGAAGGGATCGGCGGTGTATTTCGGTGCGCGCTTTCAAGGCCTTGGGCGTATTGAGATTTTAATAGTCCATGTTTTGTTTCTCAACGCATGCCCTACCGTATGCAACAGACGCCGCAGCAGGCCGATAGGGGCCGAAAACATGTTTGCATAGTTGACAAAAATAGGGAGGGCCACCTGTCGAATTCGCAGCGTTTGTCTGATTTGGAGGAAAGGCGAAGATGCACCCACCCAATTTCACATCTTGAGGAATGCTCATGAGGCTAGGGAAGGGTTGGTTGCAGATATTGTCCCCGTTCTGACCAGGAACGGTTAACGAGGCATATGGAGTCGAAGTCGAGCCATTCAGGAAGATCTTGTCCTGAAAGCCTCTGTTTGGTACTTGACATGTTAATTCTATGCCTGTATGCAAGGGGCATACACAATTCCCTGCTAGGGTAAAGTGTTTTGTTGTGGCTGGACATTTTTTGATAGCGAAGGAATGCGGTACTTTCCCAATCCGGTCGTGACGAGCGGTAAACGACCGAATAGTAAATACCTCTCTATGAGGGGAAGCTATGGAAATGGTTTCGTTCAAATGAAGATTCTTTCTTTTGTCTGCAGACAATTGTGTTCCAGGACCCGCACAAGGAAAGTCTACCGTATTGGCCGGGCTTTAGTCGTGACGACAGCTGTTCGAGGGGTTAAACTGGATCAAATAGGTACCTGATGTGGTGGGGATCATTAATCTATGAGCTTGAAAGGCTTCTGGGCTTCCATCTATCGGGTATATCCTTGTAGCCCTGGAGGACATTTTCGACTCTTGGTTTGGTTCTAATCTATTTTAGCTTCAAATCTGCCTCATGATTAGCCGTCAGATATATATCTTCTTGACGTCAAGATGGTGATATACAGTATATACCAAGTGGCGGTCTTAATTGATTCCAAAAATGTTCGAGCATGTTTCAAACCCAATTACATTAGCCAATCTGCCCGCATCGACGCCACGGCGGGGATAATATCGTGCAGGTGGCCCCCATCGAGTGGGGGAAACTGGAGGTTGCCAGGGCCAAACCTAGAGGGTGGGTTGCGCCGCAAAGCAACCATGGATCGAGCTCGGGAGGCGCTACACATCAACCACCATTGAAGGTGGAACGACGACGGTGGATGAATAGCTTCGACAATTCGCAAAAGACACACGAGATAATTTTCACGCGAATAACCGATTTTCGATGTAAAAGACTTCAGGAACGAGTGCGATCCTTGCTCGGTGCCCCGGAAACCAGAAGCATGACATAAGCGCATTAAGCTTATCGATAAGGCAGTTCTCCGCCGCTAGTCCCGATTGGGCCACCACGTAAACAACCCAACTCAGGCCTCACCGTCTGAACCGCCAGCCCTGCTTGATCCCTCTTCCTCCCACTCCCTTCCTTCACATTCTCCTGCAACCTGCGGTACCCTCGGTGGTCTTTTATTTCCGACATTCTCTTTGTTCTGTCACGACTCACAATGCAGGTTGCTTGACCTTGACTTATCACCACGACCGTGCGTACCTTGCAACCCCATCTGGCTCCCACCCTGCAACTACGACCTCCGCACCACGCTCCCATCCGTCAGCCATTACCGATTCCCGAACCAAAAATATTGCTTGTCTACGAAGACACTGACCTTGGCGAGTCCCCAGCGATCACTTGACCATTGTTCGGGCCTTTCGGACCTTTTGCGATCAACTTGACTAGGGTGGGTTGGTCGCGATGGCACCGAGTGCGCCCCAGCTCCCAGTGAAGTTTCCGTGTTGGTGTCGAGCAGTCTATTCCTGGGGAGGAGAGACAACGCGAGATCTCGGTTTTGTCGAAGGCGACTTGATCGAATGCTTGAATGCTGGAGATGGACAATGGTGGATGGGGCGTTTGCGCCGCGATAGGCGTGCCGTTGGGCTCTTTCCGTCCAACTTTGTTGAGCTTATGAGCAAGGACTTTGTTCCTGTTAGTCGCGATACAAGTCCAATGGTATTGGCCGGGTCTTCGCCTATCAACAATCCAACATCAGCCCCGAAAAAGACCAAGACGGTCTTTCGCAAACCTTTCCAGGCGCACAAGGAGGGTCTGTCACCAGCCTCCCAGATGGCACGGAGTGGATCCAATACTCCCGTGAAGAGCTCAATTCCACAGACACCACCTCGAGCTGGCAGTGTACCGAGGAAGGTCAAGCCCCTGCGCACGCATGCATCTGCAGTCAAGAACCAGGGATCACTATCTCGCCCGTCGTCGGTGTCTTCTCGTCCTTCGTCGCGCGGGGTGTCTGTGTCTCCTCGTACATCGATGGAGCCTGAGAGATCTCCATCAACTATGATGCACCGTGGCAGTATCTCGTCCTCACGCCCGTCCTCGCGCGAAGTTTCACCTATGCCCCGGGAAGTTTCCCCAATGCAACCTTCACCGATGCACCGTGCCGTTTCTCCTATGCCTCATCGCGCTGTCTCTCCGATGCACCATCCAGCCTCCCCGATGCAAAATCCTCCTTCTCCGATGCATAACAATTATCATCACCGCGAAATCTCGCCCATGGAGCGTGAAGTATCACCAATGCAGTTGCAGAGGCGCGAGGAATCTCCTCCACCGCCGCCGCCACCTCCCCATCGAGTCGCTCTCACTCGCGCTCCTTCGCACTCCCCTCAACCGCCTCAGCATCATCATTTTCACCAGCGTGCTCATTCTCCTCAGCCACCTCAACCACCTCGATCTCCACAGCCTCCCATGCACCAGCAGCAGCGCCATTTGCGTTCTCCACAGCCCCCTACGCATGCTCCGCGCCCTTCGCGCTCTCCGACGCCTTTGAATATGAACGACCGCTATGTTATATTCGCACGAACGCCATCGCCCGGAGCAGCATCCACCCACTCCGTCCACTCCGCAGTCTCGGCTCAGTCAGACATGAATGGAAATACGCCCTCCCCATTGAGGGATGCAATGGAAGACGTTATGACTTCATTGGAGGACATGGGGCTTCCTCGCGAACCGCCCTCGCCATCCCCACGACAAGCCCCGTCTCCTTCACCTCCACCCCCAACGTTTAACAACCCTTGGTCTGCAGATGACTATAATGAGATGAATGACCGAACTCCGCCTGCACGTAGACGGCCTTTGACGTCGCTCGGTTTCGACGGGCATAAAGAGCAACTCCGTGGCCTTTCGGCCCAGCGAAACAGCGTCTATTCACATGACCACTACATGGATGGTCCACCTCAACTGAACAATTACGTGCAAAGGATGGAGAGTCGCCTGCGGCAATTAGAGGACCAGAATCGACCACCCGAGGACGAGGGAGGTGGCGCCGAGGAGGATCAACCCCCGCCGCCGCCTCCAAAACATGCAAGCTACCACCCACGACACAATTCCATTGCAGGCCAGTACGCGCAAGCCCGGTCTGGGCAAGATCAAAGGAGTGACATACTCAACCGATCTTTCACCAACAAGTCGAGTGCAACTACATCCAGTGGTGTACAGAGCGTCGGGACTACCATGACTAGCAGTACGGATAAGACGAGCCAAAGCTTGATGAGCGGTATCTCCGCTGGTGGTTTCAGTGCAACCAGTGCCGGTAGTTATGCTAGGCGGAACGGAGCTCACCAGCGGCCAAACACTGCCATGGATACTGTTCGTTCGCGGGGCTTCAGTGATGCTGGAAACCTCGATAGGCCAGAGACCCCACTGACAGGAATCTCCTACCACTCTAGCCACAACACGTCTCGTCAGGGAGCCTCGTCTGCCATTCCTTGGTCCTCTGCAGACAATGATGCGGGAGATTCTGGTGGAGTATTTGGTGGTCTTTCAACGCCCAAGACTAAAAAGCAAGGCTTCTTCAAGAAGATCTTCGAGTCTGCCAAGACAGGTGCTGCGAGCGCGAGAAGTAGCATTTCGGTTGGCCATAGCTCCCCTTCTCCAACCAAGGGAAACAGGGTACTTGATGTTGTGTCGCCTCTCCTCACTAGCCATTCCAATCGTGAAACGGCGCGAGACATGGGCATGAGTGCCAGCTCCATTGACTGGGTGCAAGTCCGTCGAGATGTCAATCGGGCATCATCACCCAGTCGGAACGAGAGAATTGAAAGGGCTGAGCGGTGCCAGATGATGGATCATCCGGTCATCTATGCCATCGAGGAACTGTACGACACTGCGGAAGGTGACGAGAGCATCGATGGACTACCGATCAGTGAGCCCACGAATTTCAACGCCGGGAACCTCACTCTTGTCGACAAGAGTGCGCGGTTTATTAATAGTATTCCGCCACTCACCAATCCTGTGAGCCTTGCTCAGGGTTACATTTGCCGACCATACAAGAGCGATGTCCAGCGTCTGCGGGCAATCTTCACCTGGGTCAGCGAGAAGATTGCATGGGAGGAGCCTGTTGACGGGGTTGAGGTGGACATGAAGCGAGTGCTTCAGGCTAAACGGGGCAGCCCTCAAGAAATTGCTTATTTGGTGCATGAAATGTGTGCAGCCGTCGGTCTGCATGCTGAGACGATTCGTGGCTTCCTAAAGAATCCCGTTGATTCCCTTGATCTTGACAGTCTCTCTCGTCCCAATCACTGGTGGAATGCGGTCCTGGTTGATGGGGAGTGGCGCATTATGGACTGCGCGCTAGCGAACCCTACGAACCCCCAGCGGAGCAAGTTTGTCACCAACAACATGTCGATCGCCGAAAACTGGTACTTCCTCGCCCGGCCTCTCGACATCTGCTTCACCCACGTTCCACTTTACCCTGAAGAGCAGCACATCTGTCCTCCTATCTCGCCAGATGTCTTACTAGCTCTGCCGGGTGTATGTCCGCAATTCTTCAAGCTTGGTGTACAGTTCCCAGATTACGATACTAGCTTGATGCGCATCGACGGTCTCGAATGCGTTCAGATCCGCTTAGTGGTTCCTGCCGACGTCGAATGTGCCGCCGAGGTCGAAGCCCCCGCGTTTGCTTGCGATGCAGACGGGGACTTCTTTGAAAGTGGTGACATTGTCCGCAAGCGCGCCCTGGTTCAACCAGACTGGTTCAGTGGTCAAAAACGGATCACTATCAAGGCTGTCCTGCCAGGAGATGAAGGACAGGGTGTGCTGAAGATCTATGCGGGCAAGAAGGGCCTCATGCACACCGGCCGCGACATTCCTCACCCAATGGCCCTTGCTCTTCCGATGGTGCACACGGGAGAAAACCCGCCATATGACTTTGTCCTGCGTCATCCCACGCCTCACGCCCAACGCCATGATCTGTACATCATGCAACCCCAGTGCTCTCGGCTTGCGGTTAACAATACCTTCGTCTTTGCTGTGCGACAGCATCCTTCCTCGCCTCAACCCCCGCCCAAGGATGACTACAACGGCACCGGACGAGCTTCTCCATCAGTGTTTACCCGCCCGTCCAGCGCCCTTAGCATGGTATCCAGTACCGCTGGTGCCTCGACAATATCGAGCAACTCCAACGAGTTCTCTGCATCGACGTCTGCCATTTCCTCGACCAGATCTGCGTCTGGCCGCGACAAGCCGGCGAAATTGGCCATCCAGGCGCCCTCTGGCAAGATCTTGCGTCTTACCCGGAAAGCAGACCACATGATTAGCTCGCCCGATCCCAATGGCTGCTCTGTTACCGATGCTCCCGCCGAGGGCAGTATATGGGAAACGGTCATCAAGATTGGTGAGCGGGGCACCTGGCGTGGCCTGGTGCTTGCTGACCGAGTTGCACGATGGTGTGTGTTTTGCGAGTGGGAGTGTGTGTGATCAATCATTTGTAGGAGTCCAAATCTTGGCATTTTATGTGATAGATTCCCTGTCTGGAAATTCTTTGTTTGATTTTGCGATTTGCATGATTTGACGTTTTGGTGGCTATTTTGTTTGTTTCACATTGCGCAAGCGATGCAAGCTGTGGTTTACATGGCTCTCCCCTTTCCCTCCCATACTTGGCATTTGCATCAGGTCGGCTTGGAGCATTGCACATATCTGCATTTCCAGTATTTTCCCCCCTTTTTTCTAGAGACATAGTCGTTCCTGATCCTCGGTGTTTGGTGTTGGCAATAATAGGTTCATTTTCGAGGAATACATATGATGTTCAAGCTAAATATGTTCATCTCGTGATATTGTAGTGTCGTAGATTGGCCTTTTTCGTACATCGGTCATGTAGTCTATAGCTTAGCGACTGCATCGCGCAGCATCGGTGCCACTTGTTTCCTGCTTGCAGTGGCATTTGTCTGCACCCACAAGTGCCTCCAGGCCTCAGAGATCCCATTCAGTGTACCTCGAATATCGGTTTCAACTAGATCCACGCTCTCTCCATCCAAAGGCATCCACTCGATGAGGCCAAGTGAACTCGACTCGTTGATGAACTTCTTGATGCCTTCCACTGTAAGGCCACTTTCCTGTGGCGCACAAATGAACAGCTCTCGAGTATGTTGATCGTCAGCCGAGGTGAAAGAAGTCATGACAATAACCACATCCAACTCTTTATCTTGTCTTTGCGCAAATTGGCGAACGACATCCAGGAACCGTTGAGACCCGCCTGCTTTCTGGATAATCCACCGGATGGGCTTGACCGATGAACAAAACCCGAGCTTGACACTCTGCCCGGAAGATTGAGTCGTCTCCGTCCAATCCTTGAAATCACGATCCAGAATCTCTTCCGGCGTCAACAGATCCAGACTATTTTTCTTCGCGTCGTAAATCTGCTCGAAAAAGGCCACCATATCCCATTCGACATCCGCACTACTGCCAGCCTCGGAGACCAGTTGTTGCAGGAACTCGACAGATTGGATATCCACATCCTTGACTTTCCCTTCCGCCGTAAGGTTAGATGTATCGATCAGAATCGGGGCCAGCGTGAGCTTCGCGACCTGCGCGATCTCCGCTGCGGACGACGCGTCCTGATTGGCAGTCCATAACCTGCGTTTCTGGAGTTCGCTGGTGATCAGGGACGAGCATGATCCGGGACCAGGCTGAATGACCAATGGCTGATCGGTTGGGAGGTCATCCGCTCGAGGTACAAAGTGCTCATCGACGTGGTGGTCGATACACCCCACCGTGCGGAAAGTGACCTCCTCCAACCCGGTCACCGAGCCATAGCCTGTTTTCCCCTCAACACGTTCCTGCATAGCATTCCAATCGACCATGACCGCATCTGCCTGCAGTTTCTTCGTTATTGATAGCTCCTTTAGGCTCCGCGCAAAGTCCGCAACCGTGACCAGATGCTCGCCGAGCAGTTTCCCCGCAGACTCGGAGGTGTTCTCGAAGCGCTCCTCGGGCCGTAGGGAGGGGAAGCTGGTGGATAGCCATAGCGCCGTTACGAATTCTGGTCTTAGACGATAGAGCTCGGGGCCTGCGTGTACGCTGGAGAGATGGAGGAGGGGGATATGCGGTCGCGGGGCGGTGGTGGGGAGGCGGTTGTTGGCGCAGTACGAGTAGACAATGGCGGAGATGATCGAGTCCAGGTCGGCGGATGGATTGCCGAGCACGTAGATGGGTGGCTCGGACAAGGACCCCGCTAGGAACTGGAGGTGTACCTGACGGGCGTGGCGGAGGAATTGAAGGAGCGTCATGGTGGTTTGCTTGAGCCGGGTCAAACGTGAAGCCATGTTTTGTTATTGAAAATCGAAAATCGCAAATCGCAAATCGCAAATCGCAAATCGCAAATCGCAAATCGCAAATCGCAAGCCGCCGCGACGTCACTGGCGTGGGGGTTGATCCACAACAATCGGGATAAATTGTGGATAGTGGATGCATCACTTTAGTTAGTAGCATGATAGGATAGATTTTGGCAATTAGAAATGGTCCGCGACTCTAATCGATATTTACAGACATGTCATTGGCAAATATCGAGTACCGTGCTCGTGATTACCCACAGTTATCAGTTGGTTTTTGACGGGGGCATCTCTTCTGACCATCAACCCTTCACCCGAACCACAACAACCACAACAACAACCACCTCGAGAATCCCCTCCAGCTCCAGTACAGCAACATCACCCATCCATGCCAAGACGGCCACAGCATGAGACCCAAGATATACCCTCAACTCCCCCCACCCTTCAACCAAATCCCCCGCTACCCAATCTTATACCACGAACCATCCCCCATCCACCCACTCCCCACCCTCTCCCACACAAGCACAACCACAAGAACACCCCCAATCCCCCGAATCTCCATCTTCGCCAAACGCGAAGACCAAGGCTCCCCACTCGCCTGCGCAGGAAACAAATACCGCAAACTAGAATACATCATCCCCGACATCCTCTCCCAAACACCAACATACTACTACCATGAATCCCACCCAGCAACCAAACCCCTCCCAGGCCCAGCAACCATCCTCGTCACCGAGGGCGCTCTCCAAAGCAACCACACAGTCCAAGTAGCCGCTCTCGCCCGCAAACTAGGTCTCAAAGCCCTGGTCCTACTCAACCGCGACACGGGCGGCGGCTACAAAACCAGTTCTGCACCAGAATGCTTCGCCCAAACGGGTAACGTGCAAATCAACAGGCTCCTCGGCGCCGAAATACGCATGTACAATGCAAACAACCCCGAAGCCACAGATGCACAGCCCGTCCTCGACGAACTAACAAAATCCGGTCAAAGACCCTACTGGATCCCCGGCGGTGCGAGTCTGCATTCCCTAGGCGGACTGGGCTACGCGCGAGCAGCCTTTGAAATTGCCGCGCAGGAGAAAGAAGCACAACTCGGCGGGTCTGGCCGCTTTGATTTTATTTTCGTCGCCTGTGGGAGTGGAAGTACCGTTGCCGGGTTGATATCTGGGTTCAAATTACTTGAAAAGCTGCGGAGGAGCTCAGGCGAGGCAAGCTGGGACCGGGGCTCGCGGAATATCATTGGGATTTTGACTTCGCCGACGAGGCCGCAGAATTATCATGAAGAGCGGGTGCTCCGGTTTGCGAGACGGGCCGGAGAACTTATTGGTCTTTTGGATGCCGAGATGGAGGTTACTATGGAAGATGTACATTTGGATGATCGGTTTGTGGGGGACGGGTATGGGGTTATTGATGACGAGACTCGGAAAGCGTTGTCTCTGATGGCAGAGACGGAAGGGATTGTGTTGGATCCGGTGTATACGGCCAAAGTTGCGGCAGGCATGATGCATTGGGTGCATAGCGAGGAGATGACAAAGTATGCTCCGGAACATGGGCTGCAGGAGGTGAATGTCTTGTTCATTCATACGGGCGGGCAAGCTGCCTTGTCTGCATATTTTGACCGGATCTAGACATGAGACATACATGGAAACTTTGAATGTGGAGGTAGATATGCAGGCACAAAGGCTCCCACACCGTTGGGAAGATAGACTTGAGATGCTGGCATGAGCACAAAGTAGAAGCAAGAGAGTCGAGTGCATCAAATGCTACAAGGATTTTACTGATGTGGCTGTGGGAGAGGAGCAAGGAGATAATTGCTTTGACAGCGGCTGCATTCGACTAGTAGTACAAGATATCGATGACGACAACAGCAAGAGCAACTTCAAACGCATTGAAAGACAAACAGCCTCGGTCATCACAGAAAACATAGCCTGAGCCTGACATGGGAAATAGAATCTGAAAAGAGAAGAGATGGAGGACATATAAAACACAATTCAGGTTAAGGGAATAAAACCGCTGCATCAGAAAACCAACACTCGACTCCGCGGGCATTCGCCTGGTCTTTGACACCGCACCGTTTGTAGTACATCTTTAAAAAGCGGATAAAAAAGAATCAACCTGCGCGGAGCAGGGAGAGTGAAACACAGTCATTCAAGAATAGAGAAACAAGAAAAAGGACATTAGACAAAAACATAGAGTTTGTGAGAGACTCAGAGAGAATTTCAAAGAAAAAAGACATCATCCCAGAATAACCAATAAAAAGGAATCATAGTTCGGAATCGGGGTTCTCGTTCGTCTCTGCAGCGGAAGCCGTGGTGGTCTGTCCCTCGCCACTAGGGGCTGCATCATCATTAGGTGATGGAGCACGGCTGCTGCCATTGCTAGCATTCAGAGCCTCAAGGGCTTCGGTGGCATGAACGTTCTCCATAGGCTCGGACTCGGGCTCGACCTCTTCTTGGTTTGTGAGATCTGCAAAGACATCATCCAAATTTGGACGAGGGCTACTGCTTGCGAATTGGGCATCACGGCCAAAGCGTGGAGGGCTGAACAGAGGTTCCATGCCCTGCTGAGGTGTGGGCGACCGAGGGAGGAATGAGGGGGGATTCGGATGCCGCAGCAGCTGGTAAGAATGCGGACGAGGATGCTGGCGCAAACGCAGGGGTCGAATCACTTGCAGGAAGAGAATAGTTGGCAGAGAAAGGATACGACGTCCCATTGGCATCAGGCATGGGAGTCAACGTCGGCACAGTTGTTGTGGGTGCGCCGTTGCTAGAAGGTGATGGCGCTGGCTGTACAGAGGTGGGCCGAGAGGTTTGCGCGTCGATCGACTTTCGCTTGCCCGGCGCCATCTGCTTGGCGCGAAGGTGCTCAGGAAGATCCTCGGGCCGCTCAACACCAAGCTGAGCCATGATCTTCTGCTGCTTAGTCGGGCGCGGCTTGCGCGTGGACAGGGACTGCTCGAGGATCGGAGGGGCTTCCGGTGCAACGGGGGCCCATTTGTGAATCTCCTGGCGGAAGAAGTTCGTCTCATAGGCCAGAAGAACTTCGGCTCCCTCAATCTTCCGTAGATAGAAAATCAACGTCGGCACTTCCTCAGTCGTAGTACAGGCAGCATTGGTGAAACCATGGAGGAAGTCACGGAAGGCAGTAGCCTGATGGATGATTCTATCCAGAACCTCTTCCTCATCAGGCTGGAAGGGCAGGCTAGCCATCTCTGCTTGCCAGTCCAGCAGGTCCTCGAGTTTAGGACGAGCTGCATCGCGGGGAATCTTCTGCCGCCAGTCGCAGATGGGACAAGTATACTTGTCGAATTCCTTGACTTTGCCGCGCGCAATCTTCAAGCATTTACCATGGTACCACTCGTGACAGACTTCGCATTCGATCATCATTCCAGCTTCGGAGTGACGGCAGATACAAAAGACGTCGCGCTTCCGAGATTTCGGACCCCACACGTTAGGGGCGGGAGTCTCAAGCAGCCCATCCGGGGTATTATCCCGAGACGAAGGCTCCACGGGCGGTCGATAGCTATCCTCCAAATCGAAGCAGTAAGAGTTTCGCTTCTCCACGTACTCCATGTGCGACTTGAGGATATGCAGAGGAGCATTGGCCTTGCCAAAGAGCTTCTTGCCCTTCCTCATCCAATCCTCGTGGCGCTTCTGCTCGCGTTCCAGGTCAATCGCCCCAATGGGACGACTGTTTAGCTGCTCCAGAGACTCCGTGAGCTCACGAACATCCTTATACCTGGGACGATTCTTTAACTCCGGGTCCTTGCTCTTCTCATAAAGCGTCTGGATCCTCTTCTGTGCTTCCCGTTGCTTGGTTAAGATGGCATCGACGGCAGCAAGGGTATCAGGGGACACTGGAAATCGAGAGGCTTGTGCGGAGAGAGCCTCCAGCTGTTGGTAATGAACCGCTTCAACGGACATCAGCTCCTTGGCCTTGGCTTCCCAAGCGTCGCCATGGCGGGACATTTCCTTGAAATGGAGTAAATGCTCATTATTGTCCTTGAGACCAAGTTGCTCTCCGGATGCAATCAGATCCTGGCATTCCTTGAGGCTGAGGTATTGCTCCCGCTTGCGAGCAGCCTCTTCAGTCCACTTCATTTGGTGGTGAATTTTCTCCAGGTGTTCCACTTCCGGGATTTCGACGTTGAAGTTTCGGCCAGCTTCAACAAGCTCCTCAATCTCCTGAGCTGATCGCGTATGCGGGTTCCTCAGGGCAAGGTTAAGGTCCTGACGGAATTTCTCGATTTCGCGGGTCTTCTCTTCCAGGGCCGCCATCTGTGGACAGTCGAAGGAAAGTTTATCAGCCTCTGCCAGTAGGGCGTAGATGTTCTCCACTTTGCGGACTTCTCGGTCGCGCTCGTCCAGCTGCGCGGCCTTGGAGCCGGGTTTGCGCCACGCCTTCTCGTTCTTTCTCCGGTTCTGCTGCTTCCGGGTGATGTAGTTGTTCGCTTCCTCAACCCATTTATCGCAGCGCTGGACGAACGCCGCAAGATCTTGGAGGCCAGGCAGGTGGTACGGGATTTTCTCACCTTCACTGAGCAAATTGTGGAGAGCCTTGAGCTGAGGCTTGGGCTCATCCTCCAAGGTCTTGTCGAGTTTCTCTCCCCAAATTTCTGGGATTTTGGCGCGTTCCTGGACCTTCTGCACTGCCGACTTGAGCTGGTCGTCGCTCATGCGGTAGCGAAGCGTGTGTCCAGGTCCGAGTAGCTTCTGTGCTGGGGGTTCACCACAGCAGTCGAAGACCTCCGCATGCATCAGGCAAAGGGTCTTGCCTGACTTGTGGCAACGGAACTGGGTGAGGTAAGTGTACGCCTTGCAATGCTGGCACTGGTAATCGTCCTCCGGAAGGTCCTCCTCTTCTACTACGAGCTTAAGTTGACAGTCACCTGTAGGGGGGTTGACCCCAAGACCACAGTTATGAGGCACCGCATCTCTATGACGGGCTAGGAACAAGGCTCGATCGTTCAATTCCCTGTTGGTGGTCCGCTCAAGCGCAGGTGCAAGCCATTTCGCAGTGGTGATGGAGTTGTCCCTTGCTGCTGCTGTAAAGAGTAGCTCGTCATGCGAGAAACAAGGATGTCTACGGAAAGTCTGAAGACGCTCGACTCCCGCAGCGCCGAAAGGCTCCCAGTCCGCAGGTGCAAAGTTGACGGCCTCATTGAAGTTGAAACCGTGATTGAATCCGGCGTGATAGGCCTGAGGGAAGGTAAGGACAAACTGGCCTGCCCTCTGGTCCACTGCATAGACGTTGACGCCGGCCTTGCGGAGCTTGTCAGGAGGCATCAAGGTCACAAGCTGGAAAAGAAGATCAGGCTGGCCCTCGAACAGCTCCGGTACTGCCTCGCGCATAGCATTCTCAAAGGCCTCGGCGTCGGCACCGGGAATACCATACCAGGTCTTGGTAGCGCCAAAGTGTTGATAGTTCGCAGAGTAGGCGTAATGATCTTCGTTGTGCCAGCAGAAGGTCGAGAAGCACATTCCAACATAGACCCATGGCACAGTCATGCCAGAGATATCAGACTTGATATGACGGAAGAGCGAATCACCATAGAATGGCAGAACGTTCAAATTCCATGGATCAGACGAATACTGATCAAGAGGATTGCGTTCAATAGTGGGGAAGCCACTGCCATGGGTAGTGGAGTGAATATCGGCGCCATACTCGACTTCGACTGTCTCATGCAGATCCACTACCAATTTCCAAAACTCGGCCTCGACGTCATCCTCGGTCTCCCGTCGGTGAGTGTTGAGGACCGGGTCAAAGGGCATTTTTGATGCGAAATACCGCTTCTTGAACTCGTTGGCCTTTTCTTGGAACTGCTTGAGCGAGTAGACACCACCATCCTCGAAGCCAAACTCTCCAGTGCCAACCAGACACTTCGGGCAATGCCAATCGTGATCGGAAGCCGACGTAGTAGTAGGATCCAGACAGGTAGTATGGTAGCCAAGTTCACAGCTGTCGCATACAAGGATCGTGGAGCGATTGTCCGATTTTCCGCAAGATTCACATTTCTAAGAGATCAACATCAGGTGGTTACTCAACTCGACCGGAAAAGGACACTTACATCTCCAGTTCTTGGCACGCCATTGCGGCCTTTGGGTGGTGCTGGCCGAAGGAGAGACATGTGCGACCCGGCCACGGTTGGGGGCATGTCTAGAAGCACTAAGAGTTAGAGTGATCTAATGAATCGGATTCTCTTTCGGATGAATACCTTTCTTGAGGCGCTTGCTACGGCGCCCGCTCCCGCCGTCGTCCCCATTCTCAGCCTGCGAGCCACTTTCGTCGTGACTAATTGCACGCTTCACAGGCTGTCCAGGATGCCCGTTCGGCACTGGAGTAAAGTGAGAGGGATGCTCAGAAACACTTTTGGGCGTCGACACCCCGTTATCGCTTTCATGCTTGATCGATGGACCGTTGTTGACCGGGGTAAAAGCTGGAGAGTGATTGACGGCAGTGAAACCACCTGCACCGGCATTGACTGGAGTAAAGCCAGAGGGAGCTGGGCGAGGGGCAGGAGGAGGCGTGGGCTCCACGGACGGAGTGGGCTTATCAACGGGCTTTTCGATCGGGGTGCTGCTCATCACGGGTGCCATGCGCATCGATGGTGTTCCATCGCGAGGTATGGACGGGGTTCCATTCTCCTCCATCCCGGGCTTCTTGGTCATGGGTGATTGGCACGGAGACGGGGTATAAGGGCCACCATGTTCCATCTCGAGCTGTTGCTGGACGCCAGGCTTGGCGCGGGCGAGGTACTCTTCATAAGGTTGCAAGTACCGTTGGTAAGAGTTTTTGAGCGAGGTAGATAAAGAGGACATGATCTTTCCGCTGTAGCCGAGATCACGTCCAATTTCAGCCCATTTCTTAGTTTTACACACAGACTCGAATCCACCTCGGACCTCAACAGCCTTTTTCAGCTTGTAGAGGTCCAGAGGGCGTTTGTCCACGCTCGGTAGCCGACTGTAATTCGTCCCATGTTGCTTGTGAAACATGGCAAGCCCGTCGATATAGTTCATGTTGGCGCGATTTCCTGAGTCAGAATCTAGGTTAGAACCGCGCTGCGGAGAGACTCCACCGGCAGCAACATGGTCTGAACGCGGGGCCATACCTCCTTCAACCGAATTCAGCTCTTGTCGACGGGTTTTGAAGTGGAATCGCTGCGAACACATCCAACAGGTCAGCATTTACACATCAGGGAATATTATGGGGCAAGTGAAGGCGCAGTCGGCAAGAGAGCAGAGAATGCTGGCTGCAACAGACTCGCCCCCAGGCCGAACCTCAAACCGCAGAACTAGGGACGCGAGCACGAGGGAAAATCTACCTCTGTATCAATGGCGAAGGGGGGCTGCCAATTCTCCGGAGGGATCACTCGACAGATCCCATATTTCCTTCCTTCCGGCGCAATCTTTTGAATATATGCCACGGGATCCTTGAATTCTTCCTCGGTTGGCCGAAATGTCGGAGCCTCGGGCAAGCCGTGAGGGCGCACGCGCTTGGAGGGTTCGCGGGGAGCATTGGGTTGGCCGCGCCGCTCAACCGTGGAAAGGTCCAGAGGCGCTGATCTGCGAGCGCTCAGAGGCACATTGTGTGAATGCGACGGGTGGGTGCTGGCCGAGCGAGTGGGCTGGCGGCCCATGGAGGATTGAGCAGCCATGGAAGTTGGAACGGTGGAGGCCGGAGCCACCATCTCTCAGTGTTGTTGAACGTATTTTAGACGGGGGTTAACGAGAAGATGTGGCCTGCACCAGATCAATCGAATACCGAAGGAGGTGTCAAGTGTGGTGCGAAGAGCGCATTGGAAGCGGAGGGAAGGGTGGATGATGAGATGAGAGAGCAAGGGCGGACGGAAAGACCTGTGATATCCGAAGGTAAGATAATGACCGGTTTATGTGTTTGAAGATAAAAAAACACTAGAAACGGGGGGGGGAGGATACGGACAAAAGAAAGGGAGAGAGGAAGGGAGGAGAAGGGTTGATGGTTTGTGGAGGGGAGATGAGACAGCCGCAGAAGAAGGAAAGAAGGATGGATTTGATTGATAGTGGAGGAATGAGATTATGTGCAGTACAAGCAGTCCAGTGCCAGTAGACTTCGACCAGGCCAGGTCCGGAGATTCGGGGCCTAAGTACTGGAGAAGTCACTCGGCCGTATATTTTTCGCTGGGAAGAAACCTCCGAGAGACTTTGCCGGTTTGCGACTCCACCGGACTGGAGCTGACTGGTTGATATTAACTCAACGACCTCCCATATCGCCGAGCCGTCGAGACTAATTCACGCTTCTTCATGAGGATTCCAGACCAGTAGACAGCGAATGTACTTGAGTTCACACGGATGGACAATTTAGGGCCATCATCATTATTCCAGAGTGAGGGTCCCTTGGCTACAGCCGCCCAGCCATGGTACATACAGGTGGTAAGATGTACGGTACCGGTGATTACGGTATTGTAAGTTTCTGGTATGATCAGGCAAGTCCACGCAGCTGATTTTGGGGCAGATTCGGGCGGTTCTTCGGGTCCCCCGTGCGGGTCGGAGACCGCGGTTGAAGTAAAAATACGAGCCAGACCTGTAATAATCGGTAATCTCCGTTACATTTAGGGTAAGTGGTCCGTTGTCCATCGTGGACGCTGCAAACGGGCCACCATAGATGGTCGTAGGTGCTACTCCTGCTCAACTTGCCTTACTTTTATCTGTCTTCGCTAGTCAACAAACCCGAGGCCCAAGCGGGATGCTGACAAAAGGAAACAGGCCCTGCCCTGTGACACATCACCTTTCCTCGTGCGGTTGGCGAGCACATCAAGGACGGAGTCGATTTTGGCTCCCTATCCTAGCCCGCCAAAAAGTTTAAATAAACCCAACGCATTGGCTGTGAGGGATTTAAAATAAAAATCATAACACCTTTATGCATGCATCATTACATATATCGTCATCATTGCAGATGGAGACTGAATCTGGATCAAACCCCCGGAATGTGGTTATGGGCCACGTACTTAGATGGAGGTTGCTTACCTTAATACGATTAGACTGAAACGGGTGTTTCTAGGTGATCGCTAAGCGATCTGAAAAATTTGCTGGCGCAAAGAATGGACTAAGCTACGTCGTAAATTGCGTCGACGTCGTATCAAACTAGATCGGCGAGATCTGCCGAGGATTAGCCCTAGCGCAAACCACCTGGGTCTCGGCGTCATCCATACAACAATCTGAATCAGTTCTCTAAGGGGGCAATATCCAATATCAGGGTACCGACACACAGATACCGTCCTGTACTTTGAATATTTACGGAATGTCCGGTGATAAAACAATCATAGTTTCGATTGACTATCTAAGCCCCAAACTAGCAAGCCGAGTAGTCCCGTCATGTGATCGTGTTGTTTCCCAAGTGGGCCCCTACGATATTATGTACTCCGTACTCCGTACTTACTTCTACAGTAAAACCTGGTTATACCGAAATAGGCTTGCTAAGGGGTTTTGATTCGTTAACCCAGGTGTTCGGTATATACAGTAACCCCCTATTTCACCTGAAAAAAGCCACGAATATCGCTCTGTACCCTGCTTTCAACCTGAACCCTCTGTAAATCGATCTCATCTCGCCGTAATCGCTTAATATAAGCCGTATCTAGCGATCTATGATGCTTATTAGGCTGCTGCTGCTATTCGTGGTAGGAAATCAGCCTACGTAGGGCTTCCAAAGCCTCGGTCGGCTTAATAATTGGCTGAATCTCCGATTCACCATATGCACCAGACGCATAGCCAACATATTGCTTTAGCCTGGGAACGTCGTTAAGACGGATTATGCTATCTAGAAGACCGCTGTCCTAGTCTCGTAGAGTCGGGTGCCATCTGTGTCATGGAGGGCGGTCTCTTCAGATTCTAGAATGCATTCCCCCTGGGTATGAAAAGCGCTGTATTATTGCATGGTCGAGAGATTTGTAAAGTGGGAAGAGAGTTATATGAGCGCGAAGGGAGGAAAGGGATACCGAAACCCCTTAGCTTTGTGAAATGCCCCCACTACGAGTCTACCGCCTCTTGCGGCGGTCTGCAGAATCAACAGCGTTTACAATACCGAATTGTCGTCTAGCTCAGTACATGTGGGCTTTTAGACCACAACGGCTATAAAGTAGACAATATGCGAGAGTACTCGTGGCCGAAACCTGTCAGACGAGAAGACAGCAGAGTATGCGAGACCGCGGAGGAGTATTTCTGTGGGCCATACTTTGACGAAAAGGTCTTACTGGGTTTCCTATCTCGAACGAATTTGCGACTTGTAGCATTATAGAGACAAATTATTGAGATATTTGAATAGGTACCTTACCGGTAAACCCAGCCATGTTGTGGCATGTATACCTCTGCACTGGAAAAGGTGCAATGCCTCACGTCGCCCCTCCCTCCCACTTCTCCCCATTGAAGTGGTAATACCGATTCATCCTCCCGAGCACAGTCTGTTGGACTCGCATTAGAATGACAAGAGGCTGCAATAGCCAGGCTACAGCTCCCGGTGACCGGCATCCCAGAATTGAAGCGTCTGAAGCACAATCCAATAAGAGTACTAAGGGCGACAGCTCCAACTGAAATGGTTGCGACGATGGCGATTGGTGAATACCCACAAGTTATTATATCGTTGATGGGATCTCGCTCCAGATCCCCCGTGTACGCTTCGATCATGACAAGGAAAAGGCTCTCGGAGATGAGCCAGTGCACAAGCGTCGACAAGATAATGAATGGAATGGCGTAGCGATAGGGCAGAGAGAGGAAGTATGTGCTCCGTTGTGCACCCATTGGCTGGGCAGAGACGCGCAGTCCTTTCCGCTGGACTGCATATTGACTCCATTCGTGTGCTAGGGCCATGGTCGTGACAAGACCGTTGCATGCAAAATACAGCATGGAGAATACGAGTTGGGGCAAGTTTGCTATTAGGCTGTTGGCCACCACTGACGAAATCGTGTATCCCCCAGAAGAGATCAGTGACTGGGTGCTGATTTGCCCTAGTCCGACACTCCAGATACCAGTTGAGTCGAAGGAGAGAGTTAGTCCGAGCGCAAGGAGGATACCGCAGGCTCCAAGAGCGATTGAATAGCTACATGTTATTTGTCAATTCGCATTCAGTAGCAATAGAAGACGGATATGGCCAATGGACAGAACCGGGGGTCGAATACTGACCATGCGATACCAAATGACCATCTCCTTCGAGAGATAGCCGACCGCCATCTTCTTGGTTTTGCATCAAAGGTCATGGTTCTTCTGTATTTGGCTGGTTGCCTAACAGATTCCATAGGCAATAGACACATGCCTCGCGAGGATTGGTCAGGTGTCCTCAAGAAAGATGAAACTGCGTCACCAGTGGTAAGAAGTGGAGAGTCTTTCGAGGTGAAAGCGACATAGCATAAGACTATGGCCTTCACGATATTAAATGCGATCACAATGACCACCAAATACAAACTGTACTGTAGCTTGCAATGTGGAGTAGGCTCCTCAACAAGACAGTACTCTGGTTTGTACCCACCAACTGTCCAATTATTTTCTGCTACTCGGGCTTGGACTTCTGGTAGAGAAGTGATGCATGGAGTATATTGCCACGCATATTCATGATGTTCCAAGTCTTCGCATATCCAGTTATATCCACTTGCACCAACAACAGCTACGTTGGTTGTAAAGACTGATTGTGTGTACACAAGGTCGAAATGATCGGCTGGAGTGACGTTGCCTGTCACTAAAATAAGGCTGCCATATGTCGACTGAAAGGCTGTGGCATACGCATTCACACAAGCAGAATTATCAAGTCGATATAGAGTGCCGTTTTGTGCTTTCGCATGTAGTCTGAGAATTGCTTGCCGGTGCCCGTCATCCCCGAAGTCCGATTCTATAACCGACACAGCCGTGTGATTTGGTGAGCCATTTGCAGCAAAGACATCATAGGCGTTGGCGGATACTGATGAGAAAACGGTGGAATTGTACCTGAAGCCTAATTATTAGTTGAGACTTACAGAATACATAGAGAACGGGATGTAGCATGGCGCTGACATTAGATGAAGAGGAACAGAGGAAGAGGCCAAACAAATCCACAGCCAGAACCGTTTCTTGGTTATTTGGGACAAATTCCGTAAACTCAACACACCTAGGTCGAGCCACTGTCCATTTTGGTGGGCTGTGTCAACCTCCTTCCTCGTTGGTGCACCCAAGACTTGCTGCGTAACAGTAAGTATGCGTATGCCGACGAAGTTAAGAGAAATGTCTCAAACATACCATACAGTAGTTGCTCGCACTCAAGAGAGCAGTGCTTAGGATGTTAATGATCAAATGAAAACCTACACCAGCATTCCGGACCTTCTTACAGTCCCCCTCGTAGAGGACTCCTTGACCGTCTTGAACATGGCGATGCTGAACGGCCCATAAGGTGAAGCCTAGATTGAACAAAAGTACAACCACGGAAATCACACATCCTAACAGAAGCGTACGCCTCCAGCCAACGAAGCGTTCTTTAAATGACTTCGGCCTGTTTCGGCCCGGTTGAATGTCTGTATCGCCGAATTCGTACTGATTATCTTTGTTCTCGCTTGCATTGCTATGAGAATGCATTAGTGGCTCCGCATCGCGTCGAAGAGGCATCAACTCCATATGTTGGACGTGGAGTGAGGGCTGCATCCAGCTGAAACAGAAAGTGAATGCAGAGTAAGAACGTTTTTGTCTCAGGCAAATGTTGGACTTCAGGGTTCTCGGGGTTTTGACAATTGTCCCATCGGGGCCGACACAACAATTTGAGGTGGCTCTGCTTCTTCGATATGGGGCTGTGCTCATTCGAAGGCAGCCATTTGCTCAATACGCGGCTTAATCCTTCGGGTCGGTTTAGCGGCCTCATACTCTTTTCTGGTTTGTCCGAGAGACGGGCAGAGAGACGGCCACCTCGTATTCAGTGCCGATCACAACGGATCCTCGCCAAGTTTTCCTGATGCACTTATTGCATGTTTGGATCGAGTAAAGGCCCTCTAGGTCCAACCTCCCACCGTGTTTATCGTACCTTTATTGCTTCAGTGAGCCCGCCGAAGACACCTTTGGAGCTGTCTACGAATTTATTGGTTGGTCTGAAGCGCAGCCGTCCGGGTTTGATTTTTGGCTGGGGGGAAAAGAGCGTATCCGAGTCTTCGCGTCGTGGTTGGGTAAATATAAAATCTTATGGTAATTATCATCCAGGATGATGATGGCTCGATTGGGTGACTGGCCACATGTGGGGTCCAAGTGGATGCCCCATATCCGATAAATCTGCCCCCGAGAGTGATGGCTGTAAGCACTATCGCCAAGACATAATCCAATACGGAGTAGATTAATCTTACCATACCAATACCACGCTCTCTCTCAACCCCAAGACGGTTCGAGTTGGATGCGGAGGAAGATAGCATAGCCTTTCGTAGAGCCTCATCTCTCGCAGCTTATGTCTTAGGCTGTTATCAGTCTCAAGCTGGGAACCTCTGATCGTGGGTCTTCAAACTGCAAAGGCCACGGGCCGAAATTGGCTATGCGCGATTCCACCGAGGCAAGCATCTTACGCAAGATAGCCGTTCTCGCCTGTTCTGTTAGAGAGGGAGAGGATTTCCCATTTATGTAGCATTGCGTCACATAGAAAGACATGAAGAGCAGAAGTTTGAAAGAGGTTGTTCTAAACCGCGAACCTGAAAGTATTCTTGAACTTCGGGAGGAGGCCCTCCACCATAGGTTAGTTGGGGACTTGTGGCTCTCCGAGAGGCTGATTGGACATAGTTATTTACCGATTTGAAACTGCGACCCCAAGAGCTTTTCAGTTTTTCCGAGCGGAGGCTTTAGTCTTAGGGCTTCGGAGAACCTCTTCTGCTCCCTGTAATCGCAGCTTGGCTTCCTGGAGCCTATGGGTTCCCAGGAACCAGCCAGCGGACCCCGAAAGCTAATTTTTTTTTTTTGGATCGTTATGAGCGCTGATTCCGCCATTGGGGGTGTACAACGGGATGGAGGGGATATAAACAGAAAACAGACGAATTTCGGACTCGGCAGTCCAGATCTTGATGGCGGTAATGTCGGGGTGGTCGCACTGGATCTGCCACTGCGAGGAACCATCTCTCACGACTATGAATGAGAATCTGGGAGCTGTTGGACCAAGTACTACCATGGGACGATGGAAATTGATGAGGGTACCCTTACCAGCTCTTCATATCCACCATAAGGACGATTTAGACATACATCCCAGGTCGGGAGTCGAAGCGCATGCCATTCTTCTCCAGGCAAGATCGAATGCCGACATCAAAATGGTCGGCGGGATCGTGGGATTCAATGCGAGGGTCATTCACTGGATGGCCAAACCAACTGGATTTGAAGAGGTAGTTCGATTTCTGGGCGATAGTGTTGCGAGTTGATCATTTGGGGTCATATTTCATGTTTACATCGCGATAGTGAACATTTGACTAGTATTCATTCAAAGGTTGCATTAACATTAAATATTGACATTCATAGCACTAGTAATTTTGCAATCAACCTGCTAATTCAGCCTTGGAATGTAGACCTGGAGCCTCGGGGATATAAGGATGCGTATTTGGAAGTTCGGCAGATTCATGCACCCATTTAGACGGTAATTCAGCGGCAGAGGAACGAGAAGGTGCAGAAGGATCAGAAGGGGCATGGGTAGCAGGAGACGGGGGATATTGAGTCCCAAGTTCTGGAGGTGGTGGACCCGATCCAGGCATCACAGAGACCAGTCTATCTTTGTATCCCTCTACGGCCGGGCCTGAGCCATATCCCGGCGGCGGCTGGGTGGCCCTATTTGCGCTCGACTCTTTTCTGAGATGCCAGATCCAGAACACTAATCCGACGAGAATTGCGAGTCCCACTACCGGGCCGATAACTGCTCCAACAATCCAAACCTTTGAAGATGGGGATCCGGAAATTTTGGCGGACGCTGTCACTGTCGCTGAAGATGACACTATTTCGGATGACGACATTGCCGCTGAGGCTATGCGTTAGAGTGTGAATTATTCTCCTTTTCACAGTAATAGTGCTTACATGAGTCAGTTGTGGGCGCCGCAACTATGGAGGCCGGTACTGTTCGATAGTACGAAGTAGTTCTACCATCGAGACAACCATACTCCGAGAGTGGATTTTCGGCACCAGGGGAGCTAAACAGATATCCTGTATTACATGTATAGCCTTGATTGCTGCGAGACAATAAGTAAATATCGACTACATCTATTTGTATTGCTGCTCTGACAGTGCTCACCATGTCATATAGTCATCGTCAAGATACCAAATGGTTGACGATACGCAAGCAGTTGGAATCTCATTTGTTGCCCCAGATGATGCACAAGCCCAATATGAGCCTGAGGTTGTAATATTTGCAATGTGTTGGGGCAAAGAAATGTATAGTCTTGGTCGCTAACGTGAGCTGTATCCATTGGAAAATTTTGTTCATAAACTTACAGGTGCCACTAGATTCCGTGTACCCGATAAAATCAGCGCTTTCTCGTTTCACAAGTTTAGGCGTCGCTGTTTGTTGGGCCATTTTGAAAATCTGGAAACAACGGTTTTAAGAAGAGTATGGCAGCTTAGACGGGTTTCATCCCCCGAAGAATGGAATATTTCGTACTTAAAATTGTCCTTTGGAAACCTTGGAGGTGGATATGGGCCCTGTCGAACGCGCGGCCGTCACTTCGCCTGCCTTATATTGGCATAGCGTGCGTTTGCTTAAACCTTGTATGCGAGGTGGATGAGGCTGACCCGCTGATTCCATCCGCGAGCGTGGAGTTTGCGTTCGATAGCGGAGGTTGAACGGTCGTAGCCTCGACGTAAAAGAAGGTAATGGAGCGGTCGAGGACGAATCTGTCGAGACAGGAAATAAAGTGTAATACTTATCTCTTTCTGCGACCACAGAGGTGCACGCGCCGTAACAAAGCACTGCTCCTTTCCAGCGAAACTGGATCTCCTTGTCATATCAGGGGATAGGTTACAGGTAATGGATAGAAGAAGGTTATTGCAGAAAGAGTGGTCGAATCAAAAGATGGAGTGCTTGACAAAATTGAGCTGTTCAATCAGGCATCAGGCCCTGATAAGTTTGCCTGAGAACTGTATTATAAGCTCGCCCGCGTTAACTGGTGATCTAGCTAGGGAAATGAGTGACTTAAATGTGCTTGGCGGATGGTATTAAATCACAAGATCCAATCGGACAGAAGATATTGCCGTCTGGTTTCGGCGTTATCCAAACAATAATCTAAATCAGTTCTCTAAGGAGTTAACATCCAATATCAGAGTACCGACACACAAATACCATCCTATTACTTGGAATATTTACGGAATGTCCGATGATAAAACAATCATAGTTTCGATTGACTATCTAAGCCCTAAACTGGCAAGAGACTCCTGTCATGTGATCGCGTGGTTTACCAAGTGGGCCCCTGCGACAATACTTACGGAGTACTTACTTCACTCGTGCTCCATACAGATAGCCAGGGCCAACTATTGCAGCAAAATTATTGTACCAAACGGGAGCCAGGTTCCAAAAGGGTTAAATTAGAGGGGAACATAAATCTCGGAAACACCCATCTTCTCAACCGTCCACCACCATGGACGTCCAGGGGAAACCCAAGCCTATCCCGGCTTATTACTGCTGCTATCTGCTCCGTTCGACCGTTCGGCACGCCTCGCTTTATATCGGCTCGACGCCAAACCCGATCAGACGACTGCCGCAGCACAATGGAGACGCCAAAGGTGGGGCTAAGCGGACTTCGCGCGACAAACTACGGCCCTGGGAAATGACGCTGGTGGTTGAAGGGTTCATGAGTCGTGTTGGAGCGCTACAATTCGAGTAAGTTGAAGCTAAGAAACCAATTCTCAGTTTGCTATATAATGATTCTCACTACATATATAGATGGGCATGGCAACACCCTGAAAAATCACGTCATCTGCTAGAAGACGGCGGAGAGCTGGATATACAGTCCCAAGTCCCTACTAATTCGAAGACGGGCAAGGCCAAGCCGCGGGCCTATCGATCTAGAAGATCATTGACAGCTCATTTGGAAGACTTGCATTCACTCCTTCGGTCCGTCTATTTCGCTGCCTGGCCTTTACGCATTCGCTTCTTTTGCGCGGACGTCTATCGCGTCTGGAGGATATGGAATGAGCGAGTCGACGTCCCTTTACCCGACGAGAAGATCATTCTGGATGGGGACTGCCCAGGCCAAGGCGGCAATGATCTCGCTGTCGGTAGCATCAATGGATTATCAGTGGAATATACAAAGCTGGAAGGTCACCTAGAGAAGTCCATGTTTCTTCTCGACGATGCACAGGACCTTCGATGCAAATTGTGCAGCAGTTCGATCGCCCCCAATACGGAACAAATTGTGATCTGTCCGCACACAGATTGTCGAGGCGCGCATCATCTTCTATGCCTGTCCGATGAGTTCCTCAAAACCGCGAATGATTCTGATATTCTCATACCCACGAGCGGAGTCTGCCCGGTTTGCGACACCATCGTGTCCTGGCCATTAATGATGCAGGAGCTCAGTCTCCGCAACCGAGCCGAAAAGGAAGTCCGCACAATTTTGCGGAGGAAAGAGAGGCGTGACCGCAAGGAAAACGCAAAGACTTTGTCCAGTAAGGAATCTGTACGTCAGACGTCCGTTGAGCCTAGTCAGAGAGCTCTGCAGGATCAGGGATGCCTAATGGACACGGATGATCCCCTCTTGCACGACGATTGGTATGAGCAAGTCGATATGGAATCAGACACGGAGCATGGCACACAGAAACACCAATCTCCCCAGCCACCATCGAGACTCGAGATCGTCATTGAAGACAGTGATTGGGACGACGCTGAGGTCATCGAATGATACACACCAGGCGCTCCAGCACCGCAGTATTATATTAACAATAGCATCAATCTATCCTCTCGGGCTAATTAGCAAGCGGACCTAACGTCCTCAATGGCCCAATCGCATCCAGTCGTGCCACACAGCCCGCAACAGCAGCCTGAATATCCGTCGAGACCTCCTCCAGCGTCCTCCCTGCATCGACGACACAAACATCCTTCTGCCGCTCAAACAACGTGCGAAACAACTCTCGCACGCGACTCTGCATACTCTCATTCTCATATCTTTCAGCACCAAACCCGCCTCGTTTCGCAGCTTCCTCAGCAGAAATATTCAGAAACAAGCAGATATCTGGCTGCGGGAGCCCAATCTCCGGCTGCCAGGCCCACTCCAGCGAGAGGGTGGGGTTGGCTTTCGCGGCCGAGTAGACAGCGCCGGAGTATGAGTAGCGGTCGACGATGACGGTGATTCCGGCAGCGATATCTTGTTCGATGCTTTTGGCGATTTCCCATCGGTTTGCGGAGAAGAGGAGGTGGATGGAGTGGTCGTCTTGGTTGGCGGAGCCGCGGAGGTAGCTATCTATGAGCTTTCCGATGGGGGTGGTCCTGTCTGAGGTGGAGATTAGATCAGGATGTAGCAATTGAAACACGAGAAAACATACCTGGAAATCGAATATATTTCACATTATATCCTTGTTCAGAGAGGTAGTTTTGTAGCATTTCGCATTGGCTCGATTTGCCGGCGCGATCGAGACCTTCGACGACAATCAGGGCGCCGCGTCGCGTCGGCGTTTGTTGCGAAGCTGTCATTTTGGTAGCTGTTGTCAGGAAATGGGCAGATTATATGACAAAGAAATGGGGTTTAAGTCAAGCTGAAGCTCAATGGCTCTTTGTTTCGCCTGTACTTCAAAAGGGAAGAGTGGTGGTTCAAGAGAAAGCAAAGTGACGGGTCCCTTGTTTAATCGACTCGGCCCCAAGCCTCTTTTTTTCTGCCGCCTCCCTCGATAAGATCGCAAAGATCCCAACGTCCGCCAGCATGGCCACTCAATAACCTCAGCCACCATGGATTCCGAACCTTCCCCATCCCGCGAGATGACATTTAGCATCCTGGGCTCTGCAGCGCCAGTGCTGGCCCCTCGAGTGGGCACATTGGCCCTCGGCGGCCGCCAGACGATTGCGACGCCAAATCTCGTCCCGCTCACATCGCGGGGTGCTGTGCCGCATATCTCGCATGATATGGTGCGCAAAGAGACTGCAATCAATAGTCTGTATGTCGGATTAGAAGACTGTATGTGTGCTACGTGATCTCTCTACCAGATCTGGCTATGAAGGCCTACTTTGTTATGGCGCATACTGACCACGCGACATGTCTTTGCTCTGAATAGTCATCGAGAGGAAACACCCTGCCCCGCTATATAATGTCCCCGCCACCGCAAACGAGTCGCCCTTGAGGAAGTTTATATGCGCACAAGATGATGCGACCATTCTTTTAGGCCCACGACGATTCCCCGCGATTGCATGCCCTCCCAACAACACCGAGACCTCCATCGCCATCTCAACCTCTGTCGGGTTTCGGCAACTCGAGGCCCACGGGTATATCGAGGCCATACAGAAGCTGAAACCCGACATTGCCATTGGTCTGGCTGATATGGTTCTCGGGAGACCCCCTGGTCTGAAGAGGCGAGGTAAGATGGTCGACCGGACGCATGCATATACTCGCGATGCGCTGGAGCATCTATATGGGGAATCTGTGGCGGAGAAGTCAAAGGCCAAGTTCTTTGCGCCTGTGCTACCGCTGGACAACACACAGCAATCTCTCTATCTCGATGACCTAGAGGGTGAGTTCAAGGATCGCATCGCAGGACTGGCGCTGTACGAGTCAGCCTCGTTGGGCTATATCTCCGAAGCCCTGGGCGACCTACCTCGATTATTGCTGAGTGATCCATCAAGCCCTCACGAGGTACTTCGCGAGATCTCACTCGGTGCAGACCTTTTGACCGTCCCGTTCCTGCAGGGATGCTCAGATGCTGGGATTGCGCTGGATTTCGCATTTCCTGTCCCAGCGGCTGTACAGGCTCGGGGAGAGCCTCAGCCACTTGGACTTGACCTCTGGTCATCGGAACATGCTATGGATATCTCTCCATTAGTCAAAGGGTGTGAATGCTACGCATGCCGGAACCATCATCGTGCCTACTTTAATCACCTGCTGCGCGCAAAGGAGATGGCGGCGTGGGCTCTGCTCCAAATGCACAATCACCATGTGATAGATCGTCTCATGGCGGGTGCGCGAGACAGCATCCAGCGTGGGACTTTCGAAGAGGACGTCAAGGCATTCCACCGAGCATACGTCGCTAATTTGCCAGACCGAACGGGCGAGGGTCCTCGGTAAGTTTGGTCCAGAATACTCCTTTTCTCCTTTCTTTCAGAATCCTAACACTCAATAGACTACGCGGTTACCAGATGCCGGCCGCTGGACCTCATCAGCCCCGGCGTATGCCTAAAGTATACGGCCGTCTCGATGATCTCTCGCAGAAATTCGCCGAGTCTCAGTCGTCCGTTGCGACTCCAGATACGGACGCTGAGGGACTCGAGAAACACGGGTTTGCGGAGAGAATCTAATTAAGCGATATTTACAGAGTTCATGATTTTTTGCTAGCGGTCGCGGCTCTTATCCTTAAAAGCATCCTGGAAACAGGGGTAGTTTTGGGCAATTTTGATTGAGCTTATGTTTTTGAAGCATGCATATGAGAGAGCCTTGACTGCCTACACTTACATAGCGGAATAACTTCGTCTTAAATCAAAGGAGAATTACAACTCATAAAAGTAGTGGCTCAATTTCATATAATCATTCCATCGACCTCAAGAGCACCCAAAAAAGTACTGTACAGGATCCAAGATCTCATGATACCACCAGTCTTTCTTCACATGGCCAAAATAAATAAATCATCATCGTCGCAGTCAGATAAGAAAAAGGAAATAGGCGGGAGGAGCAGAAGGAACAAAAAGGGAAAGAGGTAGGGTATATCTAGCAGATGCAACTTAAGCAGAGCGGCTCTCCCTCTCACTGAGTCTCTCCCGCCAATACACGCCACATCCACTTGACCTCATCTTCTTCCTCTTTGCTGCCCTGCGGTGTGCCCGCGCCAAATTGCTGACCGACAACGCAGACAAGCCAGGTATCATTCTTAGTCTGGTCGAGGAAACGCTCGGTAGGTGAGCCACGGGGGTAAATGCGGCGCCATTCATCCCAGATGCGGAAGGCTTCCTCGCCCCAGGCGCGGAAACTGACTTCCTCAATGATGGTTGGAGTGACAATCTCCTTGCCACGGAAGACACCCCAAGTGACGGCATTGACGCTTTCGGGGTTGGAGTTCAGCTCGTCAAGCTCTACATCAGCTGGCTGGACAGGGAGCGAGGATTCGAAGGCGCCGGTGTTATTGGTTGCGAACCACACGAGCTTGTCGTGACCGTGCTTCTCGAACAGGGGCTTCAGAATGGTGGTGTAGTCCTTGCTGGGGCAGAAGAACTCGACAAAGGGTTTTTGGAAGACAAATCCTTCCCGCTGGGGGCCCCAGCCGAAGATGTGGTGGTCACTGCGGAGACCGTTGACGGCGGGTTGGGAGGCCAGGGTCCACCAGCCGCGGCCGTCGATGAGCTTGAGCAATTCGGGGCGAATAAGCTCCGTCTCTGCATTCAGACCGGCACCTTCCTCCGCGCCACCCTCTGACCAAGGGACCATGTACAGCTCTCCAGAGACGTGATGACGGAACAGTGTGCTGATATCAGAGTGCTCAACGGGGTGGCCCCAGATCCGGCGGGCCACGGCAGAAGTGACATGGAGGGACGGGCCATATCCATCAATCTCACCGAAAGCCGGGGAGCGTGCATCACCCCATCGACCGTTGGGGAAGTCATCCCATGTGGCCTCTCTGCCGAGAGAGCCCAGTCCCTCGGAAATCTGAAGGGTTGTGCCCCGGCCGGGAGGCATTGCGGGCTGTCCCACGCTGTTGGCGAGAGCCTCGTGGACGGAATCATGGGAAGATTCCTTGGCAGAAAGCTTGTCCACAATCACACGGTTGTGCGGCTGGGAGTTGATAGAGGATGCCCGACGTCTGGCCAGGCGGGCTGACGCGCCGAGGGGCACCACACCGTGGGCCTCCACAATAGCATAGTCATCTTCAATATCAGTCGAAGAAGGAATCAGATCACATCGCTCCAGAATGAACGACACTGTCTTCTCCAAGTTCAACGTATAAAAATGGAATCCTCGTGGCCCTGGGGACTTCAGCTCTTGCATGCCTCCAACGATCTCGCTGACGATGTCCACACCGGCTCGCTTGACGGCCTCATCATCATGCTTCAGTTCTTCCATGCGCTTGGCAATAGGATCTGGGATATGCACGTGGCTGAGCTTCGTCACTCGAGTGAGAATCTTGTAGCTGTGGACGGGCATAAGGCCCGGGATGATGGGAATGGTTTTGAAGACGCCAGACTCGTGATTCCGAAGCATATTCTCAAACTTCTGGTATGCTTCAATATCATATGTGAGCTGTGTCATGATGAAGTCTGCTCCGGCGACGGTCTTTTCAATGAGGTATGGCAGATCGCGGACTGGATCCTGGACATCCTGGAACGAGTCGGCGGGATGACCCTCGGGGTACGCCGCAACACCAATGCAGAAGTAGTCACCATGTTGCTTGCGAATGTACCTCACCAGGTCGACTGCGAAAGTGAAGTCCTTGTTGCTATCGTCCTCGCCATGCATGTTGTATTCCTCGCTACGGGGCGGGTCTCCTCGCAGAGCCAGGATATTGCGAATACCCAAAACCTTGGCCTCCTCCAATGCCATGTCCACCAACGCTCGGCTCATGTTCGTGCATGTCAAATGCAGAACCGTCGTCAACTGCAACTGGCGCTGGCAGACTTCCGCCAGCTCGAGGGAACGGGCCGCCGTGCTTCCGCCTGCACCCCAAGTGACCGTCACGAAGAGTGGACGTAAGGCCTGAGCCATCCGCTCCAGACGTGCAGACAGGTTCGCGAAACCCTACCGTAGCCATCGGGTTAGCAAATCTGGGTCATGTCCTCAATTTCCTCGATCTCTCGCTCTTAAGAGCGCACACGCGGGGTTACCCCACCATCCGGGTCTTGGGAGGGAAGAACTCCAGCGAGAAGTAATTGGCGTCCGGCGGCAGGGCCGCAATCTTCTCTGTGATCTTCTTCTCCATTGCGAAGGATGTCGTGGTCAGCAATGGGAGAGGGCGGTTGAAGGAAAGGAGAGAAGTTTTGGGTAGAAGTGGACCGTCATGGATTCTCCGATGGTAGTTGGTCGCATCGGGAAATATGAAGTCCACGCCTGCCGATGACGGCCATCCCGCGGTCTGTACAAAGTACCCATCGTTTCGGTCCTGTTACTTGTATCTAATGTTTTCTTACTGTCCCATTTCATTGCTCCACCGTCATTTCTATAGCTGGAAATAAGCTTGTCGGAAAAAGCAGCAGAGAAAAAGATCGCCCGGGCGATTACTCAGCGCATTGGACCATGGATGGGCGAGTTTTTGTACATCCATGCTCCATGACTAGTTCGTACAGCTAGGAGGCTATTGAACCTGTGGATGAGTGAATGGCCCAATGCTTTCAAAATCTCGTCGTCTAGATATTTCATAAAGTTACAATACAATCTATCAATCTCAAGATGAAATCAACTCGTTTGCAAACTGATCGCTCTCGACCGCCCTAATACGAGCCCACAATCGCCAACCGAACTTCAGCCGCCGCAGCACACCAGGACGCCCGGTCTCCATTGCCAAAGTGAGGCATATTACCCTCCTAACACTCGCCGTATACTTCCGATCTACTCATTGGCATACTTTATCTCACGATGACTGTCCGGCGTCCCTTGACTTTCCCGACCGTCCTCCGCCCGGTCCGCGCCAACGCGGTGCGACAGCCTGGACCATTGTCACGAAGGACAATGTCCACGCCTCCAAACCCCTCACAAGCCCCAAGACCAGCTCAAGCGAACCCTAAAGATTCCCAGTCCCGACTACGTCGCTTCAATGACCGACTACCACGATTCCTTCGCACATATACAACCCCACTGTTGGGAGCTCCAGTCACACATGTCACCTCCTTCCTAGTCCTACACGAAATCACCGCGATACTGCCACTGTTCGGGCTGGTCGCTGCGTTCCACTACGGCGCATGGATGCCGGATCTCAGCTCGGATTCGGGGGAAAGCAATGCCTTCGACGAGGGAGCGAAGCGGTTTGGACGCTGGCTGAGGAAGAAGGGCTGGGTTGAGGAATCCGATGTCAATACCGTCGCGGAGCACGAAGTAACGGGGGCTACGTATGGCGCGCAAAAGGAACAAGCTGGAGTCCGACTGGTGCTGGAATTCGCCACGGCGTACGCAATTACAAAAGCTCTACTGCCCGTCCGTATAGCAGCTAGCGTGTGGGCTACGCCGTGGTTTGCAAGAACGATTCTTACGCCGACCACGAATGTAGTAAAGAGGATATTCAGCAAGAGCTGAACTCGACCAGCATCTGAGTTTACTAATACAAAGAAAATCCGTATTCATCAATAATATGATGTATGTTTGATTTTGTAGCCATTCAAGGCCTTGACTCAACACTATTGCAATTCTATACCGCAAACAGCCGAGGGCTGGCACTCGTCAGGCACAAGCCTCGTGGAACGAGCAATTTACTCGTAAATCCACTGGGCCTGGGTGGCCTTCCACTTGAGGACCTCGGAGGGAGAGAACCAGAGGGCGATCTCCTTCTTGGCGTTCTCAACGCTGTCGGAGCCGTGGCAGACGTTGCGGCCGACATCGATGGCGTAGTCACCACGGATGGTGCCGGGGGCGGAGGCCAGGGGGTTGGTGGCACCGAGGATGGTGCGGCCGGTCTTGACGGCGTCCTTGCCCTCCCAGACCATGGCGCAGATGGGGCCGCTCAGCATGTCTAGCGAAAATTGGGTTAGACGCTTATCTTGGTGAGAAGGAAGAATCGGAGCATTGTGGAAACTCACAGGAGATGAGGCCCTTGAAGAAGCCCTTGCCGGCGAGGTCGGCGTAGTGCTTCTCGAGGTGCTCCTGGCTGGGGGAGGTGAGCTTCATGGCAACGAGCTTGAAGCCACGGTTCTCGAAGCGAGAGATGATGGGACCAACGAGGCCACGCTGGAGGGGTGGGGTTAGCAATTGAAGCTCAATTGATGGATCGGTCGGCTATTCGTGACAGTTTCGGCCTCAGAAGGCTGGTGATCGTACCTGGACACCATCGGGCTTGATGGCAATGAAACTGCCGCAATTTGTTAGCTTCAACTTCACACCGCCAGATAGCGTCGCAAAGCGATAGGAAGAGCAGCAATGCAGGGACAGGGGGTAGGGAAGGGAGTATAGAACGGGCATTGGCTATGGAATTGGTCACTTACGTCTGCTCGTCGGCCATTTTGATGGATTGGGACTTGAAGATTATGATCAGCAAGGGATGAGGAGCAAAAAGAGGAGGAGGGAAGAGAGGAGAATAAATACCTGTGAGCCTTTTTTTGGCTGCGATTGGTGGGGCTGAGGGGTGCTCTCTGCCTGAGGCAAGAACCCCGACACCTCGAGGGTAATTTTGTTGGCCTGTCTTGTTGCCTTGTAGCCTTACAACCTTAGGCAGCTTACCCCAGCTCTCTCCACTGGTCAGGCCAGCCTGGAGCTTCCCTCGTTGACAAGTGTACCACCCTTCGGATGCAGGTCCACACCGAACCCTTACGAAGCATTGGGTCAGATATTGAGGGTCTCTGATTGTAACTATCCTCGACATCATGGCCAGGAGCCGGCCTGCGTCTCGTTGGACGCTATTGCTATCTTTAGTTGTTCTTATCGCATGCATTGTTGTCCCCGGATGTCAGTTCACCCATCCACTGACTGACACTGATCTTTCTCTCAAGAACTAATTGAATTGGCGTGTACAGTGGCTGTAAAGCACGAAAATTTCAAAACCTGTGATCAATCAGGCTTCTGCAAACGAAACCGAGCCTACGCCGACAATGCCTCCGCTCAAGGCTCGTCCTGGCGCTCCCCCTACGAGCTCGATCCTGCCACCATTCACTTCAAGGATGGCCAATTGACCGGCGTCCTTGTGAAACCCATCTCTGACACCGAGAAAGTTCAATTGCCTCTTACGCTTTCCTTCCTTGAATCCGGTGCCGTTCGGCTGATTGTTGATGAAGAGAAGCGGTTGAAGGGTGATATCGAAATCCGACATGGTAGCAAGGTAAACAAGAAGCGTTACGATGAAGCCGAAAAGTGGGTTATCGTCGGTGGTTTGGATTCCAGCCAATCGGCAACTCTGGACGCACAATCCGAGACGGGGTTCACCAAGATCTTGTATGGGCCGGAGGGCAAGTTTGAGGCCATCATCCGTCACGCTCCATTCGAGGTTGAGTTCCAGAGGGATGGTCAGACTCATGTCCAGCTGAACCACCAGGGTTTTTTCAATATGGAACACTGGCGACCGAAGGTGGAGGGCAAGGAGGGAGAGTCTGAGGAAGATGAGAGCACTTGGTGGGAGGAGAGCTTCGGTGGAAATACCGATTCTAAACCTCGAGGCCCCGAGAGTGTTGGTCTCGATATTAGCTTCCCAGGCTACAATCATGTCTTTGGTATTCCAGAGCACGCAGACTCGCTGTCGCTCAAGGGGACTCGAGGTGGTTCTGGCAACCACGAAAACCCTTACCGCATGTACAACTCGGACGTGTTTGAGTACGAGCTTGACAGCCCTATGACCTTGTATGGATCAATTCCATTCATGCAGGCCCACCGCAAGGGCTCTACTGTCGGCGTCTTCTGGCTCAATGCTGCAGAAACATGGGTCGACATCGTCAAGAAGAGTGCTTCATCTAACCCACTCTCGATGAGTGCTTCTTCGAAGACAAACACTCATACCCATTGGTTCTCCGAGGCGGGTCGGATCGATCTGTTCGTCTTCCTGGGCCCAACTCCCCAGGCTCTCAGCAAGACCTATGGTGAACTCACCGGTTATACTCAGCTGCCCCAGCACTTTGCCATCGCCTATCACCAGTGCCGCTGGAACTACGTCACTGACGAGGATGTCAAGGAAGTGGATGCCAAGTTTGACAAGTACCAGATCCCCTATGATGTGATCTGGCTAGATCTGGAATACACCGATGACCGGAAGTACTTCACTTGGGACCCTCTCACCTTCCCCAACCCCAGGGGCATGCAGGAGAAGCTGGATGCGTCCGAGCGGAAGCTTGTGGTCCTGATTGATCCTCATATCAAGAACAAGGATGATTATTATGTCTCTCAGGAACTGAACAGCAAGGGCCTTGCTGTCCAGAACAAAGACGGCGAAGTATATGACGGATGGTGCTGGCCTGGTTCCTCGAACTGGGTTGACTGCTTCAATCCCGCCGCATTCCCATGGTGGAACAGTCTCCATAAATACGACAAGTTCAAGGGTTCCTTGTCCAACCTGTTCATCTGGAACGACATGAACGAGCCTTCCGTCTTCAACGGACCCGAGACCACCATGCCCAAGGACAACATCCACTATGGCAACTGGGAACACCGTGATGTTCACAACGTGAATGGTCTTACCCTGGTGAACGCCACTTACCAAGCCTTGTTGGAGCGTAAGAAGGGTGAGGTTCGCCGTCCATTCATTCTCACTCGCTCGTACTATGCCGGAGCTCAACGCCTAGCTGCCATGTGGACTGGAGACAACCAGGCTACCTGGGACCACCTGGGCGCCTCCCTTCCTATGGTTCTGAACAATGGTATTGCTGGCTTCCCATTCGCTGGCGCTGACGTTGGTGGATTCTTCCACAACCCGGAGAAGGAGCTTTTGGCCCGCTGGTACCAGGCCGGTATCTGGTATCCGTTCTTCCGTGCCCACGCCCACATCGATACTCGTCGTCGCGAGCCGTACTTGATCAGCGAACCGTACCGAACCATCATTTCTCAGGCCATCCGCCTGAGGTATCAGCTTCTACCCGCCTGGTATACCGCGTTCCACGAGGCATCCATCAATGGCACGCCTATTGTGCGCCCCCAATACTACGTCTTCCCGGACGATGAGGAGGGCTTTGCCATCGACGACCAGCTGTACCTGGGCGACACCGGCCTCCTTGCCAAGCCCGTTGTGAAGGAGAACACTTTCACTACCGACATCTATATTGCCGACGAGGAGAAGTACTATGACTACTTTGACTTTACCATCTACCAAGGCGCCGGCAAGCGACACACCGTCCCCGCCCCCGAGGACAAGATTCCTCTATTGATTCAGGGCGGACACATCATTCCTCGTCGGGACCGCCCGCGCCGCAGCAGCGCTTTGATGCGCTGGGACCCCTACACCTTTGTGATTACTCTCAGTAAGAACGGTGAGGCCGACGGTACTCTCTACGTTGATGATGGCGAGACATTCGACTACGAGCGCGGCGGCTACATTCACCGCCGCTTCCAGTTCCGTGACTCTGTCCTCTCATCGGAGGACATTGGCATCAAGGGTGCCAAGACCGCCGAGTATCTGAAGACTATGGCAGGCGTCACCGTGGAGCGGGTGATTGTTATTGATCCTCCAACTTCGTGGAAGGACAAGAACAGTGTGACAGTCATTGAAGATGGGGCTAAGGCTGGATCCACTGCCTCGCTGGAGTACTTTGAACAGAAGGGCGGCAAGGCTTCATATGCTGTTATCAAGAGCCCGAATGTTGGTATTGGCAAGACCTGGCGGATAGAGTTTTAGGAATTTGCATTGTCGATTGTTAGACATGACATGACGTACATGTTCAATAGTTTAGAAGGTTGGCGATTTTTGAAGAGCATGCAATCTAGTCGATTGATTCATTCTTGTCTTGAAATACATTGAAATGTCCAAGGTCTAGGGTTCTCGAAACACGATGTCTAGCCACTGTAAGCCAACTTGAAATGGCATGATGTTTTTGCTTGTATCAGCGAGCCACCTCTGAACTTGTTCTGGATGATTGGACAAAGATATGAAGCACCAAATACCATCATGAAGTACCATGGGTCTTCTATCACTCCAAAACCCGAGCATGCACCTCAACGACAAATTTATCCCCCTCCGCATTTAAAGCAGTCAAACGTAATTCTCCGTAGGGATCAACCCACCATCCCACTCCGTTGGAGCCAGCGATCTCATCTCCCAGCCAAAAGAAATTAATTCTGTCCTGCCTCCCACTCCCTTGAAAAAAGGTACCATAGTAGTCCCAAAAGAAGTCCATCGCGGTTATATTAGCTTGTTCCAGCGAGGCGAAGACCTTTTCTACCAGGAATATGGACTCGGTGGAGGCCTGGACACTTGAACGGGTCACCACGAAGACGCAGTCCACGAGATCTTGTGGGGTTACCCGGTCATATGCTTCGCTGATTTCGTATAGGAGTTCTTGGGGTAACTCGTGGCGTTGGTCGATTCTGTGTACCCTTGATCGTTCGTATGGTCTCCAGTTCTCTGGATGCGCATGTGCTTGAGATTCGTAAGCGTCCGTAGGATTGTCATCGAGATTAGGTATGGGCATTATGAGATGTTGTCTTGAGGACATTGATGGGGAGAAGTGTTTCAGGTAATTTTGCAAGACAGCTATAATAAATGATAGCCCGCGGATGTTATGGTATCCAAATAGGGCTTAGCATCTCAACCTCTATGGCAAGTGTGACGTATAGTAGATTGGAAGAAATGAAAAATTAGTTTAGGGGGGCACCGCAACTGGATTCGGTCACCTTTCATCTATGGTGTAATTCCACTCCTGTAGTAGGAGATAAAAGTCGCGACCGCGACTGTTTTGGTCGAGGGTAGCCGATAAACAGATTGGAGTTTAGACGATGATCGACCTTCTTCATCATCACCATTGACTCACTAAATGGTGACTTATCATTTGCATGTCAGCAATTCTAGAGTACCACTAGAGACAATGTCATGGATATGAAGGTATCTAGCCTGGGGTTCAGTCGTACCTGATGGGATGAGCCAAGGCCCTTGTACTCGAATACTCGAGACTAACGTGCTTGACATATTGGACCAAATCTATCAGATTATAGTCCGAACGATTTTTGGCTAAGGACTCTTGATGAGTATCTGTACTCTAAGATACTACAGACTACTAATCTATTGTCTTCTTGGTGATTATTGGGCCCTTTTAAATTCGACGCGATAGATCTTTGCGCTCCGCCGAAGTATATACATCCACCTAGAGTTGCCAGGGACATGCACTGGCAGTAGACCAAGTCTAGCGACCGTAGAAACCATCTCCCCAGATACAATTCAACTTCGTCTCTTTTCCTAGGTTTTTCTAAATATTTTTCGAATTGACTCTCCTCATAGCTCCAGCGATAGATGGTCAAGTTTGGTCGGGGGTTCAAACTGAAGGAATCTCGCTGTATTCTCCGACCATATCCATCTATTGAGTGGTTATTGATAGACATTAAAATCCTCTTGTCCAATTTGAAAGCAGTGAAAGCTCGAATGTGATTGACTACGGAATCACAAGGAAGCAGATGATGGGATGGCCTGGAAGATCAAAGCTTGCAATGCCCAGCCGTCCAAGCCTTGGGCACAGACCAGGTGTGTCGCGCGACCAATTTCCCCTTTCATATCCAAATGCTCATTCAGCCACTGACTGCGATACAGTACATCAATGCTCAAGTATCTATTCGTTACCGAACTATAAATCAAGTTTTGTTGTACTGTACTTCGATCATGTCCATAAGGTCAGTCAACAAGTCACCAAGTGGTCCAATCATCTCCAATTCCCTCCATGTACAGCTAGCTATTCAACGCCTAGAACTGGAATTAATCGGTCTGGTCGATCTATGAATTAGATCCAAAACCAGGCCAGCCATTTCCCATGACTATGGCCCTTAACTCTCTTCAACAGCCACGAGGCCGAGCACAATTATCCAAGGCCCTGCCAAGCATCTGGACCAGAATATTCTTGGTCTTCTTGGGTTCCTTGGCCCGCAGTGATCGACAGAGCGCTGACATAAGCCTGGAAAAAAACCCGCAACCGTCGCGGCCGCGTTGGGACCTTTCTCCTTGTTGGTTATTATTCTTGGTTCGTCCACTCGAAACTTGCCCCTTGTGCCTCGTTCGCCGCTTGTCTGGTCTTTTCTGCGCTGAAGCGTGTCCGGATTCTTTGAGCCTTCCCCGAGACACTTATACGCTGAACGATCCCCGCCGAGTTGTTGATTCTGAGTGTATACCCTCCGGAGACCGCGGAAGACCTTCACAACCATCATGTACCTCATTCAACTAGCCATTGAATATGGCGCGCCCGTTTTGTACGTTTCAGATCGCAGAATCATATCTTCTGGAAAGCATATGTGCTAACAATGATTGTATAGCCTCATCTCCTCTCCCCTCACGTCCTACCTGGACCAGATCCTCAGCATTCACCGGAATAGGAGTTCGGCTGGGTTTTCGCTAGACATCCCGTTGATTATGCTTGTCGCATCGATCTTGAAGTAAGATCCTCCCACTTGTCCCATGCGACCCCGATGATAGCCGAGCGCGGACTGGATTTGAAGACCGTGGAATACTGATATTGACGCGCTGCTTAGGGTCTTTTACTGGTTCGGGGAATATTATTCCAAGGCCTTGCTGGCTCAGGCCGTGGTTATGATCTTGGTGCAGATAGCGCTGCTCAAGGTTGCTTTGGACCATCGGCCTGCAGTGGGCGCAAAGAATGGCATCGAGCATACACCCTTCAGCGGTGGTTCTCAGGGTGGATTCAACCGGCCCTATGATTTCTGGCAGTGGAGGAACACCAAGCCGTAAGCTTACTTGCTCCCTTCTCGATCTGCCTTGTCGAAACTCTCTGATCCGCTATTTCTACAGATACTGGCTCTTCCTTGCCTATTTCGTCGCCATCGTGGCCGTCCTCCACCTCACCCCTCTTTCCGGCTCCGAGACCTATATTGGCTTCCTGGGCGCCGTCGGTCTTGCTGTCGAGGCTACCCTCCCTCTCCCTCAGATTCTGGCCAACCATCGCTCTGGATCCTGCAAGGGCTTCCGACTGTCCGTTCTTGCTGCATGGATCATTGGTGACACCATGAAGATGAGCTACTTCTTCTGCAGCCAGGACACCATCCCCTGGGCGTTCAAGATATGCGGTATGTTCCAGTGCGTGTGCGACCTGTACTTGGGCTTCCAGTACTGGACGTTCACTCGCGGCTCCGGCCGGGCTGCTGGCAGCTCGATGGAGCAGGAAGGCCGGTGGGGACAAGAAGAGAAGGACATTCGCATGAACTGAGCGGACTTGCCAGACCAATTTTTATGAACCAATTGCTGCATTTGGTGTAGATAGATGGGAATCACCGAGCCATAGCGACTTATAGATTTGTAATTCTGAATGAGATGATGTTATAGTTTTCCTTGAAATGGTTTACTTGATGTTGATCATTTTATTTCGAAAAGTAAGACTCCCCGCAGCAATTCCGTTTCGGGCAGTTGAGGGACTTGCCCCGCGAAATGCCGAACATAGTAACGCGCTGTCCCTCCCTCAAGTGGTGGAACGTCAGACTCGCAACTCTCACACACCCGTTGGGTTCAGTTGTCAATCCAACCATCTTCAAACCGGACGAGCATTCACAATGGCTTCCGTACCGACTATTCGCATTGGCTACGTGCCCGGTATGTCCTCGACGGAGCTCGACAGAGCTTTGCGATACCCCACTTGCTATGATGATTCGATACTCCAGCTCGACATGGTCTTTCTACGAACCAAAGAAACTGATTGGCAATGTCTACGCAATCCTAGAGCACTATCTGACTCCTCTACATCTGGCCTTGCGCTCTCCGGCCGTATCCTCTCTCCCATACAAGATCGCCCTGATTCCGTTCCCATCCGGCACGGGCCATATGATCACATCGCTGCGCGGCAATGAAATCGACATCGCCATTGGTTTGACCGAGGGTTGGGTTGCCGGTCTGACGGGAAAGACGCAGCCGCAGAACCCCGCTGAAGGAGGATACAAGGTTGTTGGTCACTGGGTGGATAACCCTCTTCGATGGGCTATTGTCACTGGTCGCAACCGGGACAATATCAATGGCGTGCCAGATCTGAAGGACCAACGAGTGGGCGTGAGTCGCCTCGGAAGGTATGTATTCTGGATTTATTCGCATTCGGCCGGTTATCATAGCCTGCCCTGAGAGACTAAGCTGATTATACTACGTGCCCAGCGGCTCCCATATCATGTCCTTTGTCCTTGCCCAGCAACAGGGCTGGAAGCCAGACTCCTTGACTGCTGCCATTCTAGGTCCCTTCGGCGCCCTGCGAAACGGCGTCACTGGACAAGACGAAGCAAACCCGGGCCAGGAAGCCAACCCAACCGCCGAATTCTTCATGTGGGAGCATTTCACCACCAAACCGTTCTTCCACCCAACTACCGATAAGCCCAACCCACCACTGAAGAATATCGGCGAGATATTCACCCCCTGGCCATCATGGATGATTGTCGCATCAACCGCCAGGTTCCCAGACCCTCAGAATGACCAGCGATTGCAGCAACTCTTCCAGGCTTTGGATCTGGGTATTAAGCAGTTTGAGGCCGATACTTCTCAAGTTGTGAAGCTCCTGGGCACTGGCGAGCTTGGCTGCACCTATATCGAGGAGGATGCGACGGAGTGGCTGAAAGATGTCAAGTTTACTAATGCTACTCGTGGCGTTGATCGCAAAGTCATCGAGGGTGTTGTGGACGTTTTGAAGGTGGCAGGTGTCATTGATACTGCCTTGAGCAATGATGAGGCTATCCAGCGTGTGATTGGAATTCCTCGGTAGAAAAATTACCATCGAAGATGGCACATGTTACACTTAGAATGGGAAATGGCTTGGACATATTTATAACGTCCCAATATTTCTAATACACCCAAGACAGCGAGATCTTGAATTCAGGCAGGAACTAGACGAAGATCTTGTATACTTCTTGGCCACACCCCGCACTTGACACTTGACGCCCAGAACCTAGCGCGCTGAGCACAGACTTACACATACGCGCCTGCTGCAAGCCTCAAGAGGGGCAGCTAGTACTCCACGATCGCTTCTGCACGGCCTGGCCTCAGACGAGTGGATTTCCAACATGTCTGATCCTGGCCAGATCTCCATCTTGTGGGGCCGGGCGATCAGCCAATATGCCACTATCACGAAGAAAAAGCTTGAGGATCCAGCCATGCTGAGCCTCACCACCGTCAGCGACTTGCTGCATGTCATAGAAGACGAGAACAAGAATTTCACTAGCTTTCGTGAGAAAGCCCCTCAACTACGCCGAATAGTAAAACATGCAATGACGCCTCTCGAACTTGTTGGGACCATAATTTCCGACGCTTCGTCGCAGGCATTTCCACCTAGTGCTCTGGTTTTCAGTGGAGTGAAGCTATTGATTGAGGCCGCAAAGGGCGCTTCGGAGAAATATGACGCTATTATAGAAATCATGTCGGCATTGAAGGACTTTACTGTGCGTCTGGAGGTGTACAGTGAGCAGCATATCTCGGAGAGATTGTGTGAGAAATTGACAGAAATCCTCACGACACTCATCGAGGTACTCGCTTTTGCTCGACAAGAAGTCAAACATGGAAGACTGTTGAGCTACGGAAAAAGTATATTGTCTGGCAGTGAAGGTGGCCGTGAAGCGATGGCCAGATTCACGAAATTGGTTCAAAGCGAAAGCTCTTTGGTCAATTCTGAAACCTTGACGCAAGTCAAAGGTGCAACCATGACCCTCGCTAGAGTTGATTCCAATATCAACAAGATCAGTCAACGCCTGGAAGATGTGAGGCTTGGTGACCTGTCTCGAGAGGAGGACGATGTTACCACTCGGCTAAACCGCATTCTACAGCCGAGCACCAGCTCGGAAGATCGATTTCAAAGCCTGAACCGCAGTCGAGTCCCACAAACAGGAGACTGGATCCGAGATGAAAAAGCGTTCGTTGCTTGGATCAATCGAGAGAAACCTATTCTGTGGATTGCTGGAAACCCCGGCGCGGGGAAATCATATATTGCTAGTAATATCGTCAATCACCTTCAGCATGAGCGAAATATCCCTGTGGGGTTCTTCTTTTTCAAGGAAGACGATGCTGTAAGTCGGTCTGCGCATCAAGCTCTGCGCGACGTTGCTTTTCAGCTTGCTTCAAATGATCCATTCTATGCCAAGCATGTCGAAGCTTGTGTGAAATCGCTCCAGGAAATTCCTACGCTGTCTAGTCTCTGGAGGAAGCTCTTTGTGAATTTCTTCATTGACAGTAATTCCAAGGCTAGAAACGAGGACAGCAGAGCATATGTCATTCTTGATGCTCTGGACGAAGCTTTCCTCCATGATAGACATGAGCTTTTCCAATTAGCAAAAGACATCAAAGTTGGCCAAAGCATTCAGCTTCTCATGCTCGGTCGCCCTCAAATCGCAGAGGAAATGAATGATTTAATGGAAACTCTCGAAGTTCCAACAATTGACGTCACCGAAGAGAACAATTTCAAGGATATTGTGCATTTTATCAAGTCCGGCATCGCCAGATCTGTTTATCTGAGAAAGCTGGCTAAGCCTGTTCAACGAGAGATCGTGCAAAAGCTGGCTACTGGAGCCCAGGGCATGTTCATGTGGGCTAGTCTCATACTCCAGGAGTTGTCAAGGGTTAGGAATAAAGGAGATATCCAAAAGACTCTAAATGGAGCTCCTAGAGGATTGTCCAGGATGATCCAACGCGTTTTAGAGGGGTTTTCAGAGAGCCTGAAGGGTGATCCCCAGTTCTCCGATGACCCCTTTGTAAGGAACGAACTAGGGATATTGTAACTCTATTCAAATTCGCCTTTAAGAATATTGATTCCGAGGAGTTTAAAAGCATAGGAGACATCAAGTTTGAAGGTATAGGAGATATCAAAAAGCTAATAGGAGACTATGCAATATGGAATTTGGAAATCCTAATGCGGGATATGGATTTTCAACTTGTACTTGATAAAATGCCGTCCTTGGAAAATGCCTTTTTCCGCTGGATGTGGAGATAAAGTAGAAAATAGATCAAATATCATCTAGGGGCTTTTTAAGGACTAAGCACGTTTGAAGAATAGCAAGTGTAATTGAATCAGGAACCAAAAGAGAGGTTTGAAGCTTGGGACACAATCCGAATCCACGGTTCTTATTTTAGAAGTTATGTTGCTCCTGGGAGCCTATTCCTGACCTGTAGATCCAAGGAATCAAGCTCCCTTCAAGTTACCTATTTCAGCCCTGTATTATCATCATAGTCCTGTAGATAAATAATCTGATTGCCCTCTAGGGTGTTGTGTTTGTCTATAACTAATTCTAAGAATGATTTCATTATCTGTTGCTGAGTCATGCTTAATGACTTTACTTCTGATTATGAGCATCGCTCGAATTTATCTTCACTTTCATTTTCAAGAAACCTGGACGTACTCCAGGGTAGACATAGGTCTCTGTGCTCTATTGTGTCTTTCTTTTGGAGTACTTGTTAGCCTCTTCTGGAGTGGAATGGCACCTACATGGAGTCGGATTATAACTATCGAGCTAAGGAAGAACTGAACACCGACCCTAAATATGACTATACAGAAATATTTCTTTGCCGTGCTGAGATATGTCGTTTCGCTGACAGGACGAACTTGGCTTCGCTATGTAATTTATCACTCTACCGACTTCTATAGTTACTAGCAAATTTCACCCTTTGTGAGGAACGAACCGGGGATGTTGTAACTCTGATGAAATTCATATTTGAAGAGAGTGATAGTGAACATATAGGAAACATAAGAATTATATTGCGAGACTACACACTGTGGAATATGGAAACCCTGATGCAGAATGTCGACTTTCAGCATCTACTCGATAGAGTGCCGTCTTTGGAAAAGGCTATTTTCCGTATGATATAGTTTTCAAATTCAGTTTGACCTCAAAACTCTTTAGACTTGATTCCCGGAATATAAATCCTTAATATGCGAGTTCTGATTGGATGTTATTTTAAGTATATTGTTCTAGACCGCTTTCCACAGTTGTCTATATATTTTATAATACGTCTTCAGTACTATGGGTGGTGTATTTTACACGAAATTAGCCCTCTCCTCCTGTGACGATCACCAACTTCCTGCACAACGGCTTCCTGCCTACCGTTATTAGTCTAGGCGACATGGCTCCAAGACTATCGCCTTCAAAGCTTATTCTCACTCGTGATATAATAGAGAGCGAATCTTTCACTACATCTAAAATAGCTGAACAGGCTGAACGCCTTTACCTAGCATAGGCACACCTATTAGAATCAGTGTTGCAGGACTAACTTCGTGTCATATACATGTCCTCTAGCGGACCCTTGCTATATTAGAGGTTCTGAGCCGTAAATAGTGACTCTCGTCGTATGTTTCTATCCCCCCTTTTCTACTCTAACGATCAAATCATTCCAAATCTCGTTATATACAGAATCATTGAAATCTTGTTTTGTCCTGCAACGGACTGATGAAACATTGCCGTTTTCAGAGAGCTTGAGGGTCCAACACCATCCTTGTTCTTCGGTCAAGATGTCGCTGGAGACGAGATCGTGGATGTGGGATATTTCATAAAAAGAATATTGAATTACGGGCTTTCCTTCCCGAAACTCAAAAACCTCCTCCAGTTTATGCTTTGAAAGCATGATAGAAGTGAGGGCGAGCTGAGTAAGTACCGTTTGTACATTTAATGTGACCCCAGAGGTAAGAACAATGTCGGCGTTTGGCATAACGGTGTGATCGTGAAGACATTCCTTTAACAACGTCCAGGATCCCGCCGGTACTCGGAGAGCATCACAGATGTAAAGAATGACATATTTTTTTTTAGAAAGCGCGTGGAGTCTACAGTGAACTCCACTGTCGCGGGAGCTGTCGGAGAAATTCTTAAGAAATTCTTGAGATATTAGCTAGGTGCCGAATGAGTATTAACATGGGTCTTCAATGCTTTACTTTCCTAAAAGCCGTGTAGGATACACCACTTAATTACTCGAGGCATTTTCAAGCTTACTAGGCAATTGGCAGAGGCTGAAATATGGTTTTCCATAGATCTTGACATATCCCAAACAATCACCGGCAGCCGCACCACCTGCCCGTAATAAGAAGGAAAGTTCCGCCTTCGTCATACATAACAGGTGACCCACATAAGAGCCTCCTTCACCCTCACCTTCTCAACCTCCCAAACCCCACACCCATAACACCCATCTCCAACGGACCTCCAATGTCGTCCTCATACTCAACCTGGTTCCGAAAGGGCGTCGACCCTGGAACTATTATCGCTCTTGATCACCCCCGCCCTTCCCAGTGGAAGATCCTCGAGAAGCTGAACGAGTATAACTCTCAGGTCCACAAGGGGGAACACGATGCCTCCGGTTGCCGTTCTTTCGCCTCCGCTAAACTCCTATGCTGCTCTTTCGAGTGAGCTCTGCAGCCGAGTCTTGCCACTGGACGAGACAACCGTCGATGCGATTGGTAGCGACATGATGAAGTTGTGGAAGGTTTGATTGTAGTATTATGGCGTAGGAAACATGCATCTTATTATGTCGCGCAACGGCACGGATCTCCCTCCGGGACCGGTGGCATTGATACAATCGCGGTATATGGATAAAATCTCGGGTAAAAACCCGGACGCATGGAACACACGCTTACATGGAAGCCATGATATGGCCCGTAGTATAACAATATGTGATTAAGGATACACAGTGTTATTCTTCTTGCATTTGGCTGCCACTCTCGTATTTCCAAATTCCTATGTGTTTTGTGGTGGCCAGCTTGCGTGTGAGCTACACTTCCTCCCCTACTACCCCCCGGCTTTTTCTTCCCATTTTATTCAAGACTCACATAGGGCTGAAAGCCTAAAAAAAGGAGATCACGTAGAATTTTTTGTCTCTTGGCTTAAGAAATTAATGTGTTTGAAAAGAAATTTGAGCTCAACTGACATAAGATAGTCCAACAAACAAACGCTTTTATACCACTCCCAAACCAACTCTATACCTTGATACAGTTATTGTGTCTTGCGCTATCCAGGGGAGTTGTCCCGCTGTTGTCTTTCGCCTCACAATCGAGACCCTTGGATCTTAGGAGATCGAACCACGACTGCGCACGTTCCGAATCAAGTTTCGCTACTAAATGTAAAAGGGTCTCGTTGGCAGCGTTTGTCGCTCTCAATATATAGCCAGCTGACTCAAATGCACTGACAACTTCCTGGCCAATAGCATAAAAACGATCATAATCGCGCGTGTCACTCTCAAACTTTACCTCATCCTTTGTGCTAAAAAACATCTCTAATGCAGTAGCACCTGTAGCATTACGAGCGTTTGGGTCGACTCCACACTCGAGGAATATCGGCATCAGACGTCTCTGCTCATCGCCCACACGGTCACCTTCACCAAGCCTGCCTGCTGCAAGATAATGCAGAAGTGTGTTCCCACTCCTATCACACACAAGGGGGTCTGCATTAGCGGCAAGAAGGTCATAGATAGCCCTTTCCAAGTAGAAGATAGCGCCAGGATATGAGAAGGCCTGGGATGGATAGTGACACATTCGCCGAATCGCGTAATGTAAAGGACAGAACCCGGCCATATCGGGCTGATTGAGCAGACTTGGACAGTTCTGGGCTAAGTACTTCAGCGATGTATCGATAAGAGGAGGTATGACTTGGTCGTGGCGCTCAATGTACGCAAATATATGATGAAGAGCGTTTTGACCGTAGTTATCCACAGCAAGGAGATCTGCGCCGCGGGATATAAAGAATTCCAGTAGGCTAGGACCGGTGCAAATAGAGGTAAAATGGTGGGACTCTTGCCAGGGATTGTTCGGCTGCGGGTAAGGATTCGGCAGGGCCCCTGATTGAGAAAGGTTTATAAAGGCACCATCCACGGCACCGTCCAAGCCAAGCCGACTTCGACAGGCTGCAAGAAACAGCGTGCGACCTTGTGGGTCCCGTCGTTCCATATCTAACCTGTCTCCTAAAAAGTCCAGTATTGGTTGGACAAACGCACCATCTTCAAGTAAAGAGTGCAAAACGCTGCATACCCCATACTTATGCGGAAATTGAGGCTCAAATTCAATATATTCTTCGCATCCAGCATCGAATCCGTAGCCACGCACTCTGCCGCCTAACCCAATCTCTTGTCTTCCCCCTAGCAGCCCGAGTCGCTCGTACTCTGTCCGAAGCCCCTGGGTGATGATACCGGAACGAGCAATCTTCATCCATTCAAGGTCTACCTCCGCCTCCACATCATCATATTCTGAATCCATATTATCTCCAACGGGGACACAAAAAAACTTATGGCCGGTGATAGGCTGACGGAATAATGCATATGGATCAGCACCATGCTTGAGTAGTATCATCATGAGGCGCGCCGTTTTGGTCAAGTCACAAGCCTCGGGGATCTCTATCCCATATTCATGACGAGGAGCGCGGCGTAAGGAGGGCATTTCGGTAGTGTCCCATGCAAACTGCGGTGGCTGTTTGGGTTTCACGTCCGGAGCTGCATCGTCTACCAGATCAGGAAAGGCAGAAAAGTCCGAGCCATCAAAACGTGCATTGGGATCGACGCCCGAATTCAACAGGGATTCGACACGGTTGACCCAGCCATTGGCAGTCGCATTGCACAAGTCAAGAGCTGCGAGGTTCCGAATTTGTAGATTCATCTGGAGGCGTGGAGTACGAGGTAGCAACTCAGATACAGTTGAAACCAGTGCACCGTTCTCATAAAGTCTGATGTGTCAGAATGAGAGAGAGAGAGAGAAGTTTGCGAATGTCGAGATTTGAACAGAGAGAGAAGGAAAGTTATGACTAGGGTTCAGGCGGCGAGCAAAGCTTAGTCACCTGATTGGTTGAAATTGTCTCCGAACCCCAAAAAATAAAAATAAAAGACCCTTGTATGATACAGTAATCCACGCTCGGAACCATAAACTGCCGTGTCAACAAACCGATTCCCTATGTTCCCACTCTTCTTCGGGATGGGGGAAACCATAGAAACAAATTATGATTCAAAGATTTGAGAACGGAACCAAAGTATTCAAATTTATGTTGAGCTCTAGTAGTAGTTGACTCTCTTCGATGTGACACAGTATTGTACCATCATGTGCCAAGCCTCGGCACATATCTATGAGATGAGGATATTATTAGCTACTAGAAGAACGCACTCTATATGTTTGGTATTGGAATGCCCGATAACCGCTTAAGGGCTCGGATTGCCTTCTCCCCTAATATATACCTTACTCTTATTTGGACTTTATTTAATTTGTCTTCCTTTGAACTTGCAAGCTACTTTTATATAAAAAAAACTGTTAGTTATCTCTTTCGAATATATACTTGAGACCGAACTTATAACGTTATTCTGCTAGTATTGGAGTATAGAACTTAAGTTATATAGGTTATCCAAGGCTTGTGTACTAGAGTTAAGGTATTCATTAAATAAATTCTACTGCGACTTGTTACCGGGGTCTTTGCTCTTATTCGGAGCTAGAGTAGTAATAAGGTTGTAATACTCGAATCGATCTATGCTATTAGGCATTTTGAAACCCTGATAAACAGCGGATCCTGCTTCGCGTAGTAGAGAGTCGAAATCTGCAGGAAGTCTGTCTTTGCTCTCGTTATATAAGCCGTCACGCTTAGCCTACTTTCTATAGGTGACTTTCTACTCTAGCACAAGCCTTTCTACTCCGCCAGAAACGAGATAGTTACCGTCTATAATTCCTCTAACGTTCACGCTTCGGAACTTGAAATTATTCCTTATTAGAGGCTGAAGGCGGTTAAGGAATTCTACTTAGGAGAAATCAGCGATTTTCTCGAAGTAGACTATATGGTATATTGCTAAAAGAAAGCGGCGTCAGAAGTCCAGTGAATATAGCTAAGGAGAAGGGTTTGCGTATATATATTATGTCTTCCCTACCACCCCTTATCTATTCCCGGAAATATAGCTAGGCGTAGGTTATCCGGTTGGATTATTCGATTATAACCTGGAAGTCGGCATTTCGCACTACGTATAGAATTCGGGGCAGACTCGATGAAAAATAATGACTGCACGGTATAGGCCGTACCTGATGGTTGTCGACCTAGGGTAGTTTCGAGGCCTAGATATCGAATAAGGCGCTTTTTCTCTAGTGACACGACATCGTCTAGCACAGGATCGGCCGATGCATCTTTACTTGAAGATGATTGATTCGTCGCGAGCACATCAAGCTCAATATCTTCTATATCTTCGTGAGATTTTAAACGAGTCACGAGGTCTTCGGAAATTCCAGCACTGTGAATACTATAGGAAACTTAGTACTGTGATATGTATGCATCACTCTGAAAAAACTTTGCACCTACGAAAAGCCATTCAAACTCTCAAGGTCCTCCAGAATCTCGCCTCCATTGCGTCTAACGAATTCTTTGATCCTGCAAAGTAGATAATCAGTTCGTAATTTTAGAATCTGCTAGATTGGAAGGCGTACTGATTGACGTTTTCAGGCGGAACGTCTTCGTAGTATTCAACCTGTTAGTAAATCGAATAGATGAGCTGAAAAGACATAGTTATATTATAAAAGTACACAGATACTTACAAGATAATAAGGCATTGTGGTTAATGTGAACGTAGAAGGTTGTCAAACGTTGGGTGGGAAGGCTGCACGTTTCAAAGGTGGAGTAGGTGGAGAAAGAGCAACTCTTAAATAGCCTGTAGAATAGGTTTCCCTGCGGCCCGCCCCGAGCTCAGCCACAGGCAGCGCCCGCAGGGGAGTCTTGCCACACAAGGGCAAACGAATAGGAGGCCGCTGCGGTAGTGACTCACATCACTCTCGATCGTGACCCGCTTCAGCAGGCAATGAGCCAATGGAGTGTCTCCTCATTCCGGTCCAGGTCCGCAGGTTGTCTTGTCTGAGCATGGACCACCGAATAACTAACTAGAAGGCCACTGCGGTCAGTCGTGACCCACAGCAAGCAATTAACACGGCGGACCAATGGAATCAATCCTCACTGTGAGTTGGCACGTGAATCCTTCAAGAGGTGTGGGCTATCGAAACGGTTTGAAGGTAAGTGCTTCTCTATGGTTTAAATACCGCTTTGGTTTTAATACTTCTTTAGTTTCAATACTGATGGATACCTTTCTTGTCATGATGCTAAATCCCCGTATGATCTACGGTAACATACGCATATAACAAATCATTCAAACAACAAATAGTATCTATATCCTGTTGTCGCTCACGATGAATGACAACAACAGTCGTAATTTTCGCATCAAATCTTCAATCGGATGTGACGACTCGCCCGTAATCTTCACCGGGTATAGAGTCCCATATTTAGTCGCTCTAGGGATTCACACCCTGACTGAAGTCATCACGTCTAGAAGATGTGTTGGTAGTAGTATTCACTAGGATTTCCGTGGGATATAATGAGCATGCTGATGCTGATTGAATGGAGGAAAAAGAAGGGTGGGCCACGGTTTTTAAACCACCAGAGTCTTATGACTGTAGTTTTTAAACCGCCGTGGTCTAAATACCTCCCACATATGGTTTTTAAACCACCAGGGTCTAACTATTGTCACGGATCTGATTCCTTGAACGCCCCGCTCCCGCCTCCTCTTACCTGAATGAGCTGCTAGCGTGGATAGTCTGTGCTCGGAGGCCGCTCAGTCTCTTTGAATTGGAAAATATCTTGAAGTGGAAGTCACCAGAAGGAGAAGGCTGGATCTGGCTGGAGGGCTCTCTTCGAGTGCAATTTGCTTCAATATTTGCACTGACTCGCGAAGATGGCTTGACTACAGCAGATCTCAAACGGGTTTCCGATGACGACGACACAGTACCTGCAAGCCAGGAATCTGGGCCGAATGCTGAATCTGCCGACGACGAGAGAATAAGCGACTTCGATTCTGATCCCACGACCACTATTGTCACCTTCAGTCACGCATCACTTGGAGAATTCTTTCGGAATCAAGAAGGCAAAGTGTCAGCTGGTCAAGGCTGCCCATTGATTGGAGTCAATCTGCACGAGGCCAGGGTCTTGGTATTGAAGCGATGCTTTGAAGTGATTTCAGATCACGATTCGCCACGCGACGAGATAGCCCTTGCACTCAGACCATTTGCATGCGATGCTTTAATGGAGATCTTGAAGACCGTTAATAAAACGCAATGCACCACTGGAGAGAAGCAAGATATAGGACCGTACCTGGCCGGACTTTTGACAGATGAAAAAAATCTTCCGAATCTTCGTTGCCACGACGTCCTCTGAATTCTTCTGCGAGGAAACAGTTGAGCTTTTTAATAAGTGGCTAGGCGACCCTGAGATACATGAATTCCTTCCATCTGAAAGGAGAATATGGTACGACAACACTGCCGCTCAGAGTCCTGCCAATGTGCTCCGCCCCATGGTGGAATATGTGGCTTCACGCTGGACATGGAACCACTTCTGGGACCCTGAGCTCCGCTGCGCAGGCGTTTACAACTTCATCAATCTTCAAAAATCTCGGCCCCCGTGCTCTATTTCTACTCTCGAACAGGTCCTAGAGGCCGCTGAGTGGGGGACCCTGAAAAAGACGACGTTTGGTACCACAAAACGGGTCTAGTCTTGAGAGGGTTGTATTTAGATGATCATGCTATTGAATATTTTCAAAAAGCATTTGAAATGAATCCGACAGACTGGCGAATTCGTTCAAGCATGGCGAAAGCTTATCAACAGAAGCACCGATATGGGCGGGCGATTGATCTCTACCACACCGTCATCGAAGACTTGAAAGCCATGAAATCGAATCCCGCACTGTATATAACCATTCATGATGAGTACGAAAAGCTTGGGCATTGCTACTGGCTCCTCGACGACCACGCCGAAGCTTTCAACATGTGGCGAAACGGGTATGAATTCTATCACTGCAGCACATGTGCCAAAGCCGTTCTACTAGACCTGAACCGCAAGGGACAGAGTAGAAAAATCCTTGAACTTCTCCAGAGCATGAATGGGCGGTCGACAAGCGAGGGAGTGAACTGCCTCACGGATTTCTTGATCACTCGCCGATCCACGGAACATGTTGAGATGTATCCATTCGGCGCCGTAATCCTCCGAGAGAAATGCATGCCATTCTTTGTCCAGGCATATACCGATGCTATTGCTACAGCCCGTCGAGACAAAAAAACAGTGAGAGCCGCTAAATTGGAGTTGGCTCTGTCGGTTATACTCCATCGCTATGGAGACGGTTCTGCTCAAGCGGCCCGCATTTGGGAGCGGCTCATCGAGACCTACAAGATAAATCCAGAGAGAGGAGAAGTCAATGAAATTATCCGTGAAGCATCGGCCCGACTAAGCGCTTACTATTTGGCGCAGTCCTTGAGGGTTGACTGCTCCGAGTTGGATAAGCAGCGATATGGTCAGTTGTTGGAACGGCTAAACAGGGCTAGACCACTGCTTTCGAGCAACAGCATTTCATCGCCAATACCACAGAGCAGCCTTCCAGCATCTGATCTGAGTTGGTCAGAGTGGGTGATGCGCAACAATCTTGGAATCTACTACAAGACTCGTGGCCGAGACGAGGATTCATTAAAACACTTCAAGCCTCTCATTCAAGGATGTCTTGACAGACTGACCGGATACGACATGAGAATGGACGGGTATTATTTTACCCAGCTAGGAAAGGTTATGGTGGCGTTGGAGACTTGAAAAATTATACAACTGTCAAATACCAATCGCATTGGTTGTACGCGAATTCAACTGGCTCTCTAGATAAAACCGCTTTCTGCGACGAATGTGGCAAGACGTGTGCTATTGATGGCCTAGCAAGGTGTGGTTATTGTGAGAATTTTGTTCTTTGCGGGTCATGTCTGCCGCTGCTCAAATCCGGAAAACTGCGTTCGAAAATTTGTGACTCGAATCACGCTTTTATGATCCTTCCCCCTCGACCGGAGTGTGTTAGAGAGCGCACCGAAGAGCATCGGCGGATGTTATACCATGATGGAGTATGGATAAGCCTGCAGGAATTCAAAGCGTTATTGACAGCGCAATATGGTCTATGAGAATTTGTGTTGATCCAGGTCCGTGTAATTAGGTTGCAGAATTGTCAGATAAAACCATTGATGATCTTTTCTACCTAAAAGTCCGTCTATCAACTTGTTTACCGGGTGTGGGATTATTGTGGCTCTTTTGTGTGAGTGGGATAGACTGACGGGTGGAGGGATCACCGTGCTTCTTCTCCGTGACCAGTAGACCATTTTGTGTGGAACAAGAGGTCATCTGTGACAAATCGCCTAATTTAACGAGATATGGAAAAGAAATGCAACTTAATATTGCAGAGGAAGATACGAGGTGATCCTTGTGCGTCAATGTAGGGCGGGCCGTCATTCCCTGGAATGTGCAAGTTGGCCAACCCTAGCCTCATGGTTGACGGGCACCTTTGAGCCAACACAAGATCAAGATTTTGGGAGAGTTTGAAACCGCCTTTGTGGTTATTAAGCGCGCTTTTGTTTTATTTGACCAAGTATCTGAGCCTAGAAGGTGATGCGAGGTCGAATTTGGTGACTGTCGACTAACATTCCACGATCGACAGCTGGATCCCCTGACAACAACACCGGAATGTAGGCGAACATGCTAAGACACGAAGTCAATCCAATCAAAAATTTTAAATTGAGGGATTCCGACACATATTACATACAATTCTTTGGGCTTGACGGGGTCTAATCTCTATCAATTTCGCTGCTGGCGTGGACAGGGTGGATCATACCATGCGCCAGGACACCCCAAACCCCCAGATGACGCACGAAGCGAACGCATTGTTTTGAGCTATGGCATGCAGACTGGGAAGCAAAATATCCCTCGACCTTCTATTTAACATGCCCTTTGAACAGTGCACTCGTGCACCTGATTCCTATCCCTCGTTCTCGCCGTGTCGCCATTCGTTCCTTTACCGGGTTGCGATCCCGTCATACGCCAAATTTATTCAATCCTTATTTAATTTTTTATTTAATATCTAGTCTTTCATTTTATTTGACCAGAAGACTATTTGGCATCTCTAACAACATGCGCGGCTATCAAAAGTATCTCTCCGGATCGGTCCTGCTGGCCACCCTGGGCGGGGTTCAGGCAAAGCTCGACCCAAACTCTGACAAGAACATTGCCATTTACTGGGGTATGACAAGATATGCGACATGAAATATTTTATAGAACAAAGAAGCTTACTTGCAATTTGTTTGACAGGGCAAAATTCATTGCAGGGCAATGGTGGCCAGGTCCAACAGCCATTGGCGCACTACTGCGAGAGTAAGTCATGATAAAGCTTGAGAGTGAGACAGAAACACTAACCGGTGAATCTGTAGATGATGACATCGATGTAAGATGAAGAGTATCTAAAAGACTTGATCCCATCACTAAGTGAAAACTAGGTTATCCCCTTGGCGTTCGACATGATGATCAATGGGCCTGGCGGTGCTCCCGAAGTTGACTTCTCAGTCACAAGCAATGAGTGCGACGTCTTCCCGGGAACTCAGTTGAAGAACTGTCCCAAGATTGGGTGAGTAAGCATTCTGGTTGCATAGAGAACAGATCGGGCTACTAGATATAATCTACAGCCCACAGTCAAACTAATGCTTCTTAGTGATGATATTGCAACATGCCAGGAGAAGGGCAAGACGATTCTACTGTCCATTGGTGGTGCAACGTACAGCGAGGGTGGTTTCAAATCTGACGACGACGCAAAGGCTGGGGCAAAGCTGATGTGGGAGACCTTTGGACCCGTTCAAGCGGATTCAAAAGCTCTTCGACCATTTGGAAACGTTAGTGTTGACGGCTTTGACTTTGACTTCGAGGCCACTGTCCTGCATATGGCAACGTTCGCCAGTGAGCTCCGCACCTTGATGGATCAGGACACTAGCAAGCAGTATTTCTTGACTGCAGCTCCTCAATGTCCCTACCCTGATGCGGCGGATAAGGATATCCTGAATGGGCCAATCTACATCGATGCGGTTTTCGTGCAGTTCTACAACAATTACTGCGGCGTAAACAACTTCAACACTGATGCGACGAGCTCGAATTACAACTTTGAAGAATGGGACAACTGGGCCAAGACCGTTTCTCAGAACAAGAACGTCAGAGTTCTGATCGGTGTTCCCGCCGATACCACCGCCGCTAGTACAGGATACATCCCTGCGTCGAAACTGACGGATGTGATTGAATATACGCAGAAGTTCGAAAGCTTCGGCGGCGTGATGATGTGGGATGTCACGCAGGCATACGCAAATGATGGATTTATTGGAAGTGTGCGCAAGGCGCTCGGTGGGCCTGATTCCGGTTCGTCGTCGCCGTCCAACAGCGCGGCGTCGACCGCGGTGTCTACATCTTCGTCCACTAACACGTCGGAGACCTCGCTATCTTCCAATGCACCCGACTCCTCGTCCTCCTCTTCCTCATCCTCTGGGTCTGCCTCATCGTCCAATGGTCATGAGCCCTCTGTCACGAGCACTACTGCCCCAGCACCGACTGCGTCCACCTCGTCGACGACTACCACGAAGGCGCCCTCTCAATCATCGCCATCACCCGATGACATCGACGACGATCTTGAAGACGATGACGATACCGAGTCTCCCGAAGACACTAACACTGCTGCCAATGACGGCGCCACCAACAAGACCAAGGACAACGCTTCCAAGGAGGACTCCACAAGCAAGGGCCCTCTTGGCCTCATTAGCCAGGATCTGTTTGGTCTGCTGCATGGTTTGGAGGATGCCAACACCGTCACGGGGGGTCTCACTCACGGTCTCACTAAGAATCTTCGCCGTGCCCGCCGCATTGGCTACTAGGCGTCGCAGATATTAGCCAAGCGTAATAGCGATATGTTGAGATCCATAACCAAGTAATGTTTGCAACCATGCATGATCTTGAATATAGTGTATTTCTCAATATTTGGGCAGACATTTGCTCACAATATTCTGGGAGGCCTGCATTCAACAGTCTGTTCTATTCTTGCCCTGCACTTACTTCATCATTGCTGTACTTCTTACTTTCCTTGATACCCATAACTATAATAAATCTTGTAACTGATAACATATGATTTATTTGCGCATGTGCTGAGAAATTAAGGAGTCCTTCGAGAAGAGTAGAATGCATATTGCCGATGCTTGTATGAGGGCATTGGATATCACGTGCTCTGTCTGCAGGAATCGCTGCAGTGGTCACGTGGGGAGACAATCGATCAATCAAGCCCTCGTCGCTTTCCATTTCTTGTTCTTTGACGCCGTCCAATCACCGTCCGACTAGTGACAATTACAGACAGCCCTGGGGATGATGATTCATAAAATGTGAAGGCTGGAAGCACCTGGTCAACTCTCTGGCTCGGGTAGCGACGGAAGAATCAGCCCAACATGACGTCTGACATGCGACGTCAGCCAAAACTGTCAAGTCCAGCTGGACGGCCATTACTGAAGACCACTGCATGCCCAGCGGTCATCAGCATCTTTCCCGAATGTTCAGCTTGTCCCAGGATGTCCCTGCAACGATCAACAGCGTCGTGAAGGACAACCCTCGCGGTCAGTTGAAGCTCACGGCCAAATTAGCCTCGGCCAATGGCGGAAGCGATCGGGTACGCTAACGACGCCCCGCACAAGCTGTCGAGTACAACTTTCCTTTTCTGGCTTGACAAGCTTGACTGGCTGTTCACTTGGTTCCACAGGGGCGTTGAATATGGGACCACCAGGCATAACCGCGGATACAAGCACCGCCTGGAACTTGCTGAGCCGACACTGGCTAGTCGTACTCGACGCCCATGGCTGCGAGGTACGGCCCGATGTTGGAGGAAAGGTTCACCCGCAAAGGGTCAGCCAATGTCTTATACGTCAAGAACCGTCAAGCATCTTCCCTCGAATCGCGAGCTGCCGGTGCCTCTCGCTGGAACTTACACGAGCTTGGACGTGGGATTGGTGCCTTTCTATACTGCTCCGTGGCACTGTCTGAGCTGGAAGGTTCCTAGTCTCGACGTCAGTATGATAGACTGAATAAGGGGAAATTTCCTGTAGCTGCTGGAAGTAGGAGACTTTGTTCCCTTGTAGGCCCCGAAGAAACATAATCGCTTCTACTCCCAAGTAGCCTGGATTTGGATCTTTCTTCCCTTCACCTTGGCTGTCTGGCGCATCGAGGGGCAGGGAACTTTGGCTGGAAGGGCAGGGCACATCTAATCTTTCGTTTGTTGTGGTCCCCAAGTGTGTTCCTCAGGCTCTCGTCCCATCCGCCACCTTCCAAGCAAACGTCTCTCGTGACGGCGTTGCCTCCCCCCTCTTCTCCTCCATCTCCTTTTATACTCCTCTTATCACTCACCCCTCTCTTTACCCCCCCGCCATCAACACTCCAAACCCCTCAGCATCACTTCTTGATCAACTGATTCAATCTCCATATCCCCTCAAAGGGCCAACATGGCGAGTCGGGGCAACGAGGAGCGCACCGACGCCCGCCGTGGCTCTCGCATCTCCAGGGCCTCCCTGAGAGAAGACTACGCTAATCTGGACGAGTATGGCAAGCTCGTTAAGTATGTATCCAGCTTCCGAGATGCCAGCCTTGAGCAGGCGAAAGCTGGTGAATATGAAGAGAGACGTGTCTGGTATGCGCCATGGAAGAAGCGCAAGGTCCGTGTCCAGCCAGTCGAGGATGAAGCTGGTCGCTTCCCGGATGACTGGCTCATTACCAACATCCGCGAGGGTCTGTCCAGCGAGGTCGTCAATCAACGCCGCCAACGTTCTGGATGGAACGAACTGGTTTCTGAGAAGGAGAACCCCATTGCCAAGGTTCTTTCTTACTTCCGCGGTCCAATTCTCTACGGTACGTCGTTCATCCTGCAGCTATGCATTCAATGAGTAACATGTGGGGTACAGTCATGGAACTTGCCGTCTTGCTGGCTGCTGGTCTGCAAGACTGGGTTGACTTTGGCGTAATCATTGGTATCCTCTGTCTGAACGCCGGAGTGGGTTGGTATCAGGAAAAGCAGGCCGCCGATGTCGTTGCGAGCCTCAAGGGTGATATCGCCATGCGTGCTCTCGTCGTTCGGGACAACTCCCAACAGGAGATACTGGCTCGTGAACTTGTTCCAGGTGATGTGGTATGCCTTTCTTTTTGCAATTAAATGTTCGTGTGGACCACCAGCACTGACCACTACTCAGATTATCGTTGGCGAAGGTCAAGTCGTCCCAGCAGATGCCAAGATTATCTGTGACTTCAATGACCCCAACGGCTGGGAAGAGTACAAGTTACTCCAGGAACAAGGCATGCTGGACGGTGGTTCCGATACCGAAGACGAGGAGGAAGAAAAGAAGAAAGAGACTGCCGGGGAGGGCACCAGCGATGGCCAGAAGCACCCTGCAGATGGTGGAGAGGAGCAGCCGCAACAGCATCGACCCCGCAAACGTGGCTACCCCATTCTGGCCTGCGACCACTCTGCCATTACCGGTGAATCTCTCGCCGTTGACCGTTATATGGGCGACGTGATCTTTTACACAACCGGCTGCAAGCGCGGCAAGGCTTACGCTGTTGTCCAAACCGGTGCGAAGACCTCTTTCGTTGGTCGTACCGCGAGCATGGTCCAGTCTGCTAAGGGCGCTGGCCATTTCGAAATTGTAATGGACAATATTGGAACATCGCTTCTGATCCTTGTAATGGCCTGGATCCTTGCTGCTTGGATTGGTGGCTTCTTCCGTCACATTCCGATTGCCTCCCCGGCCAGCAGACCCTGCTTCACTATACCCTGTCACTGCTGATTATTGGTGTTCCCGTCGGTCTCCCCGTCGTAACTACTACTACAATGGCTGTGGGCGCTGCGTACCTCGCAAAGAAGAAAGCTATTGTCCAAAAGTTGACCGCTATTGAGTCTCTGGCTGTAAGTTGACCTCTTGGAACAAGTGGTATTTGATACACGCGGGGGAACTTTGGGGGCTAACTGATAGTAGGGTGTGGACATTCTCTGTTCTGACAAAACCGGCACCTTGACCGCCAATAAGTTGAGCATTCGGGACCCTTATGTTGCCGAAGGTGTCGACGTTGACTGGATGTTTGCGGTTGCTGCCCTAGCATCCTCGCACAATGTGGAATCTCTGGACCCAATCGATAAAGTCACCATTTTGACCCTGCGTCAGTATCCCAAGGCCAGGGAAATCCTGCGACGTGGATGGAAGACTGAACAATTCACACCGTTCGATCCTGTGTCCAAGCAAATCGTGACCATCGCTACTTGTGACGGTATTCGATACACCTGTACCAAGGGCGCTCCCAAAGCAGTTCTCCAGCTCACCAGGTGTTCGAAAGAGACCGCCGACATGTACAAGGCCAAGGCTCAGGAATTTGCCCACCGTGGCTTCCGCTCTCTCGGTGTTGCTGTTCAAAAGGAAGGCGAAGACTGGACCCTGCTCGGCATGCTGCCCATGTTTGATCCGCCACGCGAAGATACCGCCCAGACTATCAGCGAAGCCCAGAACCTTGGCATCAGTGTCAAAATGCTTACTGGCGATGCTATTGCAATTGCGAAGGAAACCTGCAAGATGTTGGCCCTTGGTACCAAGGTCTACAACTCCGATAAGCTTATTCATGGTGGACTGAGCGGTGCTATGGCTAGTGATCTGGTCGAGAAGGCCGACGGTTTTGCTGAGGTTTTCCCGGAGCACAAGTATCAAGTTGTGCAGATGCTGCAAGAACGTGGCCACCTGACTGCTATGACCGGCGATGGTGTGAACGATGCTCCATCTCTCAAGAAGGCTGACTGCGGTATCGCTGTGGAGGGAGCCTCGGAAGCCGCACAATCTGCCTCGGATATCGTGTTCTTGGAGCCCGGACTCTCGACAATCATCGACTCGATCAAGGTTGCGCGCCAGATTTTCCACCGCATGAAGGCGTACATCCAGTATCGTATCGCCCTCTGCTTGCACTTGGAAATCTACCTGGTTACTTCGATGATTATCCTGAACGAGAGCATTCGTGTCGAGCTCATCGTATTCCTAGCTCTTTTCGCCGATCTCGCGACTGTTGCCGTGGCGTACGATAATGCATCATTCGAACTGCGCCCTGTGGAATGGCAACTTCCAAAGATCTGGTTCATCTCCGTGCTTCTGGGTGTTCTCCTCGCCATGGGTACATGGGTTGTGCGTGGCTCGATGTTCCTCAAGTCGGGTGGCATCATTCAAAACTGGGGTTCCATTCAAGAAGTGCTTTTCTTGCAAATCGCCCTTACAGAGAACTGGCTGATCTTTGTGACTCGCGGTATCCAGACCTGGCCATCCATCCAACTGGTGACCGCCATTCTCGGTGTGGACATCCTGGCAACGATCTTTTGTCTGTTCGGTTGGTTCACGAACGAGGACATGCCGACCAAGCCTGCGGATCAATTCGTCGAGACAAAGAATGGATGGACAGATATTGTTACTGTTGTCCGGATTTGGGGCTATTCGCTTGGCGTGGAGATCGTTATCGCCCTGGTCTACTTCATTCTCAACAAGACCTCCTGGCTCGATGATCTGGGCCGTGCTAAGCGTAGCAAGGGCGATATCAAGATCGAGAGCGTGCTTGGCCATCTGGCTCGTCTTACAATCGAGTATGAGGAGCCTGACAAGCCCAAGGGCCGGTTCTTCTTGTCCGCCAGCAAGGAAGAGGAAGACGTGGAGTAAACCACGAATGGCAGGAATGGGCCATGTGCTCATTTGGCTCTTCGCCAAATGAATGCCCCTGGAGGATTGTGGATTGCTCATGAAGCCTGCACGTCTGCTTCTTGGTGTCTTTGCTCTCGGAACGTTATTGCAGCGATGGCTGATAATTTTGTTGTAAAAGGGCAAACAAGTCGTAGCTGGAGCCCTTTTGCACTTCGAATTTAATGTTTGTCTATTGTTTCATGTGTACTGTTTCAGTAAGCTGCTATCCAGATACTCCAAATCAGACTTACAAGATACCTATTGTTAAGGCTTATTTGCATGATACACTCTCCTCTCCGTCCTTCTCCTCCTCTTCCTCATTCGCTTGACTTCAACTTCACATCACTCATATTTTCCTATCACTAAAGAATTGGTGCCGTCTGCATTATGGCTCTATCACCTCTCACTATGGCAGCTCCAGAAATTGCGGTTTCTTTCACTGAGCTTAAAAAACCTACAAGAAGCCTCTTCTTAGGGATTACGCCAAAGTGAAATTCGTCTATCAGGGCAAAATCTTCAAGCTCCACCGCTGTATTGAATGTCCTGGTTAATGAAGTTGACGACACCCTTCGGATAAGTCTTTCAAGGGTTCTGGAAAGAGTAATACTCGCGACGTTTGAAGCTTCCATGTGATTTATACACATAGTATCAGAGACAATCGAAGGAATAATGCGTGTAAAAACAGCCACGCTCTAGTTTTATGGCTTGTATGGCTATCAGACCACCTCCGGTGCCTTCGTGCTAGTTAGTTGTCTGCGTTTTGCACCCTCTTTTGTACCGTTATTGGATTCGTGTTTTCAAAAATGCCTTGATTTTCTAATTAATCGTTTGTTCCATGACTACATCGCTCAGCAGAAAGACATATGTCAGGCTATAAAGTAGGGTGATTGTGGAGCCACCGGCTTACGCTCAGAGCAGTGCTCTCAAAGGCATCGAAAATCAGCCACATCGAGAGTGAAAGATTCGGTCTAACAAGCTAGTCAGTCTCATCACTCTCTCTTCTTCCCCCCTTCTACTCTATCTCCTTCTCACCAGTTTCTCCGCCAACTTTGTCCCTTCATCTTTCTCTCCTCTTCTCTCCTCCACCCCTCTCTTCCTTTTCCTCGCACCGCACTCCCTTGATCACAGAAGGCCGGGAAGCAATCGCAACAGCATCATATCCTGAAAACTCCCTGCTTGATCTCTCACCAGTACCAAATCCCAGCATACTTTTCACCATTCTGCACCCTACCTCGGACAACCTCATCATGGCGGACTCCGCGACAAGTACGCCCATAAGCCCTCTCACCGGGCCACAGGCGGACCGATGGAAAAAGCTGCTGCTTAGTGGAGAGTACTCGGACATGCAGATCGTCTGCCAGGAGGTTGTTTTCAAAGTTCACAAAGCGATCGTCTGCCCCTCCTCTTCGTTTTTCACGTCAATATTCAAGCATCCCAATGAGGTAAGACCTTGATACGCCCTCATTCCGCCGGTAGTGGCTCATTATATGCATAGGAATCCTCCACCGGGGTAGTCAAACTCCCCGAGGATGACCCCGAGACGATCGAGCGACTCCTCTCATACCTCTACCTTGAGACCTACAGTCAAGACAGCCACATTATTCCGACGAACACTGATGGAGAGGAGGGTCTATCGACCGAGGCCAATATCGGACTCAATAATGCTGATGTTTACATCGTCGCCGATAAATTTGATATCCTTCCACTGAAAGCCCTAGCCGTTGCAAGGATGACGGAATGGGCGCAGGTTAACTACCTTTCTTCTCAGTTCATTGATATGGCCCACCACGTCCTACAGCTTGAACATGATCCCTGGCCATGCCAGTTCATCGCGAGCTGTATCGTCAACAACCTCCCCGGCATGGCCTTAGACAGTGACCACGTCGTGGGACTCATGCGCGACTACGGTCGCCTCGGCGTGGCTGTGTCGATGATGCTGAGCAAAGCTCACAATCGTTCAATCGAGGAACGAGAGACCGGCCATTGTCGGGAAAAGAGCATCTTGCAGGCTCGAATCAATTCTTCGGACCATCAAATCGGTAGATTGAAGCAGCAAATCACCGATCTTCAACGCGAGAATACTCGACTACGGAGTCTGAGCACACCTACAGGGCGACAGGAGGGAAACAATCGGCGTGGATCGTGGGATTAAATGTGCGGGGAGACTCCGAGTGGAAAACACAGCTTCCAAAGGACCAGATGAGTGCTCTGGGTGTGAAGAGCAGCTAAGCAGAGCGAACAAATCAAGTCCGCCCATTGAGGGAACCTTTCGAACTACTAGGCATAATGACGTTCTATCAATTCAAATAGAGACATACCAAAAAGTAGTCCACGGTATCCTTTTCTCATGAATAGTCATGCAAGGGCCAATAATAGACTCTGCCTGATTGCTCAAGTACTAAGATTGAAAAGTTTAGATCATCAAAAAGTAGTTGCGTCGAAAATGAATTCTATATTTTAGGTACTAATCATTTCTCCTGCTACCGTTGGTCCATCATATCATGTTCATATCACATGCTCTCTAATCTTTACATCACACATTACCCATTTATTTAGCCTTGCCAGTAGGGATGTTGAAGAAGACAGCTGGGGAACCAGCGCTGGAGGCACGGTCACAGCGGTAGAAGCCCTTGCGGTCGAACTGCATGATATCACCCTCCTTGAACTGAGAAACGTTGCTGTCAGCCAGAGCAGGCTCGCGAGTCTCGGTGTCGTAGTTGAGAACATCCTCAAGAACGTCATCCTCGCTCAGTGAGTCCTTCTTCAGCAGGTAGTCGAAGTCAACGAGCTCGACGGGGACCAGGTCAGGAGTCTCAGCCAGCCAGGTCACCTTCTTCTCGGTCTTCTTGACATCACCCTGGGGGTTCAGCTCGAGCTCGAGGTGAGTGATGACGCCGTTGGCATCGGTAGTGAACTTGCGGACAAAGGCGTTGCCCCAGTTCATCAGGGTGATCTCCTCATCCTGCTTGAAGGACTTGGCGTCAACCTGCTCCAGAAGCACGTTGGGAGCGAAGGTAATGGTCTTCATGCCAACGGCGGCGTTCTTGGCGTGGCGAGGCTTCTCCTCAGTGAAGGGGGCAGGGGCATTGGTAATGGTGACCTTAACGGCATCCTGGTTCACGATAGCAGTGTGACGAGGAGCAACGGGGTCAATATACTTCTTGTTGGTAGCCCAAATAAGAGCCCAGTCGAACAGAGTGATCGTGCGGGAGGGGCCCTGCTTCAGGATGAACTCGCGCAGAGCGGGGATGGTCATACCACGGCGACGAATACCACGGATGGTTGGGAATCGAGGGTCGTCCCAGCCCCAAACAACACCACTCTCAACGAGTTTGGTCAGCTTACGCTTGGACAGCAGAGTGCGGATGAAGTTCATGCGAGCAAAGTCCCAAACCTGGACGTGGCGGAGCTTAAGGGCATCCAGCATCCACTGATACTGGGGGTTACGGTCACGGTACTCGATAGTACGCAGGGCGTGGGTGACACCCTCCATTGAGTCAACAACGGGGCAAGCAAAGTCGTAAGTAGGGTAGATCTTCCACTTGGTGCCGGTGCGGTGGTGAGGGTGGGGGTTGCAACGGTAAATGACAGGGTCACGGAGGGCCTTGTTCTTGTCATCGGGAGAGATCTTAGCACGGATGCACCAGCGAAGACCCTCGGGGGTGGAGTTCTTCATCTCCTCCAGACGAGCCAAGCTCTCCTCAGGAGAAAGCTCACGGCGCGCGCTAGGGATTCCGTCCATACGCTGAGCAGCCATGGTCTCCTTGTCGGTATCATCGGCGTAAGCGTGACCAGTCTTGATCATCTCAAGGCAGTAGGCGTAGAGCTCGTCAAAGTAGTCCGAAGTGTAGGACACCTTGTTGGGCTTGATGCCCATGAGAGCCAGATCCTCAACAATAGCATCCTGGAACTCCTGCTTCTCGTTGGAGGGGTTGGTGTCATCGAAACTTGATGAACTGTCAGCATCCAATTTGATCATTCTTTTCTGAATGTTATTCTTACCGAAGGAGAAGAGTACCGTTGTACTTCTCGTGGGCAAAGTAGTCGTTAAGCATAGCGGCCTTGGCGTGACCGATGTGGAGATAACCAGAGGGCTCTGGCGGGAAACGAGTCACAACACCATTATCAGTGTTGAGCAGAGCAATGTCGTAGCTAGCACCGGCCTTGGACTTGGCGACCTTGGACTCCTTGGCGGCAGCAGTGAGACGCTCGATAGCAACAGTGGTCCACGGGCACAGCTCCTCCAGGAACCGGTACCAACGGGTCAGGTTGACAAGAGAGCCCTTCTTCAGAGCAGCAGCGGCAATACGGTTACCACGGAGAGCACCCCACAGAGCAATGTCGGCAGTGGAAAGAGCATATCCGGCGATGAAGGAGCGGAGGAGGAGGTGGGTGTCGAGCTTCTGGAGGAGAGGGTCGAGAGCCTTGAAGTCGAGAGTAGTCAGAGTATCCAGCTGGGAGATCCACTCATTCTCCTAGACGCGAAAATCATGTTAGATCTGTATGAGTCAAACGGGAGAACGTGCGAGCTGTATGCTCAAACTGCATGGCGGGGTTGAACTATCCGGCTGGGCAACTTACCACAGTGGCATCCTTGCCCACCAGGTAGGGGAAGTGGGCGCACAGCTCCTGAATGGCAGGAATGGTGCCGAACACAGACTTTCCAGCCGTGGACAGCTGCAGAATAGCCTTGTCACCCTCGTTGAGGAGAGCAGTGTCCTCATACTTGATGTTGATGACGGGATTAGGGCGAGCCTCATTGATAGAGGTAGCAATGAGGACCACCGGTAGCAGAGCAGCGTGGCTACCACGAGTAGCCACGGTCAGATCGAATTGGGTCATTTTTGTGCCTTTGGATATTGCACAGAAGAAGTGTATGACTCGACAAATTATTTGGAGGGGCAGTCATTATCGGGAGTCGGCGGTATAATTCTCCGGAGCCGAGAGCTGTCCGGCAGAAAACAATAATTGCAGGTCTCCGTCTGCGGCTCCGACGTCTTGCTCAGTCCACGCCTACCAGTCATGTCGTCTTACGGCACCGTATTGCCCACCGTGGCACGCGGTATTCTTTCATCATGCCGTCCAGCTCTCAGAGAGAAGTCAATTGCTCCAGCTTTCTCGACATTCCAGCAAGTTCGAGGTGCGAAGAGCAACCCGCAGGCCAGAGGCAAGGGGAAGAAGGATAGCAAGTCGGATCGGAAAGGTCCTCGTGAATTCCGACAGAAGAACTTGAAGGATATGGAGCAGCATGCTCTTTGTGATGCGATGCGGTATGCAATCCCATGGGTGTCCATTGTTGGTATCGAGTATGGACCGTTTTTTGACATAGCATCTTCTCCGCAGGTATCTCCGGGCCGTTGAAGTTGGTCGCGAGCCCACGGCATCGAAATACGAAGTGCACATTCGCCTGCGCACAAGGCGAGATGGTCCCGTCATCCGAAACATGATCCGATTCCCCCATGCAGTCCAAACCGAGTCCCGCATCTGCGTCATCTGTCCTCCCGGGTCGAAGCAAGCAAAAGATGCGCTCGCCGCAGGAGCCGTCTTGGTTGGTGAGGATGAGGTGTTTGAGGCTGTGAAGGCCGGCAAGATCGAGTTCGACCGCTGTCTTGCCCACCCCGACAGTTTGCCGGCGCTGAACAAGGCCGCTCTGGGTCGTATCCTCGGTCCCCGTGGCCTGATGCCAAGTGTGAAGACCGGTACTGTGGTGGACGATGTTGCTGCTCGCGTGGAAATGTTGCGCGGAGGTACTGTTTACAGAGAGCGTGATGCCGTCATCCGTCTGCCCATCGGCCAACTGGGCTTCTCTCCGGAGCAACTGCGCGACAACCTGCGGACTACCATTGACCAGATCAAGAAGGATGCATCCGGGCTTAATGACCGTGTGAACAAGGAGATCTACGAAGTGGTGAGTGTATTAACCGTTTTGCAACTGCTTAGAGATGGTAACTAACCTGGCAATGTAGGTGCTGAGCTCTACCCACGGCCCCGGATTCAGCTTGAATGGCGAATTCAAGACCGACAACTCCCCCGAAACCTCTGCCTTGACCGGCGTGTAAAATATCCTGCTGTCTTATATTCATCTTGGCGTGTACAGATTTTGTTTTATTAGGAAAGGACCTGGTGTATTCATGGTATCATTTCTGTTCAATAGAGACTCCCGCAACCCTAAACGCCGACGCTATGCAACTTCAACGCATATTCCCGGAATAGCGCCCAAGTATATCTAAATTTTGAGGTTCTTGAGAGCAGCCACAGCACTCACATCCTCGCCCATCAGGTCATACAGGTGGAGGACAGCCATTGTACGCGCATCACGCTTGTCACCCGCAGGGCCAGCCCGCTCCAACGCGGTCTTCAGGTCCAGAAGAACGGTAGATTTGATCTTGGACACACGTGGCTGTTGCGCAAGAAGAAATGGATGGCTCTCACCCACTCGTTTAGCGATCGAGGTCAAGAATACGTATTTCTGGACATGTCGCTCCAGTCGCTTCAATGACACCGGGCCAGTTCCGTCCTCCAATTCCTCGTCGTCGCTTTCGTCGCTGCCGCTGCCATATAGATCCGAATCCGAATCGGACTCGTCATCAGCCGAGGCATCCCCATTCGGCGTAGATTTGTCCGCGATCATCAACCGGTGCTCCAGTTCTTCGACGCGGTCCGCATAATCCAGGAGATCTTTACCGATATCCGCCTGCGTTCGGAGTTGTCGTTTTTCGTTCAATAGCCCCTCTACCTCCCGACGGCGTGCTTCCACTTTATCCCGTATAGATTGCACATCCCGCTGAAAAGATAGCAGGCCCACTTTGACCCCTTCGATCTTCTCTTCTCCTCCGCGCAATGCGGTGCCGAGGGACAGGAAGTCCTGATAGTTCTCGTTGACCAGGTCCAGGAGCTCCTTGTTCAGCACTTGCTCCAAGCTCCGCAACTCTTGGCGCAAGTCTTCAAGACTCTGGTGTCGATTCCTCAACGAGGAGAGAAAGACCGCTGGGTCAAAGTCCGGGATCAGGAAAGAGGTTCGTGATAGCGGCTCGGGGAAAGGCAGGCCGGAGGGGTCCTCGTCGAAGTCAGAGGCAGACTCGTCCGAGTCGCCGAACTAGTTCAGATCCTATTAGTTTCCATTTCACATGGTAAGATTACTGAAGCACCAGTCAACCTACATGGAAACGATTCATGGTGTTGCCGACGGGTAAAGTAGCGGGTGCAGGTAAAGCTGAGTGGTGGAGCTTCGAAGCCAAACGTGTCGAGTCTTGGCGTTTGTTTGGCCGCTTCGGAGGACTGGACTGCTTAACTTTCCATTTCTTACTTTCTCACGTTCCTGCTTCTAGTGGACTTGCGCCGGCTCCGATTCTTGTCTCAACAACGGGCTTTCGTCCGCTAAGAACTTGCCAACGCATCGGAACCGTATGCACTTGTCCATGCGACTTGAGACGCACCTTGCCCCGTGAGTACATACTCGCCAGAAAGTGTTATTCCCCCGCAGACAGATACGCTTGCCGAGCGGGGTTTCCCCCCTCCTCCTCCCAGGGCTGCGTTGTCTAGCGTTGACGTGAGAGCCTGTGGTATCTATCTGCATTGGTGAGTTCGAAATGGACGCGGACTCGCGGTCGGCTCGTTGGGACGGAAGTCGGCTGTCGTCCTCGTCGTTCACTCGACAAGAATGGCCTCGACACGCTCCTCCGTCCGGCGACGCCGGCCCCTCCCATCAAGCAAGCTGGCGCTTCTTCGATCCCTTCCCCGAGAACGAGTACGTGCAATCTTTGTCTCTGCGTGAAGCGCAGGAAGAAACCCAACCCCGATCTCGAACATACGCCGCTGCTAATCTAACGTCCGAGCGGCCGTCGACCTTACCAACGCAGCCCGTTCTGGTCAGAGCGTATTCTGGAAATGCAGAGGATGAGCCGCGGAGCAAGCCATCGCCTATGTCTCCGCGCCGACTGTTCCCGTTTGCCGGGTCGAGGAGTTCGGCTTCACCCCGTCCATCGGGGCCGCCGCTCCCGTCGGATAAAGACTTCAGTATTGAGAGTATTCTGCAGGCCATCGATCCCGATATCCGCGGAACATTGGACTCAATCGCCGAGATCTGTGGGCGCAGTAAATTAAGTCTTGCCAATGAGTATGACAGTCACATCGCCCCGTTAGGGGAGATTCGTGCTTCACCGGGAGCTGGCTTGGTGACCGTCGACGAGGCAAGCTCGAGTGACGAACGCCGTGCTGATGAGGGTGTTATTGTTTTTGACGACGACCCTAGCATGATGGACACGGGACGTGATATGCATCCGTTCTCTTTTTATCGCTATCTGGAAAACCTCCGGCATGCTGCATCTGCCTTGGAGCGCAATGGCGGCTCGACCTCGTTGATGGCTGCACACTCTGCTATTATGAATCGAGAGCCAGTTCCAACTGCTGACGCAGAGAGAAGCATGCTGCCAACGATTCGCGAGTTTCCCTCGGGACCCAAGAACTCCAGCCGAGACTTACTGGGAAAGCACAAGCCCTCTGGTCATGCTGGTCAGAACTCGCGGGATATATCTACTCCAGCCATGGTCTCAGAAGTCCATTTTGATGCACGAGCAGACGATCAGCATGCTGCTGCTGCTGCTATGCCAGGTCCTGCTGTAGATGGTACCGACTCAGGTACTAGTCCAACCTCGGACGGCTGGAATACGCCTGATGTGGTCCAATCTCTCCTCGGTTGGTTAAGATGGACCACCCGCATTGTCGAGCCAGAGTCGCGACCTGCTTTGCAATCAGCCGAGGGCCGTCTGCGGGCTATGCTCGGGCAGGCAGCCGATGAGCACACGTATATGCCTGAAGCCTAGCTTGCCGGGGTATCTCAAGTTACGATGCCCGTTTTGTAATGACTGACGACGGATGACTTTTAACGAGTATATGACATTCTTCAAATACTTATATGTGTGCAAACACGCAATTTCCAATATTGAATTGATGGAATTTTCATTTTCCTTGGGATATATACTACCACGTAGGCTGGTATGCGTAAGAATCAACAACTCCCTTGATTATGCAGTGCGAATGGACAAAGACATCCTTAAAGCCCCCAACTTTTCTCTAAATTCGAAAAGGGAAGCCAACTACTACGAAGCCCCAGCCGTGGCCTGTACACCCCCAATTATCGTCTTCGCAAACTCTTCGAATCGGGGATACGACCAGCCCTCCTGGTATCTTTCCACCAAAGGCCTCGTGTCAGGCTCAGCCGGGGCTTCATCCTGTCCCCCCATCTCCTCGCCCTCATCTTCATCATCACTCTCAATCTCCACCTTGCCTTCCACAAGCTCTCCGAATTTCACATCGACAGGCACACGGCCCAAGAAGGGAATATTCAATTGCTGCGCCATGACTTCTCCACCCCCACTGGAGAACAAATTGCTCACCTCGCCACAGCACGGGCAAGCATATCCGGACATATTCTCGATAACCCCGAGAATGGGGATACTAGTCTTGACGCAGAAATTGGCTTCCTTGCGCACATCGGAGGTAGCAACGGCCTGTGGAGTCGTAACGAGCACTGCACCCGTCAAGCGAGGCAAATTCGACTGCGCGGCGACGGCGGCGTCCGTCGTGGATAGAGTGAGGAGTTGCTCTGCGAGCGCGATGTGTTCGTCACTCGTTCCTGGCGGGGTATCAATGAGGAGGTAATCCGTTTCACCCCACGATACATCTGATAGAAATTGGCGAATCATGGCAGTTTTCTTTGGTCCGCGCCAGATAACAGCGTCGCCGCGGTCTCGTAGGAGGAAGCCGAGGGACATGCAGCGGAGGGAGCCGCGGGGTTGAGGAGATGATGATGATGATGTAGTATCTGGTTGTGTAGTTACGGCATCGTGAACTGGTACGGGGAGCCATCCACTAGGTGATTGAGTGATTTTGGCGTCTTCTAAGCCGACGAGTCTTGGGATTGAAGGGCCTGTTAGGTCGATGTCGAGGATGCCGACGGATTTGCCTTGGAGAGAGAGCGCGAGGGCGAGTTGGAGGGTGACGGAGGATTTGCCAACACCTCCTTTGCCGGATAGAACCTGTAACACGAGTCTGTTAGTCTCTTGAAAATGAGTTGCTCTTATGATACTGCTGCTGCTGTTGCAATTTCCCAGCTCGCCCGTTGCCCCTCATGTATTCGTTATCGATAAGCCGCTGGGGGGAATTGTGAGGAGTCTTCTGCGCGAGGCTTCCTTGTATAGGGAAAGGGTTGCGTAGTTTTCGAAGGGAGCGCTCACCAGCACAATGTTCTTTACTCCATCTAGAGGCATCTTTGCGAAGGTAGAGGAATGTGTAGAGGAAAAGCAAAGACCGCGACGGACGGATAGGCTTAAGTGGGGGAGCCGACCTCGGACGCTTATCAATCGCCGCTCTCTGACTAAAACATCGACCGCGGACGGTTCTTACAGCTTCTATCTTTGTTGTATGGAATCTGAGCTGTCGAGGGCTGAATTTTCTAGTCATTATGTGATGACATTGGCCTACTGGACGTATCCAGCATAATGGATTCGTAATTCCTATCACTGTTTCCAACCACTAGGGTGCTAGAGACATAGTCTATCCCCGCCACCGCTCGCTTTTAAAAACAAACCCCCAGCAACAGATGAATGCGGAATGTACCTTAAGTCCACTTCTGGACAACCACGCCGCCTCGCTTGAACTCCGGCAAGTCACCAAGAGTAACGCTCCAGTCACTAAGCTCCTTGCTGGGGAACGTGGTCATAAGCACCCACGCGCGGTTCCGACCATCTGGGGTGGCTGCTGCAACAAAGGCGTAGACATCGCCGATGGTGGCGGTAGTGTTGAACCGAGATGTCAGTCGAGTGCCATCTCCCAATCGCGCCTGTATGGTGACTGTCGGCTGCGACTCATCCACTTCGGGCTTAGGAGGCTCAGCTGGAGAGGAAGTGGGAGCAGCAGAGGGAGTAGAGTCCTGGCTGCTTTGTACACCAGGGGTAGGGCTTCCGAGCCGCTGTCCGACACCCGAGAAGGGCTTGTATTTGGGCTTGGGTTTCACATAGTTCTCATCATGTTGCTTCAGTTCGACGTCGACTTCTTGGCCCGCTTGAACATTCATGATAGTCAGAGGGGCACGACCTTGGCGGATGCCCTCCAGGATCTCGGCGTTTCGGGGATCATCAGTACGGTATAGCTCGCCATCATCGACTGAGAAACCATCAGCCCAAAAGTGTAGAGTGCGGTGGACGCGCTGAGCACGCTGCGGTTGAGGTTCGGAGGGATCTTCGATGACTCGGCTCGGAGTGTCGTCGCCACCAAGGGTTCGGGCGGTTCCAGTGAAGTAAGATGGTCGGGACTGAGGCTCATCTGAGGAGGGAGGCTGCGCTCTATTCATGTAGTAGATCAGTATACGGTCCACGCCTTTCTCGTGAATCGTCCCTAAAACCTTACCTGCGGGCCTTTTCAAGGATCTTCCTTTTCAAATCGTCCGGATTCTGCACGGCCAGGCCAGACTTCTCACCACCGGCAAAGAAATCCTGATCCTCAGAGCCGTCCTCGGAGGACGAGTCACCACCGCTCCCTGAAGCAAAGTCTCCCAATGTCGCAAACTTCTTCTTCGGGGCAGCACGTCGGCTCGATGACGAAGACTGAGGTGCGGCAGAAGAGGAAGCTGGAGCAGGGGCTTCACCGAGGGAACGACCTCCTCCGGCTGTTCCAGATGTCTGTTCTGCACCTAGGCGCCGGCCACCACCAGTGTTCATGTCCTGTAAAGCCTCATCTTGCTCCGCGAAGAACTCGGTCACAGCAGCTTCCACGTCCCATCCGTTGGCAGAAAGGTACTCTTGTGCCTGAAGAACGCGCAAGGTCATTATTAGTACGCCTCATATGTCCAAAGAATCCGGTACTTACCTCTGCAGGCTTGGTTCCTGTCATGTTGCAGAACTGAGACACGACCTCGTCATGCTCTGCGGGGTTGTAGTCCATAATTAAGCTTGATGGATGATATCTGAGGGTGGATATGGGAGGGATATGAACGTAAATCTCCAAATTTGAAGTAGGGAAGGTAGTGCGCGAGGTATTGTAAAAGTCAAGAAAATGTAGAAGGGTATTGTTTGCGAGTCAACCCAGTCGAGCTGGAAGAGCCAGCTAAACACCGCGGGCAGGTACGTCACTCGCAATTGGTCAGCCGGAGCGGAGGATCTTCCGACCATCGGCGCCTGAGGCTCTTAGCCGATCTATAAAAATACAGTACTTTAGATCTTTAGAAACACAAAGCCTTCTTGGTAGCGCACAGTAAACTTCTATGACACTGAGCATTCAGCTGAGGAGTCTTTCAAATTTCCAGGAAGATCAATATTCTTATTAGCATTTCTGGAAGCATTATATTCAAACATAAGAAGTATCAAGGTTATGGGCATCGAGGATTATTCTTTGAGAGATGGATCACAATTGTAGAAAGAACTAATCTCTCTGAAAAATTCAAAGCAGGAGCCTATGTTCTCTGCCCAACAAATGGAAGCTTGAAGTCCAGCCCTGCCAGGTTTCGATATCTACCTCTGTAACTGATGGATGGAATCTTCTGCTGACATAATCCATACTGCCCGCGCCTCCAACGAGGAGCATCCCGACCGCCGGCCACTAGGAGCAGTTGACCTAAACCTTCGATTCACAGTCCACCTGGCCGATCCACGCCCTCGATAGCTAAATTTCTCTCGACATCTGTCAATTTAACTTTAACAACCTCTACCATCTATGGCCTCTGACGCCCCTGGCTCGCGGGTCGAGCTTTACGACTCCGCCCTGACTGTTCCCTCCGACTCGGAAAACTATTCGGCAAACAACGAGTCACCCTCTTCGCCTCCCTCGACCTCCAGCTCTCCCATGATTCTCTACAAGCCCCCCACGGTCTGGGGTCTGATCCGTGGTGCAGCTATCAACCTCCTGCTCCCATTTGTGAACGGTCTCATGCTGGGTTTCGGCGAGCTGTTCGCTCATGAAGCTGCTTTCCGCCTCGGGTGGTCTAACACGAAGGTTGGTGCCGATCATAACGTGTCAAATAGACTCTATAAGTGCTCACTATCTGTTTCTCGGTTCTAGATCTTCCCCATGTACCGCCGAACACATCCCGTGGGCCCTGGTGTCGAGGCTCGGGAGCTTCCTTCAGAGCGGAGGCGGGTTACCTCTGCTGCCGGCTTGAATGACACTGCGGCTTTGGAATAAATAGATGCCATTGGTCTGAAATCCCGGCTCTATCAAACCACTATTTCCTCAATTACTCAGAGCTACATTGATATGGGAAACACAAAACGGGTACATGTGTGTTTGGACAGATACCTGACCTTGGGTCAACACTTGGATGTAGCGCATGTACATAGACTGCTCAGCTGGCGCCTGGCGAACTGGATTTTTATACACATAATGCTTAGAATACGTCACTATTTCTTGCAATGAGTAAAAGTTTCAATGTACTTCAACTGTTGGTCCTATCCCTAACCCCCATCGCCATCGAACCTTTGCGACCGCCTGAGAAAGATTGAACCGTATAAACATTATAATCTGGTATCTAGACTTTGCTAGAATCTGAGCTATCTTTCTCACCCATACATAGGTGGCAATATAAACGGTAATTGGTTTGATCCGAGATATTCAAACGGGGTAGGAATAGTGACCATGAGCTTAAGCCCCCTAACATGTTATTTTATGCCTCAGAAATGGTGAGTGCATAGATTATTGGGATATATAAGGTAAGTTTTGTGGATAACTTTGAGACTCTTAAAGTATGCAAGATCTCTATATTTGCTTCATCCATTTTCTGCCCTGATTTCGATTCTTCTCGAGCGTGATTATGTCAATGCAGCGAGGTTGCCTTTAGGATTTGTTCATTGGGTTAGAGCCAAATAACTCTCTCCTTTGTATAAATTCCCAGTCTCTGAAAGGGCTTTCAAGTGCGAGAGCATGCATTGTAGTTCTTGCGGTCCAGAAGTGAACGGCCAAGCCGGCGATGACTCGGCATCGGATGTTTACCGGGAGGGTCTCCGCCCGGCAGAAAAAGTCTCCCCGACAGGCGCGGGAGATTCGCGATAGTCCGACTGTCCATTCATCAAATCACACCCTTTTTCGTTCCTTAGCAAAATGATGGGAGCTGCTGGCCTGAAAGGGCCCAGTGCAGCCACTACCTTTGTGCGGCAAAGGCTCATTGCGGTTCCTCGATCGACCCGATCGGTTTGTCCTATCTAGGATTCCGGGGAAAAAGTAACCACGTACTGACTAGTTTCTGGCAGGTCTCTACCTTCAGGCCCCAGCGCTTCCAATTCACCGGCCAGAAAGGTCAATTGACACTCGTTTCCTCTGTCAATGCTCCATGGCGCCGTGCTGCCCTTGCTGCTAGCCCTGCTGCGATCCGTTTCAACTCGACTTCGTCTGACCCAACACCCGCTTCCGTTCCCGAAACCACAACGCCGATTGATCCGGCCGATGTTGGTTTTGATATCTCGGAGATTCCAGAGAAGATTGGATACTTGAAGGAACTTGGAATGGATTACGGCTGGGGTCCGTCGTCCATGCTCCAATATGTGATCGAGCACATTCACATTTGGACGGGTTTGCCTTGGTGGGCTAGTATTGTCGGTGCCGCCGTCTTGGTGCGTGTCGGTCTGTTCAAGCCAACAATGGCTGCTTCCGACATGGGTGCCCGAACCCATAACGCTAAGTCTCTCATTGACCCGATTCGTCATGAGATGATAAAGGCTCGGACCACTGGACAGACACAAGAGTTTCAAATTAAGAAGGCTGAACTCGATAAGATTCAGGCCGAGCATGGGATCAAGCCCTCGAGGGCTCTCATTCCTATGCTGCAGATTCCCCTTGGCTACGGTATCTTCCGTGTCGTCCGTGGTATGACCTCTTTGCCAGTGCCGGGGTTGTTGAGTGAATCTGCTTTGTGGTTGAACGACTTGACCGTGGCCGACCAGCTATACTTGATCCCTGTTATTACAGCCTCGTGCTTGTATCTTACACTGAGGGTGAGTGAACCGTCGCCTTTTTCAATTGCAATTGGGTACGGACATTAACACACATGATAGAAAGGTGGTGAGACTGGTACCATGGACATTCTCAACACCTCTGCTGGTAAAGCCTTGCTGATTGGTCTTCCGGCTGTTTCTTTCACATTCATGGCTTTCCAGCCAGGTGCTTTGCAGTTGTACTTCCTGTCTACTGGTCTTCTCGGTCTTGCTCAAGCTTACATTATCAACAACGCCACCTTCCGTAACGCTATGGGCATGGCTATCCCGACCAAACGCCCAGCGCCGCAAGATTTGACCAACCTTGAGCAGCTTCAAGCCCGACTGGCAGAGCTCCAAGCCAATCCGGAGAAGTTCAGGCAAACCGAGGCAACCAAGGATAGTAATACCAGCAAAATCGACCAGGTCCAGAAGAGCATCAGCAGCTGGAGTGAACAGGCCAAGAAAGAAGTCACGGACAAGTGGAGCCAAGTGAGAGGCAACCAGACCAAGAATGCAGACGGCTCTGATGCCGCAAAGCCTCGTCTCAGCGAGCAGGACCGACAAGCCGCAGAAAGATACGAGAAGGAATCAAGGGTTCGGGAAGCCGTCTTGCGCGAGGAGCGTAATCACGCTCGTCGGAGCGCTCATATGAGGACTCTTGCATCTGAGCGGCAGAAGGCTCAGGATTCGTACAAGAATCTGCAGCCGGTTGGTCGCGTCAGCCAAGATCGGAGGAAGTGATCTTCTTCATTGTGTATAAACTGTAAATTATGGCGCTTTGACTTTGGCATTCTATGTTTTCATGTATTACAGAGTTAGAATCTATTTGGACCACTCTTCCATCGCTTGTCGTGAAGTGTAGCGTTTTCTTTCTCCATGAAAAGCAATTCGAGTCGCTTTATTAGACATGCCCATAAGACGTCCACCATTTTCCTGAATTGCATGCACGCGCGACTACGTGCCGTCTTGCCAGATAAGCTAAGAACTTAATATGACTTTTTACAGCATATTTTAACGAGGCAGAAGGGAAAAGTAGCATCAAACAAACCAAAGAGCCACTGGGTAGGCTCGCTCATGTAGTTCGCATCGGAATCGAGACAGCCGGCAACGGCAACGGCCTCTTCTCATCCTCTACAAAAAACTTTCGCTCCAATTTCTCTGTCATCGATGCACAGAACGGGTCCACATACGCTGTCCAAGCCGCTGCAAGCACATACACCAGTCCAATCCACACCGGTATACTGATAGCAACAACCCACGGCGGATGCAATGGCAACCAATCCCGCTCATCATCAGTGGCAGCTTCACCTCCTTCCCATGGCTGGCCACTAATCCCATATAACATCCAACAAAGGACGACACGCAGCATCGTCCCATGGATGAGATATACTGCAAAACTCTGCTTGCCAAGCCAGAGCAACAGTCGATTGGCGAGGAACTTCTTTGTCGATGGAGAGAGGTAGATCGCTAAGATGACGAGGTCCACACCCAAGGCTGAGTAGCGCTTTCCGATGTTGACGTCTGGTGGGAATATATATTCCGATATTTTGAACATGAAATCCGACCAGGGCATCCATTCTGGATGTTCACCGGGGTAGGAGGCAATTAGAAGACCCGCTACCGCGAGTGGTATGGTGATGAGCTTTCGAGTATAGCGATGGGTTTCTACCCAATTCTTGAGAGCGGTGGTGTATGAGAGATCACTGAGAAGGACACCAAAGATAGCTTGCATTTGGAATGTTTCTAAGTGAGATGGGATTTAGTTAGCAGGTTGTACGCCGAGGAAATATGTCAAGGGAATTGCCGAGATATATAGTTCGTACCCGTATCTTTCGCAGCATCTTGGTGATAATATAGCAGCATCCCAACGTAAACGGCGACTCGATATCGGAACTGCATGAACATCGTCGCGATAAGAATAATAAAGACCAGCATTGAGGCCTTTAGCAACGGCAAAAGAGCCCACTGGTGGTCATCGTATGTCATATACCCCGTCGTCCAAGTCGACAAAAAGTTCTCCCCTAACCGAATAATCTCTTTCCAGAGAGAGTCCTCTAGATCCGGGGATGCATATCGACACCACCAGCTATCAGAGCGGTTGGCAACAGTGAACCCACCAAATTGGGCGACCGTCCACGAAATTATCAAGGCAATAGTTGCCGGGAAGATCAGTCGCGGTGGTCTTCGAAACGCGCTCTTGGCGATTGTTGTAAAAGCAGCGGCTGTGTCACCAGCCCGTGAGAGTTTCAAGGGTTTCAAGGCACATACGTAGCCAGTAAGAAATGCAAAGATAGTGACGCCTATACGGCCTTGCCACGGGATGCGGAGAATAGGCCATTGTAGTATGCGTGGGGTGGCGTCTTCGGTGTCCCTTGGTGAAAAGAGGTCAAAGTCCCAAGCGCGGGCAAGATGTGTCAGGACGACTAGAAAAGAAGCGATGCCTCGCAAGCCCTAGACAATGAGAAGCTCAAGAGTTAGCAGAACGATAAGTGATTAGGGCATGCAAACATACATCAATCCACTTCACGCTCTTTCGAGGATCGCCTTTCGTGGAGGCGTCCCTTTGACTCCATGGGAGAACAGCCGGAATGGTGTCTTTCAAACGAGTGTATAGATGGGAAGAAGATGGAGAGACCGACATGATGAATATCAGGATTTGTATGAAATTCAATTAAAAAGAATGACTGAGTGCTTCAAACACTCTAGAGAGATATCATATCAGAACGAAAATCGAAATACACCATCAGGTTGACATCGCCGTCAAAATGTCCCTGCGATGGCTAAAGGAATGGATAGTACGGAGTATGTAGGAGATACACAGAAAACATCTTAGAAAGACAAGCAGCCCATCCAGGACAGTGCCCTTTGATTTAGTCCCCAGAGAAGTAATATGCCAAGAAAGAAGGGGGACAACAGCGTTCCAAATCTTCAAATAGAAGCCACAAATAGAAAATAGATACATACGAGTCCCTACATCGCATGAGCCGATGAGCAGGTCCAATTATGCGATAACCAGCCCGTAATTTTGTCGAACGACTGGGTTAGAAATGTCTGGATATGCTTCGCCATGGCTAGGGGGGTCACAAAGTGCCAATCAAGACGCGAATTTTCAAAGCCCTGGCCAGGTATGCCAAGGGGGAATGGGCAGTTCTACTGCGATCCTTTGGGAGAAGTCAAAAGACTGATATGCGGGAGGCGAGACCCTTGCAGGACCTGCAGAGACATTGCTTAAATGGGATTGAGTGTGTCGATCTAACTGTATATCTGCTTCTTCCTGTGAAATACATTGCTATAGCCCATGAAGGAGGCGTTCTATTTATGCAGTATACAGGATTGGCGTCTCAGACGGCTTCAGGGGGAGCAAGGATACACCGTAGTAAGCGGACCATGGCATTCATGGACCAGGGGACGCGTTTACATATCTTGTTTGAAATATCCGTCGAATGAGCAGCTCAAAAAGGAGCCCTGCCAAGCCTTTCTAACCTCCTGGATTGGCAGATCAAGCAGAATGTGGCGGAATGTAAGCTTCTTATTCACAGGTCCGAATTATTTGACACACCTCTCGATCCTCTAAATGCAGACAGCTTGGTCTACCCTTTACGTGGCCAAGAGTCGGACGCTGAAGAATCAAGAATAGTTTGGTATCAAATTTTATGTCCAGGAACCCCCAATGAAACACCGCTAGTACTGTATGTAATTAGAACACTCCAACAAATCATGGACCGACAGCCTTGTCAATAGAACCCAAGCGCCCGTGAAGAAAAGTCCATACTGCCAATGAACCCTTTTTATGAAGCCAAAAAGAAGAATGCTTGATTAGCGGAATAATCGTCGGCCTCCCACGCTGCCAGAGCCCCACGTAACTGAACCCTTGACTCCGAGATTGTCCATGCTCAATCCCGAAAAACCGACACCGCCACCCTCGCCATCACGCTTGTATCGACGAAGCGCTTCACGCAGGTGTGATGGTAGAAGCTGGCCGCGATGCGGGTTGGGTGGTGGACGGAACTCCCGTCGGGGGCGTAGAAGCGCAGGACTTGATGCTGATGGCTTGCCGACTTGTTGTAAAGATAGAGATGGGGACATATGAGGGGCAGGAGTAGAGGGGGTCGAGTTGAGGTGATTTGCTGGGACAGAAGACGGTCTAATCTGGTCTGTCTCCGTTGGCTCTTTCTTGATGCCATTGCTGAGGGTTCCTGAATTGGGCCCTGGGACGGGGGTGCCTGAAGGAGTAGGAGGTGCAGTCTTTGACTGCGTGGCCGCGGCTTGAGCTCTGGCCTGAGCTGCTTTCTCCGCGGCAGCTTCTTCAGCATCAAATGCTGTTCGTGCCGCTAGGTCGAAAGCATCGGCCCATTCGGCCTGAACTGTTCGTGCCTTCTCGATCATCTCACCCGCGAACACCTTCGTGAAACCGTTGACTGTAGTAACCACACTGGCCGGGACAGATTGTGAGAGCGCATGGTTGACAATACGGCGGAGGGATTCCTTGCGAAGCTTCGCCCGCTTGAAAAGATCATATCGCTCGGATTGCTGAGGGTTAAAAGCATCGACCAGGATCCTGTAGAAGCAGTATGGTTAGTCTTCCAGCCCATCAGCCATAAAAGATGACGATCAACATACGCCAAATTCTTTTTCTCAGCTTCTGTATCCGTAGTTCCCTCCTCTCGACCCAAAAGCTCTCCCTCATCATCGTCATCATCATCCTCGGCATCATCACCACCTCCTCCAGCACCTCCGCCCATACCCCCTCGCACCGAGCCTTCGGCATCGACAGATCCAAGCCGCGCATCTCCAGCGCGCGAGCTCATCGCATCTTCCCGCTCACGCTCGCGCTCCTTCTCAGCTTTGCTCTTTCTTCCGCGCTTCTTTCCGCGAGCTGCGCCAGCGAAGACGCCGTCCGCACTTGCGCCGCCAATACTTCCAGTGAAACTGCCCGTCACGCTTCCGGCATCGCTGGCCGCACCGAAGCTGCGCTCTGCTGTATCGAGACCAGTCGGAAATGAGGTTTGTCTGAGAGGGTGCATACGAGGTTTCTTGCCGAGTGGTTGTGAGGCTGAGGAGGTGATGGAGGGTCGTTTGAGCGGGTTGGTTGGGGTCTGATACGGTGGTGGTGACGACATTTTGAAGAACTGTGTATGTAGCTAGAGGGCTCAAAGCGAGTGGCGTGGAAGAGGTAGGTGAGAATGGTGTTGGGAGTATTAGAAACCAGATGTCTGCTCAATCCGACCTGCTCTGGCGGTCTTGGTGAGGTCCGTCGAGTTTAGCGATGCGCTTCGACCCTGGTCCAAGGCCGTAGAGCGGAGAGAATGAAAGTTTCAAAAGATGGAAAAAGTGCAAAAGAACCAGCAAATGAAACCTGCCGAAGGACCCGCCTACGAGAGTGAAGAAGTCGCCAAATGAGTAGCCGATGCCAGCCAGACGCGATCAGAATTGAGTCGCGCCGATTCTCGAAGAGACCCGACCGCCTACCATATTTGGAAACTATATCCTCGGGGGAGACTACGTAAAAAACGAAGCTTAAATGAACGATAATGTGGGTTTACTACGACAACCCAGGAGATTAATATAGAGATTAAATATTGAGGTAGAGTACTAACGGATCAATTATGAAGAAAGTGTGACAAGATGAACCATTCATGATAACAATAAAAAGGCCAAAATCAAGATCGCTGATGGAGTCCAGCTGGAACAAACACGACAAAAATGACAAGACGCTTAGAGCGTAGACATGCAATGCTGCGTACTATGTAAAGACAGGAGGAATGACAATCCACATAGTCCCAAACCTGGAACGAGGAAAGCAGATAATCTGTGCACGATATGGACTAAAGAAATGGACACTAAAGCAGGTCAACAACTGGAAAACAGCGGACGTGGACAGAGGAACCAGGCCATCTCCAACGCGTCATGTAGGAGTGATGCCCTTAGAACCTCTCTCCAAGCCGGGGAGCCCCCCTTTCCAGTCGTTGCGCTCATAGTAGCGGAACACAAGGTCGTAGCCGTTCAGGTCATGGACGATGCGGTCGACGCGGCGGTAACCCTCGATGTGCTCCATCTTGGGGTTGCGACGCATGGCCTGGCGCTGCGCATGCGCCTCGTGGAAGCCATGCGCCTCGCCGCCCAGTTCCTCAATGACAGGCTTAGTCTCGAACAGAGTGATGCTGAAACGGCCGGGCTTGAAAATATCAACGACTTGCTGAATGATGTCGTTGGTAGCCTTGCCGTTCTGCGAATGCGGAACGTTGGTCTCGAAGGACGCATACGAGCAGTGCGGCTCTGGGGTGACGTGCACGGTGAAATAGTGCGTAGGAGCCTTGCCATCCGGAGCAGGGACGACGCCGTTGGCAGAGAAGCCACAGGGCGTAAACAGGTACGCATCGATGCGAGAATCGGGGTACTTGCTCTTGGGATAAACGTCCGACAGGCCGCAGGCATCAGATACCACGGTACCAAGTGCGTGACCCTCAGTAGTCAGCTCTGCCGGTAGCAGACGGTCCGCATCCGGATCATCGGGGTCAGAGCCGTTGTCGAACACATCAATGTGATCATCCTTGTCGAAATTGCGGTGACGCTTCTCAGCCACAGCGGTGGCATTGTCCAGGTAGAACTGTTTCGCGTTCTCCTCGTCCAGGTCAGTCATCAGGACCTCCAGAGTCTCATCGTGCTCGTCGCAGTCGGCGATCGGAGAGGGCCTGGGGAAGCTGAGAACCTTGGTTTCAGTCTCCGGGAACTTGACATCCTCTTCCTTGGGGCTCGCCGGGGGAGTGAGCAGAGTGTGAGGCTCGGTCAGGTACAGATACCAATGCTCTCCGTTCATTTTCCCAATCATGTAGGCACTGCCATTCTGGAACAGCTTGTCCATGTTGCGAACCTCGTCGCGCCAGCTGCGGTGGGGACCACGCTGGCGGTCAGGGAACAAGTAGTTCTTGCGGCTGTAGAACACCCGGTAAGGAGCTGCCGCAACGGTGATCCCACGAGACGGCGGAGCAGTCGCGCGGGGGAAGCCTGCAAAGAGGGCGGCAATCTCCAAGATGCGCGGGAGACCCGACAGAAGCGTGGTTGTGCCACAGGTCTTGAGGATCAGCTTGTGGGGCCAGACGAACATGCTAGACTCGGACAGGAGGTAGGCATCCACATCCTCGGATGAGACAACCGACAGAACCTGACAATTGACAAGATCCAGCATATCCTTCCAGATCTCGCCCGGCACCTTCTTCAGACCCTCGGGGCCTGCAGCGCCGAGCTCACTGGCAGACGGAGCAAACCAGACCTCGAGCAGCTTCTCGGGACCTATTTAAAATTGTGAGTAGTTATTCGCAGATTATACCACCAGAAATCGACTGACCTTCAAAGGCACTGCTGGAGTCAAGGTCCTGAGTGGCCTCATAGTTGATGGTCAGAGAAGGAGTCCCCGCAAAGGATGACGGGGACTGGGTGTAATTCTTCGGAATACCGACGTAAACCATATCCGTTGATTGATGCAGCCGCGGCTGTTGTAAAGATTGAGCAATTAACGGTATCGAAGATGGTGACTGAGTGACGTCGGACCGCCCTGGGAGCTGTTTGATGGAGACAAAAGGCTTTAGAAGCACTGTCTACTTACCCAGACGAACAAGGGGGCGATGCCCGTCTGAGAAGAGAAGGCCCTGAGGACAGAGAGAAACTGGCTGACAAGCCAGGCAGGTGAGCACTTAACAGACCGGAAGGGCCGCTAAGGAGGCAGGAACGCGAAGGAGAGGAGAAAGATGCTACAAAGAATTGTGACTGTCAGTCCAGTACCCTCGTGCTGGAAGATACCGATACCGGTCAAAGTATCGGGTCTAGCAGACGAGAGTATCTGCTTTGTGCAAGAGGTATGGAGGAAAGTTGGCGGTTGGTGATGGCGTGAGTCGTGCTATCGAGGCCTAGAGAGAATAGACAAATTAGTACATGTCGTGTAGTATATTGTGTGTCGAGTTAATTGGTATTGGGAAGGGAAGATGTAAGAGGGTTGTGCCTCAAAGTAGCTCAGCCCTAAGCTGTCGCGCCAACACGAGAAAAAAAAACAAGAATTGTCCCATATTTGTGGATCGGTGCCTTCCGTGAGGGGTAACCGAGGGCAAAAAAAAAAAAAAAAGGCATTCACACATACTTCGCGGGCTTGGATAGAAATCGCAGAAGATCCTTCGGGCTCATGAAAGGCAGGAAAGGAAATTCAGCTTAAAACTGCACGATGTCGCGCGAGGCCACAGTCGTGAACATCAGTGGGGTGACGAAGGCAGAAAAGAGTCGTGTCGAGTCGAGTCGGACTTTGCTAACAAGCCCAATGAGTGCCCGAGATGCAATTGACAGCTCTGAGCTGGTCAAGAGAAAAAAGGTATTCTCTCGGAAGATTTGCTTAACCAAAGGTAAGACAGCCGATGGTCAATGTGCAGACCTCGAGAGGAGGGGTGGCAGCAGGAAAATGTTTGCTGTAACGGGCGGTTTAGTTGGTGAGCGATTTTATCTGTGGGCCCGAGCTCGTGGGGCGCTTCGGGATCAAAATCTGTCTGACATCAGGGAAGGCGACCGAGTTAGCTGTCGAGTCCTGCAGCGCCACAACACGCAAGACTGGTGAAGTACAAAAGCAGGACAGATACCGGTGACTCACGAGAAGAACCTCAGGTAGATGTAGATCGTCTAGGACGATACCTCGAAGTGAGTTGCAGGAAGAGAAGAGGGGTGCAGCTGTCGAAAATCCTGGAACACGCGAGCGGTGAAGGGGGGCAGAATTGGGGTTACAGACGACGTAGGTCGTGCCTGGCCGGAGGTTACGTAATCGATCAGCGGGGCCGAGAACCTTAAGCAGGGTCACCTGACCGGACTGCAGGTACAGTACAGCCGTATTTACATGCATAGAATGTCTACCTTGAACCAGAGCGGACTATTGTCCGATGGCATCAACAGGGTATCAGGCATATCTGATGTCATTTGATAATCGAGAGATCGCCAAGTGGTCATAGCCACAAAGATTCAGTTCCTCCCCTTCCTAAACGCCCGCTCACAACGCCATGCCAGATGGATGCAGCAGATCATTCCCCATACCGGTGATTAAGTAAAAGACACAGGTGAAAAAGTAATGAACCAACCAAAAAAGAAATCAAGCCTCCGCAATAAGACGAGCCAGCTGGACTTCGTTGGCTTCGACGATCTTCGTGGCAATGAGACCACCGACTTTCTCTGTCAACTTGGAGCGCAAATCATCCGACACGGTTGCGGGATGGCCGTTGGTCAGCGAAGGGTGAGCATCTCGGATAGAAGCCAGAACGCCAAGGAGTGCACTCAGGACGCGCTCGGCAGCGGGACGGCGAGCTGCATCGTCGAGGCCGTCACTGAGTAGCTTGGAGTAATCACTCAGATTGGGGATAACGAGCACGCGAACCACCTCGGCGCCGCCAACAGCCTGCAACCCAATGACGGCTCCGTAGTGAGCACCGAAAGGCTTGGAAGGATCAAGGAAGCTCTTCAAGCATGACCGTACGAGACGTGGCTTGAGCATATGTGATGAGTGGGAGAACTTCTTTGCAATCAGCCCAAGGAGCGATGCGGCAAGGTCACGGAGAGCAAATTGTTCGGACAGATCGTTGGCTCCGCCAAGTTGCCGGCCGACCAGGCAGGTCAAGATTGATGGAACTAGAGAGGCGATCTGGACAATGTCAGCTATCGGAGATGCTCCACGGAGTTGCTGATGTGAAAACCTACATAAGGATCAACGTAGAGGGATGCATTCTGCACCAGAGCCTCGGCCATGTGCATCACCTGGGTCAGGACGAATATATCCTTAAGACTGTGGGTGACCTTCTCCGCAATGAATTGGACGAAGTATGGAACCAATTGGTGGAGACCGGGGTCATCCCGTAGACTGGCATATGCAGAGGTACGGTACTCCTCGCTCGTCTCGTCGAGGAATGCACTGCAGACCTTCTCGAAGTACAGCTGCAGCTCCTTGGATAGTACATGCTTCACAGTGGGTTTCACCGACACCTCGCCGCTGCCACTCATCGCCGCAAGGGTGGAATTGGCGTTTGGTCCCTTCGATACCAGCTCGAGGTTGCGAGAGTCTGCGGCAGTGGGGTTCTGAGGGATGGATGGCTGGACACCTTCGACGGCGAGCCAGTGGCCTAGGTAGATACCAGTTAGAGACCACAATACAGCATGGAGTTGAATATACGAACCGGTGAAAGAAACTTCTCGGGGCACTTTGGGCAACGGCGCGTTGATCAGCTTCTCAAAGTCCACCTCTTCATCTTCCACGTAGAACAGCGGTTGACCGGGGCCCAGCGATGCTTCACCAAATCGCAGCGGACGTAGAGATTCGTAACCATAAAGAGGTTCCACATCCAGATTCCTCAAGGCAAGAGAGATATCTTGGGTAGTGAGAAGGGTGCGCTTGCCGTGGCGCATGCACTTGAGCGCTTCCTCCAGCACTTGTGCAACGCGGTATTCGACGTCGCGGGCGAGATTTTCCGTCACATCGTGATTGAGGTTGGTGATACCGACTGACTCGGCGACATCGCGGATGTTATCCGGGTTCCAAACGGACATGGTGAATGATTATTTCAGACTCGGAGGTGAGGTTGCGACGGAGATGAATCCGGAAGGGATGAGGATCGCGATGATTGAGTGAATGGGGTGGTCGGAAAGCTCTTGATCAGAGACAAGGTCGCATTCTGACACCAGTGCACTTCGGCCGAAGGAGAAGCGAAATGGGTTGCGGCAATACTTCTCGCTAGATTTCATTCAAACCGGAAGCCAAGCAGGCAGGGAGAGCTGATCGATAAGAGTTCTGAGCAGAGTTGCGCAAGTGGTCTTGTGGGCTCCCGTACAAGCTTATGAGCAGCCTCAGGCGCCAAGGAGCAAAGTGCACACTACAAAGTAAATTAGCTACATACTAATAAAGTACTTCTGAATTTCAGGTAGAAACAATCAATTATTACGGATTGTTGGACTTGACGGATACAAGTCCAGACAGTAGGCACTAGTTGCCTGAGGCGAAAGCAAAAGCAGAGAGCGTTGGGAGCCACTCATCCTCCGGGTATCACAACAAAAGACACATTCACAAACAGGAGCGCGCAATTTACTTGGCCTCCTCAGCCACAAGCTTGACCTCTTCCTTGATCACCTCCTTCTCGGCAGTCTGCTCGTTGGTAGTGGCATCCTCAGCGGGAACCTCCTGTTTGACAGGCTCCTCCTTAGGTTCCTCTGGCTTGGCGAGCTCTTCCTTCGCAGGCTCTTCCTTCGCAGGCTCTTCCTTCACAGGCTCTTCCTTCGCAGGCTCTTCTTTTGCAGGCTCCTCCTTCACAGGCTCTTCCTTTGCAGGCTCCTCCTTAGGTGCCTCCTGCGCAACAGGCTCCTCATCCTTCGGGGGAACAGCGGGAGCAGCAGTCTCGTTAGAGGGTTCGGCAGGCTTGGTCTCGTCCTTCTTTTCCTCCTTCTCCACCTTGTCCTCCAACAGTTGAACAGTTCGTGCCTCGTCCTTCAGCTCGGGGCCCTTTCCACCGTAGGTCTTGGGGATCTTGTCCGCAATAGCAGCAGGGAACTCACGGGCAAGGTTTGCGCCGTTCGAGATAGGGTGGAACTTGCGGGTAGTGTTGCGGCTGAGGAACAGCTTCATGGCGGAGAACATCCAGCCCATAATGGAAGGAACGTTGACGAAGAACTTCTCGCGCAGCAACTCAGGATACGCAGTAGAGAAGACATCGATGGTCTTCTTGGTGGCGGTGCGGACAGCGGGGTCCATACGGAGGAACTTGACATTCAGGTAGTCGTGAACCTGGATCATCTGGTACGGGTCCTTCTCGCCGTCATAGTCGATGACCTCGGTGGCATCCTTCATCTTCAAGTCCTGCACGGCCAGCTCCATGAGGGCGGCGCGCCACTTGATAAACCTAGAGGGTATTAGCATATTCAATTTGCGGTAAGTAAATTCATCCATCCTGTCACTCACTCGTCAGAATCGCCAAAGGTAGCGCTGACATCCTTCACAGCGCCGTAAATGTTCCAAGTGAACACCAGGGGGCGTCCATCCTGCTCATAGGTGGTCAGATAGCCGAGACCACCATACTTGGTGGCACTGTAACGACCAGACTCAGCCAAAGCAAGCGGGTCGGTCTTCTTGCGCCATTCCAGAGCCTTGCGCAGTTGAGACTGGGCACCCTGAACGTTGCCCTCATTGGCACGCAGGAACTTGATCAGCACGTTGACGGTAGGGACATCCTCGCTATCCTTGAGCTGCACACCCCACATCTCATTGTAGCCAGTCTCGTTGAGGATCTTGGGCAGCTGCTCGAAGAGCTGGGCCAGACCAGGAATCTTGGTCAGGTATGCGGGCTGCTCGGGCTTCTGCTCCTCAGGCTTGGCCGCTTCAGGCTCAGGGACGACTGGAGCCTCTTTCACGGTCTCCTCTTCCTTAGCAGGAGCATCTTGAACAGCCTCCTCAGCCTTGGGTTCGGTTTCCTTGTCGGCGGTCTCGGTGGCTGCAGCAGCGGGAGTGTCCGACGGCTTGTCGCTAGCTTCAGGAGCTTCCGCCGCTACTACGGCAGCTTCCTCGCGCTTCTCGGGCTCGGTCGCGGGGGTTTGCTCGACGGGCTTTTGGTCCGACATTTTTGCGATTGATTATGGTGAAGGATTGAACTGGTCTGAAGATGGATGAAAAGGAAAGAGAAATGCAAACGTTCAGGGGAAAAAAGAGACGGGGCAGGGGTTCGCTGCCTCGATAATTCGGCCTATCAACCGGATCCACTGTCGTCCCCACCTGTCAACCCGATGGGCCTACGGCTGAGACAAGACTAGGGGGGTCAGCATTGAGCCTGGGGAAAGTTGTAGCCCCTGAGCACCAGTCAATTGTGAATTCTGTACGAGGCTCTAGACTGACATTGGTTAAAATAAGCAGGGTCTGCTGCAGGTCATGGCGATGATTAGCGCTATGGATCTATAAGACCGGAGGACCGCAACTCCAATATACATAGCACGGGATTGACGGGCGAAAACAATTCGCCCGCTGTCTGGCCCAATTGGCAATTACTTCACCGAAAATATGCCCGCAAGGGGGGAAAAAAGGGACTGGGTGGAAGAAATCCTTTGTATCCTGGATTTAGCTATGTTCATCTCCATCGATGGCTAAGATTAATTTCTGTTCCATGAATCACTCCATACCGTAATAACTGAGATAGGCAATGATCAAACAAAACGAAATTACACAGGATCATTAGGATACCGAATGAGGAAATGAGAAGGATTTCTAATTTTACTAGTTTAAAATGGCAGCGTTAAAAACCCCGCTAAAGACCTGACTAAATGCCGTTTATGTCTAGGGCTGACTATACTACCACCCTTGAACCTCCCTAATTAAGATTTGGGCCTGGCTGCCTGATTACTGTACCGACCCTGGTTGTACCTTAAGAACCTAGTATTCCTGGCTTTCCTCTTCGTTATTAATTACGTGATTGCCTTCCCCGGTCAACATGAAGCTATTCAAGTTTCAATTATGGAACCATCTTCTTACACTCCTTACCACAGTAATATGAAGCTATTCGGATTTAATAGAGAGGTGTTCGAATGCGACTATGCAATTAAATTCCGAATACCTAGAGGAAGCTGTTTATATGATTGAATTTTAAATAGCTTTATGTTGATAGAGGAGACCAACTGAGAAGGTGGTCATATAACTATGATAGTTTAGTCGGATGCAATTTAATTAGGCAGCTAGGCCAAAATCTTTCCTAATTAAGGTTTAAGGGTGGGCAATCAGCTTGAAACTTGTCCACGACGATTTTCCTAACTCACGAACCTACCCATTCACTCACCACAACTCACTTTACATACCTATGTCTCTACTCTCTTATCGAATCCACATATGTAATGGCCATCGTGGTAAGCCTGTCGCTATCAAAACTTCGAACTCAACGCTAGCTAATTCAGACCTCAGACTGACCCACCCTCCGGGTGGGGCACAAAACCTGAGGACCTCGAGGACGAGGATGACTGGAACGCAGATGATAGTGTTGGACAATGGCTGTGTGCAGAGTTGAAACTTGGAATAGGCCGTCCGATCATGTTTCATTACAAAGGCCTTACTTACATGTTTGAAGCCGGTGGAAAGTTCTACTTCTGGTATTGCATTGATCTCGCTGTTTCTGAAATCACATCTCCGACAGAGCTGGATGAAATCATCAAGGTTATGAAGGAAAAGGGAGAGGAGGTTTTGAAGACCAAAAAGATTCTTAGATAATTGAACTAAAAGGCGCTAGCTAGGGGCAGCCCAGCATGAAGACACTGTCAGCCGCAATTTTTAGACTAGAGTTGCCAATCCATGCAAGAATTGCCAGTTTTCGATTGAGTTTCATGGAGGAGATCTGCAGAACTTCTGTCGCTTTACTGGGTTTGCAAGGCCTGATATCCCTATTACTTTCTTGCACTACCCTCCGTGGTAAAATGCGGGGAGTAGAGGATCCTTTCTTGAGTAAATCATTACATTATTGTTACCTCATTTTGTACAGCCATATCAGCTCATTCATACTTGCTAATCAACTAATATACCAAGGCTTCCTTTCTTAATGATATGGTAACACAGTGCACTAGCATGCCTTCTCTGCTTCCTGAATAGTAGAGTTGACTAGAGAGCGTAAGTTAACCTGAGCTCGACCTGTTCTGGGAGCTGATCCGTCATTCATCCATTCCTTCGAGTCCACACCACAAGCAACAAAACAAGGCGCATTTGCCCTTAAATGGTCAAAGGTTGATTTAGAACACAGCAACGTCAGGATATTCCCGTCGCAGTCGGATTGGTTGAGGGTCATTATCAAACATACGACAAGGCAGGTGGGACTTTGAAGTGTATCAATATAGCCAAGCGCATTCGTGGCAACCACGAAGCAATAGAGACTCAGAAGCAGTTTCATTTTTAATTTGTGGCCCTTTGAGATCTAGATATAGAATAGAATAGAGTGCTGGCCGAGAAAATCAGCAGGCAAGCATGCGTTTTTATACTTGCTACTTGAAGGTCTGCTTGCCATTGTTGCTTAGATGCTGTGCTACTATCTTGGATAACACGCTACGTCTGGCTAGGCATATACAGCCACGTGGGGAAGGAATAGTGTATACTCTTATTGCAAGCTCTTTCACGTGTGTATGATGACATTTTTAGAATTGTTCTACCAAAGCTTGATCTGCAGGGAATGGCGATTATAGGTTTCAATTCTAGCATGGGTAGTATAGCATTCAGGCTCATGGATAACATGCCCCTCCCTCGTAAAGTCAAGGCTGTTAGTGGAGGGTAAATCTCGAATACTATTTCTTAACCCCTAGAAAATCAATACATAACATCATATTGAGAAGAACACTAAATTGTCTTCCGTCATGTACACGATTGTTTTCTCTAAGAGCAACCCTGAGCAGAATACTATTTTGAAGTATCCAATACTCCCAGTGACTCCTTCAAAAGAACGAATCGGACATTACGAATCGTGTACGACTAACAGAATTCCCATACTTACCACAAAAGTATTTTAAATGCCAAGGTCAATGCTGCGCATTGTTTGGCCAAAATACTCCCGTCCCTGGGTACATGCCCACCTAACCACATGCGGTTAGCAACCAACAATCGAAGATTCACGAACAATGAAACACTCTTACCCTAAATTCCGACGATCCACCTACTTATTTCGAAATGACTCATTTTCTCACAACAACAAGCAAGCTGGCGCATAGGAAGCGCGTCGGGCTCATAACCCGAAGGTACCTGGATCGAAACCAGGGTTTGCTATTTTCTTTTTTGCGCTTTTATTTTACTCCATGACTTTGATTTCGTCTACGACAACATATATCTCAGCATACCTCGCTTCATTCTACACACATCTAGAGAGGCTCTTGCTCGTAGTCAACAAATAATTTTGGCTACTCGGGAAGTCAACTTAAATCTAAATTGCTGGGTCTGTTAGCCAATTACACGTCAGGTCGGAAAAAGTAATTCTAGGATACTAAATGGATTCGGAAAAAATCATGGTTCTCATGTTCTATTGTAGATATCTCGTCGTACTGATGAGCATATCAGAGGTTTGTATAATTGCTTTCAAACGAATCACCAAAACCAAGAAACAGAAAGAGAAAGCAAGTGTGGATGCCTCGAAACATTGCTGATCAAACCGACCGGGTCCATCCGGGTTAGAAAAGAAGGGGAATACAAGGGCCGCTGGGGAATATACAGATAACACAACGAACGGAAAAAAAAAAGAAACAAAGCAGGTCCAATCTGTCGTATCTGTCTGGGCGTGGCTGCACCAGCGTATCAAAGGATCATCTGAAAACGAAAAGACATCAGACAGACCAAGTGGAAAGATCATCGACCGCCGTTGCGGAATTGCTGAGGGATCTGAGGGACGGAAGGTTCAGTCGTGTCCTCGTTTTCGTCCATTTCATCTTCGTCCAATTCTTCGGGGTGCCTGGATCGCACGATTAGCATCGCCTCGAAAAGAGAACCTCATGTGTAACCAGGGGTTCCTGGGAAACATACGCAAGCAGCTCCTTGATATTCCTCATCTCATAGTGCTTCTTCCGATGCTCCTCAAACTGGCGATGCTTCTCCTTGGCCTCCTCGGTGGTCAAAAGATCATCACCGCCCGCGGCCGCATCGCCATTCATATCAGGGTCAACGACAACATGCTTATCACTCTTATGCGACTCCATGCTCATACTGCGCTCGCGGTAAATACGCTGTTCGGGGCTCTCCTGGCCGATCATGCCCTCTTCAGCCTCCCCTAGCTCCAGATCCGGGATATCCTCTTCCGACACACCCTGCTTATGGTGGCCGCCGGGAGTAGTCTTGTCCAACTCATCTACCACCACATCTTGAGGGTCAATAAGACTCTCCTTTGCCTCTTCAAGCCGAAGCTCCTCCTCGTCTTCGGCGGGGTCGTAGTGCGGCGCGTAGGGGGTCTTTGGCTCGTCGATCTTCATTTTCGCAGTGCGCTCCTGCTCGGTCAGGTACAGGTTTGCTTCATCCCACTTCAGGCGGGGCTCGTTGTCGTCTTGCTGGCTGGCGAGGGATTGGCGGCGGGAGGATGACCCTGGTTGGGCGGTGGAAGAAGATCGACGGCGTCCGGCGTTCACCAGGGTGTTTTGGAGTGTGAGTTCCTTGGTGTCTTCGGGTTCGGTGACAGAGGGAATGGCGGGTGAGACGGCAGCGGGCGCAGAGACGGGAGCCGCCTGGAAGGACTTGCTGTTCTTTAGGATACCTGTATCGCGAAACGGACGGGATTTGATTAGCTTGCTGTCGAGGTTTCAAGGATGCGATCGCCCAAAGGGAGGTCTGGGCTAGAGCTTTCTACAGGTCGAAAAGCATACCTTTAGGTCGTGGGTGCACATCTTCAGTGCTGTGTGCCTTGGCTGGCAAATGCGGTGCGGTCGTCATGATGAGTGGGTGGTAGTCAAGGACGAAGAAGCCGTCCGATTTTCAAGCGGACGTAGGCACGAATTTCTTTGGTGGGGTAAATGTCAAGCTACTGTAGGCGGGCTGACGAGGTCGGGTTTGTCAGACGAGGCTCAGCTGCGCAGCTGAATCAGGGCTGGAGGTCACTGAGTGTTTTTCGCGAGGCTGGGTGGCGTGTACGAGAGGAACGTGAGAGATGAGACATATATCAGCCGCGAATGTGATCAGGTGCGAAGTTGCGAAGGAGCAAAGGCGAGGCACGTGGGGGCCTGATGACGTCGGGCTTGGCGCCTGACGTCTTCGGCAGAAACGGGCATCAAATGGTGATCCTACGGGAGTCGGCTGGGGATTTCCACGGTTAGGGGGTTGGGCATACTTTTGGCTCCACTAGATTCTGCGACTGATTTCCTGATGGAATACTTTGTCGATGTTTGAAAGCATAAACTACGCCCCAAGGGGGTATATCTTGGCGGCCGGAATATTCGTGTGAATGTTTCAGATTTCATAATATTTCCTGTTTGATATATCGAATTCCACAGTACACTCAACATCGAAAGACAAGCTTAATAAAGCAAAAGGCAAAAGATAATAAGCCTCTCCCAGTCTTTCAATGCAACAACAAGAACAAGAAAAACAAAAACGCCATGATACTCCCACACCCTACAAACAGCCCCAGAACCATGAAGAGGATTGCGTCCCAAAAGATGATTCTCCTCTAACACCAGATCAATCGCCCAGAAAAGGGGGGTATCTGTATATGCAAATGAAGCCAAGGCCTGCCTCGTATAGCCACAAGAAAGAAGAAAAAAAAGGCGTAAAGAAGTGGAAAAGAACCATAGTCAAAAAAGAGGGAGAATAAGAAACGAATGATTGAGAAATGAAAAAAAGAGAGAGACCGTCTCATGCAATGGAATCAAACTCCTCGCGCTCACGGAGACGATTACGTGCAAGAGTGTCACCCCCGTTAGCTGACAGCTGCATCCAGTGTAGTGCCAGACACATACTTTGCGGATCGGACTTGGAGTCCTTGTCACGGCGGTACATCATCTCAGCCTTGAAAGTATCACGTGGCCGAGTGAGAGGCAGGGTAACGCGCTGAAGCCGTTCGGGATGTGTGAGGTACAGAATAGCCAGCTCGCGCTGCGCAACTGGATTGCCCTCTTTGGCAGTGATGATCCACATCGCGGCTGCATCTTCAATGGCATGGCCGGGCCGCGGGTAAAAGTCGGCTCCCGGAAGCGGATGTCGGCGCATGAGTTCTTGGGAGACAATGCGGTCTGCGATCTCGACCATGCTGTGACAGACTTCGTCCTTGAGGCTTAGTGCAGCTAGTCCGAATTGGAGGAAGGCGGTGCCGCGGTCGGATTTGTTGAGTTGCTCTGCAGGTACGAACGCGGAGATGTACTGCAAGTCTCGGAAGAGGGTTTTGGGTTTGACTTCCAGGATTAGATCTCGCAGGGAATCTACGATCTGGTCTTCCGAGGGTGTGGAGTAGTCGGAGCGCCTTGAACCACAGGTTACCGACTCGGGTGGTGTCATTGCAGACAGGGCGGTGCCTGTCTGGGGCAACGTGGGCGCGTGAGCCGCGGAGAAGCTTTGGCGAGTAGCCCGTGATCGAGGACCATTGACACGCCCTCTATCACCTTCAGGCATGGCGCCAGCGGCAGACCCGGAAGAACTATCCTCGTTGGAAGATATGAGTGACGCCACAACCAGTGATCTCAAGTCTCTCAATGCGTTGAGCTTGACAAATGGGTTCCCATGGCGAGAGAAGACCTCAATCAGGCGGTGGAAGACTGCCTTGTATGAGAAGGCAGATTGATCATCTGCCTCACACGGTTCTTGCACGAAACTTGATACACTCGCAGACGAGTCCTTCCGCGTGCGTCCACAAGGGCGATCGAGAGACCTGCTCCGTCGACCCCCTGATGACCGACGCTCCTCGCGAAGATGCTTTGATCGCTCTTCATAGTCAGAGTAGAATCTCCGGACTGCAGCATGTCTCTGCATCTGTATCTGAATGCGCGTTTGGTCGAGGTAACTTGTAAACCAGGCATCGGTTTCACTGCCGCAACTCCACACCGGCGACCCCAAGTCGCTCAAGAGAAGGCTGGTGAGGGTTTGCCGCAGTTCATCCATGAACATAGTCTTCCGATGCGTCTTGCGTTCGGTACGACGAGTTTGACGGGTAGCACCTTCGCTGAACATGGATGGAGGCCGCGAGTAGACGGTGGATACACTAGCCGCGTACATGGGATGGCGTTGCGACGCCGACCAAAAGGTACTATACGTATCGCCTGTTGAGGTCGAAGCAGCGCGACCGGGCGATCCTCCAATAGAAGATACATCGATAGAGGGCAGATCGCGGGTAGCCCGGTATTTGTCTGATATCAGGCTCTGGATAGACGGCTTGCTACCCAAAGAGGATGGTGGATCCAGAGGTGAGCGAGCGGAGGACGAATCAGGCATGGGGAGATTGGACCCATGAAGCTGAGAAGTGTGCAATGGATCCTCACTCGCATTTGTAGAAGGTCGAGGGGTCGTGGGCATTGACAGACCCGGGAACGCTCGAGAGCCATAGCCCTCGTATTTCGCGCGCTCTCTCTGGAACAATTCACTTGCCCAAAGCACCGGTGTTTCGGCCATCGTCTCACCCACTAGACGGTTGATGCTGGTTCGCACCTCGTAGCAGAACCGATGGATTCGCTCCTCGCCCTTGCAGAAGTTCTCGATCCCGCTGTGGGCCAGCCACTTGCGGGTTAACTCTACCTGCTCATCGGACATTTTCCTAGGGCCGCCCTGGCTGCTAGGCGCTTTCATCATATTCATGACCTGCACTTCGGGCTTCTGGAAGAGAGCTGCTCCTAGTGAACGAGCTCCAGACCGAGAGCGTGACTCCTCGGGGATCTCGGTATTGTACGGCCGGGCAGAGTAGATCATCGTAAGAGCCATGGTCACATGTCGGGCTTCTTCGTACCTCATGGAATTCTTCACATCGGTCATGTACCACATCTTGTTACGAACCTTGGACACAGTAGACATGAGCGCCTTGACCTGCGTCTGGAGCCGGTGCAGACTTTGATCTAAAGACACAAAGTCACTCTCGCATCGCTCAATGACGGCCGTCGAGCTTTTCAGTGAACGAGTGCAGGATCTGTGCATGGGATCTAGGATCCATGAATCACTCGATGAGGCTGCTGAATTTGTCCCCTGGCGTAGCTGCCGGGAAGCATTCCACCAGTAATGCGCAGCAACGAAATCCGAGTCATTCTGACAGGAGGCCATCGCCTGATTGAACTGCTGTTTCAGTGACATCGGTGCTAGCTGCAGGCTTCTGTGCTCGCAATCAAAATCGTCCAAATCGTAAACGTGGCTCTCTTTGACAAGACGAATGATCGCAGTTTGTAGAGCCTCGTGGTTCTCCTCCAGACCTAGACCGGTGGAATGTGTGTCATCATCACTCTCCATAGCAGATGCTTTCGATGGTCTATTGTCCTGGTCTGCGAGGAGACTCCACGTAAGACCATGACCGTCATTGGCAACGGAGAATACTGTCCAGTGCTCCTCAGATGGATGTTCTAGCCTGGCTCGTTCACCTGGTTCATCTAGATCGCTGAGCTCGAAGCGGATCCTTGCAGCTGTCTGGCCAACGCCACTTTCAGGGCTAGAGACATGTGAAGAGTCCACGGAGAAAAGGGAGCCACTTTGTGATGTTGGCCGATGGCTCAACTCCGGGTTTGGCCGGAAGAAACCAGGTTCCATGGGGGGCTCGGGACGCAGATTGTAGGACGGAGAAACATTCGACGACCAGGATGACACGCCAGCCGAAGCTGGCGATGAATGCACTGGGGAGAAATTCTGCGGGAAAAGAGCGTCTAGTAATGTGAGAACACCCGTCGAGGACAGCAGGAGGAAATTTGACGTAGAGTCCCGGCGGACGGCAAGATCGGCTTGTGCCTCAACAGTAGATGACTCGAAAGGGACAGTACTCTGGAATCGGGAAAGCATGTTGTCGACGTGCACTTTGATTGACGGCCGAAGAACAGAGAAGTGATGCCTATCAAATGAATCAGCAAGCTCAAAGCCTGACCAGGACTATATCAGTGAAAACGCACATGGATCGTAGCACAGCAAATACTTGAGAGTAGGCGCGTAGCCCCACCTGACCAAGCAGCTTCTCGCGAGCGTCTTTTCGAATATGAAAGTCTAGCAACAAACCGTGGGTCTAAAATCCACAAAATAATTGGTCAATCATCGTTCAAATCGGTGGAGAGAACACACACCTCCGGGTACGTCAACGCGCTGTAGAGGAACTTTGGGAAGAACCACTGTACGAAAAGATACTCGAGGAAACGACTGCGACTGTCAGGAGAATCCAGTTTCCTCAAAACAGCTTTGGCGAACTGCAACACTCCGCGAGGGAATCCGCCATCAGGATCATCGAGGACACGGAAAAGGTTATCCACGGCAGAGGCAAAGAACTCCTCAGCAACGTCCGTCCGTAAGGGATCCAAGGCTTCAGGGGCAAAATCCAATCCGGCAGGGCTGTCTATATGTTCCAAAAGAAACGCTCCAGTTTGTAGGATATCCATTAGGTAGAGCTCAAATTTGGGACGGGCTTTCCAATTGCAGCCCGTGGCCCAGGAGGACAGGATCTGGCCAATAAGGGGATAGAATTTACTGCTGCCGTGGGACATTAGTTGGGCGCAGACGGTCGACCACGTATCCAGCCGTAGCCTGGCCTCGGGGGACTCGGGATCCAGTGGTGCGGCAAACACGTTACAAAGCAAGATAGTCAATGGATCGGTCCTTTCAAAGGCATACGCATGGTTCTTGAACGAGGCAAATTGGGCCGGATTTCGATTATAAGCATACTGGCCGCGGAGCCGGGATGAAGAGGAAGGAAAAGCAGGGTCACCGGATTCCAAAGTGGTGGCCGGGGAGGTGAAGGCCGCCAGTTGGGCAGACGTAAAGCTGCGCAGACGATCAACCAAGAACTGTGGGTCAGAACGAACCAGTCGCAAAATCTCCAGCAAGTCCGCACAGGATTGAGGGCTGAGCTGGTGAAAGAAATCAGACGAACGATCCAGATCGGAGGATTCTGCAGACGGCCCCCGGTCGTCGTCGGACAGGTCCTGATGCTCATTATGGCGAGTGCTGGAAGCACAGGACTCCTGAAGGTCAAAGAGCATATGATAGAGGGCAACGAAGCTGGCCTTATCATCATGTTTGAGAGCTTCAACTAGACCGCGCTGGACAGTGTTTCCTACACGGATCATGCGCGCGGAGATTCCAATGGATACCTTGGTCGCGCGCAGGCGCTTTTCCAGACGCTTCCTTTGGGCCCGTTTGCGCTGACTCTGGCGATAGCGCGTTGCAAAATCCTCGAAGGAAACCTGGGGCGCATCTTCTTCTACCTTTGCAGGAGGTGCGGGGCACATCGCGAAAGCCGTCATCGGACGCATAGATTCATCAGGTCGAGGGGAATCGGCCCCTCTTAACTTGGGACTGGACCGGGCCGAGCCACCCAACTCACCTAGCCCCACGGTTGGATCCGTCTCTGGCGCGAGCGAAACCGGTGACACAATAATAGTCGCTGGAGGCGATGGTGGAGGGAAGGGGGCAGAGGCACTAATGCGGGATCCGCCTGGAGAGTGGGCATTCGCACGGCTGAAAGAGAGAAGAAGAAAGAGAGCAGATCAGATTGGGAAGCCAAGTACGGTAAGTAGTCAGGCATCAACGGCGCAGCGCGGAGAACCGCCTTCTCCACCCCACGAAATCGCCACCAAAGATGGGAACGGAGTAGTTGGAAATGTATGAAAATGAGGGAAAAAGAATACTTACTGATTGCTGAAGCCAGCGAGGACGACAAGGTCTCCTCTTGCTGGTAGTCCAGCAGCATCTCGTTCAGGGTTGCGCCAGCGGGCGGAGGAGTGCACAGTCGCGAGATGCCCCTGGCCGCGTTGGGCGGATGCTTATCGCATGGTTCTATCGCGGGGCAACCAACTGGCCAGGGCTCATGAGAGGGACGAGGCACCCGGTCGGCCGGGAGAGAACAGGGATCGGTCGGGTCCAGGATGGATTCTCGCGGTGAAGTAAGGACGAGAACGTCGACGAGGAAGAATCCCAGAAGAGAGAGAGAGGGAGAGGGAGAGGGAGGGAGGGAGAGCAAGAGAAAGAGGGGGCAGGTATAGAAAGAGAGGCGTCCAAAAATCACGCGGAAAAAGGGTTATTCTGCTGGCGTACGAACAAGCACGAAGCGACTCGAAGCGGACTGATGCAGGCGAGTTGTCTCGGAGGGACAGCAAGTCGGCCAGACTGTACCTCTCGCCAGTATATCAGGGTCAACTTGGGAAACGCAGCAAGGAGAGATGTCCCAGTCGTCCTGCAGGGTGAGTTGGTGACAGTACGGTAACACTGTTGTAGGTACTCCAAGATACTCCAAGAACAACCGAGACCAGTACTTCGGCCTCTGTTTGGCCGCGAGTTCCGAGTACACGGGCACGATGCGCTGGCACTGCATGCAGGAATGAGCTGGACAGACCAGACCCGTGGCCGTGATTCGCCCGCCGCCCTCCTTGGCCTTCGGCGGAGTCAGCTCGTTGTTGGCTGGTCGGGGCGGGAGCCAATCGCTGGCCGTGCGGTGGAAGGGGGGGGAGGGAGACATCGCTGTGTGTCAAGACAGAACTCTGCAGGCGAGGAAAAAGCATGCTGGAATGGGTTGTTGCGTGCAGACAAAGTTCTGTGGAGAAGGGAAGACTTTCGGGTGCTGTAGATTGTAATTATTGGACCTATTTTAGTGGTCGAGTATACGTATTCTAGATAGAGTTGGACAAAGGAGCAAATAAAAAAACAATTAAGCAAATAAGAAACGAGACTATCGGGAGACATGGATTCTTTTATTATTCTTCGGAGGATTTTCAAATCAAACCGTTTCAAGATGGGCGCTTCCACTCTAGCCCTCTACTCTATACTCGACACTCCAAGTATACCGACATGACCAGCCAGGATGACTCAACTTGCAGGGAAACCACCAGGCTCGCATCCTGGGTCCTACACGTCGTGCTGCATCTACACAGGACCACGATAGAGTAGTCAGGTTGGCGGGGCATTGTCATTGGCCCAAGCCTGGTACATACTTGCACCTAGACCCGCCAGCGACGCGACACGATACATGGAAGAGTACTGTCAATCGGAGACATCCCATTTCGACTTGTAAAGATCATCAGTTCACCGAAAAAAAAAGGACCAGCCAAGTGAAATAGAATGACAATGCTAAAATGTGTTCGTCCATAACCCCCACAATGCGCATTCCCTTTTGGAATCTAACAGAAACGCCATTCATAATGCATACATTGTCAACTCTCCACAAATCCATTCGCCATAATCCGAGCGAAATATCAAGTCAATAGAAAAGGGCCGAGGTAAGGTGCTATTCAGCGCCAGACCCATTTCTTGTCCGTCTCTTTTTGACCCACGCGCATGGCATACTGGTCCAGTGTAGCCTTGAGGGTATCCTTTGAAACCTTTGGGAATCTAAATGCGACGTCAGTGCCAGAACAGATAACCCACCTCGTGGGGAACCGGGGCAACATACCTCTTCTTTAAGATCTCAACCGTCCCGATCTTATTCAAGTCACTGGCCTCGACTGCCTGCCTGAATTCATCCAGCAGTTCCGGCGGGAATGGGCGCTTGGCCTTGGTGGTTGCTGGTGGGTGAGCAGCGCTAACGGTAGGTATACCTGGCGCAGGAGACACCCGGAAAACGTCCAGAGTGTTCGTGCCAGGCGGTACAATCCGGGTCTGAGTAGGTGCTGGCTCCGCCGGCTTGGGCTTTTCCCAATACGCCGCCGAGAAGGGGTCAATGGGAAACTTTACAGCCTCGGAGATGGTCTCAATTTGGTAGACCTTCATGTCAGGGTCCACACCATTCGCCGCCCAGTGAAGGCCACTGCAAACGGGTTCAAGATCACCCACGATGAGACGTCGTTTGCCAGCAAGGAGAGCATCGTCCTCGTCGTCGAGGAAGCCATCCATATCATCGTCACCGTCGTCACTACCCTCATCATCTTCCTCTGAGTCCAGGTCCTCGCCCTCCTCGGGCTCCTCCCACTCGGCCTCGGAATCGTAGTCATAATTCACGTCCGGAAGGCCGCGATGGTAAGGATTCCGGGAAAGCTTTCTGGCAGACTGCGCGGGCACAGAGCGGGTGAACGTGCCTTGATACGGAGGGCGCACGTCCTCGCTGAACCTCAGTGTCTTCATTGGAATTTGACGAAGGATATCGCGGGCATCCTCCGCGGCTTGGACTTGGTCTTCATCGTCCAGCTCCATCAGTGACTCGTCGCTGCTGTGCTGGATTCTCAGCAGGATGTCTTTTACAGACCGCCTGGACCGGCCACAGCGACGATGAAAGGGGATAATGTTGAAGATTTCAGAGAATCGGAAAGGGAGGGGTTCCTGAGGATTCGCCTGGCTGGCAGAAAGGGAAGCATCAAGTTTTTGGCAAACGTGCTCGAGAGCCTCTGGATCTCGCTCAAATCGATGAGAGGGCGCAAGCCGGGTATGTGAATGAAGGAAAAATCCAGGAAACGTCTTTTCATAATCCGACTTGGTCGATTTGGGTGAGCTTGTCAAGTGAAGCTCCGTGGAGTTGGGGGCTGGTTTTTTAGGAGACGTAGAGTCGCCTGGTGCAGGTCGAGTGGTTGAAGGGGGTAATGGTGGTTTCGCGAAAAAAGAGTTCAGTTTGGGTTGAGTCTAGAATGTCAATTTAGCGAAGATGTTTCGGAATGAGCATCAAGGCCTTGAGAAGAACGTACCCTGTCCTTTTTCAGTCTTTCTTCCTCTTTCCGCCGCTTTTCTTCTTCCTTCGCAGCTTCTTTCGCGGCTTTCTCCTCGTCCTTGGCTTTCTTTTTCTCTTCACGCTCCGCCTCACGCTTCTTCTTCTCCTCCTCTTTTAGTCTCTTTTCTTCTTCACGCTCTTCATCACGCTTCTTCTTTTCCTCGGCCTTGAGTCGTTTCTCTTCCTCCTTCTTGGCCTTTTCTTCTAGCTTTTGGCGGTCCCGGGCTTCCTTCTCCTGCTGCTTGGCATCTTGGCTGGCAGGAGATAGCTTCCGCTTCTTCGCAGCTGGTGCAGATGTGGAGTCGGACTTAGCGGGTGAAAAAGAAAGTTGCTGCTGAACCGGTCGGGCCTCTACAGAAGGTACGCAACCAAGGGTTGTTTCTTGAGAATCAGACATCATGGCCAGATCGCTAGATTTGACATGAATCGCAACAGAGGGGGTAGTGTGCCGGGATATGGGTTGCTCTTTCGTGGTTGAGCTCTCCTTTGAAGGAATTGGGAGCGAGGGATCTCGATTCTCCTGGTTCTCGTTATTGTAATCGATTATAGAGCGCTTGTGGCCTGGAGACAACAACGCGGCTTCCTCAACCTCGTGTATAGACCGTTTTCGTGGGCTTGAGGAGGGCGATGCCGGAAATGATGGTTGCGGAGGTAGAGGGGACACGCTTATTCTCGACTCCATTGAGGCAGGTGTGGGCGAGCAGGTAAAAGCGGCTGTCGTGAAGGGTTCGGAGACACGAGACCAACAACAAGTATTTCTGGTGGATTCAAATCGGCAGACATCAAGGGAATCAGCTTGGTGAGGGAGGTTGAAACGGTCGTTATAAAGGAGAAAGATGTTCCTCCTCAATGACCGCAATAATTGGAGGGTCGTGGTCGTCTGATTTGAAGGGGAGAACTGTGGGTTGTCGGGGACGCGTTAATGGGGTTTCGCGCACCGCGTCCGATAAGGCACGTGTCCCATTATGTAATATCCCTATCCCGCTAACCTATCGCTACCTCCAGATATCGGAAGATTGAAGTATAGAGGACTCTATGTGGTATGAGCTGGGACCAAATATGGTAATTGAAGATGCCTCATTGGGCTTAGAAGATGAGTCCGAGGCTTAATGAATCAAGGCCATTTCCAGGTTGTTGTTGTACATGTTTTTTAAAGTCAAGACGGACACTACCTTGACCAAACATGATTAGGTGGAGAAAATGAAACAGATACAAAGGAGGAGGACCAGTCGCCTATTGTTACAATTAATATCTTTGTTCAGATTGAAAGCTATACGACAAAAATAAGGCCAGGACAAGCCCGGATGCAAGAGGAAGAAAAGTGCACAAAGGAGCCAAAACCCACTCCTTGTGATACTTCGGTCCAGAGGACAGAAACCACAAGGATAATGGGAGAGACAGAGCGAACAGAAATAGAAAAAAAAATCAGGGGATATTAACAAAAGCTGTGGCACAGAAGGGCAGTCATCAAGACCGTCAAGCGCGACACCAAGCACGGAGGTTCAGTAGGCGAGGTATTATGTGCAGCGGTGTGAGCGATCATAAAGTGAAGCAATCCACGAAGAGGGATTATAAGAAACAGGCAGATAATCAAAAAAAAAGGTTAGAGAATAGGCGCTGCGTGAATAGAAAAAGATAAAATGGGGGAATATCCTCCAAAAGAATAGGCCATCTTAGTCGCTCAGATCTGGATTTGCGACGAATAGCCGCACATTGGTCATAGATGTAGTGCGATCATCAACACTGCCTCGTCGCCGTAGGTCATCTGCCTTCTTGGCCTTTTGGGCAGCGGTTGTGACTGAACTTGGGGCTTCCATGTCTGGTACAAAGTCATCTTGCTCGCTGCTATTCGTCGTGTGTGATGTAGCAGCATCATCTTTGAGTGATGACAGTCGACTCTTCTCCTCTTCATGTTTCTCAGCTGGTGTATTCTCAGAGACACCGGGAAGATCAGACTTCTCATTTGGAGGTGTGTTGTTGCTTCCCATGGTGCCCGGCTGGCGCTGATAACCACTAGGATATCGGTTGCTTCCCAGAGAGCTGCGGCCGCTGCCCGTTCTCCGGTGCATGCCTCGGTCCTCAGTGCTGCGGGAATCCTCATCGTCCTCGCCGATCTCATTGGCACTCAGGCGAACCGGCACCTTGGCACCAACCAGATTTGACGGGGAGAAGTCCATCCCAGCCTTGGTTCCATGTCGAATCTTGCCACTTGCAAGGGTTGATGAGCGCCCAGCGCCATGAACCTCGAGGTACGCTCTCTTCTTATCCCGCAGAGCCTGCTCCCGCATTCGGGCATCCTCGGGCTGTGCTCGATCGCACCACACCGTGGCCTTTTGCCGCCTCATGAGAGCGACATATCCCAGTTGGGAGCCAGCCGAGCGGTTCGAAGCGCTCCGTCGGATATCCGGTCCTCCTTGGGCCATGTGGCCGGTCGAGTTGGTTGAGGTGGTTGTGCTAGACATGCGGCGGGATGATGGGAATCCGGCGAGGGGCGCCATTGTATGCGGCGAGACAGAGCCGGGAATACCTTGGTGTTGTTGGGAACTCGAGGCGTGTGCGGGGAGCACATTAGACGAAGTGGTACGAGTCCGGCTGTGGATGACTTGTGGGTAGGCGGAATGAGGCGCGAGGTTGCGCGGAGCATCATAGGCCTGGTAAGGATAACCAGTTTGTTGGTTGGGTATTGGTTTCCGGGCAGGCGGTCCCTGGTGAATGGGCATGCGGAATTCGGTAGTCATGTTGGGCGGCGGCTGGGGACCAGCTATGCAATACCTCGCTTACGACCGGCGTGGCGGGGAGAGAGATAAGAGGGAAAGAGAGGGTCTGCTCGACTCGCGGCAGACAGAGACTCTCAAAGGAGATCGATCGTTGCGTCTGGTATCAAGTCGCCAGGCCACTTATGATGTAAGAAGGCGTGCTCTGCGAATGCGATGCGCGGCTCACGGGGTAGAGGGATCGGCGGTTTCAGCGCCCACCACAGAGTACAGGCACGGGTCCACGATGGGGAAGTTTGAAGCGGGGAGTTGGTGATTTGAGGACGAGGTGTTTCAAAGTGTCCCCGTCGTGGTAATCAATGGAGACCTCGTCCGATGGGTTAGAACTCTGGCCTGACTTGAAGGCGGGTTTATCGAGACGGAATCCTCTGGACGAAGGAGAATGTGGGCTGCCCCGTTCAGTGCGCACACTCGGTCTGGCTGGATAATGCAATTGATCGAATATGTGTGCCAGGGAGAAACTCGTCCGAGGAGAGTAGAAAGACGACAGCGTTGAGGGGAAGGAGATGCTGAGGGAGTAGGGGGAAGGGAGCACGGAGGGGAGCACCAAGAAAGCGTCAGAGAAGAGAGACCAAAGCGACTAACGGACTAAGAGACTTTGGCGGTTCGCTCAGCGGCGATGGTGATTGGGCGCGGCGGAAGCGGACGGACCTGAAAAGTACCCGGTCACCAACTTTTGGTGGTGGAGTACCTTTTCCGTCCTCCCACTTTTCCAAGGCCTAACCCAAGGACTACCGGGAACTACCAAGCACTAACTTGAGACTAACGAGTCCAAAGCAGTCAACTTCCTTGGATTTGGTCCCCCTCGAACCTCTCAGCCACACGAGATGGGTCAAAATTACAATACGTTTTACTGTTACCACGACCACAACCAGCCACGATTACGGAGCACCGTAGCGTGCATGCACACTGCGCTTCTCTCAGCCAGCCATTCAGGCACTCAACCATTGCAACGTTACAGTTCACTCCCACGCTCCGTCCCATCGCACTCGATGATCCTGCGACTCGACTGTGGCTGATACTTGGTCACTGGTGATCTGATCTGCCATCAGGCCTTGTTCCATGGGCTGAGTGAGACATCAGACGATCCCCCTCTGGCCTAATCATCCTCGTGCTTAGTGCTTACGACCCAGTACTTTCGATACGGTAGGGCAGTCCGAGATACCCGGTACATACTGTACTTTGTGTTCTTCGGTACAGAGTTCCTAACGAACAAGCTCTCTCGCTATCTACAAATTGGCCGGGCGCCGAGTGCGCGAGTGTGTAAATGCAACGTGCCCATACTCGCGATACCCTTGGTTGTGCTCGCGCAGAATCACCATCCGCTGCCGGAAGTGGTTCGTGTGGTGATACGCGTCATGCACCTCCACGCTCGCCCATCCCACATACACCACATAACACAACTGCTCCTCCATCGGCTCCACCATCCATCCGCCAGTGACCCCGAGACATCCAGGTACCTCCCGCACGATCGTCGTCCATAGCGCCCACGTCGCTTCCCACCCGGCCGGGTCAGGGGTGAGATAGATGGCCGTCCCCGTGACGGGCGCACCGTTCCCCAGATTCTTGGGCTGAGGAGTGAACTCGGACATCATCGCATGCCGCACGATCAGCGACGTGGCATCCGAGACGCCGAGCGCGGTCAGACTTTGGATGATTTGCTGCCATTCTGGTGAAGCCAGGAGGGCGTAATGCTGGTGGAGGGAATCGCGGACTAAACAAGCGAGCGTACGAAGGCACGGTTATTTCCCGATCTTTTCGTAGTCTTTTTGCTTTTTTTTTCGACCTCGTGTTTTTTCTCAACGCCTCTCGTATTCTGGCTATCTGCCCATGGCTCTGGATTCCTCTCAACGGTTTCTTTCACTCACCGATATGCAGATGGACCTTTCCAGGCTCTTCCACGTGTCGTCCCCAGTAAAGTCGGCGGAATCCAGCCCAATTTTCTAGTATATTTAGTATCTGCGACCAGACCTCACCGGCTGGAGTGGAAGGTGTGTTGATCTGGAAATCCTCCTTGATGGGGAGGATGATCATTTGTGTGGGGTCTGCCGCGCGCGCCATGTCGAGTATATGCTCCAGGGGATTGTTTCTTCAAACGGTGAGTGCGAGGTCTTGGTTCTCAACTGCAAGACTTTCAAGCTCTTATGTTTATAACTTCGAGAGATGCAGGTGGCAGTCTCTATTGCCGAGTACCGATGTCCGCGGGTTGAGTACCTGGCGATAATGCGGGGTAAAGATGTATAACCCGGTCGATTGGATTTATGGATGCATAAAAGGCTATCATATTCTATTGACCTTGCCAGAATTGAGTATCTGTTTCTGGCGGATCTTAATCCTTATATTACCCCTGGGGTATTGAGACTCGCAGAGAAGAGAAGAAAACTACAGTACTACGGCGCCGATGCCGCTCAGACCACCCGTTCCTCTCTCTGCAAGATATCTCTACAGGGCTGATCACGGGATAAGAGCCTCAGACCGTGGGCAACATGTATGGCTAGGCATGATTGAAAGGCTAGATCCCTCCAGACCTAGCTGATCCAGCAGGACTGACATAACTAGGCCATATGAGGGTGCTCAAAGTCTGCAGGAAGCTCGTCAAGATGAGCCTGAAGATCAGACAGTTGATCACTGTTCTGAGAGACTCGAAGGATAGACTTAATAACAGAGTAACCCAGAGGAACACGCCATCTGATTTGTTCACGATACTGGTACCAAAGTCGTGCATGTGTTATGGGTGGCCCTGGAATAGGCTCTGGAATATTTCTGACGGGTTGAAAGGATCGAAAACGAACAACTTGATATCCCCGTGGGTGAGATTTTGAAGGAGCAAGTTAGGGTAGCGGCTACTACCAAAATGTCTTTCAAAATTAACCAGGCTCGCGAGGAAATCCAATCTTGACTTTTGGATTGTTACCGTCAAAAGCTCAATCAGATGTTCCAATTTTTCCTCTGTTGCTTCATAGTCATCAAGGCCATCAATCACCAAGCATACTTTGACTGGAATATCTTTCTGGGCGAGGAAAGCTTCCAGGGCTTGAGGCAGACGAGACACATTCCCGTTCAAGTTCATTCAATGGTGAGTCTCGGCGATGTACTTGCAAGTAGGGATCGAAAGCTTAACCCGTCCTGGCCTGTTCAACCTCCGGTGGAATTCTGCGTTATCACTTCGTTGAGCACGGATCGAAGCTGTTCTCGTTTCTCCACGCAGGCGATCTTGATGATGTCCTCGCATTCCTTAAGAAGCTGGTCGAGAGTTGTCCAGAGGAAACCGACCAGCGATCTTTGATATTTGGACCCTCCAGAAGAAAACCCAGCTGTCGCCCATTGACAAGAATTATCAAAGTCCGATAAGGCCTGTCGCGGCATGGGATTTTCGAGGATGAATTTCATCAGCGTGGATTTTCCTGATCCCGCCTTGCCATCCCCCTCTAACGAGATCCAAATTTTCAGTCAAAAGGATACGCTATTCAAAGGTCGGCGTCGTCGAGACCTGCAGGATCGTCATCACCGTATACGCACGTAACGTTCCTGCGGAGCTCTTTCAAGTCTAAATAATCCAACCAGCTGCTATACCAATCCAAAAGCTCGCTCGGGAATTGGATCGAATCGAGGCTTCCGGCCGTAGAGAGGAGTTGGATTATCATAATCAGCGTGGAAAACGACTACTCGCCATGCCCAGTCCTTGCGACTTGGATCAGAGTCATTCTCATAACAGCGACAGTAGAGATAGGCGCTGTACCATTCAGTGTGTTCTCTGAAAGCCGACTTTCACCTCCAAGTCGCTGTCCACAACGCCCCGGATAAAGCGATCATCGAGCAGGTCCGCTCGGAGGTATTCCTTCAGTCTTTCTCGAGATGCCGCGAGGGCAGGAGAAAGTAGTGGCTGGATCGTGAGGCGATCAGGAAATGCAAAGGCGCGGATTCCGATTTGGGGGACCGGCTCCCATGCAGGGATGCCCGACCGACGGAAATCTGGATCTTCCACACCATTGGCGTATTTGATAAAGTGGCCCAGCTCCTCACACCTCGGAATAGGGATGTTCTCGTCATCATCATCGTCCTCATGCTGCTCGGCTGCCTCGTTACACACGCTTTGGAGGGGTTCAAGATACATTTGGCACCATTCGTCTGTCACTAGCGTCGGTGGAATGATCCCATCAATGTGCTCATGATACAAGATCTTCACGTCCTCTAGTCGCGAGACATTTCCCGTTTCGCAAAGTCGCCGAATCAAATCCCTGGAAGCGTCGTCCTGCCTGGAATCCAGGTCTCTCTGAACTCCCAAATCAGGCCAGTAGTCACGCATTTCATGCAAATTTTCCTCCTCGGTCGAGAGGTGCATAGCCTCGATCTCATTGATGCGGTCTTGAAGGAACTGCCGGTTCGCAGATTCCATTCTGGTGCGAAACGATCCACGGCGAGACGCATGGTCTTGCTGGGGTCGGTGTCTGACTGTTTGCTCTCCGACATGGATGGCTTTGGGCAATGGAGTGTAGCAGAAAGTGCAGCAGGGGAGCATAACCCTTGACTAGGTAATATTTGTATGGGAACCAGGGCGGAGACGAGGGCTCCCAGACGCTGACCATTCTCTGTGGACCTCACTGGCTAGCTTATGATCTTGTCTATGATTTTATCTACAAGACGAGGTCTTTTACCGGGCTCAAAAGTAGAGAAACATGCACGCTCTTTCATTGATGCCAAATAGAATCCTTCACACCTTAACTGTTACATTAAGGTAAACGTTCCAACCTAACCTTGGGAGTGTTTACCATGTATCAAAAGGTAGGGCTGAGACATGTAATTTTACCAGGTTACAAAACGAGACAATACACAATTCACATGCTGCGCCACAGCAAAAGCACGTGGGGGTAGTACTTGGTGGAGTCCGGATGTGGAAACGTGTTAGTCATGACGTCAACCTGTTTCAGCATTTCCGAATTTCGTCGCAACCGAGCCGGAGACGTCTACCTGGTGACGCTCTGCAATTGAAGTTCAAGAGCGGTGGTATGCAGAGTATAGAGTATAGGAGTGGTTACCCCGAGACGGAAAGTGTAAAGTCGTCAGAACTAGTATATCCATCGCAGCCACAAGGCTACGCGAGAATTGTGCAGAGATGTATGTAAAATAGTGGGGTGGGGCCAACCCCTCGAGAAAGATCGGAGATCTCCTATGCTGGTATCATATAGATGTAGGATGTTATGCAAACCATTCCATGGGGAAACGTAACAACATTCCTACCCACTAAGCACATTTCACAGCTTCGCCCTGCCATCCACGGAGACCAGCGCACCGTCTTCCCGAACCTGGAAATCCTTATTAGGCTCCCATCCCATCCACGCCCGAAGCGTCTCCACCCCACCTTTGCCAGGCTCAAGTCCCCCACTAGACCAACCACCCTCATCGGCCTTGATGGGATAGCCTGGCGTGCGGGACAAGTGGACAGCGGGACGTTGCTCGTACCCTGCCGACTCCAGCTCGCCCTGCTCCAGGACAGGTGTGGCGCAGGCATCTGTACCGTCAAACACGGCCTCCCACTCGGCGCGCGTCTTTTCCTTGAAGCGGCGAGTGAAGATGTCTCGGAGCGCGGGCCAATTGTCCCGGTCTTCACGGGCAGGCATCTTCTTCGGATCGAGCTCGAGTCCGCGCAGCAGGGCTGCGTAGAACTGCGGCTCGAGTGCACCGACGGCAAAGTATTTCCCGTAGTCTTTAGTCTCGTAGGTATCATAGTAAGGGCATCCACTGTCTAGGAGGTTTTTGCCGCGCGGTTCACTCCAGGAGGGATTTTTTGTCGCGATTCGAGGGAATGTTGCGAGGTAGGCGGATCCATCGACCATGTTAGCCTCCACGACTTGGCCGCGACCAGTGCTAGTGCGTGCAATCAGGGCGAGAATAATGCCTAAGAAACAAATTGCACCACCTCCGGCGAAATCACCGAGAATATTGCCCGGAGCGTAGGGTTTATCGCCTGCTCGGCCCAGCATGGAGAGAACACCTGATACAGCAATGTAATTAATGTCGTGACCGGCCATATCCTTGTACTTCCCATCGCGTCGGAACCCCGTCATGCGCGCCACAATTAGGCGCGGATTATGCTTAAGAAGGACTTCCGTGGGCGAGAGACCGAGACGTTCGAGAACGCCGGGGCGGAAGGGGTCGATCAACACATCCGTGGCCGTGAGGATGCGGAGGAGGATCTCTCGCGACTTGGCCTCGCGCAGGTCGAGGGTGATGGAGGTCTTGCGACGAGTTAGTTGATCTGCACTGACTGCGGATGGCCGGTCAATTCGAAGGACTGTTGCGCCATAGTCGGCGAGAAGGAGACCAGCGAAGGGGCCTGTGGGGACGGTCAATGTTGAGAGCGCGGGCGTACGGTCAACCGAGATGTGGACTTACCTGGAGCTAGACCAGCTAGCTCTACGACTCGAATGCCATGTAAAGGAGGGGGAGCGGTCATTTTCCAGAAACAAAGGCCGAGAAGAGGTGTTTACTACTTTCAATTCATTGCTCGAGTTGGGATGAAGGTCAATTATGGAGATCAGATCGACTGGGGTCTCCGCAGCCGAGGTCCGTGGCAGGGCATTGCCGCGTGCGGGGGAATCATCCACGTGTGTAGTGTGAACACAACTCAACGCTGGATAACTCTTAGCGGGGAAGAATGGATAAAAAAGTTATTTACTCTAAGGTACCGATAATTTCAAAATCTGTTTTCATTATCATCGCATTAGATGCTGCAATAATTAGCTGCACACCAAATATATTCCTCTAGAATATACCCAGTCAGCTGCTTATTCGACAGCTCATCAATTTTAAAGCTGCCCCGTGTAGCTTGGTACATTAGTGCACAGTCATATGTAACTCCAGACACAGGGTAGATACGCAACAACTGTACATCACTCTCATCTTCGCTGATCCTACCGTCCTCTACCCTGGTGCTATGATCTTTCTAATCTCGCTAATCTTCATCTGAAAAGGAAACACCAGGTTGATTGGCTCAGAGAGAGTGGTATATAATCTAAGATTTGATAGCTTGCACGCTTTTCATAAATGACCAGAGTTTCTCCATATAATGATCAAAAATAATCGGCCATGTAGAATAAAATCACTCCGCCGACTCACGAATGAGGCCAGGCAAGAGATCAGGGGTTGTCGAAGTGAATATAATAACAATTAACATCATAAAAAAACATGGACAAGAAATGACAAGGCGAGCTTGTCGGAGACTGAACACGATGCAGGACGCTCCCAAAAAAAGTCAGGCTGCGATCAGGTTCAGAGGAAGAAGACGCAAGATGCAAGAACGGTCATGAAGATGGCGAGGAAGTTGGTCACTCCCGATCGCGAGGCAGCACCGGTGTAGATCGGAGAGGCTCCCTCTTGAGTGCTGCTAGGGGTGGACTCTACACCAGAGGTGGTGCCAGGGAGGTGGGCAGCGAAAGTTGAGGTTCGGCTAGGCGAGTAGGGGATGCTAGACGCCGATCCAACGGGCTTGGCAGAGGAATGGCCGGGAACAACAACGAGAGTGCCGGTGCTGGTAGTCTGGGGGAGACCACTAGGGCCAGAGCCCTCGCCACCCGCGGGGGACGAGGGCACGGGGGTAACCTCCGCGGTGCTGGTGGAAATGGGCTTGGTGAGAGTGACGGTGGTCGGGGTAGCGGCACAGTGGGTGCAAACGGTCACGGTAGTGGTCCAGCCCTCAGGAATAGACGGCGTGGTAGTGGCCAACCCAGAAGCGGGACTAGTCACACTAGCAGTGGCTTCGGGGCAGACAGTGGTCGTGATGGTCGTCGTGATAGTGGTGAAACCCGTGGGACAGATATCGGTATACGAGGTAACAATGATCGTCGTGGTTATGTCAGGCTGGGTAGACGAAGGAGCAGGGGTGACCGAAGGGGAAGCACTAATGACGGAGGTGATGGTAGGGAGTCCAGTTCCAGTAGGTCCAGAGGAACCAGCAGGCTGGGTGGTACCAGTGGCACCGACATCAGGGGAGCTGCTGGTAGCCGACGCGGAGCCAGAGACAGACGGCGACTCAGACACGACAACGGAGCTCGAAGGAGCAACCTGGGCCGAGGACGCAGAGCTCGAGATCGGGACTCGGGATGGGCTAGACACAGGGGACTGGGTAACAGGGGTGTGGCTAGGCAGGTGAGGGATAGACGAGCTTGAGACGGTGTCGGTGCAGCTGGTGCTCTGCGAGGAGGTACCAGTGGGGGCGCTGGAGCTAGAGGCCGAGGTACTTCCAGAGGGAACAATGCTGGAAGCTGGCACGCTCGAGGCGGGGGAGCTGGAAGGTCCGACGGCAATGCTAGAGGCAGTCGACAACTGAGGAGGCATCAGAGGAGTGCTTGAAGACTTGGACACAGTTCCACTGGGGACGGCGACAGAGCTGGATGATGTCTGCACCGGAGTGCTGGAAGTAAGCACTGGCGTGCTCGAGGCCGGGGAGCTGGAGCTGGAGCTTCCAACGACGACACTGGAGGAAGACTGCTGGGTATGAGCCACAGGGGTGCTGGACGGCTTCGACACTGTGCCACTGGGGACGACGACAGAGCTGGATGATGTCTGCGCCGGAGTGCTGGAAGTAAGCACTGGCGTGCTCGAGGCCGGGGAGCTAGAGCTTCCAACGACGACACTGGAGGAAGACGGCTGGGTATGAGCCACAGGGGTGCTGGACGGCTTCGACACAGTGCCACTTGGAGTGGTGACGGGGGAAGAAGAAGACGGGGTTGCAGAGCTAGACTGAGCCGGCTTGCTCGAGTGCGAGGGAGAGCTCGATGGAACAACTGAGCTGCCAGGCGCACTGGAGGGAATGCTAGATGAAACCACTGGAACACTGGAAGGGATCCGGCTGGACGCAGGGGTAGAGCTAGAGGAGGCAATGCTAGACGAAGAGGGCGCACTCGATGGAGAAACATGAGGAGTGCTAGAGGCATGCTGCGAGCTAGCCGGGACTATGGGAGTAGTGGATGCCACCGGGCTAGACGAGGGCACGGAGCTGGACGGAGCAACGCTAGGGGACGACGAGTGGGTAGCAGGCTGGGAGGCAACAGGAGTGCTTGATGACACGTGGATTGAGCTTGAAGCCGCCGGGGTGCTAGAGGGGCTAGCAATCGACGAGAAGGCCGGGGATGAAGCTGGAGACCTCGAAGGGGTCGCCGAGCTGGAAGGAGTAGGAGTGGGAGTGGGAGTGGGAGTAGACTTGGGGGTTGGAGTCACGGTATAAATGATGGTCGAGGTAACAGGGGGAGGGGGAGGAGCACAGCTATAGAGAATCTCCTTCATCTCCTGAGCATAGGTGAGTCCATCAGGGGAGACATTGTTCTCCGAAGCAGTAGCCTCCCACAGCATGATACCACCAAAGTGCTTGGGGTACAGTGCCATGTATGTCTCAACCAAAGGATACACCTCCGCAGGAGTCAAGTAGTAGCCTGCGACACCGGCATCCTCTGAGGCAAGAAGACCGACGTACAGCTTAGCATGGGGATTGCTGCTGCTCTTGATCACATCGACCCAGTCTCCAAAGTTGAAGATGCCAGTGCCGTCGACGTAGTCCCGCGCAGAGCATCCAGCCGTGTTGTAGAACTGCACCCAGATGAAATCGAAGAACGAGTTGGAAATGGCATCGCTAAGCTGCGCATCGGGAATCGGGCACTGAGGTGCACCCGAGATATAGAACTGCTGGTCAGGGTACTCGTCAAAGTGGGATCGCAGACGATTGATCATGGTAGCGTAGCCTGTCCGAGAAGTTAAGGGGGAGTTTTTTATAGATGGAAGATCAAAACAAGAAGTGAAAACCTACCAGCGCCGCCATCGTGCTCAATATCAAAGTCAAAGCCATCCACAGAGGTGCTCAGGAATGGACGAGGGTAGGCATCGGTGTAATTCTCATTCTCAGGACCAAATGAGTACCACAAGAAGTCGGCAAACCAGATGGCGTCCAAGTCACTGGTCAGCTGCTGGTACGCAGTCTCACCACCGATAGACAGCATGACGGTCTTGCCCATCTCCTTGCAGACAGGGATATCCTCCCAAATCTGATGACAACCGCTGAGAAGCTCTGATCCAGCGTAGACAGTGCCATCACACTGGTTACCAAAGTTAGAGCCAGGGTAGGCACCAACACCGCTGGGGAAGAGGTTGATAAAGGCAAGATTGATGATATCCAGAGAAGTCTCTTCACAAAAGTGGCTCAGCCGTTGTTGGTAAGCACCTTGACCCTATAAGCAAGTCAGTGAGACGATTACAATGTAGTAGAAGGAAGGCAGGAGGAGAAAGACGAACCCAGTAGACGGCGACATTCGATTTCAAAGACGCATCCACCGCAGCAGAAGGAACGACAAGGGATGACAGAGCCGCAATGGCGGCAGCAGTCCTCCGGAAAGCCATTTTGCAGGCAAATTAATGAATGGTACTGGCTTATGTGAAAATAACCAGAGGGAGTAAAAGAATGGCAAGGCAGGTATTCGCCTCGTTCGAATCAACGAAAGGACGCAGACGATAGTCTGCTGGAGGGAGGGGGATCACCGTCACCGAAGGAAAGAGAGTGAAAATATTCAGAACCCAGGCCAGACGAAGAGAAAGAGAGAAAGCCTCCTATTAAAAAGGATACATAGTACCACTAACTACAGTATGTCTGGCTCATGGGGGTGGAGGCTATGCCCTCCTGGATTGTGCAAGCCCATTCTACGGTGCGCTAAGCTAGTCATGATCCAGCAACTAATGGCAAATGCATGAGAAGGGGGTACACTCCGACCACCGACGAAGGTCAAGTACCTGTTTGTGGCTCCACGGCTAAGCACCAATTTCCACTGTAGGGCCAATCCACTTGTTCGAGTCCGACGAATAGCGGTCAGATCTCTACAACCAGACTTGACCGTATTGGACCCACGAGTGCGAGAGAGCGCCGGCGGAGATAAAAGGTCGGAGACGAGCCCATCCGGGAGTTTGTGAGGGCGGAGGGCGCACGCCGCCATTCATCTGAGCCGCCTCAGAGACCGGGTAAAAGGGCATTTATGACAGTGGTACCAGTGATTTTGGACAAAAGCCACCACTAGGATGAGGGCGGAGGATGCCAGCGTGTGGCGTGGCGTGGGAGGGGGACACGTCCAGTTTGAATGGGTGTTCAAGCGCCCTTGGCAAAATGGCCAAAATGGGTATCGTCTTAAGAGCCGCATGGAAGGGGACTAAATGATCCATGCTCGGGCACCCGATGCGGCCTGGACCGAAGTGGAACAAGGCACGATAGGATAAGAGGAGATCGGGCCAGTGCCAAGATCGCAAGTTCGGACATCTCCGATCTTTCATTGGGCAAATGCATTGGGCTAAATACCGCTAAGCGTGATAGTCCCGAGAGTCGTTTGGGTGAACCAGAACTGTTCAGGGTCGAGATACTCAGAAACCGGGTAGACCGGGATATTGGATTGCCATCAGACTGTGTTGATGGGAGATAGGTGTCGAACAGAGGGCATGTGGTGTACATGAAGCATGAATGCATTTCTGAATATCCATCCCATCATGTCTGGGTTCAGGACTGGGAAAGACCACGGTGATGGCCGTGAGGTTTGGCACTGATAGAAGTAGAAGTCATCAAAGTGGAGAGGGGGAAGGAAATTACTTGGACGCACGAGAGTCCAAGCGCAGGCTCGGTGGAGACTCCGAAGAGGCATAATTCCCAGGCTCTAAGCCCAATTGGGGACTCGCTTGGGGCGGAGCCTCGCAGGCACACCAATCAGCAGCCTGGACCTGGCGGAGTCGGAACTCCAACCGGATCACCACCCCGTTTGCCAGCTCGGTTAGAGGGGCTCAGGGTACATTAGCAAGAATTTACCAAGCCGTTCGACCTTCTTGTGCCTCATTGATCCTACCTTGGCAAGCCCTGGATGCAACTCCAAGAATCAAGGCGTGGACACGTCTCGTCATACAGTACATCTTCGACGCTAGAATTAGTAGACGTCCCATGCCAGTGGAGGCTCATCTCCCCCTCCTAAGTAATTTTCCGCTAGCGAGATTAGACTCCCTTTTTAGCCTCACCTTGGCCGAGGAGATCCTGAACAGAACAATCAAGTTTAGAGTGCATCAACCCGTGATGGGCCGATGGGCAAAGGTCGCTGACCGTTTTTGGACCCCACGCTCATCTGCCGTTAGGGCGAAATGGATCGCAAATTTGGAAAGTGACAATATGCCCCTCAGTAATTGGTCCGTGGGCCAATGGATTCCACCTCCTGACTTGCTGAGATCGGCATAGTCTATTACAAGTCGCCGCAACGTTGGGGCGTTATGAAATACATCGTCTGCGCTAGAAGTCCCTTAAAGTCCCACATAATTCCCCCTCTCCCATCATATCCGTCCACACCGAAAGCCAACAAGACACTCAATTTAATTTGGCGCATTCAGCATGGAGTACATACTACGGCGTGTAAACAGTGCACAAGAAAGAAACCAAAGGCCTGGTCCATGAAACTTGAGCCCGAGAATTACCTCGGAATCGCCCCGGAGACATCAGTCAATCCGTAATATCTTCGAGAACAATTTCTTCACGTCTGCGCCGAATCGAGATTTTTGCAGTAGCATCTGCATGTAGCGCGAATCCTTGTCGTCTAAATTGAGGAACTGACCCCTCCGCAAGTTGAAAGTCATATTTGAGAAGCCCATGGCATAAGAAAATCTTAATCTCGTTCGCTGCGAAGAAGCGGCCTGGGCAGGCATGGTTGCCTAGACCCCATCCTAAATGCTTGGCCGACGGGGTTATGAGATGGGCATGGGTCCCCCAGCCAGGGGTTTGTCGCTTCTTTAAGAATCGATATGGATCGAATGTGTTGGGAGCCTCGTAGAATTTCTCATCCCACATCCAGACCTTCGGGACCGCGAGGGAAACGCCTTTGGCGATTTGGGTTCCGTCGCTTAATTGGATGTCTTCCTTGGCGACTCTGCGCAGCGAGGCTGCCAAGGATCAGTTAGACGAAACATGCCTGCGACAAGATTTATTGGAAGGTGTAGTCCCTACCGATATTGATTGGTTTCATTCGCTGTGACTCTTTCAGAAAGCTGTCCATCAACTGAAGTTTATAGAGAGCCGTCTTTTTCCATCCCTCTTGAGAAATGACCGATATAACCTCATCTCGTAGCTCTTGAACAAGCTTCTCTCTTCCGCAGAGGTCAAAGATTACTTGGGTGGTCATGTCTGATGTTGTATGGATAGCAACGACGGAGAGAGTCAGTTGCATCGCTACTGGATCGTACGGGCGCCCTTGAGCAGTCTGCTCCATCCAATCCATTGCATCATTGTTGTATGAAATGGGCTCTGCCAATCCCAGAGCAGTCTCCTTTTCTCTTCGCCGTTCTTTTAGAATGGGGTTAATTATGTTCTTTGCCGCGTCAAGCTCCCTTCTGATTTTCCTGTAAGATTCCAGAAATGGAGCCACGATTGGTCGAAGAAGAATGGGCCACAGTCGAATAATTTCCGACGCCCTTACAGCATCAACCGTATAGTTTACCATGATCATGAGCCAATCTGTCGAGAGAAGTACAATTGATTGACATAATGAGAAAAGCATCTTATCATCTTGTTGAATATTAAAGCATCTGTTCCAGTTCTCATCTTCGCACAGCCATCTATCACAAGTATCGGATTTATTGCAAAGTTCTTTAGTTGCAGGTAGTGAAGTCGACGAGTCCAGCATCAGTCACAGACTCCTGGGGAAGACAGAATGCAACATGTTCACCCTTCAGGTTCTTGAAAACTCGTGAGTACTCAGACTGAAGACATTGTCAGTGTCAATTAGCTTCTAGATGGATATGGTTTGAAATCTCAACGTCCCACGTACCTCGATTCTAGTCACGAAGGTGTTATAGATGTTCTCGGCCTTCATTTTCTGGCGGACCAGATCGGTCACTCCACCAAGAATGGCGTTCACAGTAGTAACCTTGCTGTCCCAGGTGAGAAGAGCAGAGACTCCGGTTCCATCGCGACGGGTAGATTCAGTGCTGCCGTAGATGTCTTCATCAGGTTAGTAGACTATCAATAAACAGGTACAACGGGATAGTGCTGACTTTGCATCTTCTTCGCGATAGCCATGTTTCTCCACCAGGCCATTCCGACGGCTTTGTCAAACAATACGGTAGGGAAGACACTGTAAGGCGTGATGACGTCGAGCTCTTGGACCGTTTGGTTCGAGATCGAGGGAATACCGGCATTCGAGATGTAACCGACCACATCGCCAGTGGATGGGTCTGTGACATTGTTGACTGAAGCGAACATGCCAGGGACTTTAGTGACAACCGAATTGCAAGTGCGAACGCGCTCTGCATTTTGAAAGACACGACTGTGGTTCCTCTTGTCAGTATGCACTAACCTTGAGCCTGGTGTTGTGGGGACTCACCGGATGATGTCAATGTCATAGTAAGGCATCTCCATTACCTTCCAGGTCTCATGGCTGGAGAACCAATATCCTGTTTAAAGTCAATATCAGCCCCGTTTGTGCTATAACCCAGGATATGTAAGTTTCACCTTTCTGGACAGTGATCGGCCCAACGTTGCCCATGTGATAGTCCACGCTCACCAGCTTGGCTCTCTTGTACTCCCAAAGCGCCTCGATATCAGATTCAGGGAGACCACCGAAGAATTGGAGCCACCAAGTGAAGAGTTCTCCCTCATAGGGATCATCTAGATAGCTGTCAGTACCCTCGCAGGTATAATTCTGCTCGGGGTGGTGGACGGGAAGCGTCTGGTTTAAATCGACGACAGCGCAAACTTTACCCGCGCCGCGGTAAAATATCTTTAAAGCAAAGATATGGAGGTTAGTAAACACACAGTGTGGCGGGTTTGAATAAATAGCATGGCATGCATACGTGAGCTGCTGTAGTCTTGGTATAGTCCATCCAAGTCTGCCACTTCTTGGCAAGGTCAATGTATGACCGGTTTGACGTGTTCTCGGCGGCCTGGATGAAGGCATACACGGCCCACAAAAGTTCACTGTGTAGTATTATCAGCTGGGGTTTCTTGCCATATCGACATGGATGACTTACCCGTTGTCAAGGCCGGGGACTCTGTTGTTCCAGTCCCACGTAGGGGAAAGATCCTGAGAGCTCGAGGTGAACCACGGTAGGAAACCACCAAAACCAGGGTAGGTTTCATTGAATCTCAAGTAAGATTGCAACTTGAGTTCCATGATGGAAGCAGCAATACCTGGGGCTGCAGATGGGTCACGGGGAGAGAGGAAACGAGCAGCTTCCGCAGATCCGGAGATAGCATGTGCATAAAGCATGACTTGTAGTGACTTTTTGGTGGATACTAAGTAAGCCTTTTGATCAAAATTGGATTTTATGGGGGGAATAGAACTCACTTCTTTGCTTGCGGCACTGAACGGATGCTTGACAGTTCTCTCGCCAGTAACCCAATCAATATTGGTGCCGTCATAGGACATGCCGTTATTAGAATTGAACGAGACGTTGTTCTGATGGAACTTGCCCTCCCAATACAACATATCGTTGATGAAGTTGGAAGGATCTTTTAGAATTTGCTGTTGGGTGTATTGCTGAGCAAATCGGCAAGATGGCTCGCCACTCTGCGAGGGCAGAGCTGTGGCTAGCGTGGCACAAGCCAGGCCCAGCGACGCCTGAGTAAAGCGCATGATGGGCTTAATGAAGTCGGAAAATAGAGAGAAAAGGACAAAATACTTCAGATACTTGGTCGGGAGTTCAGGTGGATGAGAAGCAGATTGGTAGGTTGATGGCGGGACAGTCAAGAATTTATATACAGCTACTGGAGATAACCTCAACGTGCTGTAGTCTAACAATACACATGGGACGAAATCCTGCTATTCGTTGAAGACCCCATACTTCCCCTGAAAACATGCCTTTTAGGAAGCGATCTACACCAACCCCCCGCATCGCCCAAGAGTTTTCTGGGGAGATGTCGGGTTGCCCCATCAACAAATTACATTTTGTACTCTGCCGACGAACTGAGTTGATAACGATTATTTCTGAACAGTCTCCACTTGCCTTTACAAATTTCTGCTTTGTCTTCCTTCGGTGAAATTGATAGCAGGACTTGAAGCAGGATTTGGAGATTCGGCACTTGAAATCAAGGCAGAGAGGTCCGTGCCTTAAATCGCCAACAGGCGGCGAAGTGTCGGGGAATCGGCGAAATGCGGAGATTGAAAAGCTTACGCGCGCAAAATCGGCGTATCTCAAGTTAGACTTCTAGAAGCCGATGAAGTGGCCATGGTTTACCGAGACCGCTGGGGCGATTTGTTTGGCAAGTCGGAGTGAAACAGGGCTGCATATAATTTTCCCTAGATAATAACGATGTATAGTAGGTCTATGAATGGTAGAACAACATATTTTGCCGAACCAATTAGCGAAGACTTTTTGAAGAGAGGCATAGGAAGAGGTCGAAACAGAGGTCTTCAAGGCAATTGACAAAGACAAAACGACACCAATAATAATAATGTAGCACCCTTGGTTATCGAACACCAAAGGCTTTCCAACTAACCGCATTACCTTGCTTAGGGATTCCATATGGACTTTGTCGGGTTTCAAGATGATTCTAAGACATTCATCCATTTTCTTTCATTATCATACATCTAATTAATTATAGAGACCGACGCAAAGTGTCCGACGCCTTCGAGTCAAGCCGTGTCAAGATATCAAGAAGCACGGAGAGGTCGCTTCGTGCGCGTACTGACAAAGGCGATGTCTCATGTTGGTCGATGATTTCTAAAAGGCTGGCGCCGATGAGACGTATTTTCTCGACCTTTACATATGCGATTAGTAAGGTAGGCTATCTCCGGGGGTTTGATAAGAGAAGTGACTTACACATGGTTCTCCATTGACTTGTAACGCCCAGAAAGGGGCCTCACGCATGATCCTCAACATGTTCCGAGCAATCTCTGTTTTCCTCAAGAGCAAAATTTCGTTATGCCCCATAGGAAAATAGTTGACCTCTTCAAATTTCTGAGTGATAACCATTTTCAAACAGTGCAAAGAAATGTATAGGTTGGCTGCTTGAATGGTGTAAACCCGCAGTAAACTATTCATTCCTTCTCTGTCGGAGTGGGTGTTAGTCACGAGTTGATCATCTTGAAGGAAAGGCGGAAGATCATCCAGAGAAGTCACAAAAAGTACGTAAAGATGATCCAATCGCAGTCTTTCATCCGCTGTCAATGAATGATGAGTATTCATAGAGACATTCTTGCGACTGTCAAGCAGACGCATCTCTAGGAGAAGGTCTGACGCTGTCTGCCAGAGACGCAAATTTGCATTGAAACCAGTAAGAAAGCTCTTACGGACTGTCAAATCATCTGCACTCGTGCTTCCGGGTGTCACGATTATTTCATCCTCAATACCGGTAGGGTAACCCATGGTGATGCCAGATTCGAAAGAGAATTTATGGATCGTGATTGGACGACTGTTCAATATGGCGGCAGACTTGTCTCCGATATAGGTGATCCAGAAAGCGCGTCGGCGGAATTCTGCTTCGAGGGGATGCAGACCCTGTATGGATTCTTCATCATGCATCTGCAGCACCTGGGCTAGCCGGGTCGCTTCGCCGAATATATGCCAAGAGAATCTTGGCTTTCCAGCTGCATGCATGCAATTTGAGTGGAGATATCGAATCGCCACGGAATTTGCGTTTGGATGCTCGAGATCGGCCTCCAGGTAGGTAACTAAGCAACTGCGAGAAGCCTGAAGAAAAAGATCTGCGATCGTCTCCCCTTCTGGGAAAATGTCCTTCGGAAGAAGGAAGGCAGTCTCGGCGCAAACAGCGGTGATGAGGGTGAAAGTCACATCCGGCCATAGCTCAGGATACTTCAAAGATTCATAGCCGTATCTCATGCTCGAAGTGCTCCCTCGGAAGTTCCGTGTATCGTCTCGAGAGACGAAAAACTCCAAGCCATCTCGAAGGCTTGACTCATGGACAAGTGGGATAAGAGGGAAGAGATAGTCAAAAAACAGTTTGAAACAATGCTTGATCACGTTCTCCAATACAGCTGTTGGCCTGCGTATGTAAAGATCCCGGCCGAGTGCTTCCCATCGCTGTAAAGCGGATATCGCGCCTCCTGTTGACGTGGCATGAGAGAGCGGAGTTGGAACAGTATGGACCGTCGCTGGTGAGAGTGCAGGATCCAGGCTGATGGCAGACGTGATTCCCGAATCCCATAGATCAAGATTCTCTGAGTCTCCAGGAGCTTCAAATAGGCTCTGTGATGAAGGGTCATGTCTCGTTACTTGCAGAGACGGTGTGACTGGACTCTGCAGAGAGTCTCCTCGAGCCTCAGCAGCAAGATGGCGTCGTTTTGCCTTCGGACCTCGTCTAGAAAGCGGCAAATTGAAGGTACATTGCTCTCTGGCAAGACGGCAATTGACACAAACTGATGATGGATCAGGGCAGTCGCACTAGGGAGCAGTAACTGTTTCAGTTTGATGTTTCTCAATCGCTTTCAAGCGCTATTCCATGACCCACCTTAGCTTTTCGCCGCCGACATCGATCGCATGCCCTACTAGCCGGGCGCGGGGTATCTGCATGGTTAGCGGCTGCCATCACATTGCCAGGATTCTGTGTCGGGGAGAACGGAGAATTGTGTAGATTTGTTGAACAGAAAACTGGGGGTGGGCCACGGTCAAATACTCGAAATACCCCGCTCCCTCGGCCAAATTTCCCCGATGCAGCGGGCCGATCGCGGGAGCCCGGCAGCCAATCAACGGCACGGTACGGAGGACCTGTAGACAAGAAAAGAAAACTCAACCGACCGAAAAATGGCGGTCACCTGATGGAGAGATATTTGTTGAGAACTGGAATTACATCCAGTGGGTAACTTCACGTAATTCCCAGTCGACCCGATCACCCGGCCGTACCGATCACCCCAAAACACATAGTAAATGCGATAAATTACAACTTTATATCTGAACAACCGTATCTAATTAGGAGAAAATATTAAGTACATCTGATCTAAGTAGTGTTTCTAGCCTACTAGTATAGGGTAGGAAATTTTCTTTAAGTATTAGTAGAGATATATATATTAAATCTGAAATGTCAAAATTACGCTGTTGTTTACAGTAATCGATTAAAATAGTCCTGGAAATGATTTAAGATTTAATTATTATTCTATACGCGTAGAATAGCTTACCTCCCAAAATTGAAAGAGGAATAGTACCCTGTGGTTGAATTATAGTAGAATAAAATCATCTCATTTACGATGTGTTTTTAGGGGATCGGGTCGACTGGGAATTACGTTAGTGGCTGTCGCGCGCATTTTGGTAAGCTTGATAGATTTAAGATGTATTCGTGACTATCTCATTTGTCCAAAAAATAAAACCTTCTAATGCCCTCAGAATACCCGTTCAGCCAAGGTTCCGGTACCTGGCTGATATGCAAGACCATGAATATGTATCTCTGTAACAGCTCTAGTTTGACGCATTCGTCTCTTTCCAAAAAGAGGCTCCCAGGGGCGACGAGCCACACAAGCAGCGTCATATCATACACGCGCCCAACTTTGCTTGATGATTCATGCTACTCATCAAGACTCTAGTTTCTAGGAGGGAGCCATCTGTTTCTCAAACATTCCTTTCAAGAGCAGTGCAGACTGTTTCGGGGTTCTTGCAAGGGTGTTGTAATCGGTGAAAGTAACGCCAAATCGAACCCCGTAGCCATCGGACCATTCTGAAGAGCATATCAGTTTCAAAGTCCAGTTAGCGCAGAGAAAATGAACATACCTAGATTGTCCATCAACGACCAGGCAAAATATCCCTTGATATCAGAGCCATCCTCGCTGCGTGCTAGCGCGACAGCGTCAATATGATCCTCGAAGTACCGGATTCGGTATGTATCGTTCACTGCCTCTTCAACAGTCATCTTATCTTCACCGGGGCAAGGACATCCATTTTCAGTGACATAGATAGGCTTTCCATATTTACGGTAAACCCGTGTCAGATGCTTCCGAAACAACTTAGGAGTCGAGCGTAGCCAGTGAACACCTGACGGCTCACCGACTGATAGACCCTCTTTGTTTTCTTGGAACTCTTCCACATTTCCAAGACAGTCAGTCTCGGAAGCTGGCCCGTCACGGTGACGTGCAAATTGGGAAGTGTAGTAGTTCATTCCGTAAAAGTCCATCTCTGCTTCACGAAGCAGAGCAAAGTCGGCTTCTGTGAACTCAGGCAGACGATCACCCAGCTGTTCTCTCATGCAGGTGGGGTAGTCTTGTGCCAGGCTTTTGTATCAGGAGATGGTTAGCTTTCTGGAACGATATATGAATAGATATGATATACCCACCAGACTGGATTGGCAAACCATCCGATGTGGAACTCCATACGTCGCTCCGCAGCCTGGTGATCACGTTCGTCTTGCGCGTCCCAGGGCTCATAGAAGTCTCCGTTCAAAGAGATTCCGATTCTCCCATTCTGTGCTGCTCGGAATTCCTTGTTGTAGAGGGCGACTGCGCGAGCATGGCTCATGATCAGAGCCTTGCCAACAATCCAAGGCTCCGTCGCAGAGTTACCCTCAGTAGACTGGGGATTGATGCTGCTTCTTCCTGGAGCATTTCCACCAGTAGCATAGCCCTGAAAATTGTTAGGTCCAAATGTCGAGGGAAAACTAAAAGGCAATGAAAAATACTAACAAAGATGGAAACAATCCAAGGTTCATTCAGAGTAATCCAGTTCTTGACTCGATCTCCGAATCGCTCATAGCAGACCTTTGCAAAGCGCTCAAAATCCAGCTGTGACTCTTCCACATTGAGCCAACCTCCATATCTGTCATGGAGAGCTTGAGGCAGATCCCAATGGTAGAGTGTGACCCAAGGTACGATATTTCTTTTTAGCAAAGAATCAATCATTTGACTGTAGAACGCAATGCCCTTTTCATTTACTGCGTCGTTTCTTCCACCCATTGGGATGATTCGCGACCACGAGATAGAGAAACGGTATGCTTTCGCGCCATACTTGGACAGAAGGTCAAAGTCCTCCTCAAAGCGATGGTAGTGGTCGCATGCAATATCGCCGCTGTCACCCTTTGTCCGTGTTGGCTCCAGGTGGCAGAAGGTATCCCAGATTGACTTTCCCCGACCATCTTCATTGACAGCTCCTTCAATTTGATAGGCAGCTGTCGCGAAGCCCCATTCAAAGTCGCTGGGCAATGGGTTGGCAGGAGAATCAGTCGCCATTTCGATCAAACTTGTCTTCGCAGAATTATTTGCAAAGTTGACAAGTTACGAATTGAAGAGAAGTTATCCTCAGGTCAGTGATAAAACGCAGAAGCTCCGAACCGTGCCTTATAGCCGGGCGGGCGGGTGGCTTGTGGCGTTCAAACAAGCGTGGGGCTGTTGAGGTCCCACGGCTAGCGTCGGAGAATTACCGTGGCATCGGGGCAATTTTGCACGTGGCAATGTGCTATTTCCCCGATACAATTTCCCCGTCCCCGCAAACTTCAACCCCAAATTCCATCCCCGATGAATTTTTTTCTTCCCCACAGTCCGGCACTTTTCCCCCTAAGTGCTGCGAGATCCGATTGATTAGCCGCACATGAATCCTGACAGGAGCCCGTTCTATATAAGATGCAGGGGCGCCCGCGTTGAAGTGTTCAGATCACCTCACACGTCCGCTAGGCCTTTTCCTGCTGATCTCCACTGGAAACTTCACCTACACGGTTAGTCAACAGCAAGCATGGCTCCTGCTGCTGCTCATGCGGCCGAGGGAATCATATCGCCCATCGATGTGAACTCGATGCCGCCGTTTTGGCGTCGAAAGAATGGCATTTTGCTTTACTTCCTTCTCACGTCGTCTCTTCTGGCTAGTGCTGCGCTCGGTATCGATGGAGTAAGTCTCGATATATCCCGGATTTGACGTGGACTTTAACTGACACGGGTTTCAATTAGTCCATGACAAATGGAATGCAAGTCCTGAATTCCTGGCAAGACAGATTTGGGCACCCTGAAGGCGCGAAGCTTGGATTCTTCGGAGCTTCTAACGCCATCGGCGGTGTCATTCCATTCATCTTCTTAAGCTGGATCGGTGATAAATGGGGGCGCCGTTTGCCCACTGCTTTGGGTTCTGTCGTCATCATCGTCGGTGTTATGGTCGAGTTCTTTGCTACCTCTTTGAACATGTATATCGGCGGTAAAATTGTCCTGGGAGTTGGATCATCGCTCATCCAGATGGGCGCACCGGTGTTGGTCACTGAGCTATCCCATCCCAAGGAACGTGTACAGGTCACCACATTCTACAACACATCCATCGTTCTTGGGTACGTGATTGGTGCATGGGCCACCTTCGGCTGTTATAGAATTGACAGTCAATGGTCCTGGAGATTACCTACTCTGATCCAGATTGTACCGTCGGCTTACCAGTTCTGTCTCATCTGGTTTTGCCCCGAGTCGCCTCGCTGGCTGATTGCAAATGGCCGTGTGCAGGAAGCCCGCGATATCTTGATCAAATACCATGGCGAATGCAATCCGAACTCCGAACTAGTGGAGCTCGAATGCGCTGAGATTCAACAGGCCATCGCCAAGGAAGCCGAGAACAACATGACCTGGAAGGACTTCTTCTCTTCCAGAGCCAACATGAAGCGTATCTTCCTTTGCTTTTCCACGGCTGTCTTCAGTCAGAGCTCTGGAAACTTGCTGGTGTCCAACTATCTTACGCAGATCTTGAAGGATACTGGACTCAAGACCGAGTACGAAATCACCCTGATCAACGGAATGGTCACACTCTGGCAGTATATTGTGGCCATCTTTGTCACTCTTATCATTGACCGCTTCCGCCGTCGCTTCTTTTTCCTCACTGGATCTGGCGGTGTCCTGGTCACCTTCATCGTTTGGACAATCGCTGCTCAGCAGTATCTTGAGCACAACTCGCTGGCCGCCGGTCGACTGGTTATTGCATGCATTTTCTTCTTCCAGGCTTTCTACACTTTTGCTTGGACGAACTTGATCGTCACCTATCCTCTCGAAGTGGTGACACTGCAGATGCGTGCCAAGACATGGGCTTTCGTCCTGCTGACCATCCAAGTGGCCTCAATCTTCGGAAGTTACGTCAACCCCATTGCACTGAAAAACATCGGATGGAAGTTCTACATCTATTACTGTATCTGGGTGTTCATCGTCTTCCTCATTGTCTACTTCTTCTTCGTCGAGACTGCCGGACCCACTTTGGAAGAACTGGCCTATTTGTTTGAGGGTGAAGATACCAAGAAGGAGATGGTGCACAAGATCGAGGAAAAGAAGGATCAAGTCACATATGAGGAGCAGGTGGAAGACAAGATTGCATGAATGGCGTGTATATAATTCTTTTTTCAATATTTCATGCCTGAATTCAGGATGATATTATCGTTGTCTGGCTGGCGCCATCTGATGATTAATCTACTTTAATCAAAAGGAAATAACATCTGGCTTTAAATACACCTATACCATGGTGTTTATTCCTATAACCATTTCGTTATGTAGAATGAGCAACTGGGAACCCGAAATACCCAGTAAGCTATATCCTAGTATCCTGGTGGATACAGGGCTCGGCTGTAGCTAGGCAAAAAGGTTTCAGAGCCCGATTGAGAAGAATATTCTCATTTCTGAGCATTGTGTTTTGATTTCCGCTTGAATTTTAGAAAGAGGTGATGGGGAATGCTGGCAGTTGCTTAAATCCTTGCTTCTCATGCACTCTTGTTGATCGGTTGTGTAACGATCTGGTAGTCGACAAATCGTCGCATATCAGAGTGTGATACACAGATCCACTCGATGTTATCTCGGCCGTTCAACGTATGCTGTGCTACGGTAGAATGTGAACAACACGTGATTTACCCAAGCCCAAGAAGTGGCGAAATTCATCATGTGTGAGACCGTCCTGGGTTCAATTTTTGGTTGGATGACGATGAGGTTGATGCATTTACCGAAGAAACTAAAACGAAGGATGAGAATCTTGTACGTGAGCGATGACCCAACTCCCAGGACAAATTTCCCGCCGATATACATGTTCAAGGAGGTAGCAAAGAACTCGACGATAACTCCGACAATGATAGTCTACACGGGCTGCATGGGTTCGGTACTTAAGAGATTTTCATCAATCTCCTTATCCATACGTCTCCTTTTCATGCCCGAATGATAAGAATGAAGTTTTCGCCACTTTGGTGAAACGTGACAGCCAGCTACAAGCTAAAGAAGCCCTACAATCCCTTAAATTCTGGTGTAATTCACAACTTATGAATACCTTATCCACCATGAGTTTGTATAAAACTGCACAAGCATTCAGAGAGTTAAGCAACTATACCTAGAGGGATGTACTGATGAATATAAAAAATCACATCTCGCACGCAGTTCAAGGATATAGGTCGAGATTGTCTATCAATACCGCACAGTGATCGTCAATATGATTTTGGTTCACCTAACACGGTTTTATTACAGCGGGATTTTATCTTTTCTTGGAGTAGTAACTCTTACCCTCCTCCTCCTTTTCTATCTGCCGTCTCTCTTATCCTACATCCACCCAATTTCGGCATGGAAATCGCGCGAGGTTTATTCCACTAAGCGGAAGCAAGAATATATAGCCGACGCGGCCGGAATACTGAAAGCTGGACTAGCAAAAGTCAAGCGCCCGAAAATGAACTTTAACGAAGATAGTTCTCTGATATGTTCATCCCGATTTAGTCCAATGTCTTTCGAATTGTCAGCGACAATGGCTATAAGACAATTCTTTCCCCGGCATACGCAAACGAGATTAGCAGGCTCCCAGAGGCAGGCAAGCGAGTAGTCAGGCAGATTCCACCATAAGAAGCCAAAGCAGTCCAAAACAAACAAACGACCTAACTAGATTTTTATGGATTGGCCCGTTCATGATGCAGCGATATGAAGTCGGTAAATGGAAGTACATGCCCAGGGCCAAGGCCTTGTATCGCCACCGCCGAGACCATGTCATCTGCTTCCTTTGGAAGAATTTCCATGAAAGGGACAGCATGGAAGAATACTCCAGCTGGATCTCGGTGGAGACTTATGGTTCTCTGGAAGCTATACTCGTTGTTTACGAGTAAGTGGATAGACCGGGATGCATTTCGAGGGAGCTTTGAAAGAGTGGAAACCCTTGCATTTATGCGAGCAAATGGCAAATATCCTTCTTTGACTTCAGCGGAAGATTCTATGCAGTTGTAGGTTGGTAGTGCCCGGAGTGTGGTTGGCAGCGAGGTTTTCCGAGGTGTTGTTTCGAGTTGACATTGATAGGAGCTCTGCATTCAGACAAAGACGATAGAATTAACAGGCGTCGACCAGACATGAATATGGTGCATCATCGTGGGAGAGATCTCGCCCGCTAGACGGCCCACATGATGGAATCGCCTACATGCAATGAATAGTTCCATGGATGGAGATTCCATAGACGAGTGCCGTGTTCCAGTGGCCCGGCGTGGTCCCTTGGTCTCCACGGACAACAAGACATCACGTTGTGTGTTCTGGCCGCTTCCCAAGTCTAGTAATTGGCTGATCTTGCAGTGCAAAGAATTCAACATTGTGGGATATAAGGGTGAAGTGGAAGGTTGTAGTTGACATGCCCCGACTGGCCACTAGTTAGTAAGAAGCCCTTGGCGTTTGGGATGTCTCTGACCAGGCCTGGCAAAGGCGATGAGGCATTTTGAGATAGAGGAGGTAGTGGTACATGCCAGGGAACTCACATAGGAGTATGTTAGAAAGAAAAAGGTCTTTCCAAAGGCATATCTGACTTGGAAGCCCTCAAGAACACCGGAAAGTTCGGTTATAAAGAGAGTGCAGGTAGCCAGATATTGTCAATGGGCACTTTCCTTTTCTTACCTCGTGTATGATGACGATACTCCAGACAACCTGTATAATTGTTTGTTTTGGCCGTCGCGTAAGCGAGGCAAACAAAATCGCGATTTCCCAACAGGGCGATTTCCTTTTCTCCGTCGTCTCCTCCCTCCTCTCCTTTCTCCCCCTTCTTCTTCTTCTTCCTCTTCCTCTTCCTCCTTCTCCTTTCCTTTCTCACTCGCCCTCTTTCTCCTCCTCTTTCTCCCCTCCTCCCCCACACCCCACGGATCTGCCGTATCGCCATCCAGCCTCTGGGATTGATACGTGCTAGCCACCATCAACACTGAGCACCCAGTGAGTCCTTGGATTCACTGGGTGCTCGGCATTCAACCAGTCTTTCCCCCCCCTTCTGTCTATCGAGATGCCCGGATCTCGCCCAGTGCTGCAAATATGCTCATGACTGATCCTCCAACTCTCATCGGATCTGCCGTATCGCTTTTGTCCGTTCGTGGGACTGATACGTGCTAGCCACCTCCATGCCGGACACCTGGCGAGGCTGCTGGTATTTACTTACTAGTAGTCATGCCTGGGTGTTCTCGGCTCTGAATCTCAGAAGTTCTTTTTTTCTCTGTTTTTTTTTTTCTTTTCTTTTTCACGACCTTACTACGATCAATGTCTACTGTACCATGATGCTCACGCACTCGATTTGCTGCCTTCGCTTTTGGATCAACGTCGATCTCACTTTCCACAGCCCAATTCATTCACTAATCACACTTTTATCCCTCTCTACATTCGTTTCAGTACAACCCCCTCCCCCCGGTTCAAAACTACAGTACTCACTCGTTTTATTGTCATTCTCTGGTGGTTTCGATTGTCGTTCGCTCACAACTCCGCTTGCGTGCCTGGCTTGTTCTCCAAGCCCTCTCGACCCCATCTCGGGCCAAACCACAAGGTACTGTGTGACTTGAGTCTTCTAAGCTGCCTGGATCCATTTTACTGACCATTGTTCTAGCGTCATAGAGAGCACTCCTTCTTTGCAAAGCGGTCCTTACGTCCCCTGTTCCCACATATCCCACCCGGGGAGGTTGAGCCTGAGGATGATCTCGACGTAGAAGTCGACCTGGATGAGAGCACAAAGGCCGGCCTTGATTCTCATCAGAAATTCATATACTTTGACGGATAAAAAGACCAAGAGACTGATTCAGCAATTGATAATTCAGATGAGAGACTGGCTGGTCTCTTTCTGGCCGCTCATGATCGGGTCACGACTCAGCTCCAATCAAATACAACCCCAGCTAGAGATGATATGCTGATGTCTTCGCTGCATAGATTTGTGGACATCTTTGCACAGATCAATGTTATGAAGTTCTCTATGTACAACAGGGACTCATGGAAAATTTTAGTCAAGACCAGTGGAAACAGTCGTGCGGAACCAACTCCATTCAAGTTCCATTGCAAGAAGGGAAAATGCAACTACCAAACCGACAAATGGACAAGTTTCAGATATCATTTCCAAACATGCTCAGGACTCGACAAGCCAGACAGGCAATTCATCTGTAACCTACGTGGAAATGACTTCCAACCCGAAATCTCTCCTATAGCACACGAAGCGACAGCACTCAGAACAATTCGAAGGCTATCAATGTGGACAAATATCCCGTGCAGCTCAAAGGAGACAGGAATATTGCCAACAATTCCTGAAAATGCATAATTTGGTCGACACTGGACCATGGAAGTGCACCTTCGCCTCTGACTCATTCATTGGAATCGACGACTATTGTCCTTCATCAGATCGTTAATTCTTGAATTGGAGTTATACCCACGAGCATCACATGAGGTCACACAACCAACCTTGCTGTAACAGCGATCACTGAACTGCTGGGCATACGCGCAAGAGCAATCAAGTATGATCCCGTTGTCAAGTATCTGTCAGTCTCAGAATACCGCGAATGGATGTCCAAAGTCAACCCTGGTTCTAGCCCATCCTCGGGGCAGCCGAGCCGTCCATAGCCCCTGAGATCAACCGACAGACTGTCCGTTCGAGTGCCAAGGCCCGTTCGGCCACTTCAAAGCAATTTTCGCCCATTCAGCAAGCTCCAAGTGCTTCGCGCCTCAGGATTTTCCGTACTCTCCGTTCACGAAAGCCACGACCGACAGAGCTCTCTGTTGCCGAGTCTCTGGCGGTAAGTGATGCTGACTGTACGGATAAGGAATTTGAATACGACGGCGAGTTCGATACAGTCTTGCAAAATGCGGATGACTTGAGTGCCTGGTGACTTCAGGTTCAGAGGAGAACTTGACGACCTTTGAATATGGCCGAATCCTAAATTCTCTTTCGAGAATACGCTTCTTCTTTTGGTCGTTTTCTCCACTGCCCGTGAACCATGTATTCCTTCTTCTTCATTCACTTCCTCCTTCTTTTCCCCCTCCCCCCCCCCTACCCTCCAACCTCCTGCTCTCCGTTGACACTCCAGCAGCATGACTTAAGTGGTTCCCTCTGCTTGCGACTTAGCTTCTGCTTCGTCTGGCTAAACAAGTGTATCCCTTCATCCAGCGTGTCAATCTTTCCTTCCAGACAGGTCTTACCGAGGTAGCTCTACGGGGACAGGATTACCGTGATTAATGTTATTTTTTGTATGATTAATGACGTTCCAATGTAAATATTAGGAAAACAGCACTAGAATATCTAATCGTTTGGTGATCTGAACCGGTTACAAGATGTTTCCTTTCCTCGAATGGGTTCAGGTAATATCTCGAGATTGATTAATCGCCGTTGGTCTACGTTCGTGTGTTTCGTGGATGTGTCTCGTCATGTTTAATGCGCTAAGCGGCCTCGGCGGTGGTGGAAATCCAATCCACGTTTGGTAGATCAACTAGTATAGCTTACCTTTTCGGCGAGATCGACGGCGCGGACGAGAGAAGTCAGCCTTCTCCTCTGGGCAGGGAATGAAGTGAGTACAGTATCCAAAAAGGCTACACCGGTCATGCTCCGTTGACGAAACGGCTGTCCTGAATAACGTCGCATTAAGAAGTTCGTCAGATTTGCCATTAGAATAATATAGCGGACTATATAGGGCAAGTCGGCAATTTTTAAATCGACCATCGTGAATGTGTAGAAGCAGTTGCGAGCAGTCCTAAGTAGGATTCTATGCTGGCTCTTGATGGTTGAGTGTATAGAGCTCGTGATTGTTTCTACGGTATGACTTCCTCTAGCGATCCTACGGGCGGTCTAAACACCATCATGCACAAAACGGAAACCTCCATACCCGACCAGGGCAAACGGTGCCCAGTAGAACGGACTAGACCAGTCCAACTGATCGATGATCATCTTCAGGGTGATCAGCAAAAACTCCGCATCGGGCACGAAATCAGCCGGACGTTTGCCCTCCACTTCTGTAGAACTCCAACTCTCCAACATCCAATCCAAGAGCTTGCCGGCTTTCTCAACATCAAGCTGCAAAAGGTCTATCTGAGCCTTCCTCATGAGCTCTGCCACGGGAAGATGCGGCATATTTCTCAAATGGCGATAGAACAGCGTCATAATCAGCATGGAACCGAAATCGCTGACTTTCCAAAGAGAACCAATGTAAGCCTGGCAGCCAGTGCTTAGAACAACATGGGAGAATCCAAGAACTTCACTGCCGAAAGACGTTTTGCCAAGTCCGCTGAGACAAGCTGCAAATACGAGAAGATTGACGTTGCTGCGGATGGCAGACATGTCGATGACTCGGAATTCTTGGCCGTCTCCAATCGAAATCGACGAGAGCAGTGGATTGCGGTGGTTGATATCGCCGTGGGTTCCGATATGCATGATCAAGGAGCCGCCCTTGACATACTCGCGGAAATCCTCTCTGGTCATCTGAGAGGCCTCGACTGGCCATGTAGAAAATAAGGACGATATATTTACAGCCTCGATACCTGCCATGTGGAGGTTGACTTCTTGATTACTTCGAGTTGCGTCTTCGGAAGGTCTTTCTGTGGGTGATTTGGCCAGGACGGATACCGTCGGCGTCGTCGACGCCGATTTCCTCTGTGCGAGGTGATGGAGGACAGTCAGGCTGGGAGTCTGCGAGACCGCCGCGTGCATGATGAGTGGCTTTCCGTCGAACAAAAGGGCAGAGAATGGGAACGCCGTCATCGGGTTAGATACCGAGAAGATGACGTGCGACTTGGTGCGGATGATTTCTTCAAAAGGTTTCAGTAGTACGGCGGATATTTCCTCGGACAGTACATTTTGAGCCTTTTTGCGAGCTTCCTCTTCTTCTCCAATGTATCCAGTCATATTTCGCATGATATGCATTACCTGCATAGCAGGCCTCCGAATAGCAATGATGTTGGTTAGTCCTTGATGTACCTTTTCAATGCCGTCCCGTGTTACTGCGAACGAAATGAATCCACGGGGACTAAAAGTGGTTTCTATCACCACGGCATTTTCATCGATGCTTCGATACAACAGCTTTGGCTCAATAGTGGAGTTGACGGTCTCAATGAAGGTAGTCGCATTAGAGAGATTTCCGTCTTTCTCTAATTCGTCAATATCCTTGCGCAGTTGCGAAACCTCCTGTTCCTGTTCCGGGCTCAATTTTCCCAGAGCAAGCAATGATCTCAAAAGTCGTCTTTTGTGAACTGCTTCTGAAAGTGGCGCGGTATCAGAAACTTCAATTATTCCAGGACCTTGAGTGGCTTGGGACTGTAAAGACTCGAGCACAGTGCGTGCTCTACTCATCTCAATGAACAGTAGAGCATGTTCAGACCAAGAAATGTTGTCAAAGTGGCCATGCTGATATCTCGATATAAAGCTCACCGGAGTCCCTGCTTCTTCCCATCGTAAACAAAGACGAGCGAGGTTCATAAACATATCTATAGTCCACCGTTGGCTGGAACTACCAATCTTAGCATCCAAGTCTTTCGTCTGGGTCCGACGAGTCTCGACGATTTGACGAGCTTCAAGTAGCTTGCCAAAGCAAATCTCCGGCTCTTCATCTTTCATGATATGTGCGTAGCAACTGATTCGTTGGGCAAAGTCAAGTGCACTCTCGCTCATCTTTTCAAAGAAGGTAGGCCAGATCCCGATGATGATATCGATAACTCGACGAGCTCGTTCCTTGTCGTCTGAAAATACAGAGAATGTCAATGCATTCTGGGCATTCAGAGCAAACATAGTTCGAACACCAATCCCTTGTTGGAACTCTTCGAGTTTATCATCGAACAAGTCGTTGTCATCCATAGAGTCAAATATCTCACGGGCTTTGACGGAATCACCAACGCGCTCACATGCCAAGACGCGGTAAAGATCTCTGCAATACCCCTTTTCTAGATCCAACGTATCGTCCACATACCCGCGAAGCTTTTTCTCCGCTTTCAGGATATCACCTTCCTCTAACAGTCGACGGAAGGTGAGATCCGCAGAAGTATATCTCACTCTGGCCGCGTCATTGGCCAATTTCTTCTTCCACAGGTCCTTCACCTTGCCCTGAGGATAGGAGAGGCTCGGGTGATTCAATTGCGCCAGCTCTTCGGTAGCCAGTCTTTCGCGAAATGCAACGAAGCTGTCGTCATGCTCGATCCAATAAGAGAGTTTGGCGTTCCATTCGTTGAATTTCTCCAAATTCTCACACTGGACGTAGATGCTGTTCACTTGTCGGCTGAATGTCCACAGCATGTTGAACTTGCTGGTCATCAACGTCGTACGGTCCAACTGGCCTGTGGGGGTGTCTGGGGTGGACTGAATCGTCGAATCAAAATACTCGATAATCCTGTCGACCCTGGATAGCGCCTCCTCAATAAAGATCTGAGATGCATCGTCGTTGTACATTTCGTGCTGTACGTGCGCACGGGATACCACGGATTGAAACAAGGGAATCATATCTCCAAGCGGCTCGCAGATCTCGTAGGCACACTCCCATGCGAGCAAAGCGGTGTCCATATTTGAAAACTTGAACCATTCTTGATAGGCGTATCGAGACAGGATCATTGCAATACAATGAGCCATTATTTCGTTCTTTGCTTCAACGCCCCAAACGCCAATCGACCTTGCTATTGCTTTGATGTTGCCCGGATTTCCCCTTGTAATACCAGTTAAGATCAGGTGTGCCTTTACAAGTTGAGCATTTGCTTCATCCCTTCCAAACAATTTGAGAGATTCTTGCAATTTGAGCTCGGACTCTCCAAGTAGATCGAGTACCTGTTTGTTCTGAAGTCGCTCGTGACGGGCCTTGTTATGTAGACAACAGCCTTGTCGAAGCAAAACTGCCGCTTGTCCGCGTTTGCTGTTCGCTTGTTGGAAAAACGTCAAGGCGGACTCATACAGTTCTTGTGCCTGAGTGATATATTCATATGTGAGATCGGCCTCAATCGGATCCCAGACAGAATCACTATGCGTACAGCTGGTGACATCGACGATAATCAAGTTCAGCGTTATGGGGCTTGCAAATGGAGGGCTAATCAGGCTGTCCGCTTCCAGCATTTTGGTATTGGCCATTCCCGCATAATCTTCTAGTCTTTCGCATCTTTGATAAAGCTCCTGCAAGAGCGTCGCTGACTGAGGACTCTGGCTTGTAAGGTGCAATTCCACGACAAGTCTGAACATGTATGTGCCCATGCCGGTCACTCCGTAGGAATCCACCATATCGCGAAATTTGAGGAAAAGCTGTGCCACCTCGACGACTTCCGGAAGTATGTCTTCTCGCGAGCCAACCGCCCGGCCCATGGGGCTAAGAGGGTGAAATTTGGATGTCAGAATTCTTGCTCGCATTGGAAATCCGAGAACACCATTCATGATTTGACTTAGTGCTTGATCGCGGGGTGAACTGGACGGTAGATGCATGGTGAAATTGTCCATGAAGCTCTTTTGAATCTCAAAGGGACCGCTAACGTCTCCGAGCATGGCAGTATTGACCGGTTTCCCATTTTCATGATAAAAAGGTAATAGCGGGGGATAGCGACGGCTGGAGTCGGTCAAGACCTTGTAGTTGCTGTATCGCATGCCCCATTCTTTCGGTATTTGGTCTAGAAGGCCCTTTAAGATTTCGAGACTTTCATATGCATCCGCTGGTCTGCCAGTAAGTACTGAGTAGATGGCCGAACAACGAAGGTGCTCAGCATAGACAGCAGGCTCCACCTCTGATATGTCAGGTCTGGTCTGTTGCAAATAATCTCCGGCAGCGTCCAAGTCCCCAAGATACTCCGCCGCAAAGAGCGATTGGCCACAAAGGCCGATAAAGTGATCAAAGTCCATTTGACATTTGGGTATGCTAACGAAGCAGTTATTAGAAATGCCCAGCAACTGAAATCATGAAGGGATCATCTCGCGGGGCAATCCCCAAAAAGTCCACCTGGGCCAATCCATATAATAAGCATGGTGGGGGTGTGGGAGTTGCCCGATGCTCCCACGCTATCTATTCTCGAGACCCTGAAAGCGATTCGTTTAAAATTGCCCCATTTGAGTGAAACAAGTTAGCCCCGGTTGGGCAGTGCCCCGCGAAGGCAGCAGAGTAAAAACCACAGTAAATACCCCTAAGCAGAAGACAAGCCACTCAAGATCTTCTTCCCCGGACTTTGCGAACCATCGATTTGGATACCAAGCCTTGGCACTTTGCAAGGCTACCAAGAAAGATGGGGGCTGGTGATGACTCGACGTTCTTCTTGTATGGTGTCGGGGAACGGCCCGAGGCTCTGACCCTCGGGTCGTTGGTGCTGGAGAAGTACTGGCAGCCAATGAATGCGCGACACTATACCCATGAACTTTTAAGGTACATGCCATGATCGTAAACGTGATCGAAGCTGGACTGACATTGAATAGTGAAAAAGAACTACAAGAACACGCCTATACAACGCAGGCGGATAATGTGGTCTTCCATGGAGCTTCCCGAATTTCGCCCTCCGTCAGCGTGGAGGGTGGAGACATTGTCAATCTTGGCCTCGCCTACAACAAGGATCTTGAGCGAGTTGTAGTCGCCGCGAAGGGGACCCGAATGATCTTGAAAGAGTATCTCGCCTTTGACTTCTACCTTGAATTATCCAATGATTGACTTCCTCGACAGCCCGGAAGCATTCCTTGCGAACAGCGTCTTAGCCAGCCAGGAGGCGCAGAAAAAACTCAAACTGTGGCTGTCCGCAGCCCACAGCTCATACGTGCTCAATTTCAAATTTGCGCGTCGCCCCAAAGTGTGGCTACTCACCGGCCTGTATCTCCTCGAGAACACCCGCACGATCGTCTCAAGAGGACAATCTGCAGGCATCTCGGCTGGCGTTTCATCGGCAATCATTGGCGCTCTAGCCGGCGTCCCTGTCGGTGGGTCCGTCAGTCTGGGCGTAGGATCCTCTTGGGAGATGGCCATGGAGATCGCCGACCCACATGTCTGGGCAGCCCAGTATCGACTGCTTGATGCCCGCTTTCTCAAGATGGGCAAAGGTGGCGTGGACGGGGTGAAATTACCGATGACCATGGGCCTGTACCGAGATGTCATGTCTGTAAACACCGCTCGAGGACCGGGGGATAACACGGTTGAGGTCGGACTTGAGGATGAAGAGGGTGAGGACACAAAGGCGACCTCCGCGGATGACCAGGGGAGTGAAGAACTAGAAGAATATGAGAAGCGGCTGGAGCAGGCTATCAAGATTTTCGAGACAGCCCCGAAGCATGTCCTTCAGTAGGCGGGTCCTTGTGACGGATCGTACCAGGATGAAGCACCTCAATTGAATACATCAAGTATTGTGTCATTAGAAATTATGTGCAGTGAAGGTTATGGTAGGTAGATGCGACTGATTAAGCCCATATTGACCGAACTCCGAACAGTTCCCGAAAAAAAAGAAAAGAAAAGATTATCATAAAAAGAGAGTAGGGTATCAAATAAAACCAACAACTATAACTTGCGGTTCGCAGAGGCCTGCATTCGACGCATCGCTTGACGGTGCAGGTCTGTCATACTTCCCCGTTGCATCCTATCTGCAATGGTATTTTCGACTGTGGTCGCTGATGCATCACGCATCTGCTGCACAGATCCCCAGCGGGGTCTTTCGCTGCTCGCAGGGGTCCCAGGAGAGAAAGGTTGGGATAATGGGTCACGTCTTTGGGAAATTTCCTCTCGAACTGATTGGCGCCACGCAGCCATGACGGCTGTTGATCGTGGCGAGTCTTGGGGTACTGGTCGCGCGGGGTCGATGCTCTGGAGGCTAGATGATGAAGGGGATTGCATGGTTTGGCGCTGTAACATAGCACGGCGCTTCGATAGTGGTACGTTGTCTGCATCTTCAGCAATATCCGTCCCAACATTCTCATCTCTTTCCTCTGGAATAGACAAAGGTGGCGATGCGATGAGTGCTGGGTCAGCTAGAGACAGGTGGGACTGACTGCGGGATGCAAAAGGGTCATAACGAAGGGAAGTTGATGACATTCGATTTCGCACCATATCTTCACGGACAGCAAGAAGAGGCGGATGCCCACTCCATCTGGGGAGGTCGGGTGTGTCTTTTTCTTGGTGTTGGGTGGGAGTTGTAATAGCCAGGAATGGGGTCGAAGTGCTGCGAATTGGCACTGGCTGGTGATCCTTTTCCTGTAGTGGAAGTAATGAGGCAGAAGAGATGTTTCGAGACATAGGCGGCGGTGATCTGGCACCGGACATGCTGTAGATATTGTTTTTCGTCTTGGACTTGGGGAGTCCGGCAGAAGGCGCGGTAGAGCCATAAGAACGTCGACGCGTTTTTTTCGGGCTGGCAATTGTCTGCTCCGGGCTGTTGACCACTGGAGGAGGTAGGCCATTCAATGGTGTCTGAAGGAGGCCTTGCACATTGACTGGTGCTGCGACTTCTTCAGTTTCAGCTGAACTTTCAGGATTCTCACAGTCCAGCCGGATGGGTTCGATCTCGGGAAGCTCAGCATCGGCCAAATGTTTGGCCCATTCGTTGGTACGGAACGAATTGACCACCATCGATGTTTGTTCGGGAACTTCCTTCACAGCTGAGGCATCTAGCCTAGCACTCTTGCTCTTCCTCAATGGCTTTGCCTGGAACACCGAATCGAGCTCACGCTCGGCATGCTCCGCGTCGGGCTGCCGAGGGTCTTCATCGGCCTCCGTCTCGGCTTGTTCAGCATCCGGTGCTTGGTTTTCATGGTCATTTTGTTTCTCATGCCCCTGCTCGGGAGGATTCACGGGCGCGGTTTCGTGATTAGACGGAGTTTCTTGTGAGTTGGGCTGGACGTGCAATGTAAAACACTGGGTGTCTTGTGCCTGGCTATCCTCTTGGGTATTTGCCACAGTCGTATCGTACTCTTCGGTTTCGTCATCCTGGTGTATCTGGAAATCATTTCCATGTTGGGTTGGTTCGTAGCCATTCTGATCATTTGCTGTGGGAAGAGACGGAACGAGGGGGCCTTCACCCTCGGTTGAAATACCACGCGGTGCTTGAGAGTTGAGCTCGGCCTGGGTTACTTCAGCTAGCACATTCTTCACTGGCAAGTTGTTTTCCCCCGTTCCCTCGTGTGCCTTGTCATCAGTCTCAACGTGACAATCGGAGACTACACTGTTGCAGATCGAAGCGAGATCATCCACGATGCCGAGAACAGATGAGCTGGCATCGTCTTGCGCAACCAAGGCCTCCTCAGACTCCGATTGCCCATTGAGCTTGGGACTTAAGGGACCGTTGGAACCGTTGGCACTGCGCCAGGAAAGACGTTTCATCAGTGACCTGCCCGAGAAGCGCTTGGATTTAGGCGTGCCTGGTTCGGAACCGACTACAGCGCCATGTTCCGAGCTAGTATCTTCACACACCCTTGCCTCAGGCCACATGGTCACCGGTCTCGTTGATGGTGGTCCGTCATGCTCGGCCTCAATTTGAGCTTGTTGGTCCGCAGGCTGGTTGGTGTGGCCTTCCTGCTGTTCTTCAAGAGCCTCCGTTTCGACCTCCTCAACGGCGTCGAGGTCTTTCCCGGTGTCAGATGCACCAGCCGATTGCTCAGTGGCCGACATGTCCTTCATCTCAAACGAATTACCCTTTTCGTTATCATTGGTCGTGGACTCAAACCCATCCGAACCCCGACGGGAGTCTGCTGCAACAGCCGTCTCTGTCATGGAAGGTTCTTTGCCGGCGGCACCATGGCCGTACATGTTTTCCCATTCGGTGCGTTCACGGAGATTCTTTTCTTCCAATTGTCGGCCGACTTCTGCTTCTGCCTCCTCATTCTTTTTCTCGGCTTCTTTGCGAGATGTCTCCTCTTTGACTCGGCGTTCTTTAATCACTTTCCATAGCCTCATTTGGGCGATCACGCCGAACACTGTGACAATCACCGTGATTGCAAGCTCAACACGGATGTTGCGAGTGACCGGGTATGTATTCGTGTTCAAGGGGAACATGCCGTTGTTCAAACCTAAGGTGCCGGTTAGCAACCGTACAATATGGGGGCTTGTGTCATAGACTCACCCCAAATGTAAAGCCAAAACTCCTTCAGTCCTGCCCGGCTATAGCAGTCGATGCCGAGGACCAGGGCCGTTGCACCAGAGATGGAAGTGCAGACGATCAATCCATAGGAGCGAGTATAATGACTGAATGATAAACACCAGAAGCCCACGGTAAATGCGATGATGAATCCGGTCTTCGCTCCACTATCAGTCACCAGCCCGCCTGACTTGACAGTCAAGAGCCACATGCCAGTACAGAAGCCACCAAGTAGACATCCAAGTCCTTCAGTAATTTCGCTGAACACGAGAGATAGGCCTCCAAAGACGGCGCCCGTAAAGAAGGCCGCAACCAGATAGCCACCTTGTACTGCATTGCTTACGGATGGACTCATCACGTATACAATCAGTACCTGCTACATGTTAGCCTCGGCCTGGTATAGGGGTGGTGTCAGCCCGAACTTACGGTTACACCTAATGCCGCAAGGAAGCCCGTAGACAAGAAGATATGCACCCTGATCAAATGTTAGCCATAGCAACCCCAAATCCAGCGAAAAGTCAATTACCATTGATTGCGAATGCCAATAAAAGCCAGCGCCGCCCCCAATAGTAACAGCATGATGCCACCCACACCCCAAGCCGGGGTGATTTGCGGCTGGAGTGGCAAACCACCTGTGTATTGTTGTTTCGTTCCATCCTGACTATCACTAGTTGACCCTGTAGAGCCATCTAATGAGGGAATCGTCGTCGCGACGTAGGTGGAGTGACTGGTGTTTGAAGAAGTCGTGTTTTTCGTAGTCGTCGTCGTAGGTAGGGTGGTGGCTCCCGTCGTAGCATCATGAGTGCTTATGGTAGAAGCCGTCGGTGTTTGACTGGGCACATTATCTGCAGTCGTTGTTGTCCCATCCTGTTCCGCCCTCTTTTCAACAGTCGTCGTAGTATCGACATTTCGTTGTGCAACGTCCCTCGCGGGGGCAGATAATGCAACTCCGAAGAGCAGCACCCAGAGGAAGGTGCTCAATACTGACCACCGCATCTTGCGCTGATCCTGAATGATTTATCTCCAGTGCAAGATATGCTGAGGCGCGAAGGGTATATTGTGTCGGATATGTATAAGACTCCTATCAAGCGCGACAACGCATATCAAACCGCGAGACCCTCCGATATTGCGAGTTCTTGTGAAATCGAGAGAATGGGAGGATTAAGATGATAGGGGGGCGCCAGTAATTAGATTAGTGAATTAAGAAGAAGAAAAAATTAAAGCTGCAGAGCGTTGTGGACCCATTGGGTCAAAGTCGATGGAATAAACAAGAGAAAAAGTCTCTAAAAGCAGGCCCAGCCCCGAGCTCCCCTACATAGTTATAAACGACTGATGACACCGCTAGTCAGGAATTCCAGAACGACGTGGGGCTCCTGGATACTGCGCATGTACATTTTTCAGATTGTTTGGGCCTATTTGAGTTTTCGGGCAGGCCAGGCGACAAGGAATTGGACAACAGACGCCCACGCGAGACTGACCAGCGACAAGTCAGTGAGCTATCCAATGCCCCACCGATCGAGAGACGACGATCGAGCAAGGATCAGCTCCTTGTGAACGCATGAGTGGCGGGCCCTCAGGGACGAAAAGAGATTAGGAGGTTCGCCGATTGCTGGGATTCGAAATTAGCCCCCCTCATATATCTACTCATCCACTTTCTCGGAGCATATAACCGGCCTAGTAGTTTTCATGTCGAGCATGATGGTTAAACTGTGTCTGCACTGTACAGTACGGAGTACAGTAGTACAATTGCCGGAACCTAGGCAAACCTGTTTACTATGTTGATCATGCCACGGCACGAAACAAGATAATTCAACTCCCCGACCGTTGGTCCTGACCATCCCCAGGTCAACAAGCGGAATGCGGGCAGCCAAGGATGTTGCTAATGATCAATCACATCATCCATCAGTCAGCCCCCTATACGGAGACTCCTTGGATGCAGTGGTGCAGTGGTATATGTATCTTCTGTAAAGGATACCTATATACCCATGCACCAGCCTCTCTGCATACAGTAGCTCGCTACATGGGCTGGCCTCACCGTAATTATTTCACGTCATTGACAATCTGCAAGTCCTGCACCTCGACAGCTCTCAGGAACCAGAAAGGGGACGTGCTCGGAGGTATCGACGCCATCCGCAACTAGGGGTTGACCAAGTGGGTCATGGGCCCCGATCTATCGAGTTATCAATTGGATCTGTGCGTCTCGTTCTGCTACAGTAATGCACGCAGGGTCAGCTGGCCTATCACAACAGCCAGCACACCACAGTTACCGTGTGTGCATTGTTCCTGAGATGAGATGGTTGGGTCCAGAATTGGCTTTGGGTTGCCGAGTCTTTCCCGAGTCTGGCAAAGCTCTTGTCAGGCAAAGAGTTGCACTGGTGCATCTGAAACATAAGACTTTCTTAATTTGGCACCCACAGGTTCTTTTTTTCATGGAGCGAACGGGTCAATCAGCGGTGGAGATGGTCCCATATGACCAGAGACAACCCGCGCTGATTTGTCCCCAAGGATGGTTGGCTCCCTGTTCCCCGTACTGTAGAAAATTGTGAGAGTGGCCACTGGCCACAAGTTGAGATTGTGGCATATACACGTGTACAGTGCATAGACCATGGTCTAGATCATAATAATGGATAATTACGCGAGCAGTAGCTAGCTTTGGGCCCTGCAGTGTCATTGTTTCTGCGCTTCGTTGAATCACTATTTGAATGATGGCCTACTAGAATTACCAAGTCATTTCGTCGTCCCCATAATAGGTGTGAAAGACTACATAGAAATGAATAATATAGGGGTTAGCGCGATAGGTCTAGCTTGTTGAGTCCTCAACAAGCGACAAGCAGGAAATGATATCGAAAAGGTAATCCCGATTCCTGGGCCCAATGCTGATCATAGGGATCTGATAGGCCTGTCCGATTATCAGCCCTGGAGCCTCCATCCATGTATTATCGGGTAATTGTGGATGTTCGGAGATTATGAATTTCAGTATGGCCCAAACCTACGTCGATTCAAAAGTTATCCAGGGAGGCTCGACTGCCTGGTCTACCTGTATAAGCCTGATATTCAAGGCTTACATTACACCGCTTAAGGCAGCGGCGAAGGCCCTCGAATCGGGTGTGGTAGGATGGGAGTCAAAGGCACGCTCCCGATGAGGTTTTGAAGGAGAAGAGTATGTATTGATGGATACCAATGTGTACTTTTGCAGGCATATTGCATGCAAAAGGTAGGTAACAAAGATGAATTTTCATTGTGAACGCTACGTTGGGCCTAGTTCTAACCATGGAATACCTTGTACGCTAAGGAGTATATATCTCTGATTCATCAGGCATGCATTTCCAGATAAAAGACCTTACATAGAATTCATTTTGCGTGAAATTCAGCACCTGTGTATTTAACAGTATGTATACTACCTCACTTGTTCTGAAAAACAGACCATCTCGATCTATTACATTGACCAACGCAATGAAGAACAGAAATAAATCGCTGGTGATGAAACATCACGTGCCCCGCATCGGTCATCCCCACATGCAAAGGGGGCGCGGGTGTTCAGTGCGGAAGTTCAATGAAGCTGCTTCTAGCAAACTTGCCGTTGTCAATTCTTTGAATCACTTTGTGTGCGGTGAGATCATGGAAACCTCACTATATCCATCTCCTGGTCCCTAATCCCCCGATCCCAGTCAATCAATCTCCCGCCTATACCTTGACTGGCCCTCATCCAGCTCGACATGGATGACCTGAACGGGCTGAGTTGGTCATCCAACTCCAACGCGCCCACCAACAAGCCTCCCCCTATGGGCTCTGGCTTCATGTTTCCGAATGTTCGACCCAATGGCGCCTCTGGGAGATCAACACCGATGTCCGCTGCTTCCAACCGATCCAATTCGCCATCAAAACCGCCCGCTTCTACCGGAGACAGCTTCGCGAACCTGGTCTCATTCAATTCGTCTGCGGCGAATAAGAACGTCTCTCTAGTAGAGCAACAGAAGCGATTGCAGGAAGAAAAAGCCAAGAAGGCAGCAGAGGACCGCAGGCGGTACGAAGCGCAATATGGAGGCCAGAACTCACAGTTCTGGGATAGCCTGGAACACGGTCGAACCCCGAGCCCCGCGACGGCCCCGATCTCGAAATCCGTATCGCCACAAGCAGACAACGACGATGACGATATACTGGCTGCATTTAGCGCCGCTGCTCCCGTTGATGCATCGACAAACTTCCCAGTCCCGAGTTCCAACGCATCTCCCCGGGTTGGTACGAATTCGCGGCAAGGCACACCTGGTGGGGGCATTACGATGCAGGATAATTCCGGGGGCTTGGGCGCATTTGGTGACGACGATGACGACCCATTTGGACTCAATAAGTTGAAGCCCAAGACAGCACCGGCTCCGTCGCAGGCGGCAGCAGACGACGATGATTTCCTTGGACTACTTGGGAAACCAGTGTCAGAGATCCCTCGCCCGCAACCGCCTCCGGAGAGGGCAGTTTCCTCCAATCGTGACCGCGAGGATCAGTCCGCTTCTCCTATGCCTTCGAACGAAGTTGACCGGGCGATTGCAGAACTGGTGGATATGGGATTTCCCGCGGATAAATCACGGCAAGCCCTGAGGACTACAGAGTCAGGAACCAATGTCCAGGCGGCTGTCAGTTGGCTTCTCACTCAAGCACATGCCGAGTCAAGGCAGAAATCCCAAGGGCAATCTCCTGCACCCACTCAATCCGGTACGGAACGAAGTGACGGTCGACACCGCGATGCCCCTTCCTGGGCGAGGGAAGGTAGATCGCAACCTCCTCGGTCGCGTGATGACAGTCGAAGCCCCGGAGTTGGAGAGAAAGACCCTGCTCAAATAGCCTCTCAACTTGGCAACAATCTATTAAAGACTGCTGGGTCTCTCTGGAAGACTGGAAGCAAGAAATTCCAACAAGCCGTGAACGAATTCAATGCCGATAATGAGCCCAGCCAGCCCAAGTGGATGAAGGATGCATCTGCGCCTCGCGACGAGCCGTTCCCTCAACAGCCGCCCCGGCGCGCTGGTGAGAGAGACCAGGCGCAAGCGCAGCCCCAAGACTTGACTAACGAGGCTCTGCTTTTGGAAGCTCGCGATTCGGGACCGCCTCGAAAGCCTGCTCGCCCGCAGGATCACCGCCAACCTACCCCCTCAAGCAGTGATCCGCGTCGCCAGCCATCTCCAGCCACTCAACAGATGCAACAGGCCAACTTCCTACAGCGGCCATCACAACCAAATTCGACCGAACCCAAATCTCGTCTGTCCCGATTTGCTGCCGAGGAGCAGTCGGCGCAAGCATATGTTAGCCCAGCTAGGCGGCGACGGCCTCAAGCGCCACCACCAGCAGCCGAGCCCAACGTCGATCTCTTTGATTCTCCTCTCCCCTCGTCACAGCCATCAAACCGAACCTCCCCACCTCAGGCTCGACCGCCGCCCGCGCCTTCAGCCTCTATTCCAGTGCGCTCCAAGGCCCCGCCTCGGTCCATACCGCGCGTATCTGCAGAGGCTCTGCAATCGACTCACCGCCATCGCGAGAAAGCTGCAGATGCGTACAAGCGGGGCGACTATGCAGCTGCACACCAAAGTTTCTCTACTGCACTCGGCATGCTCCCTGATCAGCACCCGATCACGATTATTGTTCGCAGTAACCGAGCGATGACCGGTCTGAAGATCGGTGAGCCCAAAGGCGCTATCGACGATGCTGATATTATATTGAAATTGATCGGGCCGTCCAAGGGCGAGGATGAGTCAATTGACCTCGGCAACGGCGAGACCGCCAAGCCCATGAAAGACTTCTTTGGCAAGGCGCTGACTCGGAAGGCCGAAGCTTTGGAACAGCTTGAACGATGGGCAGACGCAGCCCAGGCGTGGAAGTTAGCCGTGGAATCCGGCCACGGCGGAAGTACTAGCATCCAGGGCAGGAACCGATGCGAGAAGGCTGCTGGAATCAGCAAACCTCCCTCGAAACCCGCAGCCCCGGTCAAAAAGAGGTCAACACCCGTACCCAAGAAGACGTCTGCGCTGTCAGATCTCTCTGGCGGTGCTGCTTCCGGCCAAGACTCGGCAGCTGTTAGTCGACTGCGGGAGGCCAACGAGGCCGCCGAACGTGCCGACGAAGAGAAGTTCGCTCTTACCGATAGTGTCGATGCAAAGATCGCGGCATGGAAGAATGGCAAGCAGGATAATCTGCGTGCCTTGCTTGGTAGTCTCGACACTGTGCTCTGGCCCGACTCCGGCTGGAAGAAGATTGGCTTGTCGGAGCTGGTCTTGCCCAACAAGGTCAAGATTCAGTACATGAAGGGTATTGCAAAGGTTCACCCTGACAAGGTATGCTCTTGTTCTTTTCTTGATTCGCCGGTGTCTGTGGATTATTTTTACTAATTGCGGCTGCTTAGATTTCTACGACTGCCACCACCGAACAGCGCATGATTGCTGGCGCTGTGTTTGGAACGCTGAATGAGGCCTGGGACAAGTTCCGAGTGGAGAACAATCTGTGATGTCGGCAATTTGGTTTGCTGAACGCTGGTCCTGTGGCAGCGTTTCAATTGAATTTTCTGAATTGTGAAGCCTCTTGTCACATATTGTCTTCTTTAAGAGCATCTTTTTTCTAGAACATAGCCCATTTATGGCCTCCAATGGTCAATATGCACATGAGATTATGACTACAACCATCCATTGTATTGTATCTAAGAGATGGTCATAATATCTCAAAAAGATGATGCTGACTTTAAGTTATCCTACAATCGGGCAGGTTATCCTTTTAGGCACAGACAGATCAGGATTGTTGATACGGTCAAAAAGTAACAAAACGCTTTTGTCAATGATTTATGTTAGAAGTACACCTTGTGATATGCATTAATATAAAGCAAGCGGATGATCATGCCTCGCTGCTCTCCGTCGATTGCTGTTTTTTCTGGTCTTCCTCTTCTTTTATTTCTCGAAGACGCAGCTCCTTGAACTCCTTCTTCTGCTGCTTCCGGCTCTTGGGTACCTCCTTCGTTTCCGCCTCTAGCTTATCTGAAGGCCACTTTTGTCGGCATTTCTGTTCGTCTTCCTCAGACCAATCTCGAGGAAGGATGGCGAATACCAAGTAAGAGGTATGCGTCTTGATCTCCGGCTCTGTCCGATGCACCAGTCGACCCAAATTATATGTAATGGCGGGTTGCTCCTTGGGGCTATTGGCAAGTTCTTCCAAGATAGAAGTGTCTACCCGAGTGCCTTCAGCATGGGCTAGTCGCAGCTTCTTTGCTCGTTCTTCGTCGCTTCGAAGCTTGGTCATGGCCTCGTCTACTGACTTGGGATGAACAGTGGCTCCACGTACACCTTCACAATCTAGTCCGATACGGTCTCGCTTCACATCGATTCGGTTGTGATTGACCTCGACCATGGAAATATCCAGCCATCCGAGCTGGCGCATCAGGCGGATGGTGCGTTCGACTTGCTCCAAGCACGGGGAGAATGTGCACAAGTAGGCGGTCGAGGAGGGATCAAGGGGAGATTCACTTCCAGAAACCGGCTTACGAACCAGGTGTTTCAAAGCAAGCCATGGAGCAGGCAAGTCCAAGAAGATGGCACTCGCTTTGGGTGACCGGCCGGTCTTGGGGTCGCCCAGCAAGAAACCATCCTCGTAAACATCGCGATGTGTTACCTCCACTAGTCCATCTAGGCCGTGTTCTGTGATCTCCTCCTTGACCCGGGCCGCTCTTTGCTCGTGGAACTCGAAACTGCACACCTTGCCTAACCTCCGCTTCTTAGTCGCAGACTCTTCGTTGGGGTATCCATTGAACACGGCGCGAACTGCCGCATGCGTGAACGAGCCACTGCCAGCTCCGGCTTCGATGACCGTACCACCGGCACGCGCGAAGTCGATGGAGGATATAGCTGTAATCGGGAGTGTAGACGACCTGGGTTCGATGTGGAAGGGACAAAGTCCAGGACTCGGGTGTTGGGTACATGAGGTGGAGGAAACCACTTGAGGCGGCCTCAGGTTTCTTCAAGGAAGAACTGTCCTCCTCTGCGCCTGTCGTGGTGCCCGATGCTTCGAGCTCCTCAGCTTTGCGCTTGTTGCTGGGCTTGCGGCCTCGGGAACCAGTATCGACCTTGGAGGCGATGATTTGAGAGCCCCATGGCTGATTGATCAAAGTGCTGTGCGGGAACGAGCCGAAACGAGTATTCGAGACCTTGCCTTCTTTATAGCCCAGGTTCTGGTCGTCTGTAGCGCGGAGGATCGTCGGGATAGTCTGGTCGCGGCGCAGATGCAAAAGCGCGACATCGTCGGCGTGCGCAAATGTTCCGGGGGTCAAGAACGGAGACGGCATGGTGGACGAGCTGGACGACTGGGCGCTGGGAGCTATTTCAGCGCCGTCCTTGTGAAAGTCGATCGCGCTGGAAAAGATTCCAGGTCGAGAACGCCGCAGCTTTGCGCGGAGAAAAAGCTGGGCCGTATTTCCTATTTGGGTAGTTAGGGCTCAGGGCTCCGCAAGGAGTGCAACGCAGGGGCCAATCAGGGCCAATCAAAGGGACAAGCAACGATGACTCGATGGACTGACTCTTTTGCCTTGCCCCTCTTGTTTGGTCCGCTCTCTCTTTATGCCCCTCCTTCTCTCTCGCTCTTTCTTCCTGCCCAAGTCGCGGTTTCTGTTTTCCTCCATTTCAGTCGTCTCCGTCAGGCCCATGTCCTCTCGTCAACAGCCGCCATGGCGGCAGCCTCCTCAGCGGCGGGAGTAGAGCTCCCGTCGTTGCAGATTTGGAACTCGCTCACCAAGTCAAAGACGCCCTTTGTTCCGATTGACCCAGCTGGAAAGAAGGTCTCTTGGTACGCGTGCGGACCGACAGTCTACGACGATTCGCATTTGGGCCATGCCCGAAACTATGTCAGCACCGATATCATTCGGCGCATCATGCGCGACTACTTCAAGTTTGATGTCAACTTTGTTATGAACATTACAGACGTCGATGACAAGGTATGGCAGTGATTCTTTGCCTCTACCTCCCCACCCCCTCGAGCGCAATGACTCATACATTCCATAGATCATTCTTCGTGCCAGACAACAGTACCTTTTCAACGAATACGTCGCCGTAAACCTGACAATTACCCCAGAGGTCTTGGACACGGTCAAGAAAGCATATGCCGCATACCTGAAGAAGAACTTGTCCTTGCTCGATCCCGAACTACCCGCCGCACAATACCAGAAGGAGGTCGAGAAGGCATATGCGACGGTCCTGAGTGGTGGTGCTCTGCCGGGCAATGAGAAGGCCGGTGATGATGAGGCTAAGGTCAAGATGCACATCAAGACTGTGGCTTCCGCTGCAGCAGTTCTGAGCAAGGCAGAGGGCAGCACTGCTGGCGACCCAGCATTATTTGCAGAATCCTTCTACACCAACGCGCAGGATGTTCTGCTGCCCTATTTGGACTCTCTGAAAGGCTCTTCAATTGACGCCGATGACCACAGCATCTTCACAAAGTTGACAAAAAAGTACGAAGACCGATTCATGAAGGATATGCGAGATCTGAATGTCCTCGATCCGGATGAGCTCACTCGCGTGACGGAGTATGGTGCTGAAATTGCCGATTTCGTCGAGCGCATTGTCAAGAACAAGTATGGTTACGTCACTGAAGATGGTTCTGTCTACTTTGATATCAGTGCCTTTGAGGCTGCCGGCCATCCGTATGCTCGCCTGGAGCCCTGGAGTCGTTCTGATAATAAGCTGGCTGCCGAGGGCGAGGGCTCTTTGATTACAAAGACTACGGAGAAGCGGAGTGCTTCTGACTTCGCGCTCTGGAAGTCTTCCAAGCCCGGAGAGCCGAGCTGGTCCAGCGCTTGGGGCAAGGGTCGTCCTGGATGGCACATTGAGTGCTCAGCCATGGCCTCGGCCCGCCTGGGTAAGCAGATGGATATCCATTCGGGGGTATTGATCTTGCTTTCCCGCACCACGATAATGAGCTGGCTCAGAGTGAGGCATACTGGGATGATGGCCACCAGCATGAGCAGTGGGTCAACTACTTCTTGCACATGGGCCACCTGTCCATCCAAGGCTCCAAGATGTCCAAGTCGCTGAAGAACTTCACTACGATCCGGGAAGCCCTCGACCGGAAAGATTGGACGCCCCGGAGTCTGCGCATTGTCTTCCTTCTCGGTGGCTGGAAGGAGGGTTGTGAGATCACCGATGAGCTGGTTAGCTCTGGTAACGCTTGGGAAGACAAGGTGAACAACTTCTTCCTTAAGATGAAGGATGCGGCTGCTCTTCAGGGCTCAGCTACCGATACTACCTTTGGCGCTGATTTGGATGCCGCCAAGGCTGCCGTGCACAAGCACCTCTGCGACTCTTTCAACACACCCGGTGTCATGCAAACCATCTCTGAGCTCATTACCAAGTACAACAGCGCTGACAAGGCTATCCTGAACCCCAAGGACGTCGAGGCTGCTGCCCGCTGGGTGACCTCGCTCGTCAACATGCTTGGCTTGAATGGGGCTACACCTGCCGACAGCACTGAGATCGGATGGTCAGGCATCGACGTTCCCGAGGAAGCCAAGCCATTCCTCTACCCACTTTCTTCCATGCGGGATACTCTCCGTCAAGCGGCTCGCTCCAAGCAGGGCATCTCACCGCAGCAAATCGAAGAGGCTGTTAAGGAAACTTTGCCATCCGAGGTTATCGAGTCAGCGAAGCCCTACGCCGAGGTTTTGTCCAACTTCCGAAGCAAGGTCTCCTCTCTCAAGTCATCCGACTCGGCCGGCAAGGACATTCTCGCCCTTTGCGATCGCGTCCGGGATATTGACCTGTTCGACCTGGGTATCTACCTCGAGGATCGGGACAACCTCCCTGCACTTGTCCGTCCCGTCACACGGGACATGATCCAAGCTCGGGAGGAGAAGGAAGCTCGTGCCAAACAGAAGCTTCTAGAGAAGCAGAAGCGCGAACAGGAAGCTCTGAAGCAGTTGGAGAAGGGCAAGCTGAGCCACCTTGAGATGTTCCGAACCAACGAGTATAGCGCCTGGGACGACGAAGGTCTACCCACACGTGATGCTGCTGGCGAGGAACTCACCAAGAGCCGCACGAAGAAGCTCCGTAAGGACTGGGAGCGCCAGAAGAAGGCGCATGAGGCGTGGCTGGCTAGCCAAGCCAAATAGGGTATCACTCAGCACCAAAAACCTTCTATTATGTTGTTTAATTTTCGCGGTTATCTCGGGTGGTTCTTCGGACATGCATCGCGGGGCGTTCATTTTGGTTTATAGTGTTGGCACAAGTACATCTATAAGCATGTATCTGTTCAAGACAATTTGTTTCCCTCGTAAGCGTTTAGGCTAAATCTGCTTCCACATTTCGGAGTTGGAGATGTACATACACCTCTTTTTCGACCGTCAATTGAGTCAGAGATCGGACATGTCTGCGTATGTGACACAGAGCCGTGGTCATTGGCTCGTCGGACCATCTCCGACGCAGGCTTGTCACGAAGCCACTGGCTTGGACAGGCAGGGCGAGTCTCGCCCCTCTCCACATTGTTCTCGGCGCATGGGGACACCGGGTAACTTGCCTCGTTGGGTACCCCCACTGATTGCAGGCGTTTAGAAAGAGGAGGTGGGATGTGTACTGCGTCTCTTGCTAGGGAGTATCCTTTTTCCGTTCTCCATCTCTCAACTCTTGTTCTACATAGATTCCCAGAGCCAGGTATCCATCAAACAATCATCGTTTCTCCCTTTATGGTTCATCGCTCCATCCAAGATGACGACTCAAAGTGGCTTTGATTACATGCGCTCGAGCACCCTTGTGGACTGTGATACCTTGGATGATGAAGGTATGTGTTCCCAACCAGCAAACTTGATCATTTTCGCCCTGACGATGTAAAGTCGCCAAAACTCTAGGTCCTTTCCAAGACTGCACGTCTAACCAGGTGAGGATATTGGTGGACACTATGTGGACACTATAGCTGCTCTCTACTTGTGTAAAACTGACACTTTGTTCGAGGCCATCGCATTCGGAGAGCTCTCCAAGCCTGCACGGTCCGAGATCACGGCAGTATCCAAGGCTGATGCTAAGGCTTTACATTCCAAGTACTCTTCCATCAGCGTTGAAGAACTGGCCGTGGAGATTGCGGTAATAAGAAGTCTCGATCCTCGTTCTACTTTAGTACCTATCGACTGATGAACAGATAGATGGTGCGCCTTGCTGTTGGAATGGCAAAACACATTCGTGGTCTCGTCCACGTACAAATCAATCCGTACCATTCGTATTCCTCCGAGAGGACAGTTGTGAACGCTCTTCGTATGTTATTTTCATTCCTACTTGACTCACCAGCAGTATGTTGACAGCTAGCCAATAGGAATCGTGCAGCTATTTCAGCACGTGCAACCCGGTTTCGATGGCACTCGCATTGCTATCAAGATCCCGAGTACCTGGGAAGGCATGCTGGCATGTCGCACGCTCGAACTAGCCGGTGTTCGTACCCTTGCCACTACTCTGTTTAGCATGCCGCAAGCCGTACTTGCTGCTGAAGTGGGCTGTACATATGTGGCCCCGTATGTGAACGAGCTCAAGGTCCAGGTCAATGCAGGGTCAGCATTTTCCCCGACATGAGCGAAATATTTTGAACTACATTGCTGAATGCTCTCATAGTATTGTGGATGACCAAAAGCTGCTATCTCTCTGCGTCGCCATTCAGCAATACTACAAGTCTGTTCAAGCCCCGACCAAGGTTCTACCGGCGAGCTTGACATCGACCGAGGAGATCTTTATGCTTGCTGGGGCGGACCATCTCACGATTGCACCTCATTTGCTGGCACAGTTGACACAGCCCATGTCCATTGATGTCAAATCCTTGTTTGATTCTGCACCACTCGAGCCCGTTCCGCTGCCAGGTACATCGTATATTCATGACCACGGTCGATACCAGATTACATTTGTTCGGGACAGAGGCGGCGCCAGTCAAAGGAAACTAACCGAGGTATGTAAAGAATGTAGTGTATGAATCAAAAGGGGTTTTGCTAACTAGGAAACGCTGAATTAGGCAGTCAACATTTTCTGTGATTTCCAGGACAAGCTGGAAAGTATGATGAAAGCTGTAGCTTGACCGCACAATCTCTCAGTCATTTTGAAGTTATGCATTCATAGTATTCTTTTGAATAAATCTCGACAATTGAGCTCCCATCCACGGTAAGGTTGACTTTACACCCGAAAGAGTCATATAGATTAAGAACACGTGACCACCCGACGTCATCCACTTGGACCCGCGGATTTCTCTAACTTTTCCTCTTCAACAATTGCATTAGCTTGGCAAGTATCGGGATCGCATCTTATTTGCATTTTTGGTTCCTAAGCTCTGAGCCCTCATACGTGACTTCGCTGCCTCTTCAGAGCGGCATACGTGGCTGGGATTCAAGGTGCATATTTTCCACTAACGCGACATGTTTCCTCCACAGGCGGCCAATCTCAACATCGAGGCTTTGAGTGGCATTTGTGGGTAAGTGACGCTGTTCTGCTTGGAACGCAAAATTGACCAACCATTCCCGTGCGCACGAGGCATTCTGCATGCAAGTCGGTCTAAAATGTCCGATTCGTCGATCTCCCACACCTCAACACATATCTACGGGTTTCCTCAATTCACTAACCTATCTATAGCTCGATCTCAATTGCTTGCTGGGTTGTCGTATTCTCACCTCAGATCATTGAGAATTTTCGCCGTGGCTCTGCCGATGGTCTATCCCTTCTCTTTCTGATCGTCTGGCTAGCTGGTGATGTCTTCAATATTCTTGGCGCCGTCCTACAGGGCGTGCTTCCAACAATGATCATTCTCGCTGTTTATTACACCCTTGCGGATATTGTTCTTCTAGGGCAATGTTTCTACTACCGGGGCTTTAACATTCGGGATGAATTCTCTTCATCACCGTCTCCGGAACCCGGTCCGGTCGCTACTGGTGCTCTGGACAGCGAAGGAAGTACTGTCTCTGAGGTCGGGGTAGCGCCGACAGAACGATCAGCTTTGCTGCCAAAGCCAAATGGACATGTCCAAATTCAGGATCCCGCTGGGAATGCAGCTAAAGCACAAGATCCTCAAGACCGCGCTCGTCCCACGTCGTCCTCGTCGGCACAACGCAGACGACCCTCCGCTTCGTCGTTCAGGGACATTGTGCATCTCCATGTAGATGGGACACACCTGTCCCCTGCGACCCCTTTCATCGAGCCAGACTCCGATAAAGCTCGTTATCAACGACGTCGCCGTCGTATCACTACTATTCAGGCCATTCTCTTCAACACCACAGCCATTGGTCTCGTCTGTGCTGCTGGTATCCTCGGCTGGTACGTTAGCCTGGGATCCAAGAAATCGAAATCAGACCCCGAGCCTCTCACTTTGGACCCTCTTGGTCAGGCCTTTGGATACTTGTGCGCTGTGTTCTATCTCGGCTCACGAGTCCCTCAGCTGCTACTCAATTACCGCCGCAAGTCTACGGATGGAGTCTCTTTGTTGTTCTTCCTGTTCGCCTGTATTGGTAACTTGACCTACGTCTTGTCTATCATGGCATACTCCCCAGTCTGCCAAGGTACAGCGTCAGTCACGAACAGTGTGGACGATTTCTCGCGCCGCTATCGCCCGCATTGCCGTCCTGGAGAAGCGGCAGCCTTATATGGACGTTATGTCCTGGTGAATCTGTCCTGGCTTGTGGGCAGTTTTGGAACTTTATTGTTGGATATGGGAATTTTCGTGCAGTTCTTCTTGTATAGGGATGAGAAGAGTTTGGATGAAGAGTATGATGAAGAGTATGATGAAGAATGAATAAAAATCGCTTATGTACATATGAATGAAGAAAATGATGTGAACAAGGTAGCGCTGCGAGCATGGCTTCATAATAATGCCACTTGAATGAAGTGAAGTGTCCGTACAGTCATTGCTCAAGATCAGCCAAGAAGGAGATGACTGCCTTCGCAAATGCTCTAGCATCATCGCGTCGCTCCTTGGTGTCAGGTCCCACCTGCTCCAAGAAAAGTGCCAACTTGGACTCCTTCCATCCCATGACGGGGGCATTCTCAATGCACATCTTTGATGTCGCAAAAGCGTCCATCTCATAATGACCTTGCACAGTCAGAACTCTGCCGGGGTTGTATAGGCCCTGGATAGGGCAAATAGGGGTACTTCCGATATTGATCCACGGAGCAGGAAGGGAAACTGGTGGCGTATCGGAAAGGGTTACAACCTGGCCTTTTTCCACGGCCATCACACGGTCACCGTGGAACATTTGAATGCGGAGTTGACCTTGCGGAAGGTGGCTCAGCGCGGATGGAAAGTATTTAACGAACTCTTCCTCCAATTGCACAGTATAAATTCCCACTTCACGACCAAGCGGACACTTCTCGACGTACACGTCTCGAACAGGGTCGTTCGGAACCCGCACCAAAACGTGGGAAATCAACTGGTGACCGAAGCAAGTACCCATGAGGCGGACCTCTGGATAGTCGTTGTAGACAGCCTTGATGAACTTTTCCAGGATTTGCATCCAGGGCGACTCGGGCATTTCATACACTCCTGGTGAGCCTCCGGTAATCAGGACTGCGTCGATAGGTTTATATACTGGGAATTGTTCTTGGGTCGCATCACCACGCAGTAAGTGAAAGTCCGGGTAGTGCCCTCCGCGAATATCATATGGAGTAATAGTAATCTCGATTGGGTCGTTGATGGCTGGGTTGTTTTCGTTCAAGTGCGCGGCGGTTTCTTTCAGGATGTCGCGGAAGTGGGCGCTGCAAAGGCCCCGAGCCTCGTACAAGCGACGCGCTGGGATATCGACATCGAGAACGGCAATGTGAATGCTGCGAACCATTTTGATGAACTTGTGAGATATGATAGCCTTTGCCTTTGAAAGCTGAGAAGACAGAGGACGGCGGTAAAATATCTACTCGGTGAAGCCAACGATATCCCGAACATACCAACGACCGAACTCCGACTTCGCATCGGAATTACTTAGGTAAAATTGTTCAAAACTCATAAGGATCCTAGAAAACTGTGAATAATCACAATATTGTCGCGTAATAAAAGTTACCACAGAATAATACGAGTGACCCCAACTGATCGGGATTCATTAGGTAAAAGATTGGATCTGGGGATGTTGACCGAAGAGCTTATTTGGAGCCCCACTTCCTGGGCGCCAGTCAACGAGTGGGAAGGTTCTGATCACTCTGAGCCTAAATTGCATTGGAAATCGATTGTCTAATGATCTTGCGTACAAGAAGAATTTCATACTCCGTGTGGTCACGATTCACCGAAACTTTCGTGTCAGCCACTTGCTACCCCAGATATGGGGCACCAGAGTGGATACATCTGGATGCGTTACATAGAGGTAAAAACTCTGGCCATCAGATGACGGTCTCAAAACATCAGGAATGGAATTTTCTCTGATCGAATCTGTCCTGTACTCCGAAGGTTGCTACCGGGGGTTAAACATCACATCAGGAGCAGCAGACAGGGCAGCATCACATCCGTGGATGAGTCTGTGCATAGAACTCTCGCGCTGAAAAGATACTAGGGTACTTCAAACAGTTATCTAGCTTTGATCTAACCCCAGACCAAATTGCTGCTTCTACCCAATACATCAGCTTGTTCCTCAAAGTTTGCTGTTTGAGGTCGATGGTATCGCAACCGACTCATAATCCTTGCAGTCATAGACCAGCCGGCCCTCAAACCATGTCTTCAAGACAGTAGCACTAGAGAAGTTGCCCTTGCTTAAATCGCGATCTACAGCGATGAAAGTTGCCTTCTTTCCCACTTCCAGACTTCCAGTTCGGTCTTGTGCCCCAACCGCCTCTGCGCCGCTCAGTGTAATGACTCGGCAAAGAATCTCTCCTCCTCGCTCCTTTTTAGACTTTCCGAGCTCCAGAGCCGAGCTTCTACGGCCACCTGGCCAAACTTCCACTCTTTCGACGATGGCAGCAAGTGCGTCAAAAAGGCTTGGTGTTTCTGGCAAAAGCCAATCTGAACCGATGGTCATATGTGCTCCTGTTTCCAAGACCCGATTGAAAGGCCATTTGAGAAGGTGTGGTATCTCCTTGACGACAGGCTCATGGAAAATAGCAGGCGACATTTCAGCAGTGATTCGGTTGTTCGCAAAACGAGGGACATCATCTGTTAAAGATAAAAGTCTCAGTAAGCGAAAGGGCTTCTCGTCGGGACAGATTACAAACTTACCCTCGTGAACTGCACTACAATGCGCAAGCTCATGTCTTGGTCCATTGGGATTGGCCTTTCGAACTCTTTCCAAAACATCTAGCGCCCCTCGAGCCGATCCTTCACCCGCAACATGAAGCTTGCAGGTCATGCCCCGCGCATCATACTTGGTTACTGCCTCCTCCAAAAAGCCCCAGTCAATCACCATGTGCTTCTTCTCCGGGCGTCCCTCTGCATCAAGGTCACACTGGGTGAATTGTGGCGGTAATGGCGCCCCGTCGAGCCAGAACTTGACGAAATTTGTGTGCACATGTTGGCTGCGGAAGCCATTGGCCACGTCTAGTAAGGCGGCAAGACTCTCACGAGGCTCCATGGCAAATGTCTCAGGTGCACAGACAATATGGGTGTAAATGTCTAGGTCAAGGCGGTTTTCCTGTTCCAGTTCCTGGAGGGCATGGAGGTATAACGAGTTGGCGGAGGCCTCTTGACATGAAGTGATCCCATACTTGAGACACATGCGTATACCAAACTCCAAAGCTCGTTTGGCATGGGATAGGGGTGTAATGGGAAGCTTGGAGAAGACCTGGCTCATCGCGTTTTCAGCCACTTCTCCAGTCAGGGTTCCATCAGAACGGCGGACATAAAAGCCACCTGGAGGATCTACTGCATGATTAGGGTCGATGCCTGCCCTCTTCAAACCGGCAGTGTTGAGAAGAATCCGATGACATGAGACCTCCCGCACGAGTACCGGCGTGGTCGGATACTTAGAATCCAGATATTTCCGATCGGGGATACCATCGGGGAAGAAACTCGCTTGATAGAAATTGCCAATTACCCAGTCTCCTGCCACATTGTGATACGCGCAAGCACATATACCATCCTGCAATCGTTGGCCAATATTGTTCGCACCCGAATCGAAACCAATAGATGACTCGTTCAGAGCTTGCATACTGGCGAGTAAAATATGAGTGTGGGCATCGTGGATGCCCGGCATGACAAATCGTTGAGCGAGGTCATATCGGATGAGGTTGCGCGAGCTGGCGATCTTTAGAATCTCCTCTTCGGTACCAATTGCTTCGATTATACCAGTTGCCGATACAATGAAAGCCTGGGCCCATGGCTGGGCAGGATTAACTGTATAGATCTGGCCATTGTAATAGGCTACCGAGTTGTTTGGGCCTGTAGAGGAATACATTTTGAACTAAGCAGGTGGAAAATGACCAGAGCTAGTGTGATACTAAGATGTTTTGCCTTTATAGCCTTCGGCTTTCGGTTCACGACCAGGTAGACCTCGCTTTTGATATACCCCGCACAGCATCGCGGAAGTCGGTCTGGAAGCGGAAAGACGACATGTCAGTTTCTCCACAAAGAATCTAGAGTCGCGACATCCAGGGGTGCTAGCGATGAACAAGTGGGTGATATAGAACTACTCCGCGGAAATAATTCCGGTCTAAAGAGGAGCATGAAGAAACAGCTACTCGGGTTGTACAAAGACAGATCAGAAACAATAACGGAAGAGCAGGTAATAAAGAAACTACGTTAAGATGCAATGACAGTACTAAGATATGCAAGCTAACACCTTTCGCTAGATGCGTGGGTTCATGACAGCAACATAACAACCAAACTCAAAACTCATAGCCACAAATCAAATCAACTGGGAGGGTGAGGCTCCATTTTCTTACTCCCAACCTCCGACCAATTCGTACTGAGGGACGTGCCCTGGCTCTCGATAAAGCTCTTCATCATGGCTCGGCGCGTATCTGGATCAGCGCCCGCGTAGAGTTTCTTGAAAAATCCGTCCACAGCGTCCCCACCAAGATCGGAGTCTACAGATTCCGCATCAGAAGCATCCCCAGCGCCGTCAGTCTCCGCCTTGCCCTTCGTCTCCTTCACTTTCTTGGTAGTCAGCGTTGATGCGAGCTTGTCCCAGTCTTTTGCGCCATGTCGTGACGAGGTCGGGTATGCCGGCCCCGTGCTCGCCGGGGCTGGCGGCGCCGCAGGCCGGTCTGCAAGTTTGGTGATGTTGGACGCTGATCCTTCGAGGGCACTCCATTTTTGACCAGGTGCCTTTTTCTGCAGGACTAGCTCGATTTTGGTGCCCATGACAGAGACTTTGGAAGTGGAAGGGTCGATGGGGGCGTACAGCGGGTCGAGCGTGAAGTCGTAGCCGGAACCAGATGGCAAAGGGAATTGCAGTGACACCTAAAGAGTGATTGTTAGTTCTCTAGAATCACCTTATTAAAGAAGGATAGAACATACCGAGTCATCCTTCAACTCAGTCTCCACACTATCTTTAGAGACCCCCTTCACATAGAGGGTCACCACGACAGAGTCATGGGATTGATACCACTCATGGCGAACCTTTTGCGCAGTCACAACAGGGGAAGCCTCTGTTGATTTAGTCTCAGGTTTTGTCTGATCCGAGGAAGCACCCGATGAGGATATATCCTTTTGATCCTTCTCTTGCACAGCCTTCTCTCCTGCGCCCACTTCCTTTCCTGACTTAAGACTCTCCCATTCGGCCTTGAGTTCCTTCTCAGTCGGTATACGTGTATCCGTAGGAAACTCAATAACAGAGACAGCATTCTTCTCGTCGCCCTCAGCCAGTTCTCCTAACTTGCGGCGAACCTTGGCCATCCAGATGGGCAGCTCAGCTCCATAACCATTCTTCTTGCTCCCAGATCCCCCATCAGCCATAGCAGCTTTCAATCCTTCCGCTTTGTTTTGTGCCTCCTTTTCACCAGATGTTTTGGACTCGATAAGCTCGAACAGGAACTTTGCATCGGCGTAGCGTTCAAGTTGGAATAGCGCCACGCCGCGGCGCATCTGTGCCGATAGAATGAGCTCACGCTTGCCGCGCTCACGGGCTAGCGAGAGTGCAATCTCCGCATCTTGGAGGGCTTCGCGGGACTTGGGTCCACCGTCTGCTGGTTTCACGCGGGAGCGAGCGATAGCGCGTTGGAGGTAGTAGGATGGGGCACGTGGTAGCTCCATCAAGGCGCGGGTGTAGTGTTGAATTGCGAGTGGCGCGTTGGAAGCCGCAAGGGCCTTGTCACCCTCTGCGGCAGCGTTCATGGCGTTGATATTGGGTGAAAAATGGGTTCAATGCCTTTGGAAGAACAGAGTGACTTGGAGAAGAAGGATGGGAGAAAGACCAATCGTTGGCTAAACGCACAGACTGGCGTTGACTCGTTCTAGGGTGCTGTATTAGCGGGGTGTGATTGGGTTGAAGAAACTCCTCCACAAGGCCCTTGCCATATGAGATCCGGAGACAGTCGCGAAAGGAAGAGGTTATAAGAAAGAAGGAGAAGCTCTAGGTTCTACAGCTTTCTAGACAGAGCTCCGGCCCCGCCGCCCCGCCGCGATTACATAACATGCGGAGATCCCCAAGGTTGTTAAATGTGATTTTGTATACAATGAGCTTCAATGGCCCAAATATTATTGATTATTAGTAGGAATAGTACATGTGATCGATGCGGACTTTTGTTTGCTTGTTCGTTCTTTCTTTTTCAAAAATCACTGCAGCTCTTCGTTGCCGAATTGTTTGCTGTACAAGCCAAGGGCACGGATCGGCCAATAGAACTTGTAGTTGGGATAGGAAATCATACTGCAGAAACAAGTCAGCTGAAATGCTATGGAAGCACGGACGGAGATAAACATACCATGACTGATTGAAGACTCCCTCGATGGACTCTTGCAGCCACTCGCCATTACGCTGCTGACGCGACATGAGCAGCTTCATGCCTCGCTCCAATGGCTCCTTGTGGGGGTAGTGGGCCTCCATGAGTGCCAGACAGGCCCATGCGGTCTGAACAACCTGGGACTTCTCATGTTGGACATAGACATGCTTCTCGCTGCTAAGGTAGGATTCACCCCAGCCGCCATCGGCCTGTTGCTTGGAGATCAAAAAGTCGCACCCCCGGCGAGAATTGTCGCTGGTCTCATAGGTCTCGCCAACACTGGCCAGACTTTCCAGGGCAAACATGGCAGCATAGGTGAAACAGATACCCCAAGAGCCATACCAGCTGCCATCCTTACGCTGAGCGCGCTTGATATAACCCACAGCCTTCTCCTTGGCAGCACGGATTTCTTCGGCGCGATAGTCGGGGTAGAACTTGCTGAACAGCGAGAGCGCAGTGACCGAGGCGGTGGTGCATTCAGGATAATCATAGCCAATCATGATACCACCAAAGACCTCGGCGGCATTCAACCATTCAACTTTGGGCGAGGCTCGAGTGGTCTCGTACTCGGTGAAGCCACCAGTAGGATTCTGCATCAACAGAAGGCAATCTACGCTGTCCTTCAGGCGATCCAACGAGATCAATTTGGGGAAGTTGTGCATCTCCTGGAGTTGGATGGTCGATCGCAGACCCTCGGCAGTGCAATCGCTAACCGTGTATCCTTGGGTCTTGGTGCTGAAGGGCCAAGCACCCTTGCGGTGCTGGCGATAGCACTTCTCCTGGTCTGGTACGTTCTCACGTAATTGATGGTCATCAATAAACTCCAGGGCCTTGAGCAACATGGGCCGCCACTTGGGGTCATCGGCAAATCCAGCGACCGAAACTGCTTGTGTGACAAAGGTGGTATCCCACACCTGAACACCATTGGTACCGTTGGCCAACATGCCCTCATTCTTCATCCACATGTAGTCATTCAAGCGCTCTCGGTGTCGGCGAACCGAGTAGCTGTCAGGACCATCGTGAATATAGCAGGCGACCATGTTAAGTGGATTGTTCACGGGTCCCAGCCCCGCGTAATCGGTGTTCTCGTCCTCCATGCGAATCAGCTCCCAGGTCCATTCCTCGGCACGCTTACTGATAGCGTTGATTCGAAGGAACGGATTCCAGATGCGGACCAAAAGTTCGTTAATACCATTCAAGAGCCAAGTCTTGGGATAGTAGTTGTCGGCGGGGTGAATGGAGTTGCGGTGGTTCGCAAAGTTGATGGTGTCATATGGCTGCGTGTAGAGCTCTTCTCGCAGCTGTTTCGTGAAATCATTGAGAGGGAAGGACCATTTCTTGGACCAGATATAAGACAGAGGCAAGAAGACCTGGCGGATATGAATCCACCATCTCCAAGGAGCGAAAGGCACCCAGTCGGGAAGAAGCCTGACCAAGGGGTTAGAGGTAATTCGATGATACTTCCACTGACGACATACCAAATCTCAGGGGGAACGGGATTGACACCCTCCCACTCCATTACACCCAAAATGCTGAGCCAGGCTTTGGCCCAGTGAGGACCGTAAATAGCACCACCGAACTTGTGCAGAAGTCCTCGGGCCTTGATCATACGAGGATCATCCTCGCTAACTCCAACAATGCGCAGCGCCACATAATTCATGGCAGTTCCAAAGACGGAGCTGTGAGCTTCGATGTGAAGACCCCAACCGCCATCTTCCGGGTGTTGACGAGCAAACAGATAGCGCTTGATCTCCGTCGCATACTCCGGAGGAATAGGGGTGTTAGTCACATACCAGGTGATCAACAGGCCTGGCAGTAAAAACATGGGCCCACCATACTCGCAGCCCCAGTTACCCGGCTCGAGTTGCAAGTGCGAGAAGAATGAGAGGCCATTCTCGGCAGCTTGGAGAGGTGTCTTGGCTTCAGCCAGCTCGGGGAGCCCCTGGAAGATATAAAGTTAGAAGTGAGAATAAAACACCCAGATTCAGTGACCTACAGTTGGCAGCCCAAGGTTGTATTTGTCTGCAATTGTCTGTGGCCAAGCTTCATTTTCCTCATCGGATTCCAGATACCGCCAGGTCTGGCGACCTTCCTCATTGACCAATCGCCAGCGAGTATAGTCGGTCTTGAGGTCGCCATTACTGTCGGGCTTCAGATGGCCCTGAGCAGAGCTCCTCCAAGGACCAATGTGTGAAGCCATTGTCTGCAAGACTCGGGCAATTGAGAACTTGAAAGATGTCGAATGTTGGAGCTCTATCGATTGGCGATAAAGCGGATAAACATCTCGGGGGCCTGGGGTAGCTGACTCAGCAGGTCTCAAGACTGCCGTGTATAACCAAGAACAAGGAGGCCCAACTATGCATGTGATAATTGTTATTGAATAGAAAAAGAAAATCTTCAATAAATGCAGTTGACTTGAATCTATAGAAATATAGCTTTCAAATTGTTAGTGGATGAATGCCAGTTGCGTGGTGGCCTCTTGACGATATATCTCTCGTCCTGGAACAATATTCTAAAAGCACACACAATGTAAGCCTCTCGAGCGAGTACCCCAGACATGCTAATGTTTACTCGGCAAAAGACCAGACAGATGCCTAGGTCCGCATTCCAGCGTGCGGGGAACTTGCGAGGCGCCTAGATAGAGTCCATGGGCGAAAGCACTACTCGGGTTTGAACAAGACATGCGAGCAGGTGTACCTATGATTTATCAACTCGAAGCATATTTGATACTCTCATGACCGAACGAGATAGCCTAAGGCTGTTGGAAATGTTTGGGATGGTGTACTTATGAAGGAGACTTCAGTACGCCATGAAAATGGGATATACACAGGCAATATTGCTGTCACACTGATCATCCTCAACAAAGTCAAATTGTAAGATCAACCACCGTACCTACATGCATATTCATTCCATCCAAAGCCAAACGACAGCATTTCAGAACATTCAATTTGTGTGAATGATTGAGCAACACCTGTAGTTATAGAGGGCCATATGGGGGAGGTCACGTTGTCACGTTATCCAACCTAACTTCAACTACGACAACTTCCAACCATATCCCACCTCCTCCACTGGGACAGTCATTGGCGTCAGCCGTGACAATGGCTCTCAATGCCATGTCCATGTCAATCCCCTCAGACCTGAATTTGGACGAGAGCCAAGGTTTGGTCCGCAATTATATTGACGGCGTCCTCGTCGACCTCCTCCACCAATTGACCCAATACCCATTCGAAGGGCAACCATCAATCACCCTTCGTTGCAGGCCACGTGCAGCAACATGTGCGATAAATCCACGCAATGGGGCTCTTGAGACAGGTCGCAATGACCTCGCATACCGCTCATTTTCATGGCCGGGACGCACAGCATATGAATCATGGAAATTCAGTATGTAGACTGGTCTTCGTGATATATTCGTCCCAGAACCGCTGTTGAACGGATGCTAATAGTCATCACATCTAGCGGTGATCATTCGAGTATTGGCTATAGTTGATCAAGCTTTGCGAACAGGACAGTTGATTTCAAAAAGGTGAGTTCCGATATCAGTTCAAGCCCGAGGCGATATGAGCTCGACTAATTTTGATTGCTCGCCTCTCAGAGACATATATTATATCGACCCGGCATATTTCGGATCACAACAGACGGTCAATGATGTTGTCGATGACCTTGCTTTTACTATTGGCGTCGACCGAGCAGCACTGAATGTGGTAAGTCCGTCGTTGGCCCATCCTGCCATGCGAGTGGAAATAAAACCGCTCATGGCGATTCATCCCTAGGAAGCAGCTGGCAAAGGTTTGGTTGCTGGGTGCTTTCGTCTGAGCCGCGAATCATCGATTATCATGGATGCCAGTGTCGCCCATGTAAGTGCCCCACGGTGTCTCCTACCTACTGCAATAGACCATAACTCTGATATGGCAGGATACTACGATTCCCCGGATTGAAAGCACTGACGAGATTGATATCTCCGGTGCTCGGTGGGTGTTTATCATTGAAAAGGAGGTATGTCTCGCCTCACTCCAACTCAATGCCACAGGGTGGGTATTGGCTGACTAGTCTTTCAACCGAAGGCAGTCTTCCACCGACTAGTTCGGAGCAGCTATCCCACCCGGGCCATCATGGGTGATGGAATCTTGATAACTGTAAGTAAAGACGATTGCCTCAGGTCAGTGTGAAACCGTTCATAACAAATTGATCCTCCAGGGCAAAGGGTACCCCGATATCAGCACTCGCGAGTTCGTCCACCAACTCTGGGTCGCTTCCAGCAGATCCGACAGACCACCGCGTTTCTATGCCTTGGTCGATGGAGACCCTCATGGAATAGCAATAATGTCGACATGCAAATATGGATCAATCAAGCATCTTCATGAGAACGCAAGGCTGAGCCTGCCGGGACTGGAATGGCTGGGATTGAAAGTAGCAGACGCCATACTGGCATCAGAGTCACCAGGTGCTAATGAGATCCTCTCTCTTACGACCAGCGATCGAAGGAAGATCCTCGCCATGTTTCGCAATAACCCGGTGTGGTCGAACGATGGACCGGAGCCCGAATGGCGTGCAGAGTTACAGCGTATGTTACTGTTGAATATCAAAGCAGAGATTGAGATGCTTTACGAGCGTGATGGCGGGCTTGAGGCGTGGATTGATCGAAAATTGTTTCGGCAGGAATGACCAGCGTCTGCGATATTGGTCAAAGGCAGCCTGTATACTATAGACTTAAAAAGTATGGTGGTATCCAACCATCAAGCATCGAACGAATATAGGCTATCAGTGGAATATCAAGTGAATTCTTCTCTTCCAATGCTCGACATACATACAAGTGAGGGTGTAACGGAAACAATCACCAGCCAAGCCATGCAAAACTCAAGAAATCATGTCCCGACGCCAATCATCAAAGCGTGTTCTTCATCTGAACCAGCACCTTCCGGTCTGATATATTTTAGAGACCCAGTCCCCTGCGCACTTCATCGCGAACCTTCTGTTCATACTCAGATCGTCGCTCGCGCCACATCTTGGCTGCCTCGACGTTGGCAGGACTCTCGTCGTTCGGTTCGGCGAGCATACTCATGACTGAGATGAGAATCTTCTCCACACTCTGAATGGGCGACCAGCGCTCGGAGGCGTGTTCATAATGGTTCGGGTCATCGCCAGGAGGGTGAAGGATCGAGATGCAGACGGTTCCGTTGGGGTATACTATATCGTGAATCAAAAGAGTGTCAGTTCGGCTCAAAGAGATGCGTTTCAACATAGCGTAGAGCTATGACGTGGTCTGGGGTTCGCAAACGCCTACCATTTGGATGCCACACACCACCCCCAACGAACTTCATAGTCGGAGGGCTTAGAGGATAATCCTTGGGGAACTTGAGCTCAGCTGCGAACACACCACCCTCGAAGGGAGTGCCTCCGGGACCCTCGATCAGAGCTTCCCAGTAGAACATGTCATCCTCCGAGACGGGGCCAGCCGTGATGCCCTCGGGCGGGTTTGTGGATAGGTTCTTGTACTCGTGGAAGAGGCGTTTCTGGGCGACCGAGGAAGCCATGACTGCTAGAGGGGAGATCGGGCAGAGTCGTCAAAGGTGGTCGAAGTGGGTGGGTTCTGCACGCGACAAGGAGGATGGGTTGGATTCCGCCGGGTGGCGAGTCGGGAAATTTCCGCACTGGTTGGGGACGGAGACTCGGAATGAAGTCTATAGTATGGCAGTGAAAACCTTAAGCCACACCAGAGACTGAAGTACAGAAGTATAGAGATTTGAGCGTGGATTAACAAGAGTCGAAGCAGGAGAAGAAGGAGGGTTTAACAGAACGGGCAATTCGCGGGGTGCGCCAATGCTGGCCGCCCCACTGCCGGATCCCGACGTAATTCCACAGTCCATCTACGGAGTATAGTCCTTGGAATTTCAGAGTCTATTCAAGGTATCATGTCATAGTATACAAAGCTTAATGATTTGATAGTTAGAACCAGTCAAAATCATCCCCACCTCCTTCATCTGATCCTTCATCACCCCACGGATCAACAAATTCGTCTTCAGCCGAAGGGTCCACCGGCGGTTCCTCGGCCCATACGTCTTCAGACTGGCCAGGCTGCCCTGGGGATTGCTGGTCGGATGGCGGCATCGCAGCTTGGCCAGGGGCAGGCGTCTCAGGAGCCTGGTTGGCCGACATGCCCCTCTGCATGGCTTCATAGCCAGCCATGGCGCCAGCGCCCGCAGCGCCGGCTGCTATGCCATCTGCCATGCCACCAGCAGCGCCTGCCCGTCCGAGAGTACCAGCTGCCACCTCGCCAAGAGCACCAGCTTCTCCAGCAGCTGCACCGCCAGCAGCAGCACCCCCGGCAGCTCCAGCGGCCTCTCCAGCGGCCGCTCCTCCAGCCGCAGCCTCTCCGCCAACTCCGGGGAACCAAAGGGGCAAGAAACCAAATCCACCCGACCCACTGTGACGGCTGAAGTAGTCGAAATCAACACTGACGGCTGTAGCGAGCATCACTGCTCGTTGATCAAGGGTCATTCCAGGGGCGGAATTGCCCTGATTTGCTAATGCCTCGGTGGTCGCTCCAGCAGAATCCATACGCAATGCGTAAACACCCGTATCCGTGAAGATTTCCCGAGCAAATCCGGCAAAGTTGCGGTTCACGGATCCAATCAGTCGGTTCTCTGCCGAAAGGAGAGAGAAGTCCCAGGATAGGAATGGCTCGTTGACGTAAGCAAACTGGTTGAATTCACCTTGACCCTGACTTGAAACCTGGGCGAGCTGCATTTGCTGTTGTTTTGATAAGCCGGATTCGGCAAGAGCGAATCTCTGAGTACCCATGTCCGTCGCAGAGTTGGGCGACTGGTGATATGTGAACAGATTGTATTTTCGCCGTAGGGGTGCCCATTGCTGCTGCGCTTCACCAATAACACGCATCTGAGCAAAGTCGAGCGGGGAGACTTGTGCATTCGATGAAGCCTCAGCTTGGACCAAGCCACCTGGAGTCGTCGTTTGAACGGATGAGTATGTGGAAGAGCTAGCGTTGGTATCGAGAGGATCGTAGACTAGAATTCGAGAGTTGATCCACGAGAATGGACGATTGAACTGCAGAAGTCCGTTGGTCAGCGCTTGAAATAGTATTGATTAGAAGCCCAGCTTACCCGTAGCACCTCATTCTCATGTCTATCAAACACATGAGTCACGAAGCTCCGATGTGTGCGGAACCATTGACGCGCCATGGCATTGGCCATGCCCTTCTCTTGCTCCGCCATATACCCAATGTGATTTCCCTGCGCATCCATGATGACATACTTGTTCGCTTGCTCGAAGCCGCTTGGAGGAACGTGTCAGCATTGCAGCCTTGTGTGATATAGAACAAATTTCGCTTACATCATGACATTCATTAACTCTAGCTGGCGCTGTACAACCAATGCTGAGTTGGCCAGGAGTTTCGTCGCTGGATGCGTTTCTTTGAGAACGCCATTGGGGTCTTCTGGAAGATAGACAGGCGCGAGGAGGGTATTTTGCGAAGGGTCATAGTTGGGATTTGCTGTATCCTGGGACTCTGAGACTGGAGTCTCTGGTTGCTGCGGCGTTTCATCTGATTTCTGAGCTTGAGGAATTCGTCCCGGCCGTACGATGCTGCTGCGCGGACCGAAGCGATTGTTTTTGCCGCGAAGAGTCGATAGAGGCCTGCGGATTGGAAGGCCTCTTAACGAAGGGGAAACGAGCCTCGGGCTCCACATGTCGATGGCTCGATGGCTCTGAGTCTTTAATGCTGGTTGTTGTGGTAAAAGTACGAGGAGGGTTCGATGGGAAGCTGGTGACGGCGGGAAAAAAGCCGCAAGTGTAGCTAGACACTGGCGATGACGGAAGATCGCCCGCGGGGTTAAGCGGATTTACCGCCACCTTAACGAGAACCAGGCCCAAGCCATTTTGCATCCTACACAGACTACCTGATTTCCAGAAGAACTGGTACAGGGGCAGTTCAAAGTTCAAACGTCCAAATCTAGAGACCAAGACAAAAGACCATCTAAATACGATCCAACTTTCGTTTCGTTTGAGAAGTCTTCTGGATGTCTTTTAAATTGTCTTTCAATATAGACGTAGCATCATTCCGCAATTTATCTTCCAAGTAGCTCATCGTTCTTCGGCCAGTAGTTTCTGCGTATCTAGGCAAATTTTGCAGCCATATAGTTCACTGGTACAAATCATGGATATGGCAACGCGCAATATACCAATATAGAGTTGAGGCTGCGCCTCGCTGGAACTGCATGTCTGGAAGTCTTGTGACCGCAGTTACCGAGGAAAGAGATCTTGAACAAGGGTAAATATTCTGCAATTTTAGAGGTCCTGCGAATAGCGCGTATAGGCCATATAATTGCAACGCTAGCATCCAGCAATCTCACAGAAGGCCCTTGCGAGCTAGCTCGATCTTTCGGGCCGCCTCACCAGCCTTGAATCCTCCCTTGGACACGCAGATCGCGCTTCCTTCTCCTAGCTCAACCTTTTCTTCGACATCAGGGTGCGCGCATGGACAGTGGTGGGGGAAGGAGACGCATGCGAGAGTTCCAGGGCAAAGGTAGTTGCTGCATTGCGCTGAATAGGTAGATGCGTGGTCAGTAAATTGCAAGCGAGATCATGGATATGCCCTAAGCTTGGGTAAAAGGGACTCACATTGAGCCCACATTTTCTGGTACCGACTGCTATCGCTGGGGACATTCTGAGAGCCCTGATGCTGGGCTTGTTGTTGCTGGTTGCCGCCAAACATGTGCTCGAAGAATTGGAACTGGGCCTGGGCCACAGCGGCCAACAAGAAAAGAGCCCACAGACTCGGTAGCAAGTTGCGCAGCATATTGGTTATGGAAAACCGCCTGGACAATTTTGAGTTGTTAAAAGCAAATTGCCGAATGAATGTGGAATGGTTAGAGGGGCCTATAGATGAAGCCAGTTTACAGACTGGGCACGTGACGCCAAGCCTTTACCTCCGAGAAAAAGTTCCCCTTGTAGCTTTCACCTCCGCATCTCGACCTCAACTCCAATTGCCAACAATGTTGCAACCCAGACTTCTGGCGCCCATGCGGGCGCTGGAACGGGCCATTGCTCCCTCACTCCGATCAGCTCAAAGCGCCTACAGGCCGCAATCCATCCTCCCACGGTCTCTTACCGCATCGTTCTCCGTCCCGAAGACCACACCCTCTATTCCTCGCACCCTCCTCCCATTCTCACAAGTGCGTTTCGCCTCGCACGCATCCCAAGGAACTGCCAATCGACACTCGCGTGACCCTGCTGGAAAGCGTCTGGGTGCCAAGCGCTCAGGTGGTGAATACGTCGTTCCCGGATGCATCATCTTCCGCCAGCGAGGATCAAAGTGGTTCCCCGGTGATAACTGCGGGATGGGACGAGACCACACCATCTACGCCACCCAGGCTGGATATGTCCGGTATTACCTGGACCCTGAGCGCCACCCCGAACGTCGGTACATCGGCGTCGTCTTCGAGAAAGACGGCAAACTTCCACACCCGCGAAACGCGCCCAGTCGGCGCAGGCTGAACATGGTTACAATCCCACGAACGGAACCCATCACATATCAGCCTGATATGATCGCCACTATCGATGGGAATGACACTCAGGTTGGCAGCGTCGAGGCCATCAATGCCGAGTCTGGCCCTCAGCTGCGCCCTGGTTACATGTATCGTGAGGCCAACTGGGTCATTGGTCGCGCTGCCGAGAAGGCTGGAATTAGCGCCAAGACATATGATCGCAACAACCGTTGGCTTGCGTGGAGGAAGAGACAGGCGCGTGCCGAGCGTGCTGCCCAGATGAAGAGTCTTAAGGGCAAGAAGAAGGCTTCCAAGAAGGCCAAATAAGGGTGCATGACGTTTTGAGCCATGGGTTTTGGGTTTTTAGTAGCGATTTGAAGGTCTCCTGTATTTTTCTGTATTATAGAAATCATAAGTCATCTTTGACATGTATGTGACACAATATCAACATCTTCCCCAATGTCCCGGCTTCCACCTTTGGATGATTCGACCTGCGACCTGAGGATCTCTAGCGCGTTCTAGGTGTTTTACATCCAGCTCTTCACTTTACTGTTTGCGGTTGAGATTGACAGGGCGGCTATCTATCTGAAGCTTTGAGTGACGGAAATTGTTTATACCCGGAAGCCCTCCAATCAACATCATTCGACCCCTCTCGACAACTGAAGGACGCAAGGATTTGATCCATTCAACAAACTTCAGAATTTCGATCGACATCCGTGCCACGGCTATCGGCTACTTGAACAATTTGATCATTTCCCGATCCTTGTTCTATCATACCCCGGATTCTCGCTTGTGAGAGCGGGGGCGTGGGGTATGCTTTAGTTATCGTCTACAATTAGCGTGCAGGTACATGCGCAGCAGAGGAATGTTACGCCGGTGTTTAAGTTACTGATGCTGTCTATACGTCTCGGTAGAGCTTTGGCCGAAACTAATAATTTGAATACCTCACTACCGGACCCTGATTCCCCGAAAGCATCTCGAGACATTTCCATGAAACTATAAGTACCAGCGAATATGGAGGGCTCTTGCACCCATTGACACAAGATCAACAGTCAAGAAAGATGGGATTTCTCAATAGTCTATTGCTTCTTATCTCATTCGCACTTGAGCATGCAATTGCAAGCCCAGCGCGCTCAAATGTGAATATCACGCGTTCCTTCTCCCTCTCCCCTCCCCGTTCTCCTCGTGCGGAAAAACAGATGCACGATGCCGACTACCATTCATTCTCAATTGAGTTCTGCTACATGGCTGACTATGGTGGCAATGATACGTGAGTGTCGATGGCTTATTTCCCCGTGAAAATGAGTCTTGACTGATTGGCTATGCTGGTCAGGCACCCCAACACTTTCTCTCGACAGGTCGTTCAGAACTTGAAAGATATCGCGGGAAAATCTCCACTATTCCGAGTTGGTGGTAGTACGCAGAATTCTGCTGTATACTATCCAGACCAGTCTGAGGCTATCATTAGTCCCTTTAGCTCGGACGCAGCAACCCAACCATCACATTCGTACCTGGGTCCTTCCTTCATGCAGTCATTCAACCAATTTCCGGAAGGTTCTCAGTACATATACGGTAAGCGGGGCTTTCCGAATAAGCTGTGTCTGTTTCATATAGTTAAATGTTGACTCTGTCAGCATAGGCCTCAACTTTTACAACCCTACCAACGAGACTCTCTTCAACGTCGGAGATGGACTTGCTCAGTGTGTACTAGAGGCAAATGCTGCTTACAGTGCCATTGGAGATGCTCTGTATGGCTTTGAAATAGGAAACGAAGTAGATGGTGAGTCATGATGAATGCAGCGATGATGCGAAGCCATCAATTTAATGCTCTACAAGGATGGCCCGGTGGTCAACGTCGACCTGCGAACTGGACACTCCAGGATTACGTTGACCAGTGGAACTACTACGCCAAAGTAATCAGCCAGAACTTGACTGGGTCAGATTCCCTCCAGATTTTCCAAGGCTGTGCCTTCGAAGCCCCGCGTGATGTGTTTGACTCTACTGCCTGGAACGTTGCAAATGCTGAAGCGGACGGCATGCGCTCTAACATGGCAAAGGCTGTCGCTGACCATGAGGCAAGGTGTCTCAGCTGCACTGAAACGAGCTACAGCTTACCAAGATACAGTACATGGGAGCCAATTGTCATTACACAGGCGTAGGGCCAACTATCGAGACATCCATCTTCGACCGCACAAACGTCCTCTCCCGGGTCTGGTACCATGATTACCTCGGCAACGAAACAGCAAAGTCCGGAATCCCCTACGTTTTGGGAGAAACCAACTCAATCTCTTGCCAAGGTGCAGCAAACATCTCCGACGTCATGGCAGCTGCAGTCTGGGCCGTTGACTACGTGCTATACCTGTCATCTCTACGCGTTGAGCGCGTCCATTTCCACATGGGAACCCGATATGCATACAGTTCGTGGCTACCCGTGTCATTCAACGATACAGCCCCCAGGTATTCCCGATCTACTATGCGGCATTGTTCAACGCCCACGTTTTCGCCGGGGGTAATAAACAAACTGAGGTGCTCGTCAACGGGACTGATTTTGGAGCCTACGCGGTGTACGGCTCTGGTAAGTTGGAGTCTATCGTTGCAGTAAATCTCGCCATGTGGAACTCCACATTTGATCAGCAGGAGAGACCGTATACAGTACTTGAGCTGCCAAACGGCTGGGAATCGGCAAAGGTATCGAGACTTACAAGCCCTGGGGTCGAAATTGCCACCAACATTACACTTGGGGGCCAGTCGGTCAATGAAAAGGGAGTCATCGTGGGCGATAAGCTTCATGAGAAGGCCCAGGGCAGGAGGGTTTTGGTTGGTGCTGGTGAAGCTGTGTTGGTCCAGAAATAATGGGTGTTAATTCCTCTACAGTACTCTTAGGCTTGCACGGGTTATTTGTTGGAATCTCTTGGTATACGAAATTGGATGGAAGAAATTGAGATTCAATTAAGAGTTTGATGTGGCAACAGCATCTCCGAGAATGTAGCTGACATACCATGTGACGCGCTGGAAATAGTGTGTTTTGCAGAATCGTTACTCGCTGTTCAATATATACCCAGGGAAGATGGAAACGATTCCATTCATGAGTCCCTCTAGCCTTGGACGAGCTCACTCGGTTTCGCGAAGTCGATACCACAAGCCGGATGCTTTGGCAGTTCGAGGTGGAAACTAGGGGATAGTCGCGAAGCGGGATTGGGGTGATAGTATGAACAGATCATCATATGCTCAACGTAGCTAGAGCCGGCCCAGAAAATGGTTGTATTCGTCAAGGCACCCAGCCGAGCTGTTGCATGGGCCACTGCAGCCAGCAGCGATGCTCCTCATCCAAGTGGTAATATATCGCACGAATCATATGGATACTGAAGCCTTGCATCCACCAAGCCCACTCAAGCTCTTTGAGAATAACACAATAGTAGCCAAAGATCACCAAAGCTTCCGGCGTTCTCTGCTGCAATTGATTCAAAAACTGATCCGTAATCCGGAGAAGCCAGATGAAAATGTCGGCTGTCTCACAGTTCTGGGATCCGACCTCAAAAATCGTCGCGAATGATTTGCCTAGATCATCGATAGCATCTGTATAGCATTTCAGATCGATCGGATCCTCAACTGCCTCCTCGATGAGTCGCCGCAAGTTGATGAGGAAGGTCTGACTGGCGGTCGACCTGGCTTCCCAGGCAAGGCTTCTCCGCCGTCCCAAGGTGAACATGGGCGCAAGAGGACCGGATTTGAGCGATTCGTGTACAGAAGTAATGATAGAGACCGTACCCCGAAATAAAGACAACCACTGTAAGATTCTATCGTTACTGACCCACAAATCATCGCGTTTCCGCGGCAGCGCACAGCCGATGATGCAAGTGATTGTGGAGAACAGATAGACCGCGGGTCCATTCTCTTCATTAATTTGAGGGATAGTAGCTGATACCATCTGTAGGGCTAGATTGTGATGATATTCAGCCGCATCGACGTACTGGTCCTGAAGATCCGGCTTCAGGTGTGCCAGATGTAACGCGGCCAGGGCCAGAATTCCGCGGAAAACAAATTGGTAAGAAAATCCAAATGAAGGAACGGTGGTCTGCCATACAGTCTGTAAGACAGGGTGGCGTGAGATCGTAAAGCAGGTTGAGGTGCTATAGTGATGCAGCAAGGCCATTTCCGCCATGCCCATGGAAGGGGCTGCGGCACCAGAACTCAGTCTAGTGGCCTCGCTAACGAAGGGGCTCAATCCAGTATGAAGGCCTGCAGTCGGGGTGCTGGCTGTGGTTGGAGGAGTATTGAAATTACATTCGACCCCATGGCGGACGCAGTTCTGGCATTTTGGCTTGGCCTCATCGCACTTTTCATTCGTTCCAATTGCTGCGTTAGCTGGATGTGAGGTGAAGGAGGGAAGGGGGTGCCAACCTTTACTTTCCGCGACTTGCACGACTGACACCCAGTTCGGGACTTGGTGTGTGTTCGCCGGGGTCCCATGTTGGATTAGACCATTTCTCTTGTCTTCGGTATGTTGCCCACTAGATCTGAGCTCGCAATTTGAGGAATGATGGGGGTTTTGAAGGTTTGCGATGGGTTGTTGGTCCAGAGGAAAAATGAGTTTTTCCGATTGTTGCCTCCCATGCGTGACGGTTAGTTGAATTTGTTGCAACCAGACATGCTATTTTGAGACAAGCTTATTCCTCAGCTTCCACAAATCCAAGGTAGCGAGTTGGAGAACAGGCTGAAACTTATTCTGGATCGCTAAGAGGTTGAGGTTGTTCTGTGGGTCGGGCTTGATCCAGCCAAGCCCCCACTCGGCTGTTTGGATGGAAACCGTATATATCCAGATCAAGGGTCTACTACATTCTGTTCTTCGATCAGAGTTCACCATGCAGATGTCGAGGACTAATTTACTAAAAGTATAACCCGGAGTGAACTACATACGCATGGAACTAGTCAAAACACACTTCAAATGAATCTATCCAGTTTGTACAATGCCACACCCAAAAGGTCCCTCGTGTGCCACTGTAGTCACTTAGATATCCAAGGATCTTAAACTATTCGCTCATCCACATTGACTAAACACTCAATTTGAACCCTCCCCAGTTAAGTCTGGAGAAGATCCCTAGAGGATCGTACGAGGCCTTGATCTCCCTCATACGTTCGACATTCTTTGCCGAGAATCCTGCAAATGGATCTTGCCACTCTCCAGCATCGCCCATATAAATAAAGTCCGAAGCGATCCCTTTCTCAATATTGATTGCATTCAGACGTTCAATCAGTTGGCGTGACCAAGCTTCGATTCGAAGATCGTCTTGCGCCAAGGCCCAGCCTGTGCTGAACTGCCATACTACACGTCGGGTCAGCTTCAGCCTCGTGATTGGGGTATTCTCCTGGACATACAAATATAAGGCTGTGCTTCCAGTCCCCAAACATTGCCAACTCCGTTGGTAAGGCCAACTCGCGCTGCGCCTGCAGGAGCCACGTTCGTTACGAAGGTTGGGTAAAGACCCTCAACGTCCGCAATTTGGTCAACGGCATCTTTCCACGCCTTGTAAATCGAAATGAGGACGTCTTGATCCGGCTTCATCGTCTTATGAGAGAACATGACTCTTCAAGAAATATTAGAGATTGAAGTCAGTTCGAGGAGCAGGAAAATTATGCAAGGACTGACCGGAACATCTGCTTAGGCGTATCGAGACTCGATGCCCATTGTCTCATTGTCGTAACATTGTTGATCCGAGTCATAGCAGGAATGGCAGAGAAGTTTGCAAATTGAGATGGAGGCTGGCTAACGCCTTCTTGGACACCAAGCAGCGAAGCTGACGCGACTTTAGTTGTGGCATTATATTGCACGGTTGCAACCATTCCTGCAGCAATAGGATCTTTCTCGTCAAGCCTAGCGATGTTGCAGACCGCAGTCAGGAACCCAGGAATGCCGCTCTCATTAAATACCTGAATTGTTGCGCTGACTTTGGGAATAGCGTAGGTCTTCAAAGTAAATTTTGTCACAATGCCGTAATTGTTGGCGCCTCCCTTCAGGGTCCAGAACAGGTCCGGGTGAGAGGTTTTGTTTGCGACGACCCGAGTGCCATTTCCAAGAACAACATCATAACTGAGGACATTGTCCATCGCGTAACCGTACTTGTTGTTGAAGTAGTGGAATCCGCCAATGAGACTAAGACCGGGAACACCAATTGTTTTCAAGCGTCCACCAATTGCTGCGCGCCCATATGGCTCGAGGGCTTCGTAGACGTTGTACCAAGTAAGACCAGGTCCGACTTCAATGGATTCGGCATTGACCTTGACCTTGTTGAATTTCTCAAGGGCTAGCAGAACACCACCATCAATATTGTTCGATCCTGGATACTGGCGGGGTGTTAGAAATGGACGAACTCAGTCAAGCTAACTTAGAGACTCACATTCATATGACCACCACCACGAACAGCAAACTGCGCGTCGCAAGTCTGGAAAATCTGAAGGGCCTTGGAGATTTCATCCGCCATACTCGGCAAAAAGATGCAGGCAGGCGAAAGATCGGCTCGAACATCCCAATAGGCATCCGCAGCCTGGGCCGTATAGTTTGCACTCTTAGGATTGATAATTCCGGAAAAGGCCCGAGAGAGCTTGCTGCAAGCACATGCAGCTCCCTTGGTGAGTTCGAAAGAACTGAGAGGAGTAGTGACGGTAGACCCAACCAAAGTAGTCGCGATACCGCTCCCTGAGAGGACCAACGCCGAAATGGATAATGAGATGAAACCTTTCATCATGGTTCACTTGTCACTGGATGGAAATTGAACTCGTCGAACAATCAAGTAATGCTTGATACGTCGATCTTTGTGCCCTTGAATGACCTCTTAAAAGATCTAGGAAGGCCATTGTTCATGTTTGCCTGGAGGAGATCATCGTGCCAGGGGCTCGCCATATCGTAATCGGATGCTCAAAATGTCGATCATCATATTTACCCCGGGGTATCCTCGGCACCTTCATTGCGTAGAGTATTGTCTGATCCATGGCATCTGAAACTCCGAGCATCCTTGGGATGCGCATGGATGGGTCTTGCTCAGCCCTGCAACACAAGATGACGACCTAGGCTGGGTAGACCGTAGAGCCGCAATGAATGTGGTTGCCTTCAAAAAGTGGGAACTGATTCTTCTTTCAATCCATGGACGGATGTGAAAATGGTGGAGTGTGTCAACCATCTGATAATCTTGCAGATCTAAAGGTCAACCCGAACCCGAATAAGAACCCGACATGCCCGCCGATCGCTGGGAGGCCTCGGGTTCGGATTCGTATTCGGATACCAATCTTCTCTGATTTCAACCAATCCATGGACCATTCACTTGGAGCTTATTGAGGCTAAACCAAATATCGAGAGGTGAGAAGCTAAACAAAACTTTTCTAATTCTGTCCATGATTGTCGAAAATGGATTTCCAGCTTCAGAGTTAGGTTTGGGCTATATGCATCCAGGGGAGCGGGGGATGAACGCTGATCTCCGGACAGTCTAAAGAGGAACTCAGCCAATGGCGTCTCTGTCTGTTGCTGGTTTGAGGATTCGAAGGACAAGGGACGAACATTCAATGAAATTGGTATCTAGATGAAAATATTGACAAAAACTATCACTCCTCGAACAGTCGTCCGAGAATCAAACTCTGGCAGACAAACTCACTGCCCACAACTTGCGGTCCAAGAAGAGCTCTTAGATTGGGTCTCGCCATAGTCACAGTTGATCTCCTCCTTTTCCTTCCGTTTACGAAAGGAGTGGCTTGTGGTTTGGCGGATGCTAACATGGACTTGGCTGCATTCTGGTCTGCATCATCCACGTAAATGAAGTCCCAGCTGGAAGGCGACGGGGACGCTTCAGACTGAGAGTCTAAAGCTGCCTTGGCCGTCTCAAGATCAGGAACACGCTCCACACAAGAGGCGCCCAAAGCAAGCGTGAGAAAGACATAAGCCTTGCGCTTTTCTTCGGCTTTCCCACGACCCATAACGATCAGCACCGATTTTCCATCAAGTAATCTTGGCCGTGAGGCAATAGTCTCTGACAAGCGAGCCTCCATCGGAGAGGTAGGCGTCATGATCCGAGACCTTGTGGCCCCGTTGAGGTATTTCGACTCTCCGGCGGGCAAGAGATAGATCTCCCAGTCAAGAATGCGGCCTTTGGCAATGCAATCTTCAACCCAACGGCCTGACAGGCATGGTATGTTCAGGGCCAATGCCTGCATGTACTTCTCACGGCGAGAGTGCGTATCGGCAATCAAGCATGTGAAACCAATATCTGCTGCATCCGTATTTAGAGACAGACCACTGATTTTTGAGACTCCATTACTCCCGCCGCCCTTTTTCGGTGTCTCGACGGAGGCAGGTTGAAATAGTTCCGTAAAGCCGTCATTTAGCAACAAACCACCATTATCCCGTATGAGTGCTGTGATGCGGTTTTTGGAGGCTTCATCGTCCTTGTAGGAAACAGCGAAGGCCATCTTTGCAAAGATGCCAGCAGGGTCGTAAACACTGCGAGCAACACGGGAATTTGGAGACGTTGGCAAGGAAGATCTCATAGATGAAGCACGGAACGTGGTTTCCAGTGGCGCTGTCTCCTGCTTGTGCGTGAAATCTCTGTCTTTGAACCGGTTCCACAAGATCGTATCCATGTAGATCCGGGCGATCGGCACCTTTGTCAGCGTATCTGGGGCATTGAATCCACCATTGGGCAGACTCTTGCGTTGCTTCGATCCAAGGATCACGCTGGAATACCCATATACATCGGTCTGTGGATACAGGCCGTTTTCTGCGGCACGAAGAATCTCTTCCCGAGTCAGGCGATCGCTAAATCCACGAATCACATGAGCCACTTTGGGAAAGTCAGGCATATCGACCTTAACTTCTTCACCAACCCGAAGCTCAAGCCGCTTCACGGCACCTTTGATGACCTCAACAGGGAGACTGCCGTCGAATTGCACAGAATACTTGCCCTGTGACACTCCAAGAGGTGCGCCAAAACATGTTCCAGGGTAGTAAGCACGTTTTTGGCCCTGCCAGACGGCAATGACTTGATTTGGTGCAAGGATTTCCGAGTGGTTAGTGTCCGGAGCAGTGCGGTGCGGTTGAGGTGTAGTCGAAGGACTCTTGGTGATGTTACTTGTAGATATCATTGAAATATCGGAAAGCAAGTCGACATCGGTCAATTCAGACGATAGAGCTGGTTGGGGATTGTGCACGATGACTGGTCGTGCAGTCGGTTTCTCATCTGGAAACTTGACTGGAATACGCTGTGGTGGTGGATCCCGCGAGGTCATTAGTCTACCGTGCCTTGATCTGGACCTTCGGCGATCAACCCGCTGCGGACTCTCAACCTCCCAAACATTCTCTCTCTTCCTAGATGGAGGTCGAGAAGGAGCTCGGGAGGGGGGTCGCGATGAGGCACGCGACGCCGGTCGTGAAGCCGATCGCGAAGGAGGTCGTGAGGCCGATCGTGAGGCAGGTCGTGAAATAGATCTTGGTGCCGGTCGTGAAGTGGATCGTGCAGCCGGTCTCGAAGTCGATCGCGCAGCTGGGCGTGAAGTGGAGCGGGAAGACGGTCGTGATAAAAACTCCATTTGTCTGCCAATTGTGGTGACTGGAACCTGAACTGCCAGCATCTCCTGTGAATTGGACGGCGGCTTCTCAGCACTCGACGGTGGTTGACTGGGAGCCACCGTCTTCGGAAGATGAGCGCGAGGGGTAGACACAAGGTCTATATCGGACGGCCGAAAACTTTGGCCCAAATTTCCACGTCGTCTCTTCCTGGGGCGTGTTGGGGACCCATCGATGACAAGAGCATTGAATTCTTCGTCCTCGGCCGTGAAGAAATCGAGGCCCCAGTCCACTTTGTGGTCGACTTGAGGGGAGGCGCTAGCAGCGATGGCAGTCAATGCCCGGCGCTGTCTTCCACTGGGGCTGGACAGGATTTGGGACTGCACTTCTTGCGCTTGGATCATTTTGATTGGAGAAGACTGTGTTTGAGAGGGCCCAAGGCGTGAGCGTCGGGTGACGCTCTGAACGGGAAACATTGGGGGTAGATCATCGTCTTCGTTATTGAGACCATCACCATTGGATTCACCCTCCCATTCGCTGGGCCGAGTCTGATTGGGACTTGTCTCCGGAATGCTCGTCATGCGAGCGATATCACTTATCTGCGGTCGCAGGTGAACCGGCGTCTCCGTGACGCGCGAGGGCATTGAAGACAATTTAGTTTCAAGACCAGGGTCCGTCCCTTGAGGAAGTGATCCTGGGGCTTCTCGATCTGATGGGTTGCTGGATTGAACACGCCTGGTCTCGTTGGACGAAGTGGCCTGAATCACAACCTCAGTGTCTATTTCAGTGGTTTGATTGTGGTGGGACCATGGTCCTTCCTTTGGTCGAGAACCAGGTGGTGACGATCGAAGACGTGGGCGAACTGGCGAATTTTGTTCCACGTCCGACATTTGGTCGACCGACGTGTCATAGTGCTGCGAGGGTGGTCTGGACGATTGCTCATCCAGTTTGGGAGATTGATACGGCGTCTGCTGGGAATCCTTCACCACCACCTGGGAGGATCGGCCAGAATACTGTTCGTTTGAAGGAAATGCGGTAGGATGATGTTGACTGGGAACGGCGGAGCCCTGATCCGCCATTGATTCATGCTCATCAATTGCTAAGGCTTGGGAGAGCCGATCATGTGCACTACTAGTTGCATCTGTGCAGACCGGAGGACCGTTGTAATTCTCCTTATCCTCCTCTGAGGATTGCATGATCTCTTGCGATTGCGGTACTTGTGGGCCAAGATCGTCCTCTTGTTCGGTCTCTTCTTCGCTTCCTGCTGCTTCATGGGCAGGCTCGTCTGGCCGTCGTTCATCAGTTGTTCGACTTGGTGAGGTAACTGGACCGGTGGTAGATCTGGAAGGAGCGTTGAGGGCAGCAAACTGGGCAGCTGTTTCTTCATCGATTTGGCGCTGCCGCCGTGCGTTCTCGACAAAACTCGACTCTTTATAGAATTCATGGTCGAGGTCATCGCTCGTCTGCATGTTATTAGCCGAGCGAGTGAGCCTATCTCCCAAAGACTTGTCACGCCTGGACTGGGAGTCCTTGAGTGAAATGTAGTGCAGATTTGGCTCGGAAGACTCTCTGGCAAAGTGCAATGGCCGTTCTATCAATGGCGAAGACACGGTGTTTGTAATGCGGCGATGTTGGATTGGAAGGTTTGGGGAGGGACGGTCGGATACCAGCTCCAGCTGCTGGGTATGTACCAAGGGCGATGAAGGTGCCTGAGTAGCTTTGAAGAGCTGGCTCAGGGCTAGCATGCCTCCGCTCGACTCAATATCACCAGCTAGCGGGTTGTGGGGAACGGTCGGTGTTCGCATTGATGTACCCGGCGTCTGGTTCACCTTTACCGCAGTGCCAGGCGTTGTGGCCAAGAATCGCTGGGACTCAGGGAAGAACTCTGTAGTGTAGGCCATTGGAGATGATTCAGACCCGTCGTAGTTGCTCTCTTCACCGTGATCCGGGGACCGATTGCGTTCGTGCTGTGCAGTATCGAATTGGGAAAGGAGATTAATATGCCCACTCTCTCCTTCATGCAATGTTCGGAGTGTTGCACCATCGGCCCCGTTTTCTGAAAGTCCCTGATACATGGATTCTCCATTTTGTCGAATAATGCTATCGTACACCGACTGAGAAACGACCTGGGTGTCGCCAGGGGCAGCCTCGGCGGAATCCATCTTATCAAAGGGTGTTGAAGGGACGTGGTTCACTAGGCTCTGATCTGTCGTGGGATTGGAGGTCTTCACGGGGTATTGGTCATGTTGCCGAGGTCTCGAAGAGGGAGGATGTCGTTTGAGGGTAGAATTGGCGGGATTCGACGAGGATGTGGAGGATAACTCTATTGCAGCCGGTGATGCACCACCATGAGAACGACCAGAAGGGTGGTGGTTGGAATAGTTGGGCTGCTCGGGCGAAGCGCTGGCAACTCTTGCTGGCCCGGAAAAGAATGACTGGGATGGGTCGTGCTCCTGAAGACGTCCAAGTCAGTCCAATGAGAATCTGGAACGCTGCAGGTCATTACATACTAGCCCCAACGCGACGCGTTGCAGCTTGACAATATCAATGCTGTCCTGCGTCTCCATCACTTCGACGTGATGCTTGAATCGTCTATACGGTTGCGAAGACCATGCTCTGTATAGCTATGACTATGATCATTGAATTAGCTCGAGCTTTCGAACAGGACAGGCGATGGGCGGCCAGAAAATCCAAACGAGAAGCGGACGCGAAACGCGTCAGTCACGTGTCACCGTGCTTTTCCAATATTACCCGTCTGGAACTAGCGTCTTTTGCACGAGTCGCTCTCCATTTAGAGACCTTGATTCAAATTCCTCGAATCCCCGCAATTATTCTTTATATCAACAGGAGGCGTAGTGGAGGCTATGTATATTTAACGGGTGTAATTCAAGTATTTCGAAATGCCATTGGGTATATTATCCACACAAGATCACATCAATCAACCATTGTAACACCTGAGCGGGTATCTGAAGCCCTACTCATCATCAATGTAGAATACACAAGGTCGAGGCGGCAGTACCTCAATCCCGAGTCCGATTGGGAACCCATCGTCGAAGGAGAAATTCGCGAACCCGATAGTGACCAATTTCAGCCCCAATATCCGCAGAAGTTTGAACGGGAGCAGGGACATCCACATAGCAAACTACCAAGCTCTTCTTGACTTGAGCCTGAACCCGATTGACGCAGTGCAGCCACCACCAGCTACGGGCTTGCTTGTTGGCCGCATATTCCTTACGCTCCTGGGTCTGAGACCAATAGGGATCACTGTAGGAAGGAATGATAATGACTGCGAATTCAGCGTGGGAGAAAACCGGCCCGCGATTGTAGAGGAGATAGTCGGTTCCGAATTTCACTCCAGAGCGCACAACCCAGCCGAGAGAACGGAAGTGGTGATACACCACATAGGATATCATGAAAGGGTCATCGACCTCGAGTTGAGAAGAATCGGGGCGGGGAGGATAGTAGGAATGATGACGGAGAAGGGAGAAAAGAGATGAGGTCGGGATGGCGACGTTATTATGACGGTCGACAACTTGTAGTGCACCCAACGCGTAAACGAGGAAGAAGGTCTCTTCGGTAGACAATTGTAGGTGTTCTTTATTTTCGAGGGTGTCAAGATTTAGTTCTTCATCGAGGGCTTGGGTTGCGATAGTTGAAGCGGCGACAACGTCTTTCTTCTCCACGACTGGAGAGAGTTGACCTGATGAGCCGTCGATTGTGGGAGATGGATCCGTAGACCCGGCGGTATTCTTGTTCTGAATTGCTTGTTGTCGTCTCTCATGATACTTCGCTTCCATGGCCTTCTTAACAGAGAACTTCTCAACGGAGATAGTTGCAGCCTCCGCAGCACCATCGACAGATAACCCGTCCACAGAACCAGTTTCACGAGCAGCCGCCTCGGCCTTGAGTCTCTCCTCAACCGCCAGTCTCTCATGTCTGGCTCGCTCCAACTTCAGTTGACGGCGTTCAGCGCGGCGCTTGCGTGTAGCTTCCTCGACAGTATTACCGCCCATCAAGCCCCTCCTCTTCTTCTCCTGCTCCAACCAATTGGGCTCACTTCGACTCAGACTACCTTTACCGAAGAACCCCATCTCCCACAAGGCTCTAATCGTCTTCTCATCGGTGACATGAACGGACGAGGTAGCCGAGTCGAAGTATGCGGTATAGGTCTCTTGGTGTGGAGGAGAGATAAGGAAGGTGAGGTACGAGAGGGCAACACTAATGAGGGAAAGAGGGTTATGAGGAATTACTGAAGGAACATGATGGACATTGACTGGAAGAGGAAAGCGATGGATGTGCCTGTAATTGGGTCTAGGAGGCCGAGGAGCTCGGGTCGGCCGAAGGTTCTCTGCTGTCTCTGGTACAGGTAGGGGCACAGGAACAGCCGTCATGCCTGGCTTGGGCACACTGGTAGCTTCGGCCATGATCAACAAGTATTACTGAAGGAGATTGAGCAAGAGCCTGGTCTGAAGAGTTTGAGTCAGCAAACTCGTTCATCAAAGCATGTGTGTGACAAGCAATTATGAATGACGGTCTTCTCAGATACCGTTGTAGTCAATTTAAGCAGATCATTGACAGGCAGCTAGAAATCAAGGTGCCACCTGCCTGGGCTTAGGTGTATAGGTCATCATCGAAGGGGAGGAATGGGGAGGGCAAAGAATAGCTCCAGAGAGCTCTGGTTGAGTGGCTTACCTGAAAGCCTTCATGCCCTGATGGGTGATTGTCGAGACAAGGCTAAATGATCAGACGATCATAGCAACTTCGATTATCTGCCGCCCACTGTAAGTTATCGGAAGCTTAACGAATCCGTGTCCACATTATTGACACTGCGAGGTGTTTTCCTTCCAATTTCGCAAGTTGAAAGAGAAGAAAATTTGCGGGCGCTTCAGTTCGTTTTAAGTGGGCTTTTTCATGACTAAGCACCAGGTCTGGGCTCCACCCGTCGGCTTCAAAAAAATTCCTCCGCTTCACCGTTCACGACACAAGAATACTCGATCTCTATACCCACAAACTACCGCCAAGTAAGTATTCTACAGCCTGTCGCTGTTCCTTTTTCTTGATATACTGAACTCTTGACTAACTTCTCTGCTTCCAGAATGCATCTTATGGTACGTTACCTCAGCCCGCGATCTCCCACCGAACCCTCGCTTCGATAACGAATAGCGAACCTCCTCGTGCGACCTAATAGCTGACTCTTTGAAAAGTACACCCTGGGCGCCGATGGCAAGCGTGTCTACACGCTGAAGAAGGTTGTTGACGGCAAGGTCTCCAAGTCTGCGTAAGCATACACAAAATCGCCCGGAATCCTTGGACCAGCAGCTCATCCTAGACAGTCACCCTGCTCGTTTCTCCCCCGATGACAAGTACTCGCGCCACCGCGTTACCCTGAAGCGTCGTTACGGCCTCCTTCTTACCCAGCAGCCAGGTACGTTTGCCTAGCTTTGCTCCTCCGGGTCTTCATGTACTGACAGTCTTCATCAGAGGAGACCGCTTCGTCCTAAACTGCGACTATTAAAATTGGGGGGAAAATGGATTTCAGGGTGATTCAACCCGCGATTTGGCGCTTGGTGTTACTTGTATAGTCTGTGGATGGCTATGATCTGCATTGCTTCTGGCCAGGGTTTATGGTCACATTTGGTTGAATGTCTACCTAGCCTCAGATATTTGGCTATCAATGATTATTTCTCTTGACATATTTTAGAACCAACATTTCTCTATTTGGCCTTTTCTTATGTGCAATTCTCCTCGTAAGAAGGTCGGCTTCGATCGCTGCAGTCATTACTCGTGAACAGAGCGAACTACCCCGTCGTGACAAGAAAAGGATCAAATGACTTTTGTGCATGCCCCCAAACTCCGGTCCATGTAGTCCGTAATGCAAAAAATTGTCCACAGGCTGCACTTAGCGCTTCCTCGAGTTGATGTTCCGGCCGGCGCCGACCTTGATACGGCCGCCAGACTTGTTACGCTCACCAGTTAGGATGCCAGGAAGGTAATCCTCGTCCATGAGATCCCGTTCACGGCGCTGGCGTCGTTCTTCTTCGACGGCGGATCGGACATACTCCTTCTGGTCCTCGGCGAGAATGAGCTCGGTTCCCCATCCTCCCTTTCCACCGCCGCCCTTCCACTTGCCGTTGGAGCTGCCAGCAACGGGCTTGGGAACGCTGAAACGGTTGCCTCGGTTGTTCCACTGCATGTTCTTCTTCAGATGCATGGTAAATTGTCCGTTCGCAGTCGTCGTGCACGAGACACGTGTAAGCGTGTCTCTACCGCAGCGAGGACAGAACTGCTTGTTCATTTCCTTGGTGGTCAGGAAGCAGGCATGGCAGCGCTTGATGAATGACTTGAGATGCTGGACTCGCTGAAGCGTGGTCGTCGACAACAGGTTGAGGTTCATCTGCAGCAGAACGTTTTGGCACTGCGAGCGAAATTAGTCAACGTGATTAATCCAGGTGCACGAACAAATTCACATACCGCAAAATCGGTGGTCATGGTTGCGACCTGCATGGTCTTCGGCTCGGATCCAGGTCCTGAGGAACCACTTTCATCGCGGGCCAGCCGCTTCTTGTAGTTGGTGGGCGTGATCCATTCGCCGTCCGAATCGGCAGCATCATCTTCATCCTCCTGCTCATTCTCGATCTCACCCTTGCTCTCCTCGGGGGTATCGTCGCCAGCTGGAGGCTCAATCGTGGCGCTCTCTGCTGCATACTCGGCTTCTTGTACGGATGCAGTCTTTTCTTCCTTGGACTCCTCGGTGGCATCGTTTACAACGACTTCGACAGCATCGTCGGCGCTTTCCTTCGCAGTAGAGTCTGTTTCATCCTTCTTGTCCTCCTCTTTGACGGGTGGTCTTCCATTGACTCGCTTCTGGCCGGGAACACTTCGCAGACGCCAATCACCACCATTACGCTCACACTCGATTTCATATGCAAGCGCCAGCACTTCAATATCGACTCGACTCAGCACGGATCGGTCACCAGTCTTGCGAGCAAACTCGCTGATAACATTGAAGCTGTTGGGGTTCGGAGTTCGCTGTTTCAGGAAGGGCAGGTAGAGGGTCTCGACTCGAGCGCGGGCGTCAGGATCACGAATTTCGTTCACCACTGACGGGGTGGTGACAATCTCGTCGCATTGAGCGAGCAGGGTGGACAACGGCGGGGTATTCTTGATGATGGGACCAGCGTCCAGCACAATTGTGTGGACGGACTTTGGCGGCGATGACACTGTGTCTGCCATTTTTCTCGTTTTTTCGGCACCTCCTGTCACAAAGAATAACCCAGAATCCAGTGACTCTGTACAGTAAAATTATCGTTCGCGGGGATGTGGAAAAGGAAATTTCTCGGGCAGTTGGTCTGTGCGCGCTTATCGCCCTATCTTATCGTCGCAGGAGCGAAGCCCTACATCAACACATGGAAGTCCGTGCCAGCATAGAAAATATTCCTACATAGGTAAAGATAATTTTTATTCTCTGGGATGTGCTAACGCCGAATTAAGAATCCTTCCTGTCTTCATCCTTTATTATAAAAAGGTCTTGGAATTGCTCGTCTATCTACTTTTACATTCCATCTACAGCAACAACGATCGTTGGAAATTTATCGTGCAGAAGCACGGTGACATATTAATCCAGTGTCCCGATATAGATATCTAGTACCTTATGTACACCCAGTAGGAACCCTTATGACAACTAGCAATGATCATATATAACTAAGAATAACATTCTGAAAATCATATCTATCGTTCAATATTTCCTCAAGTTGTCAAGCAGCACACAACCTGTCAAAGAAACTCCCGGCTCAATCCCTGGATAAAGCAGAGTGTTGCTGCATCTCAACATCGGACTTCCACTGAATATCCCTATCAGACTGGACAGTAGGTGATTCTATCCTTTTGTTCAGAACAAAGGATGGATGGAGCACATTCATCACGACCATCACCGAGAACATCATTGCGGCATCGAAAACATACAAGAAAACTTCGTGGCTGATGACATAGCCGTCATTTCCTTGCACAAATTCAATCAGACGGTATATGGATCGGATCAAGATCAACAAACTAGTACTGTAGCATGCGAACAAGAGACCTCTCCAATCCCGGGGCCAGATTGAGCCATGCTTATCCGTAGATCTCTCGCTTTCGATAGTAGGCCTTCGAATAATCTTGATGTGGAAGATGAGGGAGGTAAGCACGAATGCTCCAAAGAACATGAGCTGGACACAAAGACCCGCTACAATCACCCATTGGCCGATTTTGATAGTGTTTTCAGACCCACTGGTCATAATTCCTCCTCCTGTATGGGACAAGACTGATTAGAGAAGACCTATGAATTGATCACTTGGGAATGTCCAACTTACCGGCTGCTTGAAGAATGAAGGATAGAACGTCGCCAGCAACGAATACTTTTGTCATCCATTTGACCGGGATATAACTCAGATGTTCACCGTGGAGAAAGCTGATGATACGACCGAGGACCATATATATCGACGCTGCGTACAGGGTTGGCGCCAATAGGATCAGGAGTGATTGAATTGCATAAAGTATTGTGGAGTGCATATAGAAATGAGAGCCAGCGCGGGCCCCATACCCGATGATTTGAACTATAAGAAGCGTCAGCAAATGCGAGGGCTGTGGGTATATCGACTTGACTGACAGATACCGCCGACAATGAACGGGTTAAAGTATTTTGAGTGCACCTTGATTCGTTGGTACAAGTGAAAAATAGTCGTCAATGCAAATAAGACAGCTAATAGGATTGCACATGGAAGGTTGGGCGTATAGTGGTAGAGAACATAGCTGCTGTCGGAGGCCATGGCGATCTCTTAGCGCGATAGACTTGATGCTTGAAGTTTAGAATGGAATAAGAAATAAAAATTCGACGCTGCTCTCCCGAGGAAGTACTTGAAAATTGTTATTCTAGAATATTAATAGACGGAAACCATGAGCAATTTATAGACTTCTCATTGCATTGAGACTCATCGTACTGAAAAGTAAAAATATCATTGCCTGGTTCACTAACGGCCTTGAACCGTGCCATTCTGCCATGAAAGGATCTCATGAAGTTGAAAAATCGATGGAGCCTGGTACAGGGACCGAAATCGAATACGAAGCCGACTGTAGTATGTTCTGTATCTTCAAATAAATAAGCTTAAAAAAGATATCTTCTGCCTGAAATTTTGCAATCCCCACTTTAGTTAGATCCAAGGAATTGGTTCAGAGTCGGGTCCATTTCGGATTGAACTCGGGTTCGGGTTCGTATTCGTTTGGAGCCGTGACCGATGTAGATCGTGCTCACAGCGACCAATTAGCGATCTTCTGTCCCAAATTACACTTTGCTAACCAGATTATAATAATATCACAGCCTTTATTATTATGTCAATTATGCCCGGTCTATCGTTTCCCGGTTTCAATTCTACATGTGAGAGATCGTCGCACTTGCTCTATATACACCCTCGTGGGTGCCCGCATCGGCGGCCAGATATCCTACAGATTGCCTGCACTCAGCCGCAGCACCCGCTTCGTTACGAGATCAAATATATGGGAAGTTTAAGAAGTTAATTTCTGCGAATATGGTTCTTTCGATTGGGATAGGGAGCGCGCTGGTGGCTGGTCTTTCAATGGTATACATTTCTGAGCCAGAAATCTTTCACCTTGGCTAACTATCCAAGGTCACCCTTGGCTTCCTCTCGATCGCATTTTACAACGTGTTTCTTCACCCACTCAGTCGCTACCCTGGACCAATTTCTCATGCAATATCTCGACTACCATACTGCTATCGTGCTATGCGCGGCACTCTTCCATTTGATATGCTCGACTTACACAAACGCTACGGCGATATTGTTCGAATTGCCCCGGATGAACTCGCCTTCTCCCACCCTGATGCTTGGAAAGAGATAATGGGACACAAGAAGGGAGAGCAAGAGTTCAGCAAAGCAGCGTGGTTCTATCAACCGGTAGAAGGGCTACCCAGACATATTGTCAATGAAGAGAGAGAAGAGCATGGCCGCCTGCGCCGACAAATGGCTCATGGATTTTCCGAAAAATCAATGCGATCTCAGGAGCCTCTGATACGGGGTTACGTGGATTTTCTTCTTCAGAGACTCCGTGAATTCTCTCAAGATGGAAGTTCGGTCGTAATCTCAGATTGGTATAATTATACAACCTTTGATATTATCGGAGATCTGGCCTTCGGTGAGCCGTTTGGCTGCCTGGAAGGCTCAAATTATGACACTTGGATCAAAAGTATCTTTAAATCAGGACAGATGGGTACAATCTTGCAGTCACTATCGTTCTTCCCTTCAATCAAGAAAGCTTTGCTGTCGGTAGTCCCAAAGTCGATGCGTGAGGCTCAAGAACAGCACAAACGCCTCACCAAGGCTAAGATGCTACGAAGAATGGAACGCACGGAGGAGAGGGACGATTTGATCGAAGGTCTACTCAAGAAGAGAGATGAATTGGTCAGTATACGCAAAAGGATTGCCGTGTTACATATGCTGATAATGATTCAGAATCTGACTGCTGAAAAGTTGGTTGCAAATGCCGAGATTTTAATTATCGGTGGTTCGGAAACGACGGCTTCTTTGCTAAGTGGCGTAACTTACCTGCTTCTCACAAATCAGGATGCATACGAAAAATTGAAAGATGAAGTGCGAAATGCTTTCCAATCTCAGGATGAGATCAACTTGATCTCAGTCGCCCAGCTTCCATATCTTCAGGCGTGTCTGGAGGAAGGACTACGCATGTACCCCCCTGTCGCCAATGGACTGCCGCGGGTTTGCCCTTCTGGCGGAGCGACAATACTGGGGAATTTTATACCAGAAAATGTAAGCTGACAAATCTGCTTGGCTGAATGAGACCTACTAATTGTGAAACACAGACATATGTCTCCATTCATCAATGGGCCCTCTATCGACGTGAAGAATATTTCAAGGAAGCAAATGCCTATCATCCCGAAAGATTTCTGGGCCACCCAGAGTTCAAGGATGACAGAAGTGACGTGCTCCAGCCCTTCCATGTTGGGCCTAGAAATTGCCTAGGGCGAAAGTAAGTTCTCAGTCCGACGCCAGACCAACTGAGCTGACATTACCCAGCCTCGCGTATAGTGAGATGCGTCTGATCGTTGCCCTGCTTATCTTCGAGTTTGATATTCGGATCTCCGAGGGATCTGATGATTGGATGCTGCAGAAGAACTTTCTTATGTGGCAGAAACACCCTCTTCGGGTTTACTTGCAACCTGCCGTCGACTAATCATGTCTGTTCTTTCAACAAAATAAAAATCTATGTCAAATAATTCCTGGGTATCCTACAGTCTATTATGTTATCCGATGATTGAATTTTCACTTTTTTCTATGATAGATAGGTCAAGTAGTAGGCATTCGAGCCGAGCTGGAATGTAAAGCGCGAGCGATCGACGATGTCTGATTTGTTGGATTATATCTTTATTGATTCTGTCCCGAACTTTGCCGCGAGTAGCATAGCCGTCTGGTTGATTAAGGTGGAAGTTTGGTTATGCAATATCTTCTCTGAATGTCAGTCACTGCAATCCAGAGTTTATGATAAACTGTCGGCAGCCATCAACCCGTACAGAGGATCGAAATTAGATATTTTCAGTGACTCTCCGATGAATCATTGCTTCCATTCAAGTCGATGGGGGGTGTTTTTCCCCCATCGGGATTTACTGCTACTTTACAAGTTCTACAAAACTGAAACATGGTTGGTTTATAAGGGTTATCATTTGATAAAATAGAACTCAATGGACTTAATCCATATTACGACCACGAACTGAGTCGAATATTCACTCATGCAGTCGCTGATAAATCAACTCAGCTTCGTCTAGTTTGGGTGTATCACGCAAGATGATCTGACTTGGGTGAAAGATCATGAAGACAATCATCACTTGAAACATCAACAAGGCGTCGAACATGTATGAATAGTACTCGTGACTTTGGAGTATGCCAGTTTGACCCTGAATGTACTCAATGACTCGATAGATGCATCGTATCATGATCATAGCACTAGCAAAATAGAGGACAAAAAGATAGCGCTTCCAGTTGACGCTGCATGTAGCCGACTCTGTAGTAGGATTGGCGACGATTCTTTTGTGGAAAATGACTGAGACAACCACGAAAAATCCAAAGAAGATGATCTGGACAAAAAGACCAACTATGATAACGTTTTCGCCGAGCTTCATCTTGCTTGCAGATTTTGCACCGGTAAGAATGGCGCCGCCTAGATGAGTTGTATTAGTGACAAGTTCGACTGAAATGAGAGTTATGGTGATGCATACCTCCGCTTTGAACAAGAAACGATAAAATATCCCCAACGACAAATATCTTTGTCAATTTCGTGGACTGGATGAGAGATCTGGAATCTCCATCAACCCGACGTATAAGACGACCCAGGACCATATAAATAGAGGCCGCAAAAAGCGATGGCGCGAGCAATATGAAAACACTCTGCAGGGCATACGGCATTGTTCCATAGTTTGGCGCTTGGTGGGCATTCACTGCTCTAGCAGCGTAACCAACAATCTCGAAGAAGCCTCCAATGATGAATGCGATGAGAAATTTCAGTCGGTGCTTAATAGCGAGAAAGATATGGGCAAGCGTAGCCCCAAGAAACAAAAGCAGCGCAATGACAGCGACTGCCAAAGATGGTGTGTAATTGTAGAGAACGTATGCTGCCATTTCGTCGAATGAAAGACCTGGTATTTTTTTGAAGTGACGAAGATTTTTCCGAAAGAACGTGTGAATGTCGAGAGTGCATCTTTAATAGGAAATATTGATTCCCATATAATCCGCTATCTCAAATATTGATGTTGAGACTTAATTATCTGATGTTCAACGCACCATCGATATCTATATTTAGCAGTTCATCTTCGAGTAGTTCTCCGATGCACCCGAATGCGAGACCGACGCTCCACTCTCGGATTGAATACGAGCCGCAGACACCATCACACATCATGGATTGCTAACCCGTGAGATTAAAAACTGCTAAATATGTGTATCTGCTTCGATCTTCGATGTGAATCATTGCAATAGAGCCATATACCAACCATTGGCTGGAGAAACTCCAACCCACTTCCGACAGATAGATATCATGAAGCGCCAGAGCGCCACAGGGGCTCACTAGTGGTCTCACATTACAAAATAACGACGAATATCTGTACTTCATGGATAGACGTTCAATTCCCCAAGCTAGGGTTTACGATGACCGGAGGAAAAGGCAAACATAATGATCCTCGACCAATTTTACCCTCCTCAAGGTGTTGAGAGGAATGGTTCGTTTGTAGATGACATTCATTCATATAGGAAGCTTTAGTTTAGTACAAAGCGTGAGTTAACTTCTGGATTCCAAGGCCCTGATGGACTAGAAGCAGGCTTCCTGCTTCGAAGTTGCTTAACGTAATCTTTCAATCCTTTGTGGAAATTCAACATACACCAAACTGAGTTGACGAGAGTCGAAAGAATCAAAAAGGTTGCAATCGCAGCAAACAGCGTAAGGGAGGTCTTAAATGAGCTTAGACCGCTATTGTCACCCGAAAGGTACATTTTAAACATGGTCCTGATAATACTCGTCAATATACCAACCATGAGGATCTGTAATGATGGTCAGAACGTGGGTCGATGATTCTCAGTCTGAGCTCCTTACCATCATCACGAAGAGGGATTTTGTTTTCTCTCGGCGACAAAAAAGAGCTGACAGAGATAAAGCTATTATAGCAACGGGAACCATTGCAGCATTGATCAAGAACTCCTCATTCTTGAAATCTTGGATGGAAAGTAGAATTTGGAGTTGTGTGCCAAAGATAAAAAACCAGTCAAATTTGAGTAGGGCAATGTATACCTGTTAAGTTAGCATAAGAAATTGGGTCACCCAACCAGGGGGGTTTACCTGATAGACAGTATATCGGCGATTCATTCGCAAATCCGCGCTGATGTCTTTATAGATCGACCAGGAGAATTCTGCACGAAGTTTCCACGTCACGAATATCATAATGGCAGTACCGAGACCCAAAAAGACTGGAACTAAAATGAGTTCAATTTGATACATCCCCCAAATTTTGTCGCTGCGTGTAGTGTCGGCCACCACTTCTGTGACGGTCTCTTTGATTTCCTTCATCTGCAAGATACCGTAGGTAAAAAGACCAAAGTTGCAGATGCAGAGTCCAATTAGCTGAAAGGTGTTTTTGCGTCGTAAAGCATCGTATGAAAGCGCAAGTTCATAGAGAAGCGCGAATATGTAAAGACCAAGAAATGACCGAATGCGCAATGTCGCACTCCCCTTCTCAATTTTGTCAAGCTGGTTTAGCATGCTCACAAAAACCCAACTGATGATGTGCATAAGTATATCGGGCAATGTAGATCCGCAATTTGTGTTGGAAAACCAACCTTTCGATCCCAACTGTAGCTAACGTTTCGAGAACCACCGCAGTAGCAAACGAACGTGTCCATAAGGTGTTCGGAATGTAGATGGAGCGGCGGCCGTTTCTAGAAGAAGTCACATGCCCTCGGTCATTGCGGACTTGATTTGTCTTTGACGTGAAGTCGTCAAGCTCAATGTACTTGCCATTGTGGGTTGACAGGGCTGACTTGGAGAAGTCGAAATTGTGGCGGCTTGGTGGGGAGTCGGCCCTGGTAGGAGGGTACACAGTGGCTTTAGCGATTCCAGAGCCGCTGGATTGCATCGTTCGTTCTCATGAGATGCAGGTTCGGGTATTAATTAGAGGATACCAATTGTAGGGACGATATAGAAGCGAAGTTGGAATACATTAGATATTAGTTTCTGAATGTCATTGAAGAGAGTTTATTGTTTGCACCTCCAAAGAAAGCTGACGAGCCTGAGTACGAATCCAGGCGTAAATTCCTCGGGGCACGACCCGCTTTTAGGAATTTTAACTCACGTAAGTCGATAGTCTCTATTTTGGGTGGAGTCTAGAATGGTTTCTAAAAAAAATCCGTTGTTCCAGTCGCACTTAGTGATGGCCCACTTGTGGCCTGTCTCCACATAGGTTGCCTATCCCCCATGGCTGCCTAATCTAGCCCCTTTTCTAACCTGATCCTTTCTCATTAAAAGAGGATCCACGGTGATTTATTTGGCACGCAAACCAAACCAACGTTATAACAGTCCTTGAAGGCATAGATGAAGACTCTGCGGAGTCAGCCCGGTGAAACGGACTGCAGCCCTGCAAAACTCTCGGAGAGGTTTATGCGATATCTTCGACCTGAAGCAGCGAAAAAGCAAAAGGGAAAGATTGACCATTTCAAGAATTGACTGACTAGAACTTAACCTGCCACCGGGGGTTTGTCCTTATCCTCTCGCCAAATACTCGAAACCCTATAGGGATAGGGGCTATTGCCAAGGCAATAAAACCCAAGGCACTGTTGCCCCAGCCTAGACCGATCCTGTCATACAGCTTCAGTGCAAACAGTGGGAAAAGTGCACCCAAGAGGCTCCTTAACACTGTATTCGCTGCTGTGGCGCTCGCGGCATGTATCGTGAATGCGTCCACCAGATATGTTTGGATGCACATCAAAATCGCGATCATGCCAAACCCGATGACAGCACTTCCAGTCTGAGGCACAATCCAATGCACATGGTACTGGGTGCTCCATCCATAGATGAACAGACCAACGGGGAGACAGAGACATGCCGGAACTATGAGTGTATATCGCAGTCGGTCTTCCGGAAGAACAGGCTCCCCCGCGGCAATCTTCCTCTTAATCCTTTTGTCGCTCTGTGTGGCGGCAAATGCTAGTCCCAAGAGCATACCAACTCCACTTCCTAGGAAAGCTAAGCCCGCAGTGCCTGAAGAAAATCCGTACTCTCCTTCAAATACAAATGTATAGGTCGTGAAGAGTATATAAAGCAGACCGTACATGATTGCCACGTACGCACACATGAGGAATATGATCGGCGAGCAAAACAGCATCTTCATGGGTCGCATGATGCTTTGGATGAATAGCTCCTTCTTCGGTATGTCTGATTTGAGACGCGATCGATAAGAAGAATTTCCTGTCTCTTTCCTCATTTGAGCAGCCTTGCGCTCTAGAATAATGGGGGGATATGTCTCCTTCAGAGTGAAGAAACACAGAATCGTGGACGCCCCAGACTTTTTTGATGACATTTCGGTGGTCAGTAGTCATGCGCAGCCGAGTGATGCATTTTATGGATAGCTTCTTACCGCCATTGCGATGACCCAAAATACCCACCGCCAGTCTTTTGCTTCGACGAGGAACCCTCCTGCAATAGGCCCGATGATGGGACCAAATAAGGGCCCGAGGGACCAGAGTGACATTGCTACACCTCGTCTCTCCGGGGGCATCAGGTCGGCAATGGTGCCGCCACCGCAGGTGATTGGTGCCACTCCAGCGAAGCCGGCCAGAAATCGGAATACAATCAACATTGCCATATTCTTGGAGACCGCGCATATAATTGTGAAAATGAAGAAGAAGATGTTGCAAACATGATATACTGGTACCCGACCGATCCATTCGCTAAGCGGCGCGATGACAAGTGGCCCAAATGCAAAGCCCAGGACAAAAACGGAGATGACAAACGTTGCAAGTAATGTCGAATTCGTTTTGAAGTCCATCAACATCTGAGGAACACCAGGAGCAGACATTGACGATGCTAATGGCCTGGCATCCTAGTCAGTCGAACTGATAGTAGTAGTCTGGAAAGATTTTTATGGGGAAGTATACGTGAGAAAAGTGACAAGTGACAGAGAAGCGATGATAGTCCACTTCTGAGAATTTGACCAGTTCCTTGGATTGGCAGGGTCTTCGTCTTCAGGGCTGCTCCACCACACATCGAACTCGGATACAAAGCTTTCTTGTTTCTCAGGTGTGGCATTTGAGGTGCTGAGATGGTCATTGGCGCCAGCGGGGTCATGCTCGCCTTTATCGGGTGTGACGACTTGCGCACTTTTCAAGTTCGTATCATCGCTATTTGTTTTGTCGGACATGGTGAATCTGGGGAAATACCCTTATTTCAGGCACGCTGCTCCCTTCATCAGCACCTGATCGGCGATATGTATGTGTCCAGCGTGGGTGGTTCCAGGATAATGCAACGCGTCTTTGTAAGAGTTGAAGATTCAGGGGTTCTGGAACAAGTTTCTGGGGAATGACTTCTTGCGGAATACAACCGCGCATTTCTTGCTGTCTTTAGGGAATAAATTGGTCGACCAATTAATCTCGAGGTACCTACCTAGCACGAATCGACCTAATCTCGGGTTCGTTTTCGTACTCGGGTACATCGTACGAGCTATCAACGTGAAGTTTCCTGGCCATAGACAGAACAAGAGGATATGTTAAAGAAGAGAATAGTGTGTCATATCTTAACGTCGCGTACTTTGCGGTTTCTCCCAATCTTTTTCTCGTTTGAACTGCTTTTCGGTGCTATACAGTAACTTGTACGGAGTACAGAGTACACACCTAACACACCAACGCGAATACGAATCCGAAGCGGATCCCCAGAAATCCGGCGACCTTTTTATGCTCGCTGATCACGTTAAACTCAGCATGAATCTCCCCCCGGACTAAGCACTGCCGAATAATGTCAAGTAATTACTATAATAACTGCCATCATGAATCAAATTCTCCTTCACGTGGCTTCCCAGATGCCCCGTGCACTCTGCCACTTGTAGGCTATGATGAATTGGGAAGAGGGGTAACACAGCACAAAGTACAACATGCTTTGCTGACCCTTTTTCGATACTCGCTTTGCCGGGTAGGACCACGAGGTATTGACTTGTTAGTAGCTTGTAGGATCCGCCTCTGCCGTGTCATAGTCTTAAACACTCTCAGCCCAAGGAATATATTTGTATTTGGAGATAGCGGACTGCCCCTTGCCAATCATGGGACATAGAGGTCTGATCAGGCTTAATGAGAGACCTAGGTCTGTGAATCGAAGAGGAGGAGGAGGACCTGAGTAAACAACCTTTGGAGAAACTTGTCCGCTTTTCTCACAGAGGATAACACAATCATATCATCAACCAATGCACCGACCAAGGGAATATGAAAAGACCCTTATCCATTCTATCGAAAAAGTAATAACAGCCTAGTCAATCTCAATCGGACGGCATAATCTGACATGCTTACGGCAAGACCAGAGGGACTATAAGCTATGTATGCAATTGCTTATCACGAATTCTGAAGATCAAACGTGGTAGGCCACAACCTGAAATCGGACCAAGTCAAGTTCCCAACATTGTTGATTGCATGTAACTGTTCGTGATGTCCCTGCGTCAACATGTCATGTTTAAAATGCCATGCTTGCCGACTGCACGGTCGAGTAGCGGTGAGCCCACATGGCAGATCAAGCATAAGGCTGAGCGAAATTTGATCTTGGTACCCAGCAGGAACCGAGGGGGGAATCGACCTCTACACTACCCTAGTCCGATATCCCTTCTTAAAGAAAACTTTCTCTCATGACTCTGAGCTTGGGATAGTACCCCAGAGAGGGTGCCAGTAATTATCCAATATATGCGGATAAGGGGAACTTAACAAAATGATCATGCTGTGACACAACTAGGATCTTAATTTGGCCCACGCATAGACCCGTCACTATCACGACGATCAGGGTCGTCCCGCATAGACATGAGACCGGAGGTGGATTTTTGTCGAGGAACAAGAACAAGGCTCTTTTTCGCTCTGAAGTTTCTAGAAGCACGCTCCTTTGTACTACCGAGATTATTACCCTACGGTATTTCAGACGGTCTGAATGAACTGTAAAGGCTCGGGATTTTGGTTCGGGCCATTTCGGTCGATTTTCTCCTCGAGTTCGAGGTAAGCATGAGCCCGCAGGTCAACCAGAATGGGAATTACGGCATACATTGGAAGATCCAAGAGACTGAAGCGTGCCGTGATTTGGAATCTCTACTACTAAGGGGAACATAACAGCAGCTTCATGGATCTGTGCGATGAAGGGTTAAGGGCTGTAGCTCAATGTGATAGATCACTTTAACCAAGGCGGCGGTCTGTACTAGCGAAATTCCTTTAGTAGGGAAAATATGGTGACAATTTTGAAAGGTTTTTGCTTCGATTTTTTGGCTCTATTGGAAATTATTAATTGGAAAGCATTCAAAGTTCTCTAAACAGTATCAATCTTCAATGGTTGTGGTTGTATTCGCAAGTCCACCTTGCGGGGACTTGCGTAAAATGCATGCTATGTAGATGGAGAAGGCGAAGTGATTCGCAGGTCAACTCGCCACAACTTAGCTTAGCCTTTTCCCCGTGATATATCCATCATCTCCACAATTCTAGCTTTGATATACGTACGTTAGGCTTAAACGCTCTCAAGATGGACCTAAATAACAGGCGCTTGTGCAAGCGGCGCTTCCATCTACATCACAGTGGGATTATCGCGGCAATAGAATTCACACTGCACCAGGTGTTCCCCAGATCTCACTGAATTTCTTATTTCTCAATGGCAATCAAACACAAAACTCTGGTTGTCTTGGAGACATTATTTGTGGTTAGGTTTGTTTCTTTTGGGCCACCCCTTGCTCGTCATGATCCGTGCAGTGAGCTTAACGAAGCCCAAAAGTATGGGATGAAACGCCCCACTGTGAAGTTGATCCTCCACGCGCCAATGTCTCGAGACAAACCAATTGCTTATGTGTCATCTTTGAAGGGTATTGTTACTTTTATCTTTTAGCTGGAATCGCTCGATAACTATATAACTTACCACCATTCGATTTAGTCATGACAAAGTGATGACAGGCTGGGGAGAACGAGGCACTCAAGCTGAAATCACGATGATCGTCCATTATCTGCGGGTAATATGCAGGTCTTTTTCTGATGCTGTACTGTAGATCGGTCGTCTACTGCAGCCCGCACCCCGGAGACCGGGACTGTAAGAAGTCCGGTCGACCGCGCTACACTTTTTGCATATGCGTGATGTTCAGTGCTTTCTACGTACAATAACGTAGCTTCGATTTGGCCTATAGTCTTGAAATAATTGAGTATTCTGAAGCTCCTTTCTATTTGCAGTCCCAGGCTTCGAGGTCTAGGCCATTCAGTAATGCAATGCAGACGGTCAATTGTTATTGTGATCGCTACATTTAGAATCTACAGGGCTAGCTGAGGGTGGAAAAACCATTGGAAAGTCCTTCATATCATCAATGATAGTTGTCTTAAGTCTCACCGCGTCTTCGACTTCACGATATTTTCAAACTACAATCTTCTGTTCTTGATTAAAGATTCACAGGCCGTATCCGGATATGCCTTGGTTATGCAATATGACGGCATCCAATATGCTTTCGAGGTCAAAATTCCTTCCATAAGGGTGAGGGGCCTTGAGGTCTAAAATTGGATGATCTCCATTTCTAAAGCATGGAGTTTGATCGATACCTCAAACGACCGATTACATATGCACGATTCCCTTGATCGTCAACATCTTTAAAGATGACTGAATAATACAAACAAACGCGGCAGACCTCTTAAACGGTAAGTATTCAATTGTGAAATCCACCGACGCCTCGATGGACCTTAGGCTTCGTAGTGTGTCAGAGATATCGATTTCAGCGTCTTTGAAAACCTAATGTTCGTCCACAGCAGAAATAAAGGGTTCGCGGAGCTAAGCATGTCCGCACATGCTCATGTATTGAATGACAATATTCGGAGAACAACTGGAGCTCAATTAGTTGGGGTACGCCCCTTGCGCCCTCAAGCTGCAACCTGCCCTCTCCTAGCCCAGGGTTCTTCTCTTGCGCATAAGCTTCTATCCACCAAGCTGGGGAAAGCAGGTAGCATTATGCAGGGAGTCTCGCCTTGGCCACACTTTCACCCTGGGAGACGAGACTAGCGGATTTCAGCTCCGACCGTTCCTAGCTGCGGCTTCTCTGGTTGGATTCTTTATTGAACCAGGCGATTGTTTTTGTTCGTTGGCAGAAAGAATACTGGATTTTGGATGTTATATTAGGACAAGGTTCCCGGGTACCCCTCGCTCTATTCCTTTCTCATGGATCTGGGGATGAAGACTCTTTGACTGTTATCACTCGTTTGGAATCACGAACTTTCGCTCCCGACTTTCAGTTACGCTTGGTTATCTCGGTCTTCTTGTTCATTCGATAGGTCTGTGGATGGTGGTATTATCTACATCGGGGAACCATATCAATTCTGGTTTATCATACATTGTCCACGCAATCTTGCCGACATCAATCCTCGGTCCATAGGGGTTGTCAACAATGAACGGGTTACAACTTCGCGACGCCATCTTTAAACGGGAGTACGGCAATCCATATCTCTCTCCGAGAGGGATGCAAGGTTTAGTTGTCAGTGTGGTCTTTACATCGCTCGCAGCTTCCTTCGTTGGGATTCGCCTATATACGCGACTCAAATTCCTGAGGCGCCTGGAAGCCAATGACTGGATGGTTGTCATCGCACTGGTCAGTTACAAAATTCCTCTAGATATTTTTGATCGCGGAAGCTTATGATCTGTGTAGATCAGTTCTTTCATCTTCATGGGCTTGGACATCGTCGAGGCTACGAGTGGCATGGGAATGCATCTCAAAGATATCCCACCCAATATCCTTGAGAGACAGCTAAAGGTATGCCAACCTGTCTTATTTTCCCAAAAAAAACTGCTATCTAATTTCAGTCGCAATTAGGCCTTCTGGCTCACGATCCCCTTTTACAATGCCGCCGTCCTCTGCGCAAAAGCATCCATTCTCATGCAATACTTCCGCGTCTTCCCGACTCGACGTATGCGCATCGTCTGCTGGGTAGTGATCACAATTCTGGGTGTGTATGGAACTTGGTGTATAGTCAGCGCCTTCTTAACTTGTATACCTGTGGCCAAGTTCTGGAACCCTACACTCCCCGGCTTTTGTTTGAGCAGGCCGGGTCTATGGTTTTCGAATGCCAGCATGCACATCACTACTGATTTGGTCATTCTGATTATTCCTATTCCGGCTTTGATGGCCATTGATATCCCAAAGAGGCAGAAGATTGCTTTGATGATTATGTTTGCTTTGGGTGGTTTGTAAGTGACTTCTCCCAATTGACAGTCTGTCAATGTCTAGACTAACCCTGCTCAGTGTCTGCATTACCAGCATTGTCCGTTTGGTCAGTCTCAAGAAGATATCCGACTCAACTGATCCTACTTGTATGTCCCATCACGCCCTGAAAACACTGCCCAGATATCATATCAACTAACCGAATTTCCTAATTCACAGACGATAACGTCGGCGCTGCCTCATGGTCCGCCATCGAATGCAACACCGGCATCATCTGCGCCTGCCTCCCAACTCTAAAGCCTCTCCTCTCCAGGATCGTCCCGGGTCTCATGTCCACCTTTAACGGGAGCAAGCCCACGCAGGGTGTATCCAACGAGCGCTCAGTCACCTGGAACGACGAATCCACACTCGGTGCACCCTGCGAAGACCCCGAGTATGGAGCAGGGGATCCAGAACGCGTATTGGAGCTGTCTGCTGGAAATAATCTTCAGTATGGGGGCAGGTCTCTAGTTGAGAAGAATCAGACGGCGGATGATACTTCGATTGCGGAGCTTATGAAGCACCAGCACCACCAGCACCACCAGCATCGACACCAGTATAGCATTTCGACTGGTTCGTTCCCCTTGCACAAATGATACCCACAGCTCCATGCCAAGCTGGGGCAGTAACAATTGTCCTTCGTTTGGTGCATGACGTGTTCATGATTCAGGCTCTTGAGGAGTGCTATCAGAAAGACTCCCTCGTTTTGTTTGATGCAATGCTCTTTTCCGTCATCACTTTTTTCTTTACATACTGTTATTACCCTTTCGATAACGTTAGTTGACTTGTTTCTTTATATAAACTATAGTCATTAGTATATCACAGACAAAGCGATCAGAATAAATCAGAGGGGATAGATCGATGAGGCCGAAATCGCTTCGAAGCCATTGCTCTAGCTAATGTGGTATAGACAGACAATCAAACCCGCCCAAAGGGCTTGCAAACACAGAATTTATACCGTCATGCTATACGCATTCTCTTAAAAGTCCGCAAACTCCTTATCAATCTCCTCAAAGTAATCAAAGACTCCCTTGAACAGCTTCACGCCCAGGCCAGGGTCCAAGCTCCCAGTGGTAGCACGAATGCTGTGCATGCTGAGCTGGGGGATACCACAGTCGATAGATCTCATTCCGATCTGCGCGCTAGTCATTGGACCGATGGTGCCACCACTGCGCGAATCGTTCCGAATCTGGAAGACCTGCAGTTTTGATCCACAGCGAGCAGCAATACGTTTCAGAATGCTGTTGCTGACGCTGTCGGTGGTCATGTGACCATTGGAATCGGCGGAGACAGTGACACCAACGTTCAGCCGGGGAGAGTGGTTCTCGAGGTATACGTTGAGAAAGTTGGGGTTCACGGCGTGAATGACGTCGGACGAGACCAGGAAGCTGTTGGCAACGGTCTGTGAGAGGAGGTTGGGGCCGTAAGCGCCCTCGGCAAAGGCCTCGGTGATTCGCTCCATGACGCTGCTCATGAAGTTAGATCTGGCGCCCTGGCGCAGCAGACTGCCAATCTCCTCGTCGTCAAACATTCCAACCATCTTAACGATACCAGGGGAGGTATCGTCGCTAGACGCCAGCAGTGCCTCGTGAGCAGCATAGCAGCAGAGCTTATCGTCAATGCGACCGGCAAAGATCAGGTCCTTCTCCAAGCCTCCAAGTTGGGCTGGCTGCGTGTCAAAGAGCTCCAATTCCCAATCAATAATGTTGCTGTAATCTGTGACACCAAGCTCATTGGAGATAATCTTGACGAGCTTCTCGGGTTGAGTCGCGGCAAAACTTCCGACTTTGATGTCTGTCGACTCAGTCGTCGTCGTTTCGAAAAGATCGGAGTTATCAACACCAATGATGGGCACCATCTGGGTCTCCGGGTTGAACGGTCCGTTCGCAGGGGATCCGAAATGAGGAGCAAGAGTGGGAATACGCGCGATGGGCCAGTCCAGCTTAAGCAGCTTAGACTCGACCTTGCCAGTCTCCGGATCACGAACAATCACACGACCACCAATACCGAGGTCTCGGTCCCACCAGGTCGGGCCCAGTCCTCCGGCATACGGGGCCACTGCCAGCTGCCTGAAGCCAGCCTTTGTAGGGAGCTTCGACACGGGTTTGAGCTTGGCCGTGAGAGCATCCACGTGTCCTGCCACGACCGCGATACCATTACCGCTCTGGTATTCCTTGCCAATATTGAAAGCGAGCAGCGAGCTGCCATTACGGGAGACATAGAACTTGCCGCCGCGCTTTAGCTCGGAGGTCCACACCGCACGTTCAGACAGCTGCTTGTAGCCGTTCTTCTCGAGGTCTTGGGAGAAAGACTTGACGGCATGGAAGATGGTCGGGTTGGCAGTCATAAACTCGCAATAAGGCTTAGAGTAGTCTTCAGGACGAATGGGCGCATCGGTCGTGGCTGGTGCAGGAGCTGCTTGGGCTGGTGCAGCGGCTCCAGCTGGAACTGGACGAGTATAGCCACACTCCGGCAGCTGAGCATAGATCTGCGAGGCCCAGGGCCGATCAAGTCCGGCAGCGTGTCTTCTGGTCATGGTACAGGTATTGCAGTTGGGAGTAAAGTGGGAATTGGCGGTGGAAGGGGAAGGTAGTATCGGAGTAAGATTGGAGATGGGGAAGGAGTTCGAGTCTCGTGAGGGGGAAAGGCGGAGCGAAGGAGGCTGGCGGGCCCTGCCGCTGGCTTATCGCCGATGTTGACTCCGGCCTGATAACGAGATTCAGGTTCGCGATAACGCCAACCGCCTTGGCTGCCTGAAGACTAGACGAGTCAACTCCTGCGCCAAATCTGGGTGTTCCTGGACAGGCTATTTTGAATAACGTGTGATAGATCTACTCACTTTCAGCCGCAGCCCGTTGATTCCTGCAGCCGGATTCTGCGTTCGCCTCCAGTCCAGTGGCTGGAGAAAACATTTGAGCAGAATCACAGAGTCTCACGGAAGACATACATAGCTCTCCATCAGGAGATCAACCCTACCTAGGGGACATTTTGAGCACCGGGTTGAAGATTCTAACAGAATACAAGATTCACTGCATTCAGTCTGTTCAGGCTTAACATGATCAAGGCTGCTCCAGTCGGGTGCATCGCATCGCCGCCATTTCCGCTGAACCTGTCTATACTCCACATTGCTGGAAATGGACCCCCAATCATGGCTTCAGAAGACATCAAGCTTGAACTAGCACCTGACTTGCATTGTTCAGTGCCATAGAACTGCAAACATGAACTTGGAAATATGACCAGATGTAGGAACGCAGGGCTCATATCTAATAGTGATGTCAGCGGCCGGAATTACCCGAAACCTGTTTAGTATAACCTCAAGCCTGGTACACACCTGACACAGTGCAATGACGCAGATACGGGTAATCACAAACTTACCTTAATATAAGAGTACAAAACGAACGATATAGAATATATGGGAGCCATTGATCTTCTTTACGCATTTCGACCTACAACTTTACTTCCAAGTGAAAAAGTTCTAGAAACTCAGCATGGCTGTATCTGAGGCTGCAAATATCGTGGAGAAAGTGATTGGCCACGATGATAACGCGACCATCACCACCGATGTGAGTAATTATCGGAATGAATATGGCATGGAAACTGGCCCCTTGATCAAGGCCACTACCTGGCAAGGAAAGAACAAGGTCTCTGTGGGTAGGTTGGCCCCCTTAAGATAATCTCACATTATTTAGCTGCTAATACCATGGTTTATATCAGTGGAAATGCCCAAGCCGAGAGTCATTGATCCAGGGGATGTGATCGTCAAAGTGACCGGAAGCACGATCTGTGGGAGTGATCTTCATCTATACCATGGTGAGAGCAGTGTCAAACCCCACATACCCGATTTTCACTAATCTCTTCCGATGTAGGCGTCATCCCCCAGCTCCAAAAGGGCGATGTGTTGGGCCACGAGTGTTGCGGTATTGTTGACAGCGTAGGACCCGAGGCAACCAAAGTCAAGGCCGGTGATCGAGTGGTAGTATCTTTCCCGATCGCCTGTGGCCACTGCAAGAACTGCAACAGAGAATTATACTCACAGTGCGACAATACCAATCAGAATACTATCAGTAATGCCATGTACGGCAACAGGACGGCCGGCATGTTTCCCTCACTTGACTCCCACGACGTGACAACAACAGTGCTGACAATCAGTAGGCATCTTTGGGTACTCGCATTTCACAGGCGGCTTTGCAGGTGGCCAAGCCGAATATCTTCGCGTGCCATATGGAAACACCAATCTCTTCCCAATCCCAGATGAGGTCCCGGACGAGAAAGCACTCTACTTATCAGACGTGATCGCAACATCCTGGCACTGCGTCGTCGACACAGGTGTTCAAAAAGGAGACGTCGTGGCTATCTGGGGCGGCGGACCTATTGGCCAAATGTGTGCCGAATTCAGCTTTTATCACGGGGCCAGTCGGGTCATCCTAATTGACGGTGGCGATGGTGCCTGGAGACTGGATTTTGTGAAGAGCAAAGTGCCTCAACTAGAGACTATTGATTTCACAAAGCTTCCTAAGGCCGAGTCGGTCACATCGCAGCTGAAGAAGATGGTGGATGGCGGACCAGACGTGGCGCTGGAGTGTGCGGCGGGAGAGTATGCTAAGGGGTGGGCGCATTACTTTGAATTGATGCTGGGTATGGAGACGGATAGTTCGGAGATTCTGAATGAAATGATCATCTCTGTGCGGCCGTTTGGACGTGTGGGTGTGACGGGGGTCTACGCGGGATATGTAAGTGCAGCAGCCCAGCAGTCTTTAGACTGGACGATACACTTCGTGCTATACAGGTCCAAGTGCTGATCAATGTATGCCTTCCTCAGACGAACCACTTCAATATTGGAGCCCTTATGGAAACGGGCGTTCGATTTATCGGAAATGGACAGGCGCCCGTCCAGAAGTACTGGAAAGAGCTTATGGGGCTCATCCAGGAAGGGAAAATCAACCCGCTGGATATGGTAACCCATCGTATCCGCCTGGAGGATATGGAAAAAGTCTATGCCGCATTTGACCGGCGAGAGCGAGGCATGCAGAAGGTTTTTGTGCAGACCAAGAATTCTGCTCCCCGTTCTGCTGGGGCACCCACTTTGACCGAGTTATAAGAGATGCATAATGAAGTACAGGGGGAATACACTCGTTCTGGACCATATGAGTATGTATCCTTAGTTTGTATAAGTGTACCATTAGTTGACGTTATATCTCTTTCATTATGATCGAAAAGAATGTGAGTCCACCAGTCGGCCCTCGTACTATTTGCATTAGACCACCGGTCGGTAGTCGGCCAAATCCACTCTGGGATATGCAACTTTCTAATCCAATAACGAGTGGAACGAGGTGAAATTGATCATAGATGCGGATCCTTGCCATCGTGTCTCCATGCTTATTCCCGTGCTATTGCCACTCTGTGACATCGTCAGCCTTGGCTCATGAGTCACGATCGAGCTGTAACGAAGAGCCGGTAGTTCAATAAACCTCGGTTATGTAATTGATCCGTCGTATTCCACCTCACTGAGAAGCACGCCGGAATCCATTTCCCAGCATTTGCGGGCATTTCCTCCAGAAAAACCCCTCCTACCCACGGAACTAGGTTGGGTGAGTCTTGCCAATGACGGCGTCGCTTGCGAATGATCCGCTTTTCGGCTCTCATTCGGGGTTATGCTCGTTGGACAGGGCAGAGCGGGGGCAGCAAGGAGCCACTGCTTGATAAGAAGAGGTTTTTTGGAGGGGGAGCTAAGACGCTGCAGTTAAGGAACTCGGAATTACTTGCACAGGCGGGGCGCTAATGGCGTGGAACAATTAGAACGTGATGGAGGAGAGGATGGCCCGTGACTCCAAATTTTATTTCAGTTTCTTCTCGTCATCGCAATTCCCTCGCTCATGGATCGGCGGGCAAAGCAAATGCAAACGTTGATCGTGGTCGTCCGGATTGCCCGAACGGGACATAGCGCCATCTGATAAGATCACGGCGTTCCCCCGAGAGCGGCGTTGAGGGCATGGGTTCATTAGGTATTCCCAGCCTGTCGATCCACTTGGCTGTTACACCGCTAGCAGGACTCGGTCGGGAAAAGTGAAACGGTGCATGATGACTGCGCTGATTGGTGCAAGCACTGATTCTGCTAGGTAATAAATACTCCATACTGAATGGGGTCGATGAGGGAAGGTCTGAATTATTGTCGGGGAGGGTAGATGGGCTTGTCCACCCACAAGAAGAGGATTAGGCACTGTCTTCTCAATTTCTGCCTTTCAGTTGATAGCACTGAAAATTGGAGGCATACTATGGCTCGCTACAGCTTATGATTGATCGTCAATTCCTTGTTGTTGTAGTATAATCCCCGACCAGGCATTCCACCGTGTGTGTTGTCCAATCTCATAAGGAAGAAATGAATCATTATTCTTTAGAGCAATGGTCCCCTCAGTCAGCCCACTGCTCGGCAGTGCTTGCCGGGTCTTTTCGATCTGATAAAAATTCTGACGAGGACAATAATCATCAGAACCAATAAACATTTCCTTGTAGATCCACCTCGAGGGGGGGGGGGGGGGGGGGTTGGACCACTGGCTAGTGCATCCGAAACCGGCATCATGTGAGGGCAATCTAATCTGATCATCGCCCTTTTCTTCGTCTCTTCCCGCTTTTTGCCTCGAACTCTCCGTCCCATTTTCCTCACTATCTGGCCTTGATCTTTTTGACTGTTTTGCTTATACCCCTACTCTCCCATTTCCTTCCATTCACTCCCCCCTTCCCCCCTAATACCTCATCTCAGCTCTCCTTGTGGTGCCTGTTCCATTCCAAGCCCCTCGCTTATCGGCTCGTATGAGCCCACATCCGCTCTTCCGACCGAGACTGACGACCGTGCGTACTTCCCGAGGCCGCCCGACCTCGTCCTCCTCTCGATCCTCCCATGTCCCTCGACGCTCCTCCATGTCCCTGCTGACCCCCAACCCAGTATCTGAAGTGACTTCGGCACCATAATGGCCACGACAGGCGTGTCCATCACGCCTGCAACGGCCATCGCAGCCGCTCCGCCACCACTGGCCATTGGCCCCGCGTTGGCTGCCCGGCCATCCGTAGCTCCTTCGCCTGGCCCAGGCACGCCCGGCTCGATTACTTCCAGGGAATGGGTGATTCCACCTCGCCCCAAGCCCGGTCGCAAGCCTGCGACTGATACACCACCAACCAAGCGCAAGGCTCAGAACCGCGCCGCCCAGCGAGCGTTCCGAGAGCGAAGGGCAGCGCGGGTCCAGGAACTTGAGGAGCAAATGAAAGAGATCGAGGATGGTCACGAACTCCGCATCGCCGCTTTCACCGAGCAGATCGGCAACTTGTCCAGAGAGGTGGAACAGGCCCGGGAGGAGGTGAACTGGTGGCGCGACCGATGTCATTCCCTGGAGAAGGAAGTTTCTATCGAACGAAGTGCCAAGGAGGCTCTAGTCAAGGAATTCCGGTCTTCCGTGTCTGCCTCGAGTAGCCACCACAAATCTTCCACTATCCCCGACTCGGTGCCTCTACCACCACGCAATCGCCCGTCAACCAGAGGCTCCCGCATGGAGGATGTGGTCCCGACCAGCGTCGACCAGAACAAGGAACAGGGCCAGGAAAATGTGCCCTTAGGATGTAACAGCTGCACTTCTACGCACTGCCAGTGTATTGAAGACGCGTTCGGGATGCCGATCGATACCCACGAGTCGTCTCGTGCTAGACATCCCCCTCACGGTGTTGGCAGCCCCGTCCGGGAGAACTCGGAGCCGGAGATCAAGCCTGACCCAGAGGAGATGGAAATCGATTTTACATCTCGGTTTGCTGCTGTTCCCGTGCAGGCAAACTCCAACTCCAACAGCAACAGCAACAGCCACAGCCACAGCAATGCCTCTTCGCCACCCGTCGACCCTTGTGGCTTCTGCCAGGACGGCACACCTTGCATCTGTGCCGAGATGGCCGCCCAGGAGCAACAGCAGCAGCAGCAACAGCAGCAACGTGGCGCGCGCAACTCTTTCGAGAGCAACCGTCTTGCTCCTATCCAGTCTATCTCTCAGTTCACTCCTCCCCCTTCCGACGGCGATGTCCGTTCTGAGATGACTCTCCCGCCAATCAGCCAAGCGACCAATCCCTGCGCCAATGGCCCCGGTACTTGCGCCCAATGTCTTGCCGATCCTCGGAGCACCCTCTTTTGCAAGACGCTGGCAGCCTCCCGGTCAGCGAGCGGAACTCCAGCGGGAGGAGGATGCTGCGGCGGCAAGGGAGCCGACGGGGGATGCTGCATGTCGCGCAATGCCCCCGCCCCCTCGACCGCGCGTAACAACCCCTCCATGCCTCCGCAATCTGCCGCACCCAAGCACCCTACGCCCAGTGCGCTCACCTTGAGCTGTGCCGATGCCTTTACTACGCTTTCTCGCCACCCGAACTTCAACCGGGCCAGCGACGAGATCTCAACGTGGTTGCCTAAGCTGCACACCCTCCCCAACCCGCAAGATCTGGCGCGGCCTGCTATGGAAGTCGAAGCAGCCAGCGTCATGGGTGTGCTTCGCTACTTTGATCGGCGCTTTGCCGATAAATAAACGCGGTCCTGTATTACGATTCTGCTCTACTTTCCCCATGATTTCTGCATCGGGTCTCCTTCTCCGCCTCCCGGCTACCTTGATACCCACCTTCCCGATTGCTTCATGTACCATCATATACTCTCCATCCTTCCCCCTTCTTCTTGGTGCGACCATGCCTTTACATAAGGGCACACCGTTACACCATTACTACGCTTGGGAGCTTGGACACCAATCCAACCTTACATCATTGGTAGCCTACCCTCTGACCTCCCAGCGCGGAGCACCACCCACTATCCCCTCTCCCCAAAAGCACGCCAGTGAGTTTTACTTTTGATCTTTTGACTGGTGAATCATCTGGTGCCTTTTGCCGCTGCTGGATCGACGTCACAGAGACCTTCCTGACCGATATGAACATGGCCTATGGTTGAATAGCGGCTAAGCCTCTTTTGCCCGCTTTCAATGTCTCTGTATGACTCCACGCTTCTAGACCATTGGGTTGTAATGGCGTTATGGTCTTGTTTGAATTATTGCCATGTGTACGTTGTGTTATTTATGAATGAAATGATTTATCCTCGTGAGATTGGCTGTCAGGCAGTACCGTATAACATAGTTTCTCGAGGGCCTCGATAGCTGGTCACTTGCCTGTAACCATTGGTATGCTTTACAGGATGGGTAATTGCGGGCCATTAGAGGCATAGAGAATGACTCGGTTTCAAGAACAAAGTTAATGAAGATGTGAAATTACTCCGTGTTTCAGGATACTATGTAGAAGAAGAGGGTTTATACATATTCGCGGAACCAATCAGCGACGCCGGTCGCCTGCCCCTGGATCCATTCCCTGGGGTATACGGTGTGAACAGAGGGAGGAGGGGAGAGTCGAGAAAAAAGAAAGAAACATCAACCGCATATCATAACACCCGTCTCAGACCTTCCGCGGTTTGCACATTCTCAAAACGACGCTGGGACGAGTTGATATTGACCAAAAGGTTGAGAGGGTTGACTATCGCATCGCGCAGGATGGCGATATCACCCCACCAACAGGACTAAGGTGGGCATTCCCGGTGCAAGAACAGGCAAGAAAAGCTAGCTGCTTAGAAGCGCCCGCCACTGGACCGGCCGTGTCCACCTAGCATGCTCACCTCCTCCTCGCTGCCGCTAGCGAAGCCGCCTAGCAGGCTGGCTCCCCAGATACCAGCGATACCCCACATACCAATGCGCCAGCCACGGTACAGACCCTGAATACCCTGGCCTTGCTGGCGCTTCGAGACCTGCTGCTGAGTGGTCGGTCGGCCGACGGCAATGCGAGCGCGCTCGGCATCGGAGGGTGCAGAGCTGACGCCCTCCTCATGGACGATGTGCCACATGGTTCCCACGATACCACGATAGGTCCGTGGCGTAGGAACAATAGTCTCTACATCCGAAGCGTCGATAGACGCAGCCCGAATGCTGCCGCCGGAGGATTTCTGGCGCAAGCTGAGGGAAGTGTAGGTGGCGATTTGGGCGCGGCGGAGGACGGTCTCGAGGGGAAAGCGCACGGCGAGTTCGAGGCCCGAGCTAAGGAAACTGAAGAGATTCCACATAGAGGGGTTGAGGAGGGGGTCAATCGACAGGTACGATCTGAGGAAAAGTGGTGCTGATGTCGTGATGAAATTGGGCAAGCTGGAGTGGATAATGGTAATTGGGACGAGGTGCGGTGGGATGGTGCAGTTGGGAGTGGGAAGCTGGCGAATGGCGCGGATGAGGGAGCGTGGGCCGTGTGTTGCGGGCGTGAGCATTAAGAAGGTGCGCGCTGTGTCGATGGGGGAGAGGAGAATCGCGGAGAGGGACGATGAGATGAAGGAGAGGATGAGTGTGGCCAGCGGAGAGGGAACCGTCAGGATATCAGCTGCCATTGACGAAGCAATATCCTCCTCTGGTAGGCCCACGATAGCAGACAAGAGACTGCGGATAAAGGTGTTGAGGGTTGGAAGTAGTAGTGAGTAGATGAAGGTGGCGTTGGATGCCTTCCATGGAGAGCTTGGTCCGCTGGTTGACCACAGCTGGGAGAGTACATCCATTAAGGAATTGGGATTGCGGAGAGTGAGCGCATGTTTGGATGGGACTGGTGCCTTCTCTAGGCGAATGTAGCCACTGCGGTCGGTGATGTGATGGTGTCGACCCCTTCGGGTTCGCGGTGTTGTGGGGGTCGGTGTAGCCGGCGCTGCCGATGTGAAGTAAATGCTCTCATCGCCCGATGATTCAGAGTCCTACAGATGAACTTTCTCAGCCCCGCTCGCGAATGTCCAAAAACAAAATCACAATCATACCGAGTCATAATGGCTGCCTTCAGCTCCCGGAGTTCCCTTCCGCTCCTCCTGTTCCTCTATAGGATCTGGCACGACATACACCTGCAAGATGGTTTTGGCAACATCAAAAGGCTGCGCGGTAAGAACCTTGCTGTATCGCACGAGAGCTCGGTTCAGATTATCGCGGACCCAATCCGACACCGATGGCGAAGAGTCGAGATAGTCGGCATAGTCAATATCTGGGATGAGATGGCGCGCCGAGCTCCCAAACACTTGGGCGGATGAGGACGACGTCACCTCGGTACTGACGTTTGTCGCGGTGGGCGACAAGCCCGACTGAGGGATATAGTAGGGCCGCAAAGGGTTGATCCCTTCACGAGTCGCCATGGTTGGATGACGAGAAGAGGGGTTTGGGTGGGATTCGGGGATAAAAAAAAGTCGAGAGTCGGAGAAAGACTCAAAGTTGATGGATTAGCCCGAACAGCCCGACGCCGCCTTTAGCTTTGTCAGTCTTTTTTTCGTTGCCGGCCATTGGACGATCGCTGCCCGCGCTCTCTCTCCTCGCCCCAGATCTTTTCCCGACTTCGTGTCCGATACCCTACTTTTTCCCTCTTTCTTGCTTTGTTCAAGACCACTCTACACAATGGCCCTCTGGCGAGAATTCGGCCTGCAATTGCGCCGTGCCGTGCCCAGGGCCAGCGCCGGCGACGTGTGTCTTGCCCGCCCGCGGAGATACGTCAGTTACTCGACTGCGCCGTGGAGAACCGGAGGGGCTGCAAACCCGAGTCTGAGGAATACTGGTGCGAAGAAGGACCTCCGGTCGGTGTCGCAGGGGTGGACGGAGACACGGCGGTGCTTCTCCGTCACGGCGCAAGCTGCCCACGGCCATATCACGCCGCCGAAGCCGGGCGAGGAGTGAGTCAACACACGGCGGCTTCGGGATAGCCTTGCTTTACTAACTACAAGAATAGGATCAATGTGACATTCATTGACAAGGATGGCAACAAGGTGGAATTGCAGGTGGCCGAGGGGGATAACCTGTTGGACATTGCACAGGCCAACGATCTTGAGATGGAGGGTACGTTCATGTTTGAGTATCCATTCGGCCAGTTGCTGATTTTACTTCTTAAATAGGTGCCTGCGGTGGCTCTTGTGCCTGTTCAACATGCCATGTCATTGTCGAAGACCCGGATATCTTTGACAAGATGGAGGAGCCCTCGGATGACGAAAACGATATGCTGGATCTTGCCTTTGGTCTTACGGAGACATCGCGGCTGGGCTGCCAGGTGATCATGACCAAGGAATTGGATGGCCTGGTTGTACGCCTGCCATCTATGACCCGGAACCTCCAGGCGAGTGACTTTGAGTCGAAATGAGTGGGACATCAAAGAAAATCTGGGAGTCATGTCTAGGTAGACATCATTGAACAGGCGCAAAGCCAAGAACACTTCAGTCCATAGGGACTCTGTATTATTTGCATTTAATTTGGGCGAGCAGATCTGCAAGATACCAAATGAAACATCTCCTGTACCATTTGTATAATACCATCCTGCAAGACTGATTTACAGGTGAATCGAAAAACAAGATAGTAAAGAAACAATAACGTAGAATCTCCCAACGCCGGAAACATGCCATGGGTAGTAATCATAGATCCCTTTTTAAGCCTCCTCGATATTCAAAGCCTTTCCCTTCTTGCCATTGATCAGCTCAAGGAAGCCTTGCTTGCTGACCTCATTCACAGCCTTCTCCCGCTCTCCCATGCCAACAGTTCCCTTCTTGCGCTCGTCTCGGGCAGCCTCTTCACCACGGACCTGAGCAGCGCGCACAGCATTGAACAGCTTGACAACACCACGCTGTGCTGTCTTACGCAGGCGCTTTTCTTCTTCTCCCACTTGTCCCGTCAGACCTCTCTCAATGCCCATCACATCACGAACACGGCCACGGTCCAGCTCTTCCTTCTTCTCGGCACGCAGCTTAGCACGAGCCTGGTTGTCGAGCCTCTCATTCTCCCATTCACTGCTTTTTTGGGCAGCGTATCTGCTTCGCGAGAGGACGGGGTCGGCACGGGCGGAGACTGGGAGCTTGGTGGACAGAATTTTGGAGATGGATGTAGAGAATGCAGAGGGGTCGTTTCGTTTAGGAATAGCACGGCGCTTGCCGCCCGTAGTGGATTGCTCATCCTCGGAAAGATCATCATCTTCTTCAGAGCCGGACATGTCGATGTCTTTGTCGTCGGCTTCATCATCATCGACCTCCTCGTTGTCGTCGCTGGATTCTTGCTCCTCGGCAGTAGGTTTTTGCTTGATTGCAGGTGTCGACTTGGTGGTCTTCTTCTTAGGAACAGGAGCAACAATAGAGGTCTTGTTCACCAGAACACCTCCATCTTCTTCTTCGTCGGAATCGGCGAGATTGACAGGCTTGAAGTTGGTCTGATCATCGTCCTGTTCATCTTCGGAACCGCTGTGATACTCGCGCTGCTTGCGGAACTTCTTTGGTCTGTTGGTCTTGCCTTGCATGCCATCCTGGACCTTGCGCTTCTTTGAATATGACCCAACCATTGTGAAAGAAATTGCAAATTGATTGCTGGGTGGGAATAATCTGCGAGTTGGAGTTGGTTCATCGCGAAGCCGTCCAACTTTTTTTTGGGCGGTGAGACCCTCCCGCTCTCCGATTGGGACTCCGCATTGCCTCCTTGGCCTTTCGGCTGTCGCCCCTCCACTTGTGGTCTTCTGCTTGTCCCCAGGATTGCTGTGAATTAATCTCACCTACGATCTCCCTCAACCACCCATCATGGTTCTTCAGGATCTCGGGCGGCGTATTAATTCCGCCGTCAATGACTTGACGAGGTCTAATAACCTCGATGAAAAGGTACCGCAATGCTCTCGCCTCACTGGGGTCTACACGATCGCGTATGCTAACTAGACCAGGCATTCGATGACATGCTCAAAGAGATTTGTGCTGCCCTTCTCTCCGCCGATGTAAACGTCCGACTTGTCCAGACCCTTCGCAAGTCCATCAAATCCAGCGTCAACTTCTCCTCCCTCCCCGCCGCCGTCAACAAGAAGCGCCTGATCCAGAAGACTGTCTTCGATGAGCTGGTGGCATTGGTCGACCCTCATGCGCAGCCCTTCCGTCCCAAGAAGGGTCGCCCCAATGTGATCATGTTCGTCGGTCTCCAGGGTGCGGGTAAGACCACCACCTGTACCAAGTTGGCTCGTCACTATCAGACCCGTGGGTTCAAGACGGCGCTGGTTTGCGCGGATACCTTCCGTGCTGGTGCCTTTGACCAGCTGAAGCAGAATGCGACCAAGGCCAAGATTCCATACTACGGTAGCTTGACCCAGACCGATCCCGCTATCGTGGCCGCCGAGGGTGTTGCCAAGTTCAAGAAGGAGCGTTTCGATATCATCATTGTCGATACTAGTGGTCGTCACCGTCAGGAGGAGGAGCTGTTCACCGAGATGACCCAGATTCAGACTGCCGTCACTCCCGACCAGACCATTCTGGTCCTTGATGGTACCATTGGTCAGGCTGCCGAGTCTCAGTCGGCCGCTTTCAAGGCCACTGCAGACTTCGGTGCTATTATCATTACCAAGACTGACGGTCATGCCGCCGGTGGTGGTGCTATCTCAGCTGTCGCTGCTACACACACTCCTATCATCTTCCTCGGTACCGGTGAGCACATGATGGATCTCGAGCGATTCGAGCCCCGCGCATTCGTCCAGAAGCTTCTGGGTATGGGCGATGTGGCCGGCCTTGTTGAGCACGTACAAGCCATCACCAAGGACTCCAGCTCGGCTAAGGAGACATACAAGCACATCGCCGAGGGTATCTACACTATTCGCGATTTCCGCGAAAACATTACCTCGATCATGAAGATGGGCCCTCTTTCCAAATTGTCCGGCATGATCCCCGGTCTCTCAAACCTGACCCAGGGTCTGGATGACGAGGACGGTTCCATGAAGCTGCGTCGCATGATCTACATCTTCGATAGTATGACTGCCGCCGAATTGGACAGCGACGGCAAGACCTTTGTTGACCAGCCTAGCCGTATGGTCCGCATTGCCCACGGCAGTGGTACCACTGTTCGCGAAGTTGAAGACCTTCTCTCCCAGCACCGCATGATGGCCGGCATGGCCAAGCGGGTCGGTGGCCAGAAGAAGCAAATGCAGCGGGCACAGAACATGATGAAGGGCGGTAACAACCAACAGCAGCTCGCCGCCATGCAGAAGCGTATGGCTGCCATGGGTGGTGCCGGTGGAATGGGTGGCATGCCCGGTATGGGCGATATGGCCAAGATGATGCAGATGATGGGCGGTGGCCAGGGTGGTGGTATGCCTGGTCTCGGAGGCATGGACCTGCAGAGTATGATGAGCCAGATGGGCGGGCTGATGGGTGGACTGGGAGGTATGGGAGGTGGCGGCGGTGGACGAGGTCGTGGACGGTAGTTTGCAAAAGCTGCCCGTGACTTGTCCTCTCCCTGTATTCCCCATACCCATTCACGGTTCATCGACTTTGCATCTAGCTGGCGTTTGGTGTTTTGAAGATATCGTACATTCTCTGTGGCCTTGACAATATGATGTCTGTCTATCTGAATAGGCCTACAATGTTTTAAAGCAGTTTATAGTTATGCACTATTGATGACAATTTGCCTTGAAGGCTTGAAATTCCAATTTTGACTATGCGACTCTGCTATAACCTACAAATCACTCTCCTTGACGAAGGAGAGGCGTCTGAAGGCTGGACCTCCCTTGACTCCTTGCATAGTGACATTACTTGCACTGCTAACTGAGTCTCTCTGCAGCCTGAACTTTGTCCAGCAGAGTATAATAAGTTGCAGTCGCGATGTCAAGGCAGTAATGTGCCAGCTCCTCCGTTCTACCGATGGCAGTCTTGAACGCAACATCCCATCCATTCTTGACAAGCTTATCCTCCAGCACCCGTCCAGGAGGGAAATGAATCCGTTTGGCAGAATCCTGTGTAGCACGGGCCCCAGCAGCTGCCTCCAGTGGGATACTAAGACGGTATTTCCAAACGACCTCGCCATCAACGTATAGCGAGTACGTGAGTATCGAGCTTCGCACGGGAACAGGGGCCGGAGCAGCAGGATCAACCTCGTCAGCGCCATCGGCGATATCAATGTATCCGAATTTACTGTTTCCATCAGGTGCGTACTTCACAGAGACATCCTCGTCGTCTGTCTGATAATACGAGCGAATGGGAAGGTAAAACATGCTGAGCGGACCAACGCTGAACTCGTGAATGCCCAGGCCTGGCGTATCCGACTGTAACTCAGAGGGAGGTAGTTCAAGACTGGGATCTGGGAAGCGCGTGGCGCCGAATTCGTGTCTGTCGCCGCTCAATAGAACGACGCGCACATTGAGCTCGCGTTCAGTGCGCCACATTGCTTCGAACACGGTGCGGCGCTCGTTCAGGAAGCCACCCCATGTATCTGTCGTACCGACGTGCCAATTCTTGGTGAAGGGTACGCTGGAGCTGATGATTTTCCAATGGACACCTTCCGGCTCTGGAGTGCTGAGGTAGGCCAGGAGTGATTGGAGTTGTGCATGACCCAAGATAGTAGAGTTGTCCTGGGATGGCGCGGAGCGATATGTGCGGGTATCGAACATGAAGAACGAGGCTGGCCCGTTGACGAAGGAGAAGTAAGTTACTTCGTCAGGATGGGCAAACGCTTTCTCCGGGATGGGCGGATTGGCGGCAACATGGTAGTGCAAGAATGGATCCGCGGCAGCCGGATAAGGCGCCGTCTTGTTACCCTGAGACCAGTCATTCGCGATTTCATGGTCGTCAAGAGTATGGATCAGGGGAGGTCGATGGCAGGGCCATCGACTGAGCTTGCTGCCCATGAAGGTGAGGAATATATCCGGCGGTATTCACTACGGTAGTGGTCCATGGAAGAGCCGAAACGGATGGGTACATCGATGTACACAAAGTCGCCCAGGAACAGCATGAAGGCTGGTCGAAGGAGTGCGGGGAGCTTGCCAAGTGCTTCCGTCATTTTCTCGATTCCTGGAATCTTTAATGGATGCGAGAGGATGTTGTATGGGAAGTTTGGCTTTATGCAGCTTGATGTGACGAAGGATAGCCTGTTCGCCGCGGGGGACCCTGGCTGCGGCGCCGTGATAAAGCTACCAGTTTTATTGTTGGATAGCGAGTACTTGTAGTGGGTTGACGGTTTCAAGTTTTTCAATGTCACAGCCGCGGTATAATCAGTGCTGTTGTCCAGTTTGTATACCGTCCCCTCTTCAGTCAATTTTTGAGAGGATGGGGAAGAAACCTCCCGGTATGAGATCACCACGGGCAATTGACTTGGATCTGGCTCGCGGAAGAGCAAGTTGGCCGTAGTTGACGAGACATAGCCAATTCGAGAGAATGATACGGCAGTGGTTGGGTACAGTACTAGCCCTCGAATCAGAAAATCGATAGTCAGCAATGCCACTGTGATGTTGATCAGGACCGTTGTCCAGGTCCACAGCGGCGACCGTCTGGAAGGAAGGCCTGTCAGTAGGGTCTTCAGCCCGGAATCGCCGGGCTCGGAAGTTTTGGGTCCTCGAGTGCGTTCTAAATAGTATAAGCTAATAATGTCCGGTTATAAGCTTCTCAGAATTCATTACTTACTGGAGCCTTTTGTGGTACTCCTGGAGCGATTGGATCTTGGGTGGTCATTTCTGCTCAGCAAAACAAGGGATGTCAAATACACTGCCAGCGAGGTGAAGATGATAGGCACAAAGTGATGACCGGGAATCTAAACCCATTAGGAACGCAAATTGAGAGTGAATGGATCATGATTCATACCCATCTGAGAAAGATGAAGCCGAATAGGCGAATGGCCGCCGAGCTGGTGGCCGTGGCAATGTGCGGGAGAGATGCCATCGTTGCGATTCACCCAGTGACCAAGGGAAAATTAGTGACCATGGCACAGGAGGATGCTGAAGCTCAGACGGCAGATCTGCTCAAGGGGTGAGGTTCTTAAATTTCGATTGACGAATGTCTGGGGCGAGTCATGTTTGTTATGGCAGTGGTGATTGGTGTTCGCAGCTGGCGATGACGTTATTCGTAGCCTAGACCTGGAGGTGCCAAGATCGCCCCCAACCACTACTTTATTGCCTGAATATCCTCTGTACAGGGGATCCTTCGCTGCAAAATTAACGTGTTATCATTCCTATAGACGCTTATATGCAATTCGAAAAACGAGATTGAGATGCATCCATTCCACTCATCGGGTATATATCCTTCCTTCCATCTCCTTTCATAATCCACGTCCTTGGTTCAGCATGTCCTGCAGCAGATTGTTTAAACTGTTAGCCATCGGGCCTGCAGTCAACACTTGACGAGCTGCAACCACCACATCCTTCATGCCCATGCTCAGCGACATCTCCGCAGCCCACTGCCAGGGTTTCTCGCGCTCGCCCGGCATTGCATTGAAATATTCCCAGCCCATCACCCCACCAAAGTTCGGGAACTGATCAACTAGCATGGCCAGGACGACACTGATCTGTTCCCGTGACACATACCCCTGGGATCCATTACCCGGGTTCGTCAATAGACCGTAAACCACACGCCGTGGAGACCAGCCCTGAGCCACGATGGCAGCGTACATCCGCGGATCCTCTGCAAGGCCCCAGCCATTGTAGAACTGGGCGTTGTACCAGTCGATCTTTGAAGCGCGCGCCTGTTCCAGTTCTCGGTAATCAAACCCGGACAAGTTTCCAATCCCAAGTAGAGCTGCAGCCACGGGTGCCAGGGAGATGATGAAATTATCACCCATGTCACTCTTCAACCGATCAATCAACCGAATAACCCCTTGGAGGGACATCTCCTCCTCCACGTCGAGATCAAGGCCGTCGAGTGCATAGCGTCGTATAATAGCCAGCAGGGGGCGATAATACGCCTCAAACTGCTCTTGACTGCGGTCAAGACGTTGGAAAGACCCCTGGGCGGCACCTCCCAGCATTCCCATCACCTTGACCCCGCCTGCTTTCACGAGGGGTACTTCCGCCCATAGCGGGTCGAATTTGGAACTGTCGGGAGGATCATCATTGAGTGTGATATTGCCTGGTCCATCGTTGAGATGGATAGCAGCAAGAATAATATGCGAGATGCCAGTATTGTGCTCCACCAGTGGGAGCATCGACACATATGGCCCTTCGCCGGGAATCAGGGTCTGATGGTAGCAGATCACGCGACGGCGCTCTCGCGCACCACCTGGAATCGGTGGCATATTGAGAGAATTAGGACGCGTTTTCTTTTTGCTCTCAGGTGTGCTCGTCGGCTCGTGTGAATTGGCCAAGTACGGTAGAGGCCCCTGATCAACTGAAGCAGGACTCCTGGAACAGTAGGGCGCCAAGACCACCGTGGAATCCAGAAGCTAGGATATCGATTTTAGTTACACAAGAGTGCGAGAGTGTAGCTGGAAGCTTTGAAATCCCGATTGTCGCATGAACTATGTTGACTGAGATATCACTAGAATCTCCGTAAGAAGCGGAGCCTCATGGGCACCCCGCGACACGGCACAGTGACTAAGCGGGGAGGATGCTCGGTGCCCCATTAAAGATGTACTAACTTACAGAGGTCCATGAGAAATCTGTCAACGATAATCATGACAAAGTCAATTAGAAAAGCCTCTGAAGAAGAGTTTATCACATGAAAACTAATTCGTAATCTTCCTATGTAGCCAAAGCTCGAAATCCCTGATGTTCATACCCGGCATCAATAATGACGCATGGCCTACTATGTATGATAGAGTCCCGAGATACAGATGGTAGTTAATCATCGACACAGTCACATCCATCCCACCCATGTAAGACCCTAGTGAACTATATGTGCTCTCAGTATTGAGGTTTCTATCTTTGAGAATACTTTCGAAGCCAAATCACACACAGGAAGTTTTCTAGGAAAGCGATCACACCTCAATCGCTGACAAGCTTCCAAAGGTGGACGAAGAGAGCCTTTTTAGGCGTAAATATAGGACAACAATGCACCGATTGACCGTTTAGCTAGTTAGTCGTCTAATGATTGGGTACATGGAGAAATAAAAAAAAATTGATTGGAGACAATTCGAATGACATCAAGCTTCGGTTTCGGATTCAATTCCGGCTGGGCTAGGAAGCTTGGGTGAACTTCTCGAATGAACGGGAGTCGCCTCTATTCGTGGTGGGAACGTGGGGATCTAGTGTAATGAACGGGCCAATTGAAAGTGGCCTGAGCATATGAGGCAAATCAAGCCGGTTACTCATTGGAGTATAGTTGCGTAGCCCCTTTGTATATGTGAGCGAAGCGGCGACAGACGTCACAGGAGTATAAAAACTCGGACATCCTGCACTCCTATAATTTTCCCAAGGCTCTGGCTGCCCATTTGAAAAACACAGGCTTCGCCATAAAACGACGGTAGTAACTTCTGATCACTGATTGTTTTCCTGCTTCAGCCTCCGAAATGCTGTATCCTACACTTCGTCTAGCACCTCGGCTTCGGATAGCGGCTTGGCACTGCTGCGGCGTCGCGACTGCAACACCCAAGCATCCCAATCCAGGAAACTTTGCAAATAGACCACGAGAGGAGATGTCAGAGATCGGCTATCGTGGAGGTAAGAAAGGTGGCAAAGCTCGGGGTGTTGGCGGATTCCATGACATGGACCCCGAGAAGCAGGTATGATTTTTCGTTTGGTGCCAGTTCACAGATTAGCGACAACAGCGCATGTCTCAACTAACGAATGAAACAGCATGATATCGCATCTCGAGGTGGACGTGCCACTCGCAAGGCAGCTAGGGAGCTGGCAGAAGCTGGGACCCAGGCACAAAAGCGCGAAACTGGACTGGGCGCAGTGCATAGGCGTTCGCATGAACCTCCCGTGGTACCACCCACGTTTGAAGAATGGCAGACGTGAAGAAATCACATAAATTGCTATAAGTTATCAGAATGAATGTATGCAATCTCGAAGAGCGACCTCCAATGTAAGAAAGAAGGAAGTACTGTAGAAAAGTAGTAGAATCCGCTAGTCCCGAAATGGCAGCGAGTAAACATGGAGCCTCAGGCAGCAATTAATCAACACCATCCGCATTTCATCCCGCGACAGTGTCAACTTTCTTTCCTCACAACTGCTATTGTTATCTCGATACCTATTTATTCAATGCCCCAATGACATAGAGTGTGACGCTGCTGCCAGTATTGACACCGACACCTGATCGGTCCTCGCCTCTTATCGCGCGCGCAGCGCCTCGATCGCATCTTGAACGTCCCGCCACGCGTCGGCGATCATGGCTAACACGGGCTACACATCGCCGTTCCCAACGTCCCACGATACCATCGGGCAATCTACTCTGGTCACGCCCCTCTTTATGCCCTCTTCTCCACCGCAACAACCCTCCAGTCCAGCAACGGAAGTACCTCAATCACCACAATCTCCGCAGTCACCGCGATCACCTCAATCTCCACCGCGCCCAGAGAGCCCGGACTCCGAACACTTTGACCCTCACCAAGATGAAAGAATCGAAGTCAATTTGAGCGATCACGAATCAGATCATGAGGATCTACTGCAGGACTTGTCCCGCCCATCAACACCTGGAAGTCCAAATGGTTCCGACTTGGATGCGCGCCTAGCCGACTTCACTCTTGACTTCAGCGCGTTCCCGAGCAGCAAATTCTTAGATGGCAAGGATGAGCCACCACTGCCGGACTCAAAGGAGGATCAGGAAGACAAGCTGTCCGATGTCGGTGGGCCTGAAGACTTTACCGCGAATATGGAGCGATACCTGATGGGCGAGGGCATGTCGAGTATCAGGAAAAGCCGGGTCAATGAACAGAGTGAGCTACCACGATCGGCATCACGATATAAGTCCTCGAGGTCACAGCAACCAGCGGTTGAAGAGGATGCAGAGTCTGGCGAAATCAGTGAGTTCGGGCCTCCAGTCGACATGTCCACACCATCACATCTGTTGCACCGAACTAGCGCACTTGCAAGGGATTCGACACAACTGGAAGATATCGAAGAAGATCCCCATGATGGACTTTCCGCCATGGCATCTCCATCCGAGCGCAAAATGTCAATGACTCCCGAGCATGAGGCGGAAAATGTGGAACAGCGGTTGCAGCAGCGCATCGCCGAGTTAGAGGATGAAGTCCAGAATCGAGACGAGCAGCTCCATAAGAACCGAAAGCGGGTCCTCGAAGCCGTTTCTGCTGTAGAGCAGATCCGACACCTTCAGGCTGAGCTACAGCTCAAGAATGAACAGCTGGACGAAATCTCCGCGAGAAGTGGAGATGAAGCGAAGTTACGTGAGCAAATAGAGGCCCTCCAGCGACAGAATGAGCAGCGCGAGAAGCTACTGCAGCAATCTACGACAGGACAGTCGAACTTTGGCGTGGTTGAGCAGCAAATTCGAGATATGCAGAAACAGTTGCAGAACCGGGATTCCCAGAGCTCACTAGATGCTGAGCGCTTGGAAACGATTTCCCATCTGCGGCAGCAACTGAGCCTCACGCAGGAACAACTGAAAAAGCGCGACGAAACTTTGGACGAGACAATGACCAAACTGAAAGAAATCACCCGGGCAAAGGAGGTCCAGCTCCATGAGAAGAATGCTGAAATTGACAGACTCAAGGGCGAGATCGACGATCAAGGTCTGGAGAATGAGAGACTGGAGACCGAACTTGAGCGCGTGAACAGGGACTACGAGGCGCTCGAAGATCGTCTGACTGCTTTGGAGACGAAGAGTGGTCCGCTTGAAGAGAGGAATCACTCTCTCGAGGCAGACCTCACTCGCGTTCAGTCACAGGTGGAAGCGCAAGAAAGCGCTCTCAAAGCAGTAGCAGCTGATCTGCCCATCGCTAGCCGAAGCACATATAGCGAGATCCTTGATCTGATTAAGGACCTCGGTGGCGAGGATCCCGCACCGAGAACTGGCTCTTCCCCCAAGGAGAAATCCTTCGATGATAGCGGTATGCAGCAAGTAGGACAGGAAATCGCCAGGCTCCAGCAAGATTTGCAGGAAGCCACCGCCTCTCAGAAGGCTGCGGATGCTGAAGCCAACAGCCTGAGAGAACAGCTCTCAGAGACCCAGAACCTGATCAAGGCAATCGAAAAGGAGAATTTCCGCCTGACCACACGCATGGAGGAGCTGACCTCCAACCTCAACAAGACTCAACACGAGTTGACACGCACACAAGAAGAGCACGCCGAATCTCTTGAGACCATTGCTCATCTCCAAGAGGACGCCCTCGGCCAACCCCCGAGTCCACCTCCTTCACCACCTCGGACTCGCGCCGAACAAGCAGAAGCACAAGACGCTACAAACACCGCGGAACTGGAAGCAATGCATCAAGCCCAGATTCGAAGCTTGCAGACCGCCCACTCCACTGCCATCTCCACTCTCCGCTCCTCCCACGCTGAATCGATGCGGAAGATCCGGAATCTTCTCACATCAGCCGAACAGCGTGAAGCAGAGCTCCGCACGGAACTCACGACCATCCGTACCTCAATTGCAACCCAGGAATCATCATTGCGAAAGACATTCAAGTCTGAAATAAGACGACTGGAGGCTGTCATTGCCGCCAAGGATGAGACCTCCGCGGCTGTAGACGAGCGCATCGCATTGTCTGTGGACAAGCGGGAACGTGAATGGGAACGGCGTGTGGATCTACTGCTGAAAGAGCGTGACCGTATGGCCAAGGCTCTTATGATGTACTGGGGCGAGAAGGAAATGGGCAAAGGCCCCGGCCCGTTGGCTGAGGGCAAGGGGAATCGCCGACGGGAAAGAGATGATGTGGATGTAAAGCAGGGCCAGGCGTACAAGTACAAGTATGCTCAGAAGCATCGATCTAGGAGTGGAGATAAGGAGGTATAATGTCGGGCGTGTGACGGTTGTTGCGTGTTTTAGCTTTGCATTGCAGGTGGATCTACGGGCATTGGTTGCTTTAGGCATTGTACTGGCTTTTGTCAAGGCGTTTCCACGTTACAAAAGATTCTAGTTAAATTGAGATCCTCCTTGTGAAACTCTAAGAGACTGGGCATGTTTCTTCATTTCGTGTTCAAGAATGAGTATTTAATTCTGGTATCGGTACTAAACTAAGAGCAGGTATCAAATCATGTCGCTCCACCTCTATCCAGCCTCCTCCGATCATTCCCTTTTGCTAACCACAAGAATACAACTTCTAGCTAATCATCACTAAGAAGCAAATTAAAGTCCGTCCAGCAGACAATCATACACAGTCCAATCCTTCAGTAAAAGCCCAGACTGGTCCTATTCGCACCGCGATAAGTCGATTGATCAATCACGTTAGGCTTGCCTTCTGAGGCCGCAGCAGCGAACTTGGAATCATCAATAGATCCCTGCGGAATTGAGCCAGACTCCATGATGCAGCTCAGTGGACCATTGAAACCGCCCTGCGTACTGCTACGCGGCCGACGGGTGCTGGGATAGATAACCTCAACATCATTGCGGCGTTGTAGATTAGGCACCGAGCGGCCTGGGTCGAAGACCTGTTGATTGGCCCGACGGGGAGGATGAGGGTGCCAATTGGCATGGTGCTGGCTCGGCGTGTGTCGTGGCATGTGATGCTTGTCGAATGAGTAGGAGCTATTGCGGACCGGATACGGGACGGCGTGGGTTTGGCGAGAAGTTGTTCGGCGTGGGGGCTCGGCGTGTAGTGGAAGAACGGCGGAGTTCTGACGACATGAGGAGGAGTATTTTCGTGGAGATGGCGTGATTGGTGGTCTGGGAATGTAGTGAGGATGGTGAGGATGATGGATGGACATGGTTGTTTGAGCCAAGCATGCCATCTGGGACCGGCCGACTTTGCTGGGCTCGGCGGACATCACGACTTCTGGAGCATCGGCTGAGTTCATAGTCATTGTACGAGCGTGACCTTCCGGTTGGGTCTCTGTTGGTCTCGTTGAATTGGGAGAAGTCTGGGTCGCACTGGATGCTGGCGAGGTTTGAGTCGCGTTGGCTGGCACATCTGTGTCATTCGCAGCAATATTCTTGCTAGAAGGAGACGGTGTCACGACCTGCTTCTCCACGTCTGATACTGCATTGGGATCCGCAAGAGCGAGAATCTGGGGATCCGATGATAGTGGCAAAGACAGTGGGAAGGACTTTGGAAGAAACCGTCTGAAAGACGATAGCGATGACTTTCCCCTCTTGTGATTTGACGTGAATTGTGCAGGAATTGCTGGTACTTTAGGAATTGCGAAATCGGACAGAAGTGTGTGTGATTCGTAGGCGGTTTGTGAGGTCATAACTGTTGAAGTTCTTGATATCGGATAAAACTCGCTCACAATTGTTTGGCCACCAGGAGAGAGGCGAGACAACGAACCATCAGGTGAGACCGTAGTTCCTGAAGCAATCTCTCCGTATTCGGAGCCGGGGTTTGTGTTTATTCGAAGCTGTGGGCGTAGGCGAACGGGTGCAGGGTGACGGATGCTTGGATGGCAGTTTACTTTATCAGCCAGGGGGTCAAAAAACCAAGGCTCTTCGCCGGCTTTCCCATCGTGCTGGCGGCAAAGATTCAAAATTTCGTTCTTGAGGGTTTCGTCACTGTCCCAGCTGTGGGCCGAGAAGACGCTGCCATCACGAAGGGCCTGAGAGCGCTTATAGATCCCAATGATGGACACGTCGTATGGACGATCGCAAAGCTCTCGTGCACAGTACATGGTACACACCGTGACCCTTGAAAGACAATCGTTAGATGTAAATGAAGACCGCTTCCAATTCTGCGTGACTTACAATGAAATGATGGATACGATGACTGATGATCGGTGAAACACGCAGCTGGTGCCAACTCTCCAGTAGCTGGCATCTGTTCCAGCTGGAAGACATGCTAGCTGCTGGGCAGCTACAATCAAACCAGTTACACTCGTAGCGAGCCATAGCAGAAGATCCAGTCGGAGAAAGTACGTGCAGATATTGTGGAGGACTGTTTTCTGCTCTCCGAATCCTCCAATCTTGTTATACTGCCAGGCGACCAAGCTCTGAAGCGAGACCAGCGGGATGGTTAGAAATGACTATTAGAGAGGTCAGTACACGGCTAAGGTCGGCTTCACTATGTATACATACTGCGACCATGCATAGAACCAAGCTCAGGGTCATCTTCGAATCGACCCAATGATTGCCATACAGATAGAAGACAAGGACTAGTCCGACAATGGACTCGAGGATCAGGCAATATAACGAAACGAATATCACCAATTTAGTCCACGTCCCTTCCTTTCGAGGCGTGGGAGAGAATCCGGTAGCCATGAGTGCGTTGTTGAAATGTGCGAGCTGCCCTGCAGCGTCGCCGACAAAGGTTGAATGTCAAGGGTGAGGACCACAAGAGCCGAAAGCAATCTAGTTGTAGAGGCCGCGTCGCGTAGGATGGAAGGATGATAACCGTCTGTCTTTGACACAACCCAGCGGTAGACTTATCAGCTGGTGGCGGGACAGTCTCGCAGGAAGAAATGACAGAGACTAAAAGAAGGATCCGACTCGGCCAGAACGCAGGCTGTGAACACGTCGACGCGCCTGGATGTGGAGGGGTGGAATGTGCCAGCCGAGGAGTCCGGCATGGCAAGAATCCCAGCCGTGAACATGGCCTTTGCGAAGCCCAGTGACTAGGCTAGCCAGCTTGCACAAATTTCCTGCCTGCTGATCGGCTGGAATGTCACAGTAGAGGGGTTCACAAGTCAGGCAGGGATGTGTTTGGTAGACGCTGATGCTATCCCCACCCCCTGGTGTTGAATTGGTCCATCGTCAGAACTTGTCAATCCTTGCAAATCGGTATTTCGGAGAATTTGAAGAAATGCATCCCATGCACTCGATGAGCTGGATTTGCGTCATTGGCAGGATCACCCTCGACGGATGTACGGAGGAAGGGCTGCTGGGAAGAGCGTCGGCTGTCAACAGGGAGGGTAAACCAGATCCCTCGATGACGTGCAGTCAACCCGCCTGTTCTCGTTCAACACCTCTTTGATATCACCCTGTTCACCCACACAGACTAATTCGCAAGCTACTGGACGTCTAATTTGGATCGGCAATACAGCATCTATGGTGAATTTCACCTGTGGCTTTTTTTAAGGGCCAAGATCGCACTGCGTAGCCATGTCTATCTAAACACTCACGTGACCTCGAGGGGATGCACCCTGTGAACAGCAAGGACCGCTTGAAGCATCCAGGAGCCTTCATATTTGACTGATCCAATTTCTTAGTCTCCATCTTCGAGCAGCATTCTGGAAAGACGCGGTTTCAGAAATTCCAAACTCGATTTTAATATGTGACCGCGGCGTCCCTTCCTGTGGTAGGAGAGTGGCAACAATGAGAACGTCAATATTACTGGAAAGACTGTCACCAGCGGAACAAAAGGAGCTGTAGAAACTGGAACATGCCCCAACTCACGATTTGACTCAAAATATGTATAGTTAGACTCGTGGCGAGGAGAACGCGTATGAACTTGTCGCACGAAGATACTTTTACATCCAAGAACATACCGAGTACTCAACGCGCTTTGGCATTGAGATGGGAGGAGACGGTGGGTTCAATCACCATCACAGAGCTCCTCTGGCTTCTGGATCTCAACCTTTGGATGTATTCCGTCTCGTTTGTTAGAGCTGGACTCGGACAGGACACTGCTGTATAGCCTAGAAGGTAGGCGGTTACGATCATCTGAAGCCTGTTTGAAGTGCAGTCTGTGCTAGATCCACTGAACTGGCGGGCACCATCGCGGCAATTTGACAATCTGATTGACAGGCAATGCTCGCAGGGCATATAGTAGCACCCTGCGTAAATGTCACGCTGGTTGCATAGAGCAGGTTTGAGCCTGTGATTTTCGTAACATTGTTTCCCGAGGTGGGACCAGTAGCTGGACACAAACCAGTGAGAACAGGACCAACAATAGCGGTATAATTGAAGAACACTGGCTGAGTGTTATCACCGGCTCCAGTTGTGACCACCACTCTGGCAGCACCCGCTGCATGCTGAGAAGATACTACTGAAAGACGTTGCAGTGCTCGAGGTAGGAATGGCTATCGTAGTGCCAAAGTGGACCAACGTCGAGCCTGACAGGTTGCTGCCCGTGATCAAAATCTGAGAGCCCCCAGAGGTGAGCCCAGTTGTGGGACTGAGTCTAGTTATTGCAGGCAGAGACACCATCGTCAAGAGTGAGGAGAAAGTTCGATTTGATAAGGGTGGATGTAGAGGACGCTTGGGGTCCGATTGGGTTTGTTGAGTCTGGAAACCGGAATTCAAGAGACCGACATACCTTAAGTACAATGGGCATGCTCTACTTTAAAGTGAGTGTCCCTATTTAGTACGGCTCCTTGAGGGCCTTCAACTCATTTTTCACCGAACTCTCATGGTTCCACATACGGAGTCAAGTAGCTAAGACGTGCTTAACCAAAATAGTTAGCAATCGGACATTATCTATAACATAGGCCAGAAGCTTATGAACTATACCACTATAACAGCAGAGCGGAACCTTCGTGAAACCCATCAATGTAACAGCTTATGCCGTTACCTCATTGTCGAGGATTCTGTCCTGTTTAAGGCTAGATTCTCGCTTTGTGCCTTGATTGGAAGATTGTCCTTTCTCCTGCATTTTGCTTCGCTCGACTCGACCTCAGTCCGGTAATCTCGTGCCGATACCTTGTGGTATCTTGCCTCTCCGGTATGTCTTCCCCAAAGGAGATTCCAAGAATCACATCTCACATCTTCCACAGGCTATCTCCCCTCTGCCCTTCTCCTGATTTTCCTTTACCTTACACCTCTCACCTAGTGTAAAGACTACCATGCGAATCCGTATACCCGATGACATCGAAAGCATGCACTGCAAAGAAAAGTCAATGCTGCATGACTTGAGCACTGTGATCACCGCTGGCATGGAGATGCACCATTCCAAGTGTACTGTGACTACACCGCCGATGGTCAGCCAATTCCTAAGTGTATCGAAGGCACCCGTCTCGAATACCTGGCTCTGGCTACTCTGTTGGACCCGGACTTCGAGAATTCGACCATGAGCCCTAACTAATACAAGGAGAAGGTGGTCCAGGTAGCCTACAACCTGAACACTGAATTTATGCAGACTGTCGTGAATTCCTGCATTTACACATCAATCCACTTCGAGCGTGGCCTTCCATGACCAAATAAACCGACTCTATAATGGACAGAAAGTGCCTCAAGATCGTGTTGTGTCCGAACAATGTGAAGCTGGTGAATTCTACCTTACGCAGGGAAAGGTTTTTGCCTTCCGGATCAGTTTCATGAAGGAATCTATTCGCGGAACTCGCTTTCTCGGACCCCTCGACAGTGACCTGTGGCGATCATACGACTTTGAGAATCGTATATGTGCCAGTATCACCGAGGCTCAAGGGTTTATATGCCATTTTATCCACTGGAATCAGACGGGCTCGATGTCCAACTTGGAGGATTTTGGAGATTAATGTGACAGGATGGAAGATTACATGCATGATTCACAAGACGACGGAAATGACAATTGCAAAGACGATTTCAAAGACAAAATATTTACTAGACTTGAAAAAAACGAAATATCTCGGTTATCTTCGATCGAGTTAGGGATTTGACAAACGAGGGATGGTTGAATTTTCAACGAGTATACTACAAGACGAGCAGCCTGACTGCCGTAAAACTAGCGGTATAGTGTACATACTCGCTCAATCATACAGTACTATGCGTGTCAAAAGGGCAATTTATCCAATGATGTACGACTCCACACAGTTGGAACTGCATTTAACGTCTGTCCGTAGCTCTGACGTGGGCTTGGATCGGTCGGGGAGCTAGGAGATCCTTCGCCTAGGCAGAACGAACGGATGAAACAAGGGAGGGCGATTGATGGATCAGCGTGAAACGGGCTAAACGGGGAGAATTGACAGGTCGAATTGGAGCTAGGAGGAATTATTGTCGTCTAGATGGACCCATAGAACGAAGACCCCGAGTGGCGGTCGATTGTGGGCTCTGCTGTACATAAACACATTCGCTGGCCGGCTATTTCTTTTCGAGGATGACTTTGCTTCAATTTATTGACCTCGCCAGCTATCTATAGTCAATTTTTGGCTGCCTTAACGAACCACTTTGCCCTTCTATTTGGTCTCTGCCAAGCCGATCCTCTGGGGATCCTCACGATTCGTCCGATTTGTCACTAGTCGAAAAGCCTCACTCGAGGCTCGACCGGCCGGGATTACGGCCTCGAATTTGAGACAATCCAGGATAAGCCCTTGAACTGAGGCATTGTTGCTTTTGATCTGACTCAGTCAGTCCTCTCTCCTTTCATTCTACATTTCATCGCCCTTCGTTTGGTGAACAATTGACCGACTATCGCCAATTCATCTCGTTCGTTCCTCTCTCGTTTCCTGGTGCCGATCTCCATCCGCTCCTTTCGCGCTCTCGCGCTCGTCTCTCAAAAAACCACCGCACGTCCCTTTCGGTGCTCCTGTTCCTTTTCTCTTTTCCCTTTGGGGAAATCGTTCGTTCCTTCTCAAAACGGCGTCCTTTGCGATCCCTCGTCCTCGATCGAGGGAAGTCGAATCCAATTCCTCTCGCTTTCTCCCGCCCGGTCCGCATTCCCAGCGACGGTCATCCTTTGGATCTCGTGGAGCCCGCGGCCACGCCCCCGTGGAGGCGACTCCGCCCTTCACTCGCGCACCGCGACGACACTGCGTCCCCCTCTCGGGCCCGTCGTCGTTCCCTGCCATCCTTCGCCCGCCGGCCGTTCGCCTGGCCAACCCCGTCAATCACGTTCCTCGCATCACTCCGATTACTGTCCCACCCCACCGCTCCGACGAGAGTCTCCCCCTCGGCCCCCAGCGCGACGCATACCCTCTACTCACCGTCCCTGAACGCCGACGCAGTCGCCTTACTCCATCTCCAACCAGCCTAATCGTCGAACACAGTCAGGGTGAAACTGAAAGCGGACACACGAGTATCGCTTTACCCCCGCGACACCGGCGCAGCGTACAATTATCTCCAACAGAGATGGCAGCTGCTTTTGCTGGGAGCGCCGCCAAGGACGTCGAGAACCTCCGGCCGCCTGAAGAAGTCCATCTCGCCCATGATGGCACTCGTCGCCGCGACGACGACCGACCGCGCCATGCCCAGTCCCAAACCTCTCTCCGATCCCAATCCCAGATCGCCTCAGTCCCCTCCAACACCGGCCCAGTCCCTCCTGATGTCGCCGATGAACTGGCCTGGGGCCCCGCGCACCCCTGTTTCCCTCACTTTAACCCGCACGTTCCCATCGGTTCGGAAGAATACCTCACAACCCGAGTCATTCGCATTCGCCGCGACTGGATGATCAAGGGTGATTTGGCGCCGACGTTCTCTAATTTGTATCCCGAGATTTTGGATCCATTGCTGTCAGAGCAAGAGTTCCGGAAAGTGATCGCTACTGTCAACGAGGGCCTCGTCAAGGCCTTTGACCCGTTCAGCTTACGAAACTGGTTCGACGGAGCAATTGGGCTCCTAACTGGTTGGATCTGGGACGATATGAATGCCTCGACAATCAAGGGCCAATTGCAACAAGTGGAGTCCTGGCTGGAGAAGTGGAATCGTGAAGTTGGCGCCAAGGACGGTGTGCACATCTGGAGCCTGCGCCGCTCTGCATACATGTCCCTTGATATCCAGATTCCAGACCCCAAGGTCGGCATTGTGCCGAGCGAGGGTCCGTCCATGCCGAATACCAGGCCTAGCACAGGTGTAGGGCCTGGCAATTGATAGGCCTACTGTCGCCTGTCCTTTGCTCTCTTTTTCTTGTTCGATCATTGTCTTATTTGGTTGTATATGTCCTTTGTAATTTTGTCAATTTGCTCCCGACCTGGGCCTTTTGCATGATATCCCTCCCTACCCAGCGACTTGCCCTTGATTCTCTCCCTCTGCGATCTTCACCCTCTTGCTTCCTGGAATTGACACCATTCCAGGCTAATCCTTCCACCTTGCATCTTTGTCGCTGGGATTTTTCTTCTTGTTACTTTCGGCTTTGCTGATGGACTGTTGTTGTCCACTGTTGTTCATACCTGAATTTATGCTGGGGTCATCGGTTGGCTTGACCAGAACCCTTGAAAGCGAACATTATGGCCATGTAAACAGTGTGTGTCAAAATATTAAGTACTCGTTAAACTCTCGTATCGCAACTGGCAATGCTAAGAGAGGTAATGTAAGAAGCCAAAATCTGCCATATCAACTCGAGTCTGTCCAAGGAATCGAATGTCCTTCATAATACATTTACACATCATGTCCGACTGTAAGAAATGTGGCTTGCTGAGGCCATGTGCATGCGTACGGAGTATACTTGCCTTGTCCAGGCGGTGTCGATCCACCCCACACCCTTTCCCCCCCCTCGCCCGAGCTCCTGGAACTTCGACCTGCCAAACGGGATGAGCCCTGTCTCCCCCAGCATACTACACCACCACCATGCTGTCGGGGATCCTAGTCTTCAATCAGAAGGGCGAGAACCTCATCTTCCGCGCCTTCCGGAGTGATTGTCGCCCACGCCTCGCCGACATCTTCCGTATCCAGGTCATCGCCAATCCGCAGGTCCGCTCCCCGATCCTGACCCTGGGCTCGACTACCTTCAGTCATGTCAAGCACGAGAATATCTACCTGGTCGCGGTGACCAAGAGCAATGCCAATGCTGCGCTAGTCTTCGAATTCCTCTACCGGCTAATTGTGCTGGGGAGGAGTTACTTTGGAAAGTTCGATGAGGAGGCTGTGAAGAATAACTTTGTGTTGATTTACGAATTGCTTGATGGTGAGTCGCGACTCTGACGAGCAGGAGCTTCTCCTCTTCGATTTGCCTTGATAATGACTGTGATGGCGCCATGTAGAAATCCTCGACTTCGGCTACCCCCAAAATACCGAGACCGATACCTTGAAAATGTACATCACGACCGAGGGGGTCAAGTCCGCCATTGCCAACTCACCAACAGACTCCAGCCGGATCACTCAGCAAGCGACCGGTGCGCTCTCCTGGCGCCGTTCCGATATCAAATATCGCAAGAATGAAGCCTTTGTCGATGTGATCGAAGACGTCAACCTCCTGATGTCGGCAACCGGTACCGTCCTGCGCGCCGATGTGAATGGGCAGATTGTCATGCGAGCATATCTTACCGGTACTCCCGAATGCAAATTCGGTCTTAACGACCGACTTCTCTTGGACTCTGGAGCCTCCTCCGGGGCGAATGGAGGGCGAGGTGGGGGGATTTCGGGGAACAACAAGGCTACACGAGCTGCCGCCGGCTCGGTCACGCTCGAGGACTGTCAATTCCACCAGTGCGTTAAATTGGGTCGTTTCGATGCTGACCGTATCATCTCATTCGTGCCGCCGGACGGCGAGTTCGAGTTGATGCGCTATCGCGCAACGGAAAACGTCAACTTGCCCTTCAAGGTGCACCCGATTGTGCGTGAGATCGGCACAACCAAGGTCGAGTACAGCGTGGCGATCAAGGCCAATTACAGTTCGAAGCTGTTTGCGACGAATGTCGTGGTCCGTATTCCGACGCCGCTGAACACTGCAAAGACCACCGAACGCACGAGCCAGGGTCGCGCCAAGTATGAGCCTGAGCAGAACAATATCGTTTGGAAGATCGCGCGGTTCTCGGGTCAGAGCGAGTTTGTCCTCAACGCTGAGGCGACTCTTACGTCGATGACCCACCAGAAGGCCTGGAGTCGACCGCCGCTTAGTCTTTCGTTTAGCATCCTCATGTTTACCTCTTCTGGGTTGCTTGTGCGGTATCTCAAAGTGTTTGAGAAGAGCAATTACAGTTCCGTCAAGTGGGTAAGGTACATGACTCGTGCAGGAAGCTACGAGATCCGGTATGTTTAGCCATTGCTCATTCTTTCATCTCGTTTGAATTTACTGACTGTGGGTCCTATTCTAGATTCTGAGAACTGTTGACCCCTTAGCTTAGAGGATGGTGTGCATGAACCCTTGTCCTTTTTGATTATGGAATCTCAGGCTGGGTGTCTGGCGTTGATGGTGTTCTCCCCCTTCGACTGATATTGCATGATTTTTATTCTTTTCATTTGATAAATACTTTCAGTACGCCAGTACTCATATTTTTCTCCTATGCTTGACTTCCTACCACCGTTCGATGTTTCTCAGCCTTGTCACCCAAGAATACCACATAGCCCGTTTCGTCAACGACTGGTTTCGAGCCATCCTGCATCTTCCGCTGAAAGCGCAATTGGGAGTTATCACCCTCAACTGTGTCCCCTCTGACCTCGACCGTTCTCCCTTTGTACATATACTCTCTGTCCAGCCCGTTCTCTATTAAAAAGCGAACCATGGGGACCGATCTACCATCCACCGCGACCTGTAGCAGAGATATGGTAGATTTCCTCCTCTGAAACCATAGTGATGCGTTAATATCGGCGCCATATTCAATCAGTAGCTTCGCAAGTGCAACATTTCTCGTTTGCACGGCGATTTGCAACGGCGTCAGTTTTGCTGTCGGGTTAAATCGATTCGGATCTGCTCCATGTTCCAAAAGAAAAGCCACAAGCTGTAGATCAGGCACGCCCTTGCACCTATAGATTGCACCGTTCACTGGTCCATACCGAAACCTCTCAGTCTGCATGTTGATATCGAACCCGCCCCAGTTGAGGTAGTACTGCACTTGGCTCATTCGCATCCTAACAACACCATCCATGAACATGTCAAACAAGACATGAGACTTATCAAACTGAATCCCGCTCTCTTCCTCGATAAATTCCACAACATCGGGCCTTCGAACCCGAACAGCAGTCATCACCGCAGCACTCAATCGAGCCTCAAGATCTTCATTCATCCTCTTGAAATAGTCAATCCACCCCTTCACAGCCCCCATATTCCCCAACTTCGCAGCCAGTTCGAACATACCGTTAAGACGACACCAATTCTCGAACTTTCCCTTGGAATCATTTGCAAGCAGAAACTGAATCGCCTCCGGCGACCCCTTCGCCCCAGCAACCTCGAGCAGCCGAATCCAACCAAATCGCTCAGTCGTACCCCAAAGAAACACAAGAGATCCATAATTAGGATCATAATGTCTGTCAATAAGGCTCTTCAATTCCGCACAATCGCCCCTGATAATCGCGCTAGTCGCTAGCGCTACATCCATTGTGCGTTCAGCCGATATCCAGGGTTTCGCTTGCCAAGTAAATCGTCTGTGATCGTAGACGTCACGGAATGGCCTGAATCTGCCGCACAGCCAGGCGTCGATTAACTTGTCTATTAGTATATGTTCTTGGTCTTTTGTGCGAGGGGCATGTGGGATGGCGAGGAGTTCGTGGATGGAGGTGGTGAATATGCAGCGGTTGGTGGGGTGTTGTTGCACCTTTTGGTGGAGATATTGACGTTTCCATTGCGTGGGGAATTTAGTCCACCATTTTTTATAGCGTCTCCCTTGTGCGTGTCGGCTTTCGTGGGCGAAGCCGAACCCGTCGTCTTCTAGGCGGGGGCTTTGGAGGAGGAGAGTTGTTATTTCGTTGGAGAAGAGGCCTGTTCTTGACTATTAGTCCGCGTTTGATTGTTTATTTGGGCGGGGCTGGTATACTGTTGACAAGTCTCATTCGTACTAGATCTGGGATTGGGATTGTGTCAACTGCTGCCTGGATGATCTGCAAGAGAATCTCTACTGGTATGTGTGCCATGTTGGCTGGTCGTCAACGAAATGTTTTGAATTTCGGCGGATGACATTTCGCTCGTTCTTGTTTGTTGTATAGTTATAGCCTTCGTGAAGTTTGGGTGAGTCATGATGAAGCCTGTCAGACCGGAAATATTAAGCCACAAGTCATATTTTGAATGCGACGTGGGGGCGGATTTTCGATAACAATAAAAGAGTGCAGTTTAAAGAGGTGCCTTCGGTTTTGGAACAACCTGTCACATATTCTTTTATGATCCTACATTTTTGAAAATATTTCCCTTGCCAATCGTTGTGTAGTACGATCACACTTATCGTTGAAACAGATGTGTGCCCTTGTCTGTAAGTTTTTGGACGGGTAAGAAATTATTCTACAGATGGGGACATCAATAATGAGTCGAGAAATGTCTGAGAAGCATCAAGATGGGCCTGATAGGATTGAATCGATTACCAGAAGAAATCTTTTGCTATCGTCTGGCTCCCACTATGAGCACTACTTCATGGCCAAAGGGATCGTAATAACCTAGAAGAATTGCACTGTCATTCTCCCCTCATGCACCTTCCCAGCTTCCATCAGCGCTATCATCTCATTGATTTCCTCAAGCTGAAACTTCCTCGGGTTGATCTTGGGATAAATCCCCTTTCTTAGCGAGAACTCTAGACATCGCGTAGCTCCTAATTGGCCGGCCGCTTTAGCTCCAAGGATCCTATTAACCATACGATTAGCCATTCGTTCCTCTTCCCGTGGAAAAATGCAACAAACCTGAAAGACTGAAGCGAAACTTGGCCCAGATTAAGCGGCAATGGCTCGGAGGGAATCCCAACAACCATCAACCGTCCATCGACCCTCAAGATCGAAATTGCAGTTTGATATGCCGGGATCGAACCCGAAGTAACAACAACAGCATCGACCATCCTCCCATGGTTCATCGCTGCAATACGCGCCCGCACATCTTGAGGCTGCAGGTCTCGCGTATTCAATATTTCATCTGCACTTCCACCATCCCTAACACTCTCCAACTGCCCATCATGAATATCCAACCCCAAAACCCTTGCCCCAAGTGCATGCGCATACTTGGTCGCAATCTCGCCCAGCCCACCAACCCCCACAATAGCAACCGTTTCTCCAGGTTTAATCTCTGCGCGCTCAAGAGCATCCCAGACTGTAATCCCCGCGCAGAAGATAGGCGATAGCTGCGCTGGCGAGACATCGGCATCATCTATCTGTGGGATAACCACTGCCGTCGCCGCGTCCACGAGGGCATATTCGGCAAAGTACCCGGCACAGTTTATTCCGCGCATAGTAATTTTGGGGCAATACTGAGGCCCGATATTCTTGCATTCCCAGCACTCGAGACACATGTCCTGCCACAGCGGGGCACCGATACGATCGCCGGGCTTGATGCCAAAGGGTGCTGCATCGGGTCCCAGAGCTTCGACGGTGGAGATGGCTTCGTGACCGATAATTTGGGGAAGGGGGATAGGACTACCTTTGCCAGAGGTAATGAGAACATCTGAGTGGCAGAGTGATGCCACCTGGACTCGCACCAGGACGTTCCTCCCTGTTGGTGTCGGGACGGGGACTTGTTCGATGACGAGGGGTTGACCGGCCTGATTGGGATACTTGGTTAGCTTATCAAAGTGGTTTGGTTTGAGATGCGTACGAAGGGAGGCTGGCATGGTATACCTCTTTGTAGATGGCAGCTTTCATCATATCTGGAGCCATGTTTGGGGTTTCAGGTGAGTACAGGTGTGTTTGTCAGTTCGAAATATCCAGCATAGGTGAAGTGATTTCTCTAGGATTTCCGGGGAACTTGAAATCCGGCCCTTTTTTATTTGAATCGCGCAAGCGATGCCACAAAAGAGGAGTAAATGCGGAGTATTTATGCAGCCAAATCACCAGTGTCACCCGAGGCTGTGCAAACATTGCTTCCCCGCACAAAGAACTACACGTCTTCGATGAAATGGCCAAATCAAAGTTATCATGTCGCATTGACAGTTGGTATTTGAAAATTCAACGAACCACAGCGGTGGGAAACGCTTTCGGGTAGTTGTAAGAGGTAGGAACGGAGATGCTAATAGACTTGCCTGGCAAGACAGTTCGCATGGCTTGAAGACGGATAGGTTGTTCGAACTATCCTCTCTACTACCAGTAGGAATACCAGGAATATTAAACTCACCTATATACTCCAATAAATATCAGCACCATCGAGGGCTTCGATGTGACAAAGTCCCCTGGGTTGTTTGCTAGAGTATCACTGGTAGCAGCAGCGACACCTTCAGGGCAGATCTTGTATGTGCCAACTTTGGCTGAGAAATCCTAGCCGTCGAAAATGAGAATACATAAGCGATATGGGTGGGTTTGCTACAGGTACGGGATTCTCCAGATATGCCGTAGCTGTTTGAAATTTGGCTAGCGCATACACAATAGCAATGCTCCTATGCACCTCGAGAAGAGTGCTAGTGTTCAGTAATAACAGATGTTCAATATAGATACCTGAGACCTCTATAAGAAGGCTCGATTTTGACTAGTCAATAGACAATCATTACATAAGCTTTCAAATCCAAACAGTCTTGTTCCTAAAATATCCGTCGTACTACGTCGTACTACTTCTCTCAAAGTGAACAATACAGCACCGTTCCATGGACTGATTGCGAAGGCAATTGCCAGACTTCCGTTTTAAGGACTAGTGGAGTCCACGTACCACTCGTATGCGCTAAGCTATAGCGTATATACTAACATCTCGCTATAAAGCTTAGACTCAAATCGAGGAGACTTGCCGCCCTGGGAAACTAGTGGATTCGCAGTGCTCTGCACCACGACTCACGCAGCACGCTAGCCTCTCCCAAGCGAGTTCGATCATATCAGAGAATTTGCTCAGATGGAGTCGAGCATATTATGCGGCTCTTTATTGCCGGCACTATACTCAGATAGGAGCATACATCCTAAATCCGAGTTTGAAAATCCGTGCTTTCAGAAAGGCACCCCACCCCGTTCATTGCCTAGCCTCCTCCGGGCCGTCCTCGGCTAAGAGTTCACGCGTAAACGAGTTGTGAGTTTTCTCTCGTACAGAGGCTTCGTAGATCGAATCATCTCCTTGTCTATCGTGATGGTCAGGGTCTTGGGGCGAGACTTACCATGACCAAGTCACACCAACACGAAGCACCAGGTCTTTTCCTGAGCCTTAGTCACTGCGTAAATACATTGTCCATTATTTGTTTTCACAGCCTTTTAATAACGTAGCCATCTCGGAGATCTCTCGTACTCGTACATCTCCCCGATCAACAAAAGTCAAACTTTCCGCCACATCGGCTCGGCATAATGGACTGCTCAATGCTTAGTCGGCAATCTATGCCCAGAATGAAATCCTAAAGCTCTGAGTAGTTGTGAGATCGGCGCACGATCACGGAGAAGGCCGATCAAGCCTCCTTCAAAGCGCAACCGATCCTCGCTCCACTGTCCTTGTCTGGACCTGTTGCGTTGGAACAGCGAAGGCCCACAAAGCTAAGATCTACGAAGGAAAGCTTGGCTAATAGACTGGCGCTACACAGGCGCCACCCAATAAAGACATCGCGGATCCCTAGAGCTCTTTCCCCCTGCATTTGCCCTGCTCCGTTCTTCAAGCAATTCTGGGATTTTTCACGACAGCATCAGGACCCTGGGGATCTTTGGGTTTAATAATCAGAAGCAGAACCCTTCTGGGATACAAAGAAAATTCTTGTCCGTGCAAGAGATTTCGAAGCAAGATGCGCGGTTTTCAAACTGCTCGGTTGATGCTTCTGGGCATAGCCGTCGCCGTAGCTAGTACATCAACAAGTGATTCAGATGCTCCTGCCATACTCAACTTTCGACCCGACAACGTGACCTTGGCTGACTACTATCTTTGGGTTGGATCGTAAGTTGATAGCTCATCGCCCTTATATACAGGAGAATACTCATCAATACCGTATAGGTATTACAATGGCACAACACATTTTGAATTCTCCCCATATGCTGGACTCGCAGCTTCCACATCCTCGTCAGCATGTCCGGCTATTCGCAACAAAACGATCACAAAAGATTATACCACTGTACTAGGGCTCACAGAGCCAGCCACATACAATACAGTCAATGACCCGGTCAACGCCTTTCTCAATCTCTGGCCTCTTGGCTTCGACCTCGGCACAATCAGTAACCTGTGGTGGGTCGAGCAGCTATTTTACCGTGATTATGGCTTATATTCGTCCTAGTAAGTATCATCAGCAACATCCCACGAGCTGTCGCACTAATGGCATCTAGTCCGGTCACTACAAATTACAGCATCGACAAAGGTTACAATAACTTTAACTGGACACTGGAGAAAACTCAGGCCCCGCCGTACAATCTCTCCAGCGTTCTGACAAGATATGCGGGCGAAAGTTACTTGTATGTCAACAGTACAACGACCGCAAACTGCAGTGGAACCGAGGTTTCTAGTTGGAAAATTGCAATAATGTCCTACAATACCACGTACAACGGAACTAATTTCACGAACCCGGTCGTTGATCTCCAGTTTGATGGTACCACTGCAAACATGTCTATGAGGGGGGACTTTAGTGCAGTCGCCTTGTATTGGATACAGGGAGTGTGGGAGGAATACAACGTGATGCTCGCGGGCGAATTCAGCATGACGTTTTCAGGTCTCATTGATCTCTATCATTCGGATGTTCTGAGGAATGATACCGCTACCCCGACCTGGTTGCGCACCGTTGGCTATCAGAATAATTCGTTGAATGTTGGCTATATATCTGCATCAGCCAGGAATCAGCTGTTTGGATCTTGTTTGCTGGCCGGGATGTTAGCGCTCGCCCAAGTGGTCCTGTTTTTCTTTTGATCAATGTGTCTCAATTTATCCAATCTATTGATAGAGAGATGGGTCGATAAGGAGTGCTTGAATAGAACGAATATGGCCCTGCTTGGAAAGAAGATCTCGTTTCTCTCTCACTATATTTCTCTAGGCTTAATTCTTGTCTAATAATTATTCATCTGGAGACTCGCTTTATTTTCTAAAACCATATTGAATCTCTACATCGACCGCATTCTTTCTTTGACTCTAACCAAGGAGCTTTTAATTCCTGTCCGCAGGTCCTCTATGAGATATTTTCCACGTCCCATATTTGCTGCCGTTTCAAGTTCATTTGCAACAAGATTCATTGTAGGTTTCACTGTCAATTCTGCCTGGACCTTGGTGAACTGGAATTGCATTTGTTGTGAGGCGATACCTCGAGCACCTATAAGTCGGCCATGTGGAGGTAAGTCACTGTTAGTTGCAGATAATCTCATCCAAGCGTCATGCGCGAGTCTATATATAGTTCTCGGTGCATCAATCAGCGGCCGAGGCAGGGGTAAAGCTTATCTGACAATCTTGTTACTTCAGCAACACTAATTTGTTTGTTGACAAAACAATCGAATTAAAAATAATCAAGAGTAACTATGAATCAAGAGAAAATGCAATTGAAATCGAACGGTGGTATCTTTAGAGTAAAAGTACAGATAGATAGTAGTACAAAAGCTTGCGGACCCGACCAAAACGGGGTTAGCGAGAGCAGGATAAACAATGTGCAGTCAGTCGAGCCACCCAATTTGAAAACAGTAGACAGGATGAAGACTGATAAGACCGGGATAATTCACATAGCCAGATGCGAAACCAGAAAGGACGACCCACGCGGAGAAACAGCGGATAACGAAAGTGGGAATGGACATGAAGAGGGTAATGTGACAGAGTCCAAAGAAAAAAATGATAATACATGATTGTTTCTCGCAACAGCGAATCGACGCAGGGGAAATAAAGACAGAGAGAGAAAGAAAGAGGATATGGTCATAATATACAAGACATGCCAAGTAAACACAGGAGAGAGACGATTATTGCCGGCGTCGCAGACCGACTCGTCCCTCTCCCACGAGACAGCGCCACCGCTGCCCGATGTCCGCACCATTACGGCGGCCCACCTGGCGCGCGCACTCATCCCATTCCTGCTGAGAGAGGCGGAACTTTTCGAGTACCACCTCAATCAGGCGCTGATCCTCTTCCGCGGCCCAATCCTCGGAAGCAGTCTCAGATGGCTCATCTGGCGCTTCAATAGAGGGAAGGACGGCGTCAGGATCGATGCGCGCGACGGGTTCTTGCGCGTGCGGCATGGCCTGCCGGCGCGCGGGAGAAGGCGGTGATTGTGTGATTGGCGGAGAGTGTAGGGAATAGAAGTCTGTTGAGGAAAGGCCGAGTGGGAGTTCATAGGGGATGTGTCGGCGACGCTTTGGCGTGGAGATGGGTTGACCAAAGTCCGCGTCGCTGTCGTCGTCATCCCACTCTGTGCGACGGCGCTTATTTGCACCGCGCGCGGGCGCAGAGGGAGGTGGAGGAGGTGTGTTTGCCATGTTGGTTGGGGGAGGAGTTGGGCGTGGTGAGGCAGGGCGTGCGACTTTGCGCGTGCGTGGCGAGCGACGCGGTTGAGTGATGGGTAGAGGACTCTGGAGGCGTTGGGGCTTTGGCGTGCGGCGCAGCGACGGCGCTGGAGAACCGTTCAGGAGTGATTGGAGTGCGCGGCATGTTCCAAGAAGGCCGTTGCCAGATGGGTAGCCCCGGTCTGACGGGGGAGGTGTTGAGAAGAGGCGGCTGGGGGTGAAGCGAGACGACCGGCGCACGTCGCATGAGAGGGCGGAAGGGAGCAGCATGATTGCGCGAGATGGAAGGATATGATTATAAATTTGCCGGAGAGCGGAAGGAAAGATTAAAAAGGAGTTGAAGGAGATTTGGCAGGGTGGTTGAGTCGGTGGTCAGGTTTGCGCTGGTGATCGCGCACAGTTGGATTTGTGCGCGAAATGCGCCGGAGGCAGTTGTGAAGCGCGACGACGGAGTTGGCGGGTTAAGAACGAGTGGATGAGAATGTCGTCGGAATGCGCTTCAGTTTGCACCTCACCCGAGAGAAATGCGACGGGTGGAAGGTGGGAAAGTGGAGGGTTGGAGAGAGGGAGCGAGCGAGTGTTTAGGGAGGGAAAGAAGTTTGGCGGGGGGGGACGGGCGATAAAAGAAAATTGGGAGGGCCGCAAACGGTCAAGCGAACATCGGGCACGTCAAGTCGGGGGGCTCCACTTTTTTGTTACGCAGGAGTGGAGAGGTTATTTTGGTGATGAAAGAGAGAGAGAGAGAGAGAGACAGGCTACAAAGAATGGCAGCGAGAGAGATGGATTAGAAATGAGAAATGAGAAATGAGGGAAATGGAAATGAATGAAGTCAGATGATGTCGTGGTTGGGTTCCCCAGGCAGCAAAATCAGGTTGAACAACGAGTGACGATGGTTTGGAAACTTTCTTCTACTCTCTCGAGCTCTCTTTCATTCAAATTCAACTCCTCAACCGGGCACATTCCCTCTCCTTTTATTCTACGAACCCTTTCTACTTGTCTATTCCCAGTGAAACAACGAGACAAAAAAGGAGCGAGATCGAGGGATGCCGGACGCAAGGTGAGCACCGACCACCAACAAGGAGCACGAGGCGACTCGGAGCCCCCTGAAACGGTGCCCTTCAGGGAGACTAGCACTCACTCGAGCTTAGTCCCGCGGACTGTGAGAAGGCCCTTTTCCTTCCAGGCCGATCTTCTGCGCAATTCCCATTGCCCAATTCGACCCAGCGGCCCGCAATGACCCGCTCCGCCGTTCTCCATTGTAATGCGTTTGTATCAAATGTATGGAAGTTGTATGAATGATCTTCGTTATCGATATCATCATGACTGCATCTCACCAACGGCCCCCTCCACCAACTCGTAGCGCATCCTCTCCGAATGGTACCATGCAATGGACCATGACGTGCAGGCTGCTTCCTGCAGCGAACCGCTGCCCATGCCGCTGACCGGACCCAGACGATCAACTACGAGCTAAAGAAGAAAAGGATAACAACAAAGTGCTTCTGCAGAACTCTGATCTCTGGCCGTTGGCCACTGGATTCCGTGGCGACCCGGCGTGGTTTAATAATCCTACACCACGTAACTATTTACAGGGTGTCGAGGAGTGTAGTTTTGGTCCTGTCTTCCTGCCCTACGGCCCTTCTCCCCCAGCCCTGGAGGGTTCACCCCAACCCTGTCCATACCCAGCATCTCCTTCTCGAGGGCTGGTAGGAGGGAGGTGATTCCCAGCTGATTTCTGTTCGAGTCTTCAGTCAGAATAGTCAGGACTCACAATAGCAGAGGCTGAAAGGAAAAACGCGTCTCGCAGAGTTTGACGCGTTTGCGTCGCGTGACTCGCGCGTGGCAGACGTGTGACGCGACGGCCAATCAGCGTGGGTGGCTAACCAACCACGTTCTGGCCCAAGAGCTTATCCTCCAAAAAGAGCCGGAGTATAACCAGTTCTACAGTCTATAATACTATACTGTACTTCCTAGAAAGGAACTCTTCTGAACAAGGGCCAATGCCAATCCTCGGAAAAATAAATGTGGACACGGTCCATGCTCATCAATAGGTACTGTAGTACTGTACTGTATTCAGAAGAACCGAACTACCTTGGAAACCGCCTCCTACGTAGTTGTACATCCATCTCGAATCCCGTTTCGGCAATTACAATGGTAATGGAGTGAATGCACAGGGTCATTGCACATTTCCCAAAGCTTCTTAGATGACCTACTACGTATGTACTCTCCCTGGCAATCCTAAACAAAGGACCCTTCGGCAGAATCCTCTTCCTTGTCGGACCAACGACCCACCTTTCTATACCTTACATCCTGCAGGGCCAGTTGCCCTGGCAAATAGTGCCCAAAAAACCCCCGGATCGACCGCTTAGACTCGTGCGCGCTTCTTATCTCGCATTGCGTCGCTGCGCTGCGATATCGACCCGAATTTGCGGGGTGCAGAACGCATGCTGCTCGACAGATCAGGTCTACAGTACCAACGTGCAAACAAAATCACAGAATCTTAGCATTTGCATTTTGGTATAGCTCCTGGAATCTTCTATTGCCAGTCCCTTCAGCTATTCATTGAGTAACATCTCTTTCCCGAGTGAAACAAAAGCGATCCACCTATACCCCTACCACTAACTCAGCCTCAACCCACCACACTACACCAACCCTTCAAGGCATACACAAAGGGAGATCTCACCAGATCACCACCACACCATCTGAATAGAGAATAGAATACTCCTATCAGTATCACCCACTCTACCCCTCCTCCCTATCTCCCAGCCCCTATCGCACCATCCCCCTCCAGTCCCACGCAAGGGATACTACCAAATCAGATACACTATCACCAACCTCTACCTACTATAGGCCGATACCAAGCTTAGCTCAATCACAGAGCACGGGGACGCACAACATCCAGGTACAGGTACCATCTGCAGCTCATGTAAACTTTTACACTTTGATACTCCTGGGCTGTTGTCCCGGCGATCCTCGAAGAAGAGGCTTTTGCGGAGAGATTGACTTTGTGATCGTGTCGGGCTGCATCCCCATCTCTGCAGGTACGGTACCCCTATGCAAGACATCTTGCTTTGCAGCGGACACTAGTGCAGCTGCCCTTTGATTGACTCTGCTGCACTGCACTGCCCTGCATGCGTGGGTGTGGCTGGGACTGGGACTGGGACTGGGACTGGGACGGTTGGTTGCCCCTCCAACCCTTGCCCTGAAGGGCTGAAGGTCTCCTTTGTTAGGTTGTTGAGCTCGAGGGTTAAGGATGTGGCCTTGATAGGGGAGAAACTGTGATCCTGCGCCCGACTGGTGCTGGCTTACTCTTTTGGTCTTTGTGTCTTAGGTTGGTTAATCCGGATTTGGGTGAGAGAGGGACTGTGCATTCCTGGACCAAAGGGCAATCAAAGGGTGAGGAGCCGATGGAGGCTATCTCTCTCGTCTGGAAGAAGCAACTCTGCTGTTCGGACAAAGGAAACTGATCATTTTAAGTTGACTGTCTGGCCAGTGTTTTGTTTTGTTGATTTCCTCGAAGAAGCGCAATCATTGCCGGTGCCTATGTTGGTTATGGTGAGTTTCTTCTGAGACTGTCTCAACGCTCTCCATGGCAACGCTCTCTTTCTTTCACGCCACGAGAGTTCTCAATACAACCTTCTGCTCGAGGTTATCTCGCTCGAGGTCACTCGTGTCTCTACTTGGACCCAGCATGGACAGTCTTTGTTACCTACTCCTACAGAGACAGCCAATAGTATCATCCTTCTCACTGGAGAAGCACTTGGACAACTGATTCAAGGAACAGCCCCTCCTACCCTCATTGGCCCCCGACCTGAGACCTTCCACTGAAACCACTGGATCAGATCAGGAGCTTCCCCCTGCTATTGAGAACGACACACCCCTCGGGCTCTCTTCTACTTGGCTCATGCTGATCCTTGGATCATTAGGCCGTGCCAATGATCATACACTGCCCTCCTGCAGCCCTTCATTGTGGCCATTGAATCGATCCTGCCTGTCGAGGAGGACGAATTCAGTTCAAACCCAAGAAAGAGACTTGAACCGGCCCCATGCTCCCTATTGTGAGAGGCCAATTAGGAGTCTTTGCCCCCTCCAACGCTTCCTTTGATCAAGGGTGTGCCCATTCACACTTCCAACTGTGGATCACAGCTGGGTAGACTATTGACGACCCTTGGTGCCTTTGTGGTGGCGCTTCCAGGGGATGTCGAGATGTACCTCGTTTTCTTTGTCATAGGCGAGGCTAAGCAGCTAATCTGCGTAGATCCACTGTGTCTGAGATGCTGGCTTTGTGAAATTCCAATGATATCCGATGAGCTTGGAGGCTTCAGGTACAACATTCTCTTGATATTTGGACCCAATGTTTGAGGCGAAATTCGTGTTCGATAGTGAATCATTGATTTCTTGATGTTTGAACAGTAATTGACTCCTACCTGAATGACGGCGATTACCTCATTCTGGACTCTTGGGAGGGTATAGTCCCCGGCGGAATTCTCCATCGTGGCACTGGAGAAGTTGGTCTCATTCTAGAATTCGTCACCTTTCTGCATTGTTCATTGTGTGCACTAGACTTCGAATAATTTTGACTTGAGAAGTTCTCATAAACCAACTATTGGTCATCCTCCTCCCCATTTCACAGAATGTATTGTCTTGAATATTAGAGCAAGTCAATTTCAAGCTATATAACAATTATTCATGAAAATTAGACGCTGCAAGGATAAGCTGTATTGCTCACAACAATCCATAATGGCTGCAATAATAGCCCGAGTCTCTTGAGGTCGTGCTAGCCCGCGTTATCATCCCAGAGTCCCATAACTCTAAACAGCAACTCTCATATAAAATATGATCAGTAATCTCCTCTCGCCTGTCATAGAATCCGACTCAATAATTCCATATCCCGGCCATATATGAGTCGCTTTCGCTTCCCGGTGACAGGATTGCGCACCTCTTCGTACACCTGGTCAGACTCGTCGCTGTCGTCCTTCGAAGACTTTTGCGGGGCAGCAGTCCCCGAATGAGCAATAGGGGGAAATGCTGCGCTTCCCGGCGACAAGAAGAAATTCCTCATGCCCGTTTCCTTGTTGAGGGTGAATTTGGCTTTCGTCGCTTGTTTCCCTTCCCTGGGTGCTGGCTGATTCTTTTCCGTGGTGTTCTGGACATTGGGACTTTCACAAGATGGCACATACAGAACCTGTCGTTCCAACTTGGGTCGATCGATTTGTTCACGCTTGATCTGACTGATAAATTTCACGTCGGTATTGGCCTTGACTTGTTGCACGAATTCCTGGGGACGTCTCGGTTTGTTTGCAGAGTTTTGATCAAGTGAGACAAGAGGCGAAGGATGTGATGCCTTCTTTGCAGGTACCGAGTTCGAAATGGCAGGCGATATGAGCGACTTCACGCCCCCTGGTGGAACATTCTCCCATGAACTCTCAGAGATGTGGTCCACGTCTGCGAAGCGTGCACCTTCCTTGGGTGACCAACTCGATTCGGACTCTGAGGGTAACCGCTTGTTAAGCTGAACGCCCAAGAAACTGGTAAGCTCAACTATCACGGGTTCACTGGAGCTGCGAGGCTTCCATCCTTGAATCGAACGTGTGTACATCTCTTTGAACCATGCTGTCTGTGCGGGGTTGGTGAACCAGTCGTGCTGCAGTGCCTGCTTCACATCCATTCGCCGAGTCTCGTCCTGGATGAGTAATCGACGGACAAAGTCTCTGGGTTGTGAACCGATCTCAAGTGCTCTCATATCCATATCCAAGTTTAGCAAATTGCTGGATGTGGATATACATGGGTCGTCGAATGGAGTGTTGCCGACAAGTAAGACAGCCGCGACACAACCCAAGGACCACATGTCAACGGCCTTGGTGTATCCTTTGGTGTTGGTTTGATGCAACTCTCTGTTATAACTGGTTAGCAAAGAGATCTCGGCATTGTACTGATGATCATACATACGGCGCGCAGTACTCCAGAGTCCCAACAACACTCGTCATTCGCTGAACAGTCTGGTTCACCAGTCTTGCACATCCAAAGTCGGCCAAGACAACTCTTCCGCCGGATTCGAGAGAGGTCATCAGAATATTGTCAGGTTTGACGTCTCGATGCACGATGTTTCGGTCATGGAGGTACTCCAGAGCAAGCAAAGTCTGTCGGATGATCAACCCAGCAGTCGTCTCTTCGAGTAGGCTACCTTTGTTTCGAATGAATGAGAAGAGATCGCCACACGTTACAAGTTCCGTGAACATATAACTGGAACCCATTTAGTATCAACCGTAGGTTCATACTGTACTGATTTTGGACTCACATCGTATTGCTGGACCGAATGATCTTTTCAGTGGTGATGATATTCGGCTATGCATACTCTCAGTCTCATATATCCGAAGCATCCAGGTAAACAAAGGCTCATACTCACATGAGATAATTCTGCCAGAAGCAGGGACTCTCGCTGCTGCATTGCGATCTTTTCAAGAACGAGTTTCCTTATCCGAGGAGACTTGGCTGTCGTTGCGGTGTACTTCAACGACCGTTTTTTTATAGCAAAAAACTTTGACCCCTGTCCTTCGAACGAATCCCCTTGGGCCCGAGATCCTTCCTGAAAGTCGGCTTTGATGGCTTGAAGGTCAACAATCTTACAAGCAAACTGCCGTCCAGTATTGGCATTGAAGGCCATGTGCACGCGTCCAAAAGCACCGGAGCCAAGCATACGTTGCGTGATCACATAGTTCTTTTGGAATCTCTGGGGAAATCAATCAGCAATGCCAGGTCAAGAGATCAGATCAGACTGCTGGAACACTTACTCGCATCTCGAGTTGCTGCAACTGGGTGAACTTGTTCACATTATCGGGATCCGCAGACTTGAACTGGATATGGATGTCGACAGCTACTTTGAGGATGTCCCCATGACTCAAAAGATAGCTGCCTTTACCTTTACCCATTTGGTAGTCATTCCAAAAGGCCCCATTCAAGGAAAGATCCTGGGCGTACACTAGTGGAGGTATTTCTTGAAGGTTGTCTTGGTCGAAGAGAATTGTGTAGATGCGGATATGCTTGTTTGAGACAAAAGGATTGGAGAGGTGGAATTGACTAGATAGAAGATACCATTGTCAATCCCGGTAACCTCAGGAGAATAAGGAATAGGAGGGGTCTGTGGTACCATCTTTTCGCGTCTCGTCCAATGAATACCTCGTCATTGCTGTAAATCTTAAGTCGTCGACTGATCTCATGCGTGGAAGGGTCACAGAGGCTCAAGGTACCAACGTGAATTCCAGGATCCCTTAAATCAGGATCGGAAGAGAGTATGCGATGCATTTCTGCATTGAAGTGTCAAGAAGAGTGAGGTGATGCAAGAGTGAAGTTGGATGAAATGAGAGAAGTTGATACTACGGTCTACCAGCACGAGACTGCATGTGACTTGCACCTTGGACACGATTCAAGTTTGTTCGTTTCTCCGGCTGTAAAGCTTCAGCCGGTAGGTATATTTTGCTTCTAATGGAAGGTTCTATGCAATGGTACAGGATTCGATCCAAGTGAACGCTGGAATGACAAAAGAATATACAGCTTACCCGTCATTCAGTTCCCCTGCATTCTTCGGAAACGTTCTTCGGCAGCCCTCGCTCGCCTCTCTCTTTCGAGTTTCATCCTCATCTCTGGTGTCATACCCCGAGTCTCCTCATCGCGCTTCTCGGCGGCAGTTTTCTCCACTGCTCCCAGGGTTCGTCCGCCAGCTTTCGATGTTTGTTGTGCAGCCCTGGCGGCATCTTCATTCTTCAGACGTTCCAAACTGGTCTTGCGCCGATTATTCTCCTCTTCTATTGCTTCCCTTCGTTCCCTTTCAGCTCGGCTGTCCGCGTCTGCTTTGGAAATAGCAGCCGGGACTTTTGCCTCTGACCAATCCCATTTTGACTCTCCGAGTTCATGTCGGGCTATACGGAATGCATCCCGGGTGGGACGATCTCCACAAAGCTCAAATGGGGTACGACCCTCGCCATTCACAACAGTTGGGTCTGAGGTAGCTCGAGTGAGAAGGGCATTCACAACAGCCGGGGCATTGTTGTTGGCGGCAAGGTGGAGAGGTGTTGGGCAGCGGAAGTTTTGAGGGGAGTCGGACGGCTGGAAGGTGAATGATGAGGGGATGGAGTTGTTGGAGATGTAAGACAATAGAGCCGGAACTTTAGAGCGCCGGATGAGGGCTTGAATCTGAGATGTATGGAGCAGTGCAGCCTCCTCTTCCTTCGACAGCTTGGGCTTTTGAGGCTGTGGACGCGGCGTGGAGGGCTTAGATTCTTCCTTTTGTTTTGCAGCTTCCGCCGCAGCTGCCAGAGCAGCCTCATCGATCTCGCTGACCTTCACACGGGTCAACTCCTTGAAGCATCGCATAAGTTCGCCTTGAGTGGCTCGACGAGTGTTAAAGGGGAACCCGCGCAGGCGAGGGTCATTTTGCTTCAAGACATGGCCCTCATACTTCTCGAAAAGAATCCGTCTGTTGGTCTTTCCCGTGGCACGAACAAACAAAAGCTCTGCACTGTCGATCATTTGCCGCCAGTCCGCCAGAAGCTCACGAATGTCCTTCTCCAATGCAACTTCGTTGTAGCGACGTAGGCTAGAACCCGCTGAATGGGCAGGTCCTCGAGATGCATCGCTGGCCGACTGGGAACCACCTTGCTTCCGTCGCGTCGTATATCGGTGGAATGTCTTGTGTGCGATCACTCTTGCCTGCCTCTCCTCCACGCCACCCTGTTTGCGGTGAATCTCTGGCGCCAGCGATACCACCATGGCGGCGAAGTGACCACCACCAATCATACACATAAATATGTGAGGACCAGAAGCCGATGGGTCCTTTTGAACTTGTGCATTATTGGTACGCGCCTTGACAGGCGCGAGTTGCTTCTTTCGTAATGATTCCACCAAGTATGCAGGCGCATCCTGCTCGACGTCTGAGAAGATCGCCCTATAGATTCCCAGTGACTTGTTAGACGGCAAGCCTGAGCTTGAGAACCAAAACAGTGGATTCTTCGGCGATCCTCCCGTCGCAGGAGTTGTAGCCTCCTCATTCGCCTCCGACAGCTTGGCTTGTCTTTTCAGCAACGCCGTAAGCGTGGTGTCGCCGCTTCCATCAGCTTCTTCCTCCTCCGATTCGGATGACTCTGATCCAGAGATAGATTCATCCAGCTCTCCAACGGCCTTGGCAAATTGAATCTCATCGAGGGGTGCGTTGCCACGGAGTTGGGCTTTGAGGTTGTAACGGTGGTGATCGGAACGGACGTGGCTTCGTTGCTCTTGCACACCGAGGTAAGAAACCTTGCATAGGGAGCATAGTGTCGACGTTGCGATTGCAGATTCTTGCGCTGCAAGCTCTGGATCCTTGGGAGTCGTCTCGGGGGCTTGCTGGGTCTGTTCGGCGACAGGCTGATTTGCGGATTTTGCGCTTAGGGACGCAAGAAGCTCTGGTGGAAGGTCATAAACTATGCAGGTTAGTGGATATTCGGGATGGGTCATCAGATCAAAAGGAGCCATACCATAGAGAGGTCTTTTCAAAAGCTCTTCCAAGCGGTTAGAATCCGCCATGGCAGTTGGATGTCGTTGAGTAGGCTGGAATGGAATGTTGGCTGCCCCTCCAAATGACGCCAATGAAGCGGGCTCTTACCGCCTTAAGAATGCGGGCGGCTCACGCAACAGATTAGTTTATTAGGACCTAGATAACTAACTAACGTTAGTTAATTAACTAGTGAGTGAGTTATAAATTCTCGCTTAGTCACGGAAGCAAGTCCACTCTCATATTGAGTCATACTGATTCTGATGGGATAACTAAGTTAGTTACTTAGTGATGAGCTGCTCAGCCTCAATTTGGCCGGGGAGGGGCCACTTCTCTGGTGGCTGTACCTCATAACATTGGCTGACACTATGACCAATTCGGTGCCCGAAGACCCCACGTTAACTATGCTGTGGATGACTATCTGACTCACTTTTACATTCTCTTTCTAAAAAAAAACTCCCTTTTATGAACATTCATGGAGTGACATAAACGAGACGAATTAGTCCCTGATCGGCCCTCACAATTTACAACTCATTCTAGATCTTAGTGGCACAAGTATTCATGAGAGCTATTCTGGTTGGACTTCCCTGTGGATGGATTATTTCGTAGCCGTACTTTGCAAACGGAGCGAAGGTCTAATTATGAGGATCCATTAGAGGATCCTCCGATAACTACGGAAGACCCAGGTGAGAAAGACAATAAGTCGAGTTCCTGCACTGGAGGCTCTAGTAGAGGGTGGAGATCACTGCTAGCGATCTCTGGAGCCACAACGAGGGTTGTGAAACGGGGACAGTCCACGATCAAGCTGCGAAGCTCTGTGATAGTAATCCGCTTGGAAGGATCGCGTTCGAAAATGCGGCTCAAAATAACGACTGCCTCGGTGGAAAGTGGTAAGATTGATTGGAGGAAAAATGGATCTTTCAGGTATGCACGGAACGTGGAGTCCTCTAAAGAAGCACGTTTCCAAGGGTTGCGGCCGCAAGTAAGGTTGACGAGGATGACTCCAAGGGCCCACACATCATTGGCTGCGGTCGAATAAGATGAGTTCGGACGCGGATTTTCCTGCTGGCATTCTTGACGGCCAAAGCTGCAGTGTCAGGGCAATTCGGACGCCAAACGTGATGTAAAAGAGAGCGATTCTTACCGGGCGACATGTAGAATACGGAGCCACAACCAAACTCAGAGGAAAATTCGTCTTCTGATGCCAGGCCAAAGCCACCTAGCTTGACAATTGTCCCTCCCTCTGCAACCAGGATATTTTCCGGTTGGAGGCCTCTGTGGCGGATACTGTGGCTGTGACAATATTCGACAGCGTCAAGTATCTGTAGGAAGACAGCCTTCACCAAAGAATCATTCCCCACAAAGTTACCTTGCTCGACAATGCTGTTGAACAGGTCACCTTCCGGGAAGAACTCGGTCACTACATAAAGACAATCGACAGAGTCACAGATGCGTTTCAAAGGAACCACGTTAGGATGGCCACTGGCCCTATAGTGCAATGCGATCTGAATCGGTTGCTGTCGAAGCTGGCGAGAGTCTTTTCCACTCTTACTGAGGGCCTTGACCGCATATGAAACATTCGTGTTGAGGTCAAGAGCTTTATAAACGACGCTTGTGGCACCCACGCCTATTATACTGGTCAACTGTAGCTCACCACCTAGGACCCAACCCAGACGTTGTTCAGGTTCGATCTCGTCAGAAGTAAGTGAGTCCAGCCAATCATTTGTACCTGCCTGCCCTAAGGGAGCTTGGGGTATTTGGTCGAGAACATCTTCCGTTAGTTGTTGCTGCTGCCGATCGTACACCACATACGTCGATGCTCCAGAATCCGGGTCTGCAACACTCTCTCGATCTGTGGTCAGGCGTGAAGCCTCAAGTAAACTCGCCGAGGGCTCTGACCAGCAGCTGTCAACATCAAAATATGGATGTTCTGCAAAGAATGGTCCGTATTCGTCATCGTCGTCGTCGTCGTCGTCGTCGTCTGCTTCTTCCAGGCACACTCTTGGAGCCCATGGTAAAGACCTCAACGAAAACGAGTGAATGTGCTCGGCAGTGTGGTCAAGTAAAGCGTTTTGATCGTCACTGTGGAAACAGCAAAGTGGACAAGCGGCAATTTGGAACGGGACTTTGCGCTTCCATGACGAACATAGCATAGGTATGTGCTTTGGCTTGATTCCCTTGTGATGCTGCTGCTCGAGGTGAGCCGTGAAATCGGCCGACTCCGTAAAGGTGGCACAGGTGTTTTTTTGGGAGCACGCATGGCATACCCATTGCACCGTGCTCCCATGTTCTTCATCCATATGGTTCAGCCAGGTCTCTTTAGTCATATAGAAGGTGTCGGTTTGAGGACAGTCCGCGACAATACAGGTATAGGGTAGAATATCTCCCATTAGGTGTTTCCTATGTGCGAAATATTAATCAAGTTGATTCACTTTTTAATTTGACAAACTTACTTCCACTGGTTGCCGCGCCCGACTGCAACGGCAAGGGACTGACAGCAACAAGGACATGTGAAGAGCATTTGATGATCATGAAGAGACGGAGACTTTGGGTAAGTGATTCGAGAGCTTGTTACCGACACAGCTGTCGTTACAGACATGGCTATTTGCCTGGGAATTTCGATCCGCTCGTCTACCTGCGTGGCAGTTGTTGTACTTTGAGCGTATAGCTCATCTATCGCAAGCTCCTTCTCCCTACTCAAAACGGGGGCCATCTGGCCAACGTCTAAACTTTGTGTCTGCTTTCCGGATGTTGATTTTCCCCTTGACGTGCTCATTGAGTCTCCGGAACCGGTCTCTAGTTTTAGAGCGTGTTGCTGGGCGTATAGAAAGCGATTCCGCCGTTTCAAGTTTGCTTTAATCAGCCGTAATTGAATTGGGCTTAATCGTGCTGGGTCAAGTTGTTGATTACAGAACACTGAATTCCTATGCTCGTTAGGCTGCACTAGGATAAGGAGTTCAAGGTGTCGGCGGAGGGAACGAATCTAGGGAGTATAAGGTTCAAAAGAGCTGTCTGCCTTCTGAAGTCTTGATCTAGTTCCTGCTTTTCGGATGGCAGCCGTAAGCCTCGTGAGCTGGTTCAAACTGTCTTTAACATCTTTCATTCTGGCCAATTCTCCCCTAGACAACCCTATGGGAGTGTCCCCAATCCCGTGACCTAAGATATGGTGTCAATGAAGAAATATCTGCCTGCGCTGGAATAGATATATACCTCCGCCTATATATTTTTGTAACAGAATTTTTAACATCAATAACAGGTTGAGTAGGATAGTGTGCGCTTCCGGGTTGGCGCGTAATCGATGATCTAGCGAAGGTTTCCCCGTGTTAGAGGCGCTAGTATCTATAGCCCAAAGATTGAAATCTGCCAGTCTATTTTCTGCCCATTCTTGCTGCATTTGTCGTGGGACTATTGTGGCCGTCCTGAAAACGAGACGGTATGCAGCGACGGCTTCGGATATCGTAGAAGGTTCTGTCATGGTAGGCTTGGCTCCTCACGATAATGCCCCTAGTGCGAAGGAACAAAGGACTTGATGCTGGAATTTTTGGGATCTCCCATGACCCTCTGCGCTCTGCCACAAGGCAGGTGTGCCTTTGTTATCAATAAACTTGGGGTCTACCCCGCAGCGCCTAACGAGAGGCTGAGGTGATGTGCTTCTACACGTGATTGGGCAAACATCGCTGTTCACCTTCAGCTTTCTTCGCGTTCTTTCGGAGAAAGCTTATTGCCATCAGGAGCTAGAAATAAGGCTACCTCGAGCAGAATGGATGATATTCCTGATCTGTGTCGGAATGTGTTCCCCTGGATCAGCAACCAAGCAACCCGCCTTGGCCTGGAAACGCAGGACAACAGATTCGCTTAGCTGGGCGGGGAACTCTTTATCTTGACTTAACAACTCCCCCTTTCGGGCCAGGTAAAGTTAGATTCCAAGCTAGTCAAGGTTGCAGTGCTCGTCAACAAGGCCTGTTCTGTAAGTGAGTAGTCGTCTGTCTGCGCGGCCTATACAGAAACCTACCGTAACTTACCACTGAATATATACCCTGTCTAGGTCTCGAGAGCCAAGGATAGCAAAGAAACTGGGCGCTTTGATACACTTTGGAGAATCTTAAAGTGCATAGACTTAAACAACACTGCTGAGAAATCGTTTATTCGAGACATCCGATATAGCTTGTTGCAGTTTGTCTAGCGCAACCCCGAGTATCCTTCTCTTCTACGTTTCATCACGGATTGCTAGCACGTAACCGACTCACAAGAAAGCTTCCCCGATGAGCAAATACGTCTACATAATACTGGATTCAAGTATCCCGTACAAGTCAACAACATCCTTTATACCTAACTACGAATACACTCGACCTGCTCGTGTTACACGCAATACCTCGAATGCCCCCGACTGCGACTGGATCCGGGGCATGATAAAGGAAATGATACGGATATCTCCTTCAATGTATTATTTGCGTTAGGTCCCACGTTATCCCGTACAAACAACCATCAATTGCGGTGGAAAGGGGTGAATATATTGGTTGACCGGTATGGACAGGAAGATCTGTAGAGACCCCCGACGCGAGCTAACCTTCATCTTAATTGTTATGCATAGACGAAACAAAAAACCACCGAAGAAACAAGTTTCCTTTGCGATTTAATGCTTCAATCTTTCGACTAGTGTTCAAACCAGGTCGCCATTACCAAATAGTCTTCGAAAGCTCGAACTCGGAGAGTTTTGCAAGCTGATCGGAAGCGAGATGAATATCCTAGTCTATATCTATATCCAGGAAAATGTGATGAAGCTCGCAGATACCGTTCAAGATTCTATCTGGCGGGACTTTCTCCCCGTGGCAAGTATCTCTTTAGCAGACTGGCTGGGGCAGACTATGTACCTCTCCAACAGGGTAAAGATAACCCTAGCATATACTATTGCAAGATTAGTGTGGCAGTATTATAATTCGTACTGGATGGCGACTCTATGGACACACGACAATATTTAAATCATGAAGGAGAGGCTCACTGATCGAAACTATATCCGACCGTATCTATATTTTGCCACGAAACTGTATAAATTCAAGGGCTAGATACTGGATTATTGTATTTCGGACGACCTTTTTTATATGTATCCTAGTATTCTTGCGTTGGGAGTTATCCTAATCGAGATTGCAACTAAACAGCTATTTAGATATGAGCGCTTGGATTACCTCTGGGATGAAACCACGATCAACGATTACTACGAGTGGGCATGGACCATAGCAAATTGCAGTAATCTGGGAAACATGATCCGAGCTGCTTACGAAGTAGTAGTAAACAATTGTCTCGACGCCGAACTTTTCAAGGATGGCTTAATTGATCCGTCGAAATTTGACGAAGATCTCGAAATCAGACAGTCGCGTCTCTACGAGAAAGTTGTGCTGCTACTTCAGGATCTATATTACGTATATAGAGATGACTAGGAAATCCAGGAGGTCTCTAAACCGGAAATTCCTATTTCTCAAAATCCCCCTCAAACCGAACAAACGAGGCTAGTAAGCCGCTCCCGGTTCACTATCGCTATTTTCTGTGCCTTGCCCTTAGAAGCCGACGCCGTTAGCGAAGTTTTCGAGAAGATTTTGGACGAAGAAGTTAAAGACTACCACAAAGCACCCGGAGATGATAATATATATACCCTGGGTAAACTCCTGCACCATAACGTCGTTCTCGTCTATATGGCCGGTATGGGGAAAGGCGCCGCTTCCCAGGCAGCTTCGACTATACGATCTAGCTATCCGGAGATCAAGCTCGCGCTTGTGGTTGGAATCTGCGGAGGTGTTCCGTTATACGTGGCTGGCGAGGAGGATCTCGTCCTTGGCGATGTTGTAATCAGTAATGGAATTGTGCAATATGACTTTGGACGGCGATTCCTAGATACTTTTTTGAGCAAAGCCAGGCCGGAAATCGCCGGTCCTAAGCTCCGGGGCTTGTTGGCTAAGCTTAAAGGGGTGCGAGGGCGAAAACGCATTGAGATGAAGCTTTCCTAGCACCTTGGGGTCTTGAAGAATAAGCTCGGCCTATCGGGAGCTGGTTACCTAGGTATAGAAAAAGACGAGCTGTTCGAACCTATATACCGACACAAGCATCACGATCCAGCAGCGTGCGGATTATGTAGTGCCTGTAAACACGGCACGGATCCAGTCTGCGAAGATGCACGACTATTGACTTGCTAACAGCTCGGATGTCAGAAAGGGTCGCTGGTCCCGCGCAAACGATTGCAGGAGGCATCGGCGAACGGTTGCCCCCTAAGTCCCAAAATACACTTCGGCCTCTTTGGCTCTGGTGACATAGTTATGAAATCTGGGCAACATCGAGATAAAACTGCAACCACACACGATCTTATCGCTTTTGAAATGGAGGCGTCGGGGGTTTGGGATATTCTGCCGTGTCTTGTCATCAAAGGTGTGTGCGATTATGCCGATAGCCATAAGAATAAAAACTGGCAACACTATGCGGCTGCTACTGCTGCGTCATGTATGAAAGCTGTATTGGAGGAATGTGCGATAGGAGACTGGTTAGTTTTAGCCTAGTTCAAGTGGTATCGAATGGGGCTTTCTGACTAACAGTATATTTAGGTAAGAAGCATGTTGGGTCGGGCTGTTGAAACTATGAGGTTCAGTCTAGGTAAGCTGGACTTGTAAAAGTTGAGTCCGTTGTTCGCCACTGATATACCTGGCAGGTTTTACGCCGAGTGAGAGAAAGGCTTCATCCAAAGGTGAAGCCGCTTGGCAACAAACCAAGACACTCAGGATACAGCTCTTGCGCCTCGATTTGCCAAACTTTTCAATACACAACTGAAATATGTCTCGATGGTTGTTTGACCAGGTAAGATATGGACCAGGACCCCCAAAGGGGCTCATATCAGGGAATGGAAATTGACTGACCGATCCAGGCTCCGAAATTGTCAATCTTGATTATGCGACAAGGTGATAGATTACTTTGTGTTCGTCGCCATAGCAAGCCACGCTATCCCTTCGATCTCATCAAGACTCGCCGTGTTTAGACAGAAATTGGATTGTCCTAGGTTCCCGCTTTCTTTCAAATCCCAGGACAACCTTCCCTTACCTAGTCCTGCAGGTGGGTGCTTTACTTGCCCTTCAGATGAGATTAGATAGATATTTCTAGGCAATAATTCATGCCAAGCGGGTCAATTATGTAATTTTCAACTCCATGCGGCGTTACTTAGTAGTACCTGCTACAAATGAATTCCGCAATATGACTATTTGGATCACAATCTACTTCACTGCCAAATACCATATCAGGATATTTGGTGACGTTGCTGGGAGTTGTGTGGCACCATCGGGAGATTAGGCTAAAGAAGCCCTAGCATTGAAGCGTATGGATACTTTCGTCGGGCCAGGGTTGTATATATTTGAAATTACTATGCTGTGAACCTAGTACAATCTAATCCGGGGAAGATCATCGTATTCCGGATAAACTAGACAGGATCCAACTCCTGTAGGTTACATTTTTGTATTTTCACAAATTGTCCTACACACGGGTCATCAATCTGCTCCCAGGTTGGCGAGGCATCTGGATAGTATGCCGGGTCCGACCCGATGCAGCCCGTCCTGCGAACCAGGTATAGCTCCATTTAAGCCCCAGATAACACCATAGAGAGCCAATAACCAAATGAGATCTCACGAACCGTCGGACTCGCCATCTGTACCACAATCCCTACCCTCTCCAGGGGCATTCTTCCATGTGGTTCCTGGCGGATTTCCCAATCGGGCTTTAAAAATGCTTATCGCCGGGCGCCCTGGCCCGGTCACGTGATCTCATCTTCATCAATCGTTCTCTTCCCTCACGCCAATTGCTGTTCGAGTGGTTAATTGTCCGCCAAAATCAAGGACCAGCGCCAGTACATTACCGGGTATCAGCTGGTGCTCCTTCCCAGTCAAAGCCGCGACGGGGGTGACTCTTTTGGAGTCTTCGCGGACGTCATTCGGTGGATCATCAGCCGTTCCACTTGGGGTAAGCAACCCCGACCGCCCGAGACTTCTTCCGCCTTTTAGTAAGCAGCCTCTGGGAACGTGGAAGCTCCTCAGATTCCGGGAGAATCTTACTTTTGCCTTTTCTTACCATTCTTGCCTGTACTTACGGAAGGAGATACTGGGCGCGCTGTCGCTTGTCACCACCATGTTGGATGGTCATACGCAGATGGTGCTAGGGGACTCCCATGTGGGAGACCTCTCGCCGTCGCGACTCGCCTCCGCTTTCGACCACCGCCAGCGACAGGCCTTCTGCGGTGATCCGGAGGGCTGGGGTCCGCTCAGCTTAAATGGCTTCTATCTCACTTCGTGCTTTGTGGACGTAGCTGTCGCCCTCGTCGCCGTGTGGGGTTCGTTGGCCGGTCTCGCTGCGCTCTGGATGTTACTGAAGAAGCGTATCCCGCAGCCCGTCGCAAAGAATTGGCATTTCTATGCTAAGTTGGTTGGTCGGCCCCATTTCCCCCGAGCTCCCGCATTCCTCTCAATTCTAATCATGTGTAATTCGACCTACTATAGACCGTTCTCGCTGCTCTGATCTTCGTCACCGCACTCCAAGCAGCTTTGCATGCCGAGACTCAACCCAAGACCTTCTTTGCCGATTTCCGATTCTGGTCCTCCCTCTTGACGCTCGGCTCGCTAGGTGTGATCTTTGCTGTGCAGTACTATGAACATTGGCGGAGTCGACAGCCGAATGGGGTCGTTCTGTTCTATTGGCTCTTCTTCATCATTGCCTATGCTGTTAAGCTGCAGTCACTTGTCTCTCAGAAGACTTATCTGCAACACCTACCAACCTTTGTCTGCGTGAATGTCGGCCTGGGTCTTTCCTTGCTAGAATTCGTGTTGGAATATTTCGTTCCTAAGAAGCAAAGTGCATACGACGCCCTCGGTGACGAAGATGAATGTCCCTATAACTATGCCGACATCTTCTCAGTCCTTACATTCGGCTGGATGACACCGATGATGAAGTTTGGCTATAAAAACTATCTGACTCAAGATGATTTGTGGAACCTTCGTCGTCGCGACACTACCCGAGTGACTCTGGATGACTTGAACACCGCGTGGGAGGAGGAGCTCGAAAAGAAAAATCCCTCCCTCTGGATGGCTCTTTTCAAGGCATTTGGCGGTCCGTACGTTCGGGGCGCGATCATCAAATCGGGCAGTGACATGCTCGCGTTTGTTCAGCCACAACTGCTGCGATACTTGATCACTTTCATCGACTCGTATCGAAGCCCGGACCCGCAGCCGGTCATTCGAGGTGTGGCCATTGCCCTCGCAATGTTCGTAGTCTCGGTCTGCCAGACTAGCTGTCTCCACCAGTACTTCCAGCGAGCCTTTGACACTGGTATGCGGGTCAAGTCATCTTTGACCGCCCTTATCTATGCGAAGGCATTGCGACTGTCCAGCGAAGGTCGTGCGAGCAAGACTACTGGTGATATTGTCAACCACATGGCTGTTGACCAACAGCGTCTTTCCGATCTGACCCAATTCGGTACCCAGCTGCTGTCGGCTCCTTTCCAGATCACGCTGTGCATGCTTTCTCTCTATCAGCTTGTGGGACCTAGCATGTTCGCTGGTGTTGGTGTAATGATTCTGATGATTCCCCTTAACGGTGTCATTGCACGGATGATGAAGAAGCTCCAGATCATTCAGATGAAAAACAAAGACTCGAGAACCCGGCTGATGACTGAGATCCTGAACAATATTAAGAGCATTAAGCTCTATGCTTGGAACACAGCATTCATGAACAAGCTCAGCCATATCCGAAATGATCTAGAGCTGAACACTCTCCGCAAGATTGGAGCCACGCAATCTGTCGCCAACTTTACCTGGCAGTCAACTCCTTTCCTCGTCTCCTGCTCCACATTCACCGTGTTTGTCTTGACGAGTGATAAGCCTTTGACTACCGATATCGTCTTCCCCGCCCTAACACTCTTCAATCTGCTCACATTCCCGCTTTCTATCTTGCCCATGGTCATCACCTCCGTTATTGAGTCTACTGTGGCCGTGAAGCGTCTTGTGGAGTACTTCACTGCAGAGGAACTTCAGACCGACAGTGTCATTTACCAGGATCCAGTGGAACATGCTGGAGATGAGTCGGTTCGTATTCGTGATGCCACATTCACCTGGGACCGCCACTCTGGAATTCCTGTTCTCAAGAACATTGACCTGAGTGCCCGCAAGGGTGAACTCAGCTGCATTGTTGGCCGTGTTGGCGCTGGCAAGTCTTCCCTGCTCCAATCCATTCTTGGCGAACTATGGAAGAACCAAGGTGAAGTCGTCGTTCGTGGTCGCATCGCATATGTCGCGCAGACCCCCTGGGTCATGAACGCTAGTGTCCGTGAGAATATTGTGTTCGGACACCGGTGGGATCCTGCCTTCTATGATCTTACTGTAGAGGCCTGTGCTCTTCTTGACGATTTCAAGATCATGCCTGATGGTGATCAGACCGAAGTTGGAGAGCGGGGAATATCTCTCTCTGGTGGTCAAAAGGCAAGATTGACCCTCGCTCGTGCTGTTTATGCTCGTGCAGACATCTACCTCCTTGACGATGTTCTTTCCGCAGTGGATCAGCATGTCGGACGTCACATTATCAACAAGGTCCTCGGTAGTTCCGGTATCCTCAACGGTAAGACCAGGATTCTGGCCACCAACGCAATCACTGTCCTCAAGGAGGCGGACTTTATCGGTCTCCTGCGTGACAAGACCATCATTGAGAAGGGCACTTACGAGCAGCTTATGGCCATGAAGGGTGAAATCTCAAACCTTGTCCGTACAAACCTGGCCGAATCCGAAGATGAACGTTCCCCCAGCGTCTCAGACGATAGTCTTGCCAGCCCCAATGCATCGGAAGATGCAGCCGTCATTGAGACTGGCGAGGATTCGGACAGCGAAGACTTGGAGGAGCCTGGCTCTCTTGTTCCTATCAAGAGCCATGGTGACACCCACAGAAGGACAAGTACCGTCACCATCCGCCGAGCTAGCACAGCGACTTGGCAAGGCCCGCGTCGCAAGCTTGGTGACGAAGAAAATGTTCTCAAGAGTAAGCAGACCCAGGAGATCTCACAGCAAGGCAAGGTCAAGTGGGGCGTCTATGGCGAGTACGCAAAGAACAGCAACATTGCTGCTGTCTCTGTCTACCTCTTTGCACTTTTGGCTGCTCAAACTGCCCAGGTGCTTGCAAACTACTGGCTTAAGCACTGGACCGACTACAACGAGGCTCACGGTCGCAATGAGAGTGTGGGCAGGTTCATTAGTATCTATCTGGCTTTTGGTCTGGGCTCGTCTCTCCTAGTGATTGTCCAGAACTTGATTTTGTGGATCTTCTGCTCAATTGAGGCCTCCCGCAAGCTTCATGAGCGCATGGCATTTGCCATCTTCCGTTCGCCCATGAACTTCTTCGAGACCACTCCATCCGGCCGTATTCTGAACAGATTCTCCAGCGATATATACCGTGTCGATGAGGTCCTTGCTCGAACCTTCAACATGCTTTTCGCCAACTCTGCTCGTGCCGTCTTCACCATGATTGTCATTTCCACTACCACGCCCGCGTTCTTGCTGCTGGTTATTCCTTTGGCCTGGATCTATCTCAGCTACCAGAAGTACTACCTCCGAACCTCCCGTGAGCTGAAGCGTCTGGACAGTGTCACCCGCAGTCCGATTTATGCCCATTTCCAGGAGTCTCTCGGTGGTATTTCGACTATCCGTGCCTACCGCCAAGAGAACCGATTTGCTCTCGAGAACGAGTGGCGCATGGATGCCAACCTCCGGGCTTACTTCCCATCCATCAGTGCTAACCGATGGCTGGCAGTCCGCCTTGAGTTCATTGGTTCGATCATCATCCTGGCCTCTGCTGGACTCGCCATTATTTCTGTCGCAAGTGGAAGCCTTCTTTCGCCCGGTATGGTTGGTCTGGCTATGTCCTATGCTCTCCAGATCACCCAGTCTCTCAACTGGATTGTTCGCCAGACTGTCGAAGTTGAGACGAACATTGTCTCTGTTGAGCGTGTGCTCGAGTACGCAAACCTGCCCAGCGAGGCGCCCGATGTCATCTTCAAGCGCCGGCCTGCCGTTGGTTGGCCCGCTCAAGGTGCTGTCACCTTCAAGAACTACAGCACCCGGTATCGCGAGGGTCTTGACTTGGTCCTCAAGGATATCAATCTTGAAATCAAGCCTCACGAGAAAATTGGTGTTGTCGGACGCACTGGTGCGGGCAAGAGTTCTTTGACATTGGCTCTGTTCCGCATTATTGAGCCCACTGGTGGTACCATCAGGTAAGAGCCTTTTTTCCCCTTCCATTTGAACATAGTCGTTTTTAACACTGCCTACAGTATTGATGGACTCGACGTTTCCTCTATCGGTTTGTTCGATCTCCGTGGCCGCCTCGCTATCATTCCTCAGGATCCTGCCATGTTCGAAGGCACTCTCCGTGACAACCTAGACCCACGCCATGTTCATGATGATACGGAGCTCTGGAGCGTCCTAGGTATGTTTGGAGCAATCTCTGCATCCATACCCTTGACGAAGTCTCATGCTTACAATGTTATACTCTAGATCACGCCAAACTGAAGGACCACATTACCAGCATGGAAGGCCAACTCGATGCCCAGATTCAGGAAGGAGGTAAGAACTCCTCTTCGGGATTGTAATCTATTACAACATTCTAACCTTTTCTGCCAAACAGGATCCAACTTGAGTCAGGGTCAACGCCAGCTAGTCTCTCTTGCTCGGGCCTTGCTCACACCTAGCAACATCCTTGTCCTGGATGAGGCAACGGTAAGATTGCTGCCCCCTTTTCAGTGCTATTCATTACCAGCCTGAGGCAGCCTCGGCTAACAAAAGTAATCTTCTAGGCTGCAGTCGACGTGGAGACGGACGCGCTGCTTCAACGCACTCTGCGTAGCGATATCTTCCAAGACCGAACGATCATTACTATTGCGCATCGCATCAACACAATCATCGACTCAGATCGTATCGTCGTCCTTGACAAGGGCCAAGTGGCGGAATTCGATACTCCAGCCAATCTGATCAAACAGGGCGGTCGCTTCTATGAGCTCGCAAAGGAGGCTGGCCTGCTTGACAGTGATGGCCTCGCCAGTTCTTCCTCGCAAATAGCATAAGCGCCAATCAATTGTAAATAACCCTGATGAGCTCGCTACATCTCACAGCGGCGATATTCCTGGAAGGGAATGGACTCCAACCAGCTTGTCATTCATATCCAGGGGCAAGAGTACTTCGCGACTCTGAGTGGCTCGGGGAACCCGGTCCTATTTTGGAGCCTTTGGGTCGATCTGGATGAGCATGAATGCTGATTGTTGGATTGCCACGCCGCCCGCATGGATCATGCCTCTTCCTCTGTCCTCGTCGTTCAACTGCACAGCGGTTGCCCCCTGTCTGTGGCGCGGACTGGGCCTGTCCATATTTGTCTTCCATATCCCATTTTTGTATGTATGAATGGCAAAGTCAATATGTTTTCCTTGGACACCCCTGACATATGTGGAGAGGGGAGTGGAGGGGGCAAACTCCACGGAAAGCAGTCAAAATGTAAAGAATAAAAGTTTTTTAATTTACACGCAAAACAATCTCCTTAGTCTCTATAGCTTGAAACATCGTGTGCCTTGATGCAACATCACTGAAAAGCAGTGATCGCAGTCTTCAAAATGATTCGAAGATGCTTTGTTTTTTTATCATTTGCTTTTGATGCCGTGATTTGCAACGTGCGTTTCTTTTATCAACCGAAGAAAATTCTCCGTCGTCTACTCCGTGGCTACCTCTGATTTGTGTCCTTGTGGCCAGGATTAGCTTCGGTTACAACATCGTTTTTGCTTTTGTTCGTGTTGTCGTGATTTCTATAGTCTCTCCTCTGCTAATGACCTAAATCCTCCGTCATTTCTATGCCTATTTATCATTTCCCGTTCGTGCGGTCGCGATGGAGTTCAGTTATAGCATCAATTTTGCTTTTGTTGATAACCTCATGTGGTATCATCAAGCTGTAAATGGTTACCAGTACGTCAGGATGAAAAAGAAAATAAATAGAAAAAAGCTCGGTATCGCATCGCGTTCCCAAGGGAGGGGTAGCGAAATCCTTAGCTTGTATACCTATACACAATGACAGAACTGCTTTTTTTCTTCAATCTTCCTTTCAATTCCTTCAACCCAAGCCTCGGGATGCTTTGCAGTAGTGCCACTGTCCAACGTGGCGGTGACATCCGTTGATATCAAAATTTTCATCCCATGGCGGGGTGTTGTTGGTGGGCGGGTGTAGCGGTGTAAGATTATCAAGTTGGTCCAGAGTACACCGCCGCTAGCTGGCTAGGGTGGTTTGTACGTCGCTGCTTTGCAGCGTCCTGGTCCAGTCTAACGATGCCTAGCAGGATTCCATGCCTAATTTCTTTCGCTTTCTTCGCGTGTGAAAATAATCAAATTGTACAGATGGAAAGAAGCTGAATGATATGTCGGTCTGTTGACAAGCGGACCACGCAAACCCAATCCATATACATCACAGCCAACTTATCTAGGCACCATTCAGCAACAGAGAAATATATATCCACACTCGCCTAGATCAATACCTAATGCACCCGACCGAGATCGCTCTGGATCTCTTCCATAGGAACGCATTCCACCAGGTATAGACCCTGTGCAAGCTTGCTAAGCTACGAAAAAGTTCTGCGTAAATCGAGATGGCTTCAAGGTTGACGGTGCCCATGCATGGAAGTAGGTAATTGTCATTGTCATCGCATCGTAAATACAATCATAGATTATTATTAGGTCCATGAAATTTGACATACCCCGCCAGGACCCGGGACTAAGAATAGCTCGGGGAAATATATATTCGTCACGCATAGATAGCGGCAACGCCGAGTGGCAGCCCCTTGCCGGGGCATCGCCGGCAGAAATGAAATCCTTCCACGCGCTCATGTACGTAGGTTTTATTATATGTAGGCAGTGAATATTGGAGTACTTCGCGTATGCATTGTGGCAAAATAACACGAAGATAGTCACTACTTATTGCATAGCACAAGAAAGAGTGATGGCGAAAAGGTTGTCATTCGTGGTGTATTACGATAATTGACTTTCCCTTCGGCTGGATTGCCTTGACCCTTGAAAGAGGCGATATTTCTGTCGACCGCATGATTGCGTAACTAGAAAACTTTGAGAAATGAAGCTTGTGCCTATAGATCTATCCACAGGAAGGCTCCGAAACTTGGAATAGAATTTTGCGTAACTACGTAACGGATTTGAAGCGCCGATTCCTCAGCCCAGTATTAAATTGGAATATTCGCTGCAGACCTGCAATCCTTTCGGAGCCCGCTTCTATATTATCTATAGCTCCAGCGGACACCTGCAGTCAACATGGATGATCTTATTCATCTGATACTAGCAACTGTAGTAGCTCCATGCAGCGTACCTGAATGCTTGATCTCATCTCGGTAGAAAGTACGATCCTGGTAACACCAACGTTAAGTCAATATATCAAGTATCGCGTGGCACAGGAGGGCGCATATCATGTTGCCTCTGGCATATCATATCATATCAAAAGAGAATCCGCAATAGCCTTATCTGCGTCCACTCAGCCCCCATCTTGATCGTTCCCATTGCCGGTTTAAGACTACTCTGTACCACGCCGGGCATCTTTCAACCCATCTGTGCTTTGACGCCGACAGACTCTTCTTCGTTCTGAGCGAGCAGCGTTATTGGAGGAATGCAATTCCTGGCTTTTAGATGGACCTTCGTTTCAGCTCCCGTAGTTGAATGCACTGCAGGCTTTGCGCCTGTTCTGGAGGTAAGGGATCCTCGCGGGGGTCAGTGCTCTAGGGTCTCGGGGAATCGCCGCCCCCGTTCCAGCAATCTTGTTCTATGGGCCTCTGTTTGTCGATGAGCCAATGGTTGTTGAGTCCCGAGTGAGATCATATTCCGTCGAAAGGAAGATGAGATCTTGTTCTCAGGTTCTTCCATGGATCATCCATGCCATCTACTGTTCATTGTACAGGATGACTTCTCCACACGCGTCTCTGTAGATTGCCACGGAAAGTAACGGCGTCTTGTACCTTCGAACCAGTTGCCATCTGATCTGATGAGAGATCGATTTGATTCACGCCCAGACGGATCGGACGATCCGGCACATCGATGCCCATTATCAGAACGTCTAACGTTTGAGGATGTGCAAGCCATGTTCCTCCACCGAGCACCTCCGAGCTTATGCGATCTTTCCCCGCCTCCAGAAGGCCCGGGGCAGGCTGTCGGGGCAGGCCTTGTGTGACATCGATACTAGATTCGATCTTGTACCTGCGACATTGTGCATACGTGGTTTAAAATTCTTCTGGGGTAACCAACTACTATATCGGGAAGGAAAAGTCTGTAGCAAACCACCACCAACCCCTCCATGACCAGCAGGAACTCGATCAACCAACCAGGGGGAATGCCAATGATGCACCGGAAGTGTGAATAACTTCTGCGCAGAGCAGGGGTTGCACCACGCGAACCCGGTACATGGTAACCATCCCAGCCAGTTTCCCCTCTCAAATTTTCATTCCACCCCCTCTTCCTCCATGATCATCGGTCTGAAAATGTTGCACAGTGCTGCACATGGCTCCGCACGGACCATAGATGGCCATTGCTCTAGTTCTCAAGAGGGCCTGTATGACCTGCACCTGTCGTCCTACAGACCATTCGAGAGCGGTCCTACGTCCGAAGGGCTTTGAGGGCGCAGGAGTAAGCAAAAGTTGACGAACGCCGAATGCAGATCGGGATCTACTTTCGGGGACTATTATAAGCTTGTATAATTGCAGCCTTAGAAGCTGGAGGAGGGGCACAACCCTAGTAAGCTTTATCCTATTCCTTAGAGCATAGCCGCGGGAAAATCACGGAGTTCCAGTTACAGAGATGTACACCGAAGGTGGGGGATGAAGCAAAATCTTCTGCATATCCGAGGGACCGGGCTCTCATGGCTGAGAGGGTGCGGTGATCGTCGATGGAAACCAGGATGGTGGGATTGTTCTCCCTTCGGGGATCTAGGAATCTGGGTTCCGGTAGCGCGTTCCGGTAGCGCTTAGGCCTGTCGTTCGGGGCAGAGGGAAAAGACGGATTAGGGTGGTTACATTGATTAATCCTCATCGAAGCGAGTGCGGAGTATAGTCACGGGCTTAGCTTGAGGTTTCCAGGAGAAAGGCATCAAAACATGTCACGATGATGGCGGGCTTGATAGCCGAAGATATGCGAGTACATTACATGGGGAAGTTTTGTGAAAACATGGAGATATGAAACTATGTAGATGCAGCCCAAACAATTGTACATACTTCAACGCTATGATGTCCCAAAGCACTGAATTATCTTCATCAATCCACCTAGCGAGAATAACTCCTGTTTGTAGTTCTCGTGACGCAGTGGGTTCACAGCAGGATAACGACATCAGCGGACTTCCGGTGTACAGGGTAGATTATGTTCAAACGTACCAATTCCAGTATTTGTTACGAAGCCCCCAGAACCCAATTTCCCAGCCACGGATCACCTCGCGTGGATCGGGCCTCTCCGGCAATGTGGGAACCCAGTTCCGGGGACTTGGTCCACCCTAGCACCCAAACTCGAAGAAGAAGAGATAGTAATTACGGAGCAACAGTAACATTAGCTATTTGGTTTGGCCTTTAGGAGTACAGCCGACAAAAATCTTACTCCGCCTGGATCTCACAAATTCAATCCATTTAAGGAAGAGCATATATGTCAGCATGAAAGTGGCTGGCGAGGAAGTCCATTGGTCTCGCCTTACCAACTGCATATCGCAGATCGAATCATGCATAACGTATACAAGTTCTGGACCCTCCATTGTACATTAAAAAAAAACATTGAAGAACTGAAGAACAGATTTAACGCACAGTGACATTGTTTCAGCCACGGCACTCTGATCGAGCTCCGAGTGCTGATCTCCAGGGACAATCTCTGTCCCTCCGTTTGGGGGAATGTCTCCGTGCTTGCAGGCCCTAGAGGCTAAAGAGGACTAGATTCCATATTGCAGAGGAACTAGCGCACACTAAATGCCATTACATAGATCAAGTCCCACCACGTCGGGTAATCCATAGGGCCGGATCAGGCCCCCGCAAATGTAGTCAAAGTAAGTCGTTTGGTT